ACCATCCAACCCACCCCCCACCCCCACTCCCACCTCCAACATCCACACCACCACCATAATCATGTCCCAAACCTGGCTTATAACCGGCGCCTCCTCCGGCCTCGGCACCGCCTCGCCATCTCCGCCCTCCAAGCCGGCCACAAAGTCCTCGCACAGCCCGCAACCCCACCACCGCCGCCTCTCCAACCCCCAGATCGCCCAACTAGGCGGAATCTGGATCCCGCTAGACGTCACGCACCCGGACACAGCCACCCACGTCTCCGATGCAATCACTCACCAAGCCGGCGGGGTGATTGACGTGGTCGTCAATAACGCAGGGTACTCATTACTCGGGAGTATCGAGGACATGAGCGAAGCTGAAATCCAGACGCAATTCAGCACGAATGTATTTGGACCGGTGAGGGTATTAAAAGGCGCGTTACCGTTTATGAGGAAGAAGAGGGCAGGCACCGTCGTGAATATTAGTAGTAGTGCGGGGGTGGATGGCGCGCCGGCTTGTGCGATGTATGCGGGGTCGAAGTTTGCTGTTGAGGGTATGTTCCCCCCCCTCCTCCTCCTCTTCTTTTAAGACCTGGGTATTGGCTAACTGAGTGGATGTAGGTATGTCAGAAAGTCTATCTAAAGAACTCCAACCCTTTGGCATCCGAGTCGTGCTCGTTGAACCGGGGTATTTCCGGACCAAGTTCTTCGCGGCATTCGTGGCGCCAGAAGCGGGATTAACGGAGGATTATATTGGAACCCCAGTGGAGGCAGCCTTGAAGCTCATCAAGGCCAAGGATGGCTCGCAGAAGGGAGATCCGGTGAAAGCGGCGCAACGGATTCTGGAGGTGGTGACGGGGACGGGCATGGGGACGGACACGGAGGGGTTTCTGCGTGTGCCGCTGGGTCAGGATTGTTATAATCGGTTCCAGGCGAAGTGCGATACTTTGCAGGCGAATTTGGTGAGGATGAAAGAGATTGCGTATTCGACGGGGTTTGATGCTTAGTCGGAATTGAACTTACGAGGTATGGTACCGTTAGGGCTGGGCTTGTTTGATATCATGTAGATGTAAATACCCAGATAGGGTTAATTGCGACAGGTAGCTTATTCCGCCCCCTCTCTCCATCTTTCTCTCTCTTCTACCTCACTTATTCCTCACATCACCTCCAACCCCACCACCTACACCATGGAAGGCAAAGAATTCTTCTCCGACAGCTTCATCAACAAAACCATCACTTTTTCCTCCCCAGACTCTCACTACCGCTTAATCAAAAAGCTCCGCGAATTCAACGACCAGCGCGACCCCGAGATGTTCCTGAACTCGCCGGACAAGCCCGGAGGCGCCTATGGAACTTTCCTATGCTCGAACACCGTAAACCCTACCGAGGAGAAAATAATGAGGATCATTATGCAGTAGGTCTATACCTAAAAACTTTCTTACTTCTCCAACCACACTGATCACGAGTACTGTAAAGAGTCCCATATGCAGGCTCCGAAATCGCCATCCACGCCGAACGAGCCCGTCAAGCACGCTATCGACTGCCCACACCTGGACAGGAGATGCTAGACGCGTATAGAACGTTAAGTACCCTAGGGGGTGGGTTTACGCCGCGTGTTGTGGATGTAAGGTGGGATAAACAAACGGACGAGGATATAGTCCCCGGTGGATGTATCGTGTATCTTTTGCTTGAGAAGGTTCCGGGGAGGAAATTGGGAAGGTGGTTTTGGGATTTGGAGAGAGGGGAGAGGGATAGGGTGAGGGGGGGCGTTTAAGGTTGCGTGGACGTGAGTTTTTCTTCCTGTTTTTTGGGGGGTTGTTGTTGTGTTGATTTGCTGACTGTGGGGTAGAGGGTGTTGTCGGGCTGGGTTTTCGCCGTGGGGATCGCTGTCGAGGTTGATTTGGGACGGGGATGAGGGGAGGATGTAAGTGAAATTGTTTTTTTTGAAGTTGGGTTGGGTGGGGCTGATGGTAGCAGTTATATTTACAATTTCATGGATGTTTGTCAAACTAGATCTGACTTTAAGTGGATGGACTAGGCTTGGGTGGTCTGGGGGTTGGCGGTTCCTCCGAAGGGATATCGGTGTAATGAAGAGACGGTGATATCTCCGGAGGTGGAGGGGTGGAAGTTGTGAGGTTGGTTGGTTGGGACTTAGTGAGGTGAGTGACTAGCTTAGTCTTACTTGATACCCAATGCAAGATTTGTATTCAACTGTGCATGCTCTAAATATACTTGTATGGGTTGAGGATTCCGTTCTAAGCCAGTCAGCATCAGCAAGGTCGGTAATAATGAGAATGCACCTACCGGATCGTACAACCCCTTCAGCTGCTTCATCAGCTTCACCATGGTCTCATCCTGGCTGTAGCCGATAAACTCCTTCTTGGCCAGTCCCAGTCCATGCTCGGCACTGATGCTACCGTTCCGCTTCTGGATCCACTCATACACCCAAGGCTCAATGGCCTTCTCGACCTCCTTGTTGTATTGCCGCACGGCAATGTTCAAGTGCAGGTTCGAATCACCCATGTGCCCGTATCCGACCACAGCCCGGACAGGGAACGAGTCGTCATCACCAACGAACCCGAGCTTCGTCAGGCGCTCCCGGCAGTCCTCGACCAGCTGGTACAGCTCCGGCAGGGGAATCGAGACATCGTACTTGTACGTGCCACCCAAGTGGCTCAGCGCCTCGGTAATACCCTCTCTCCAGCGCCAGATGGCGTGGAACTGAGTCTCGTCCTGAGCCAGGACACCGTCCGCAACAGTCCCCTCGCCCATGATGTGCTCCAGGAATCCCTCCAGCTTGGCCATGTCGTGCTCAGCGTTGGAACCGCTGGTCTCGACGAGACAGTAGAACGGGTATTCGCCCTCAAGGGGGTAGTGGGTTCCCGTGGACTCGTGAACGAGCTTCTGGGTGCGCCCGTCCATGAGCTCGAAAGCGGAGAGAATCTCCGACAGGTGTCCCTTAGCCTCTCCGTACGCCTGACAGACCTGCTCGTAGCTCTCGAGTCCAAAGTACGCGACGTTCACGGCCTTGGGGCGAGGGGGGCACAGGATAGAAACACCAGTAATGATACCGATCGTGCCCTCGGAACCGATGAACAGCTGCTTCAGATCGTATCCGGTGTTATTCTTCCGCAGGGTCGACAGAGAGTCAACGATGGTACCATCAGCCAACACAGCCTCCACACCGAGGACAGTGCCGTGGAGACTGCCATAGCGCAGCAGACGCAGACCACCGGCGTTGGTAGCCACATTGCCACCCACATGGCAGGATCCCTTAGCACCCAGATCCAAGGGGAACAGATGGTTCCGCTCAGCCAGGTACGAATCCGCGACCTCGAGGATGACACCTGCATCAACAACCAGCACACCAGAGGCTTCGTCGAACGAACGAATCTGGTTCATACGAGACATGTTGATGACGATCTCATCGAACACGGGCACAGAGCCTCCAACCAATCCGGTATTGCCACCCTGGGGCACCACAGCCAACTTCTTCTCATTGCAGTATTGCAGCACCTTGCTGACTTCCTCCTTTGTCTGGGGCTTGAGCACCAGCCGTGTGTGACCGCGGTACTTGCGCATCCAGTCGCTGTTGAAGGGCTCGATATCGTCGGCGGCGTCGGCGGTGACGCCATCGATCACAGCGGACTGGGCGCCCAACAGCCCCTTGAAGAAGGCGACATCCTCAGCAGAAATTTCGGCAAACTTGGGATCGCGCTTCAGGTTGGGGTAGGCGTTGCTGGTGTACTTGATCTCCTTGGTCGCATTGGCCGCGGAGGTGACGCTGAAGGCACGGGCAACGGTCGCGGCGGGGGACGGGGCGTGGACAGTGAGGGGACGAAGCAAAGCGCGAGGCTTGGGCACGCGAGCCCGTCGCAGGGCGGCGGAGAGGTTCCTGGCACCGGACATGGTGTGGTGTTGATGAGCAACGGAAGAGGCGACGGCGAGGCTATCTAAAAACTTACCGACCGGAGTTGTGGTGGCTCTCCGGTCGTGTTCCGTCCCGTCGGAAGGGCGGTATCGGCGCTGCCTCAGCTCGGATTCGACAACGGCTTGGCTTTTACACACTGGCCTTTGTATTTTAGTGACTTGGATCATGTTTGAGAGTAATGTAACGCTCGAGAGGCCTCAATTGATCAATCTGGATCACTGTACCCAGCCTTTGAACGCGCAATGCTCTCCTGGGTTCATCCGTGATGTTCAACCTGATGCCATTGGTCCAGGCCAGATTCAAATGGATTCGAATGGATTGCTATGATTATTCTCTCATATCCGCGCTATGTCCTCTCTGACGGTTGCTCATCTTCGATATTAAATCTGCGTGACCGGCATGATGCACAGCGTGAAGAGATATATTTGTGTGATGTTAGGATAATGGGTCAATTTGATGTCTCTTGCAGTCAATCGATTCTCCATCGATGGATCACGAAAGAATAGCTGTCATAAATTGTAATGATGTAGATACTGTGTCGGACTGTAGGTGTAGGAGGCTGTTTGTTACCGTACGCATGCATTGCCCAAACGGGATGATGGAGGCAGACCCCGCCAAGCCGCGGATTGATGCAGCAAATCCCCTCGAGTCCAGCTGCGATCGAGTGCCTGGCCCATGACGCTGTGCCTCTTCCTCCTCCCGATCAGTTCACCGTGAAAACAGTGACCCTCCACCCAGACAATTTCCACCAGAGCTCTCCCAGTAAGACAGGCCATCGTTACGTCATGAAGATGCCCCGCAGTTGACCAGAATCTCTTCAGCGCGTCATTACCCTCCCTCGATCTCTCCCACCATGTTCTCTACTGAGACGCAAATTGGAAACATGTCGACTACTGTCCTCGTAACTGGTGCCACCGGCCTTCTCGGTCGGCAGGTCTTCAACACCTTCAAGCACTCCGGCTGTCTTGTTGTCGGTCAAGGCTTTTCTCGAGCCATCCCGCCGACGATACAAAAGGCCGATCTGGAAAAGGAGCAGGACATCAAGAACTTGTTGGACGAAGCGAAGTAACAATCCTCTACCTACGCCCCATGGCACAGATCTCATCGTGTTGTCAACGACTGACTGATGCCGTGCCAATGCAGGCCCCAAATTGTCATCCATTGTACGCCACCTGCTTAAATGCAGCTAATCTGCATACGTTGGACGCTGACCGTTCCGTCTAGGTGCCGCAAACCGTTTTCCCGACCTGTGCGACAAGAACCCCGAGCAGGCGCGTCGGGTTAACGTCGACGCCACCCGCACCCTCGCAGAAGAGACCGCGCGCCGAGGGGCCTTTTTGGTCTACATCTCGACGGACTACGTATTTCCTGGAAAAGAGGGAGACGCTCCCTACGCAGCCGATGCGGAGACGAGCCCTCCGAACCTCTACGGTCAGTTCAAGCGGGATGGCGAGGTGGCCGTGCTGGAGGCCACCAAGGAGACTGGGCTAGGAGTTGTGCTTCGGGTGCCTGTGCTGTACGGCACTGCCAAGGAAAATTCCGAGAGTGCTGTCAACACCTTAGTGGATGCGGTGTACAAGGCCCAAGATGAGAACGCGGGAGTAAACATGGACGATTGGGCGCAGCGCTATCCCACCAACACCGAGGACGTCGCACGGGTGTGCCGCGACCTGGTGATCAAGTATGTCAAAGAGCGGCAGCGCCTGCGGGAGCTACCCAAAATCCTGCAGTTCTCGTCCGAGGACCGGATGACCAAGTATGAGATTTGCGAGAAGCTGGCAGACGTGCTCGGACTGTCCCTGGTAGGGATGGTCCGCAACAAGCAAGGGAATGACCCGAACGCGAGCGTCCAGCGGCCCTACGACACGCACCTTTCGACCCAGGCATTGAAGGACCTCGGAATTGATGTCCGGACGGTCGACTTTGTATCGTGGTGGTAAGTTCTTCCTTATTGGGATCGTCGATTGTGCATGTTGAACTCACGCTCGGACAGGCGGAAACACTTGGGCGCATACAAACATTGAAATGGTCGACGGGGCAATTGGGTAATGGACAGATGACCTTGTAGATTATGGCATGCGAAAAGTTTGTCCTGCAGAGATTGTTTAGTCCGGAGATGGCCATAATGCTTGTCTCTGAAAGCAGCAATGAAACAGGCGATGATAATTTCGGAAGGGTTGGGTTTCAGCTAGGGTGTGGCTGTTGGATAGTCCATGGCCGTGGCATGTAGATCCCCGGGATGAGATGTGGCGAGTTCCTGGCAACCAGAGGGAGGGTCCTGCAAAGTCTAATATTTATAGATCATCTCGATCAATAATGAATGAATGCCGGCGAATCTCAAATTGTCCTGTCAGCTCGGTGTCATATTGGGGCGGCAGCTGCCAGCGTCGGGACTCCGCGCGGGATCCCATTTTAGAGGCGGAGGAATTCTGCTGGGCGCCACCCACCGCCACCAACTCCATCTCGCATCCCCCGTCGCTTTCTCCCTCTTCAACCTTCTCGTCATCTCCACTCCCCGAGCTAATCTTGGCTCATGCATTCCCCCCCAACCCCCTTGCTTACCTGCATGCATCTATCCCTCCAACAACAGCACCAGCAGGTGGGTGAAGCTGCAGGCGTCCACAGCTGCATCAAGGCTGTCTCCATTCATTCCTCCCTCAGGCACAGGCACAGGCACCAAAGCCACGCTAAGACCACTAGCCTCCACCGTTAAAATTAAACCCATCTGGACCCTTTGCTCTCTCCACTCTCCACAGCCCACACATCGTGTTGGGGATCTCTTCTTACTGCCAGATCCCTGAATCTTGCATTCACCATTCCTCCCCCCTTTCCCTTGGCCAATTTTTCACTGGTTGAGGGTCCTCAAGCGCACGAAGCAATCGTATCCCTGTGAAACATGTCTGCAACCTTTAGGGGGTGGAGACACGCGACTCCCCATTATTTGATCCAATTCCTCCCTTGTGTTGTTCCTCACCAACGAGCATGCAATTTACCTGTTCTGTGATTTTTCCTGCGACCGCTCTCTGCGCCGCTGCTGCATTATTCTAACTTCTATAACCCACTTGCCCTCACCAATAACCCTTTGAAAGCCCCGCTTGGCCAGGAAAAAGAAAAGAGGCTAAAGAAGCATAAAACCTGATTTGACTGCGCTGGCTAGTGTGACGCCATTGAACATTCTACTGTTTTTACTGTCGTCTTCAATTTGATGCGCTTTTAAGTTCGTGGTGAACTGCTGAGACATCCCTCTACAGACCCCAGCGACAGGCCAGCCATGGCGATGGAAAAGCAGGATAATGTGGTTGCTGGCCAGCACCCGGCACCCATGAAATTTTCCCGTTACCGCTCGGTGAGAAAAGCCGCTGCGAAACAGCCTCCGGAGGCCAGCCCCCTACCCCCGCCAGTTTCGATCCCACCAGTCGCATCCGCGTCGCCGTCGCGGGCCAATACAAACTACGGCAATGGCTCCGGCAATATCCAGAGGAGCATGTCGCGATACCGTCGCAGGCCACCCCCTGCGTATTCAGAGGTCGATCCGAAGCCCCCAGTCCCAGCCCCCGTTTCGGGGTATAAATCGCCAGTGGATGACGGTGACTCTGTCCACCCACACTTTCAAGACTCAGAGGGTGCGGAGATGGTGCGCATGCGAAACAAGTTGGCGGTCCGACTAGCGTCGCGCGAGAGACGGCCCCATGGGAACGACAAGGACGAGGAGGCTGTGCGCGAAAAACACAGGCAGAATGCGATGGATCGCTTGACCGGCGGCGAAGTCAAGGCGTCAGTACTTGCAGGCCATCCGAGATCGGCGACCCGAGAACGGTCGGCCGACAAGGCAGAAGATCATTCCAATCGTCGTCCGCGGAAGGACGCCGAGTATCACGGAGCTCCCATCAGTCGTCGCGCGAGCAATGAACCAAGGCGCCAGTCACTCACTGACGCGGCCAAATCGCTACCCAAGGGACACACGCACGGCGATTCACCGCTGGTTACTGCCATCGACACCAACGTGCCCGCCCAATTCCCTGGGATCGATGCCCCAGTCTCTGCGGTCAATGCGCGCGAGCGACGGGTCCTCGTCCAATACCGAAAAACGTCTATAAGTATCTGTGTCACGCCCTCGACGTCCGCTCAAGACATTGTGTCGGCCGCCTTGGAGCAAATGGCAGCAGGGGTGGACCCGGAAAAGTTCATCCTGATGGAGTCGTTCGCCGAGCTAGGACTGGAGCGACCATTGCGCCGCTACGAATACGTACGAGATGTGATGAACTCGTGGACCCATGACGAACAAAATACATTGATTGTCGTCCCGGCAGCCAGTCTCGATGCGCTGACCCTGCTCGACGGGCAGAATGTTTCCCTCGGACCACCCGCAGATGTAACCTTTCATATGTACTACTCGCAGCGGCCTCGCAAGTGGGATAAACGCTATGTCACCCTGCGGTCGGACGGCCAAGTGACTGTCTCGAAGAAAGAAAATGCCCAAGAGTCGACCAACACGTGCCACCTTTCCGATTTCGACATCTACTCTCCTACAGCCAGCTATCTCGCGAATAATGTGAAGCCACCCAAGAAATTCTGCCAGGCCGTCAAGAGCCAGCAGAAATCCAACATGTTCCTCACCACCGAGAACTTTGTGCACTTTTTCTCCACCAGCGACCGAGACATCGCCGACGGGTGGTACCGGGCCGTCCAGACTTGGCGCAGCTGGTACCTCGTCACCCGCTTGGGCGCCGGCCAGACACCTGAGGCAGACACGGCGCACGCCGAGGACTCTCCCGCTGCGAAAAGCCCCCCGAAGCCCTTGCTGAACCCATTCGAGGAACCAGCCAACGAGATCAAGCCGCCGCTGCCCGCCCTCGAACGCAGCAGGTCTATGAAGACCAAAGAACTCTTCTCACACAAAAAGAGCACACGCGAGCGCGGGCCTCCGCCTACCTCATTTCCCAAGTTGCTCACCGGCGAATCCGACCTAGCTGCGGGCTCATCTTCAGACGAGGCCCCATTCTCCGCATCTGGCCTGCTCGGACGAACCTACACTATGCGCCAGCGTGCCATGAAAGAACGGGAAGAGCAAGAGAAGCTCGAGAATGAAGAACTTCTCAAGCAAGGTCTCATTGGCGCCATGGGCTCGCGCCGCCCCAGCCGCACCAACACCATGACCTCCACCCAAGGCCCGGATCCGAACCTCATCCGACGGACTCAGTCCATGCGAACTAAACCCCTAGTCGACCTCACCCCTGTCTACCAAGAACCCCCACAGCACATCCGCAAAGGCCGCGGCGTGGCCGTCGAACCCGGCTTGCCCCTAATTGACGCAGCGACGGGCATCGATGCGCCAGGCGGAATTCAAATCCCGTCTGCAACTACCTGGAGAAGACCGCAGGTGCCGCCTGAGCCGGCCGCCCCAGAGGTCCGCACTCGGAACCGATCCAACACAGCCCGCAGCATCAACAATCAGCAGCGGCACCACCACACGGCTCCCACCAGTCCCACGGACATTGAAGACATTCGCACCCAGGACGGCCCGTTCATCCCTAATAGTCTATTGGCGCGAGCAGTGCCGATCGCAGCGCCACAGGGACCTCCAGTGGGCCACGGGGTTGCAACCGGAGATCGCAACGCATCGAAACCGATGCTAGACATGTCACCAGAGAATCCATTCGCGGAGGGCAGTCTACTCAGGGGGTTGTAGACAGACCAGCTGATCATGATTACGATACCATTGGACTTCAGCAGGGCGTTGTTTGTCGTAGTACACCGTATTGTTTGTTGTTTGGATGTTTGATTAGCTTCCTTTTCCTAAGTCACACTGCTTACTTTCTTTGTTTGACTCAGCCACATGGAGATTTTCTAGTGGACTATTTTCTTAGCGCGTGATTCCCAACAGTCGAAGATACCTTGGCAGATTTCATCATACTTTTGGTTTATTCTACTCCGTTATACAGTACACGACGCATAACATTCACGTAACCGAACTACCCCCCCATAGCATACCTTCCACATCACTGGTCAAGGCACAGGTACAAACCAAACCAAACCCTCTCTACCCATCCACACCCATACCCACATCCCCAATCCTACTGCCCGGGAAATGATCAACACCAGAATTAGTTGACTCCCCAATAACCTTCACGGGAACAATCACCCACCCAAGCAACCAATCCACACAAACAAAACAACAAACAAACACACCATCCCGCAGACAAGAATCATCCACTATAAAGCCCCAGCACACACACACCCCCTGCTAACTAGGGGCCAATTCCATCCCCAATCCCATTCCTCTAACCCCGCCCTCCCTGCCTTCCCACAACAACATCGCCCATATACCATACCATATAATAGAATATGACTTGACTTGACTTGACTACCATACCATACGACCAGAAACCATTTCTGATCAATCAAACGAGACCAAGCCAAGCCCAGAATGATAAAGATTCCAGAGACGATACGGTAGAGATGATATTCCGCCGGACGCGAATGTATCATCTTGGCGAATGTCGAGAGATGAATCGCCGCAAGAGAATTTGACCATGGATGAAAATACATCAATCTATCGGTATGCTATGTCTCAAATCGTGTCGGTGATATGGTTTGGTGGATAATGTGGACGTGGCGATTGAGGAGGAAGATTGGGTATTGTAAATGAACGTTGCGTTGGATCTCTGTGAGACGGGCTGGGTTGAGTAAGATGGATGAATGAATGGGTGGCGATGGTGTTTTGAATGAGAGAGAATCGGAGAAAAGATGAAAGAGAATATGTAAGGTAGGTTCCATGGCCGTTATAGATAAGTAACCACTGGCTCAGAGGATTTGGTCCTGGAGGAACGGGGTATATGAAGAGGCGTTGATCGGTGTGGTGTGTTTTGAACCCTCTCAGTAATGTGATTCTCGCCGTGGATTTTGAATCTGATATATATGGAGAGAGACCGTACATTGCGGATGGTTGCATATCGAGGCGGGAAGACGTTACCGTTGGCTTAAACAAACCGCTTTTTATAGGATTGAACCGAATCATGCTCAAGATGAGAGTGATGTCTGCAAATGTGGAATCGCAACCGAGTAACCACAGGCCCAGAAGATTTGATCCTGGACGGAGGTATAACGACATCGCTCTTTCCGTGTCCGCTCTCGGCGATACGGATCTGGGGTATGAAATGAATAGGAGAACCAGAGACGTATACCAGTTATTGCGAATGGATACTGGGCCGGAAATATGTGATGTTAGGATCGTGAGAGCCGTTCCTCGATCAAATTGGATAACCGCCACTATAATCATGGTATGGTGTTCACGGACACGGTAGAAGGGTATTTGTCACTACCACGGCCGACAGACCATGCCGCCGTAGGATTTGATCCTGGCGGAGGGAGGTATGAAGAGACATCTGTGTGTTCTGTCGCACTCTCTCACTGAAACTCGTGTATAACACGGACTGCACAGCCACCGAGTTAGGCCAGTGATTAGAAATACCGCGCCGGAAAGACGTTGAGGTCGGGCTGAATAAAGGGATGAAGCGTGGGACTCCGAACCAACCACAGTATAGTGGAGGTGTTTATGGACGCGGTATGGGTTCTTTGCACCCCTCATGCTCCAGAATATTAACCCGCGAAGGACAGCGTCATGCATCGTACTCTCTCACCAACATGATGCTTGTGTAAGGGAGGCATTTCACAGCCACCGGGTTAGGCTTGGTGATCATAGACGTTGCGGTCGGGTGGATTACATGAATATATTGTCGTCCCTTTTCTATTATATCGATCTAAACCCATTATAGTTGTCGATTTTGCGGACGCGGTAGGACTCATCTCGACAACCACCACCAACAAGCCATCCCCAGGAACACAAATCCCTGGGGGACTGCATCCTTGATAATGACCCTCTCACCCAGCATGATTCTGGCAAATGCAGTATTCTATGGACACGAAAATAGGCCCATGGCTAACATGGTGTAACGTGGCTTTGGCATCCCAGAAGAGATCAATAGCGTCGCGGCGTAGTGGCCAAGAAAGCCATCATTGAGTTTGCATCAGCGTAGACGGGCATAAAGAATCCACATGCGTCATCGATATGATGGAAACGGTGCCAGATGCACGTTGGGCAATGAATACAAAAATGGTGACAGTCCCTTTTGAATGGAATCAAACCATACCATAATAATGGTGATGTTTGCGGTCGCGGCATCGATCCTCTACCACTAAGCCATTCCATAAGAATGAAGACGCACCCCTTAAGGGAGTAGGTAGTGTGAAGGTTGTAATCCACGCTACAATGATCGCCCAAAACGGACCAGCAAGATAGTCCGGTATTCTTAAATACCACACCAGGTGCATGCTGGATATAAGGCTGGAAGGATGGATCATGTAGGCCAGGTAGCGTCCCAGTGTTTGTTCTGGGCCATGGTTGTGTTTGATGGTATTGATGAGGTAGGGTAGAGCTGATAGCTGTTCTCATCCCGGTATCGAGTGAGTCGAAGAGGATGAATAACTTCCCAAGAAAGGATAAGGCGTTGACATGATGGACCAAGAGGTGGTGACGGACAAGTACACGTCGCGGCTGCCATACATTGCTGCACCGTTCAGATGTCTGATAAGGGTTAGAATTCTCGATCTGCCTTCTGCCATTTGAATATACGTACGGTGTACTGGGTAGATTTATAGCCATTCCAGGGACTTGGAAATGCTCGATTGGATGTATGTATCTGTATTAGAGAAGGGGTTGACGGGTTGATGACGTGCTGTGGTTTCCTGTCTCTAAGCTAGCCCGGTGATTCTGGATACCGCGACAGGATGTAAAGCTGATTGTCGTCACTGTCGATTAGTAGGTACCGGATTCGATAGACGTTTGTGTATTATAGAGATGATTGATGTGCAGTGCGTTTTGATCCAAATCAGCATGAAGACTACCCCAGGACAGGACAGGACAGGACGACACGTATATCCCTTCGTCGTCTACTGTCACTAGTCGGCCATAGCTGGAAGCTTGTTGGCATAGCTGTGAATTGTTCGTGTGTTTATCTTCTGATGCTTAGGATGGATGTGTGATGCGTCAATGTTGATTGGCTGGCTCGTCATTTGAAGCTGCGGCAGTTGGTGCGGGTGAGTTCTTCACGCGAAGCTGTTTCGCATCTGTGTGCATTTCTTTTTCCGGACTGAACTCTAGGGTCTATGATGGTGACCATGAATGATGGGAATGATGGCAATGATGGGACGAATGATAGAAAGATGAAAACCGCTCCGGATGTGGCGGAGAACTGGTTGAGTTGGTTGTCCAAAATGATGAAGATGTGAGGATTGTAATTCCAAATATTTATGTGCTCCCTAAGTTTGAGATTGGCGTTCTGGGATGCAGCCAGAGCATTCGACTGCTTTCAGCAGGTCGGTGCATTCCTGGAGTAGTCGGCGTTTCGGATGACTTTGGTCTCTGGGACTGAGATACCACCGTGACACGGCTTTCTATCTGGGAGATAGCTGCTAGGTAAATGTGCTCTGAGTTATGGATCTGCGTTTTGGGACCCAGTAAGTTTGATAGAAAGGTTGAATAAGACAGCCATGACTATCGCAGTAACATAGACATCTGTCTCATCGAATGAAGTGTTGATCATTATGTCTAGGGGTTGTTATGGTTGGTGGTTTGTGGCAGGCAGATCTGATCTTTTGTTGTTGGTGTGGTAAACTCTGAGCAAGCCTGTAGGCCACACTAGTGCTTTGAGAAAGGTCAGCATCGCTCGAGGAAGTCAATCATGAGAGGAGTTGACCTACGCTGTATTGCATCGAAAGCAACACCCCAGGCGATTTGGTCCACCCCAGCGGGTTGAAGCCGAAACAACTCGTAGAGATATCGCAGGGAGAAGGGAATATAGAGGTCATCAATAACCAGATGGGCCGATGTTGAGCCCAGTCAATACATATTGAACAAATTTCCTTCCCTCAGATGAGTATGATGATGGCTACTTCGCCAGGTTTTAGTCAAACATTCGAAACACAGTTGCGAGGACGACTGATCCTCGCTCTTCAATCCGTCCAGCTGCCAATTCTCCTTTTTCGGCACATAAACATAGGATTATTAGGATAGTGAGAAGGATCGACACAAGATAATCAGTGGTTCTGGGATGAATCCGTCGTTTATCGGGGCAGGACACGATTGTTTGAAACGAATCGGGTCCAGTCATGGTAAAGTGCTGTCACGAACCGATGACCCGTCGATCAGAAGCTTTGGAGTTCTGCGAAGTCCCTTACAGCAATAGTGATAGCCCTCAAACCTGGGCGTAAAGCCTGGGCTTTATGCTGGGATATCCGGTGCATTGCACACTTTAACCTCAAGTTTGACCCTGATGGTTACCGACGAACCTGATGTCAATTGCAAACCAAAGACAACACCTGGTCGATGGATTAGTGCTTTCTTCGAAGCCAATTACGAAGTTGCAACTAGCGGTGTGAATACAGAACATGCAAAGGCAGTTTGACTCCGGCAGAGAACGTCCTTTTTGGCAGGGTCTGAATACGTTCAGACATCCCGTCTGATCCAGTGAAACAGCAAAAGACACGGAGCCATGCTTCGAACCCGATGTGCCCTGGGCAAATGATTTCTGCTGTGGATTAAGATCCGGAAGTTATTGATCCTCTCTGTTCCACTGCAGGGACAACCAAGTTACCGCCACGCGTAAGCCGGACCCTGGCCCTGAATGAAATCTTGCAGCCGTGTTGACCAAGCGGTTGCACCATCTCGGACTCGATTCTGTATCCCCAACCGGATTGGTTAGGTTAGGGATCAGCTGTTTACCGTTGATTCTCATGCATTTTGTTTATGGGAAGCGCATTTCGCTTCTTCATGTAGAGTCGCGTCGTAAACAGAACCGCGAAGGGTCATTGACGGAGGTGGTATTAGGATCATCTGCGATCCCATCTCCGCAGTCGCAAGCATGATAAATGGGAGAGATACGACTCCGATTCCCACCTGCAATGGTATCTTCCTTCCAAATCGTTGATCTGCTCTCTCTGTGCGAGATATGTACTGCACCATGACGAGGAGCTCCATTATGGCGATGATGTTTTTTGACGGGAAGATTCCCTCGAGGGGAGGTTGGGGTCGTTTTATTGTCCGTCTTCGATATCGGAAGCTCTGTCCTCTCGATGTTGTTTGTTAAGTCTCGGAGTTCATCCACAGAACCTGACATTGTGTCGGCCAATATGAGTCGGTTGATGTGATAGGAATAAGGTAGAATAAGGTAAAGATAGAATTATGTTAAAAGATGAATGATAAATAGTAAGTTGTATGAATCAGATATAACCCGTATGGTTGTGTTTCTTCCGGGTCTCACTGAGGATCTCTTCCAGTAGGAACCAGCTTGATGAATTCAGCTGTGGTGCTGTGATTTTGTCAAAGTGAAGGGTCTGAATTCCAGGCCGTAATATCTGGTTCTTCATTGGTTGCCCAGTAGGTAATGTAGAGGCCCCGGCAATGGGGCATAGTTGCACACCAAGAAGGTTGGACCTTTGAGTACTCTCCCGGCGAGAAAGGAAGCAGCATCTAGCCTGCGCAATAGCACGGCATGACCAGAAAGCATCAGTGAGGTGGAATCCATATCGTCTTCTCATCATATCGATGTTTATTTTCGTTCTTCGTTGTTGAGTATAAAAGGCCGCTAATGCACTCTGCAGATTGTCTGAAGCTATTTGCCTTTGCAATTTGATCTCTAGCTGATGGTTGCCTTGCTTTCGACTTGTGTGATGTGACCCAGGAACCGTCATTTTAGACGCCAGCAGCGATCACTCCCAGCCCCATGATTCGAATGTGTTGCTTAATGCGATCAATTGCAAGCTGTCATCGGAGTCGTTGAGTAAGAGCATGTTCGCAGGAAACCGTCTTCTTCATCGTAGAGTCGCTAATAATTTCGGAAATGAGGGTGGAACCATGCGCAGAAGCCGTCCAGAGCCATCATTAGCATTGCGATTCGAAGCGGGGGTGACGCAGTGATAGAATCTCCATGGGGCCATACAATGGTACCCATTGTACAGAGCCCTCAGGGACAGGATTGGGCTCTGTTTCGTAGGCGGATTCGCGTTAAAAAAGAATTGGCATACTTGTGCCTGTTTTGCAAGGGCAGGCTTGCCTCCTATATTGTCGGTGAGATGGTGTTATTCCATCCCACTAGTTAGGGTGGATAACGGTGAGAGCAAGGGGGTCCCTAGGTGATGAATGAATATAGGGCCCATTGTTTCTGGCATACACGGTTTCGACCACTTTGCATTCCAACGCCACAGTTGGGTGACCATGCGCAAAGATATCAAGCAGGGGTTGTTCGAGCGGCGTTGCCTTTACCCCTTTGTTGTGTATGTCTGGCCGAAGCGAGTAGAGAGTGGGTGGCAGCGTTGATCCACTTGTGTGAGCGCGGTTTAAGAGTCGGTTGGTAGGCGTTGGTGAGATGTTGCAGAATCAGACACACATCTGAATTTTGGTCGGAGTCGGATGATATCGGTAGTCCACCCTTGGTCTCGACGGGTGGTGTGAAGGTTTGTAAGGGTGGAGAAGGTGAGGATTGGAGGGTCATTGTAATAGTGAGAGGGGGGTTTGGACAATAATTTGGGTGGGTGGAGAAACGAGGTAAGAAACAATAACTTCATCTCGCTTTCGACTGGAAGGGACACACAAGGAATATTGCGTGTCGAACACTGTCCCGGTCATCATAATGCCCAGGTCGGTCTGTCGCAATGAACTCCATGGGGACAGTAATCCTCGTACGCATGTGACTGGAACGAGCTGTCTGTGTGAGCCATGTTACTCAACAGGACGATGCAGGATGTACTTACCCTAAGACCTCCCAGGTCATGGGTCATCACTACGTCAACCATTTTTAATGCTCGTATCGCTCATGGTCAAGGTGATCGAGTCGCTAGGCCTCAATCAGCCAACACCATTTTGGACAGCTGAAAGTGCCCATTGTCATGCTCGCCCGCGCTCACTTCTGACTAGATAAAACCCATGTGGTCTCCCAAGCCTTTTCTGACCACATTATGCGTTCCAAGCACCAATAAATCCTCATACATCATACGTCAAGCTATAGTGCCACCTATCATCGAGACTCTTGATCTGCCACCACATGTCTGAGACTATCTTCGTCCCAGGCTCCTGGAATATCCAGTCAGAGAAAGCCCGTCATATTTCCCTTCAGATCAAAAAGCGCCAACCTGTCGACTGCTGTTGACCCCTCCGAGGAAGTGAAAAGACTGCGAATATCTTCCCGCAATGCGTAATCGCAGATTCCACGCACCACAACAGGATGTGTCCGTTGTGAGATGTGATCTTCATCAATGGAAGGATTTTCACGAGTGTCAGGGCCCCATTACATACCACGGAAAACCCGCAGTGATCTCCGCCATAAGTTCAGGTCAACCTTCACCGGCATCACCTCTTCCCCATTCTTATCAACCATCACCCATGGTCCATGTATCCAGAAGCATTGTACAAATTGAAGCGATTAACACTAGATCGCCGATGAAGGGAGTTCTGTGACGGTCAATATTCTGCAAGGTGTTCTGGCGATCGGCAATATCCAAACACTCATGTTGGCTGGGACAGACATGTGAGGAACGGCGTAACATCAATGGCAGAACAATATGCCGTCAAATATGCCTCTGATCTTGATGGGACGAACATGGCCGGCCAGGAAGTGATCCTTGTACACCACACCACCCTGCGACCGATGCGTTTGACTCGGACATGCGGGGTTCATATCCAACGATGCCCCAGGGCACCCGGTCATGGCTCATTCGTAAAGTCGCTGAAACTACCTAACAGAGTTAGATATATCTGAGACAACCGCGGGAGCAATTTACCTTTAAGGGCACATCTACATTTCTGCATAAAGTGTGATAGTCTCAGAGAGAAGGCATATGAGCACGAGTATGCAGATGACAAATTACCTTTTTTCCCAAGCAGAAGCTTGACTGACAGTGTTGGCTTTCCGGCATCTCTGTATATCAATGTAGAGAGAGGGAAGGGATGCTGATACTGTTAGTCACCAACGCGAGTTACTTCAGAGGTGTGAGGAGTCACTAACAACCTCTTGGATCAGCATCGCTGATATAGAGACTGAATTGGATGGATGGTCGTTCACCAACCACATTCATGCTCCATTACATCGTTCCTCTTAGATATCGGCTATCCGCCTAGTTTGGACGCAGTTGCCATGATCTGAAATTGGGTGACCAGTGATGATGGAGTAGGAGGGTCTCAACACACAGCCAACGATCGATTGACAAAGAAAGCTGTTGGTGTCGTTACTGGTGGATTTCTATCGTATGGTGGTTTCGAGACGTGGCCAGTTGCTAGCTTCATAATGAGAAAGGCCGCAGGAACGGAGCACGGATGGGGATGCGTGAATGCGTCATCCGCACAATTCTGGCGTAGTATCAAGTCAGTATCCAACAGAAGAACGATGATCAACATAGACTACATCAGAGTCCGTAGCAAGGAAATGGAAAGTAACAACGAATCTTTTCCACGTCATTTATTCGGCATTTTGTGGGTTGTAGATAGGGTTCTTGCTGTAGCGTTCGCCACAAAGGAAGCCTCGTAAATCCAGTGTTTGCAGTCAGGGAGGCCCATTACGGTTGACCTTACTCCTCGCAAGGAGTTCCTGGTCGCGTCGAGCATGAATTCCACGGAGCGGGGCTTAGAGACATGGAAGCTGTTTCAACATGGTAGGTCAGTATGGTTCTACCTAAGACTCAAACAGGACGGAGAGCTATGAGAAGAGGTGATCTGAGACAGCACGTCCTCGAAAGGATACGCACCATAAATAAAAGGCTCGGTGGTTGTACCCATTCATATCAAGGGAATGATTTCCAATGGGCGTTGTCACCTGTGCCGAAGCATAAGGCAGCACGAAGAGTGCCCCATATGGCTAGGAGCAAGCTGAATTGATGGAAAGTTTCGTGTACGATATAAATCGTCATTTCGTCAGGGTCCAACGGTAGCATAAAAATCGATGAACTGTTTGTTCGAATGTGGTTGATGAAGTCATGAGGAAGTGCAAACAACATAAATGGTAATAAAAGGTGTTCTGCGCTCGGGAAGTGAGAGACCACACTGTCTTTCGCATACCCCAACAGCGTCCAGGAGACCGATACTAGCTTTGTCCAGGCGCACAGCCAGTAATAGTATTTCGCCATATTGAGGTGGATCTGGTCAGGTGAAATCGTCATGTTGCAGCCCAGCAGCCTCTTGGTACCTTCGCATTCCATGAGGCTACCTGACGCTTAAAGAGATTCAAGCTCTCTTTGAGATCCGGAAAAAGATTCAACGGTATCCTTGCTAACCGGGGGGAGAAACCTCTCACTACCAGTTTGGTCCACGCTTCGTGGTTGCGATGGTGGATTCTCCCGACATTCCAACATGACAGAATGCTTTTGGTCGCACTGGCTTCCCTTCTCCGTAGTAGTTTTACACGCCTTCGAACTCGGTCATGAACAATGTTTGAAAACCGAGGAGCGTGTAGAAAGGAAGGCATGACGGGTCCTCCATAATGGTATGGAAAATGTACCATATCAGCTTCCAGGGTTGAAGGAGGTGATGCGCGGCTCACTGTGCACTATTGGATTTCCCTAAGGCCTTGGTGCTCATTGTGTCAAACCCGGAAACATATAGCCCCAAGGCATTATGATTACGAATAATCATATTGACTTGGCATCTTCAACAGCATGTCTCGTTGCCTGAAATTGTGGTTATGGGGAAGAGATAGGCCACTACCATGATACCACACATCGCACAGCTTCTAACAGGTCACTGCCCGGTTCTTGCATGATGGTGGGATTGATGAGCCTCCAACTCATAGGGTAGCCCTTTCATATGATGTGCGACGGCTGTATATTTATGGCTTCCTGAACCACTTTTGATCTGGCTGCCTCTTGGGTAGCCAGTTGTGTTGTGCCTCTTCTCCTGATGGCTTTTCTCGATGATGTTCTTTGGTGGTGGCTTGCTTACTGTCTGTCGTAAACTGACGCACATGAATAGATGAACCTTCGAGATATGGTGTCTAGTCTCTAGGCATCAAGTTTCCTCGAACAAAGCACATTTCTTTCGAGTTGTTTACTTTGTGGGTTTTGATAGTTCTCGTCATGTGTCAAGTGCCTTGCCGAGGGCCTGCAATCGTTGTTGGAGTTCGGAATATGGACAGCCAAACCGAGATGTTATGTTCGTGTAGCTTTGGAGGCGAATCCGGCCAGTGGGATGATGCACATTCATCTTCGCCCAGGCCAACAGTGAAACCTTGAACTGATAGTCGCTTCGGTCTGATGATGGGAATAACCAATAGGATGCAGCTATATCACATCGCTGGCGTCTTGATATGTTTTGTTAGTCGGGATTGTTCAAACGAGGGGTTTTCAGACCTGGAACCATAGACTAACGTTTCACCTGGTCAGCGGACGGCTCGGGTCCAGTTAAACAATCCGTCTAGTTACAATATAATGATGGTGTGGATTTAGTACCGGTATCAGAAGTCGACGCTTTGCTTGGTAAATGTCTGACTGGCAACGGCCAGAGACAGCAGATAAAGCCATTCTGTGTCTGGATTGTATGGCTTGATCGCGCATCGGTCTATGCCGATGGATGAGGCAGAGATCTCTATTTTCTCAATTCTTGAGATTTGCATCACAGCATGAAGGTTAGTAAGGCTCGGTCAAATGCTCAGTTGGTGAATGGGCAAGTCCAGGGTGCTTTATCATACCGATGAAGTGTTTCCTGTGAATCTTCTCCGTCATTCGATAACCCCAACACTCAAGGTTCCCCTGGCTCATCGGTGGGTGTATGTCATCTCCAGGGCCATGGGAAAGGCCGGACAGTGGATGGACGAACCATCGCAGGTCAAGGCATGACCGCTGCGTTTGGCTCACGGTGGAACCGCACGTGTTGTTGGAAACAATTCTCTCGGCAGTGCATTGCTTTCTTACTTTTTGCTCGTACAGGTGGACAAAATTTAAAGACATACCAGTGAAGTAGAACTTGCGCACGGTCTAGGGCAGCCCGAGTGCTTGATCGCCCGATCATGTAGAGACAATCATGGCAACGCTAGGTATCCCCGGGCGGTTTCGACGACCGGTGGCGTAGTCATAATCTCGACTCGATCAAATAGTAAAATCGGATTTCCTTGGAAACCCCGATGTGTTGCCGGCTAGTAGGTCCAGTGAATCGACTCAAACCCCAAACAGAACATATCATTTAGTTGCTCTGCAGTCGCCTAGCATAAAGAGTATTGAATGAGGGTGAGGTATTGATCTCAACTCTGGTAAATATGTTCCTCCTTGCCTTGCTAACCACGGCGAAGAAGATAACATATCCCAATTTATGCCAGCCTTCTTCCGCTTGTTGTGGATGGCTGCTTGTTATGTCCAGTTGGTTAACGACCCTGCATCTCCATCTTGCAGCCAAGGAAGCTACCGACTCACACAATACTGCCAGGACTCCTCACCACCCGTCAGGCCCCTTGATTCCCTTTCGGAGCAACACGAGGTTAGTATGCAAGTCAACTTGCTCTCCGTACCGAAGCACGTAGTCCACTCGGGTCTTCCAGCTGCGATATCCTTTCCCATATAGCTGCTCGACTGTGAGATCATATGGGCTAACCAAATATCGGCCTATGTCGGCTTGCACACAACGAACATTGGTTTGCATCCGCTGAGGCCAGGGCACATCGTGTGGCCATCGAATAACCGCCGTCATAGGTTATAATAGAAATGTGGGTGAAATAGTAGGTCTGGGTATGAGATGCCGGGTCGCGCTCTTGCAGGAGTGAGTTGTACGTCGTGTAAAAGAAAGGAACTTAAACACCCAAGAGAAACAAAATGTCCACACCAAGGCTCGAGTGTCCAGTTGTCGGCCAGAGTGCTGTCTATCAATTGTGGAATCTTTGACATGGCGACTTCGAACCCCCATATCGTGCCTCTTCTGAGAAACGACAGTAGAGGAGGTAAAGACAAGCCAGGTGTGGAATGGCCTGTCAGATTGAGGAATATAAGGCCGACGAAGTCGACGAAGGCGACGAGGGCAAAATCACCCGCATGAGCTCGCCTATCAAGTAACAACATAGCCCGGTTAGAAAATCTGTCATTAAAGGCAGAGTAGATTGTATAATGCTCCATGTTAGCCGAGGATGAGAGTATATGAAGCGCCGAAGTCGTATAGAGCTCCTCGCCCCAAGGTTTGGGACCGGATCTGCCCCGTTGTAAACATTGACATCGCGTTGTGATCCGGATGGAAACACGTGCTTTAGGCTCACTGACGTTGCCTATCAGAGGAACGCCTTATCTCCCGGCTGAAACCTCTTCTAGGCCAGCGTCCCTTTATAGTTTGCAGGGTCCAAATGCGGCACAATAGTGGTAGCGACATTGACCAAGCGGACGGTGATAGTGTTCAAGAGCCCGATCCTGGCAACAAATAGAGCGTATGAATAGGCGGGTGTCTGGTTCCTCCCAATGTGGGTCGTTGGAAGAGGAGAACGTTGCATGCCCTACTCCCATGACGTTTGAAAGTCGATCCTGGATTAATCAATCGTATATCTCTTCGTCGTCGAACGTAAATTCTGCGTCAAGTGGCGTCTAAAACAGCAGTGAGTTGAAAGGGGTATTGATTGAGGTCGAATTTGGTTTGGTGCCTGAACGTCAATGAATGGTTGAAAATGGACGTCAAAAGCCGTTTCCATCCAAGGTTCCTTGCTTGGACTTCCTCCTACATCAGAGGACTATACCCACCGTCAGTAAATATCTTCTTTTTGGTCAGGACCTATTGGTTTCTCACCTCGACATAGGGGTCACCTCTCACAAGCTTAACTTGCTTCAAAACGAGTCGAGATACCCTTGGGATATTGTCAGCTATCCTTTGTCTCCAACGCCTAGTGGTGGATAAATGGACTCTTTCTAAAACAGTCTCGTTGATGCCATCAAGTCCAAGCCTTGTGCTGAATTGGCGAAAACATGATTGTATAGCTTCCCATTTCCGATACGGTTCGGGTCGTGATGCGAAAGGTAGAGACTGCCAGACACCAGTCAATCTCCACCAGGAAAGGTGGCCGGTCTCACGCTTTAGGATTACTGTCCAAGCTGCTTGATACTCCAAGGAATACCGAGTCAATGGCTTGGTAACCTGAGCACGTCCATCGTGTCCTAGGCTTAGATTTTGTAGGAGCCGAATTCATGTTTCCAAGTTTTGGGCACCAATGCCATGCAGAGTGATCCATTGCTCTTGGAGTCTCTTCGGGTATGAAGCTGCGGTGCCCTTCAGCAACATGGCGCGGATCACCTGCAACGCATCCCGAGCATGAGACAGCGGTGGCACTGCGAAAAGAGTCAGAATCGCATAACACAGAAGCCCTGGGAGACTAACACACATCCAATGACGCCAGGACATGATGTTCTTGGTGACAAATAGAGTTGATGTTCGCGATCCAGTTTGGAGTTTCTGGGATCCTTCGTTATGGGCAGCCAAACACTAGCACGATAGCGCAGAGCTACTTGATATCAGCATTAATTCAAACACAGTAATGCTTGGGGAGATAAACATACCACGATTCGATCACCTTGCTGGCATCCACGGATCATTTCGAGTCCCATGGATGCCCAGCTGTTGGAGTCACGGTCATAAACGCAGATAGGTGCGCGCAGTCTCCTTAGCCCCAGCAGTTCTGGACTAGGTATTAGTTTAGTATTGTTAGATTTCACGAGAGCATGGTACATAACGACGTACCTTGTGAGCTCATGCCCGGGACCTCGGCAGGGGAATTGCTCTCGTCCCACTCTGAGGTGGTGGATTTAATGCAGGTAGCTGGGTCTCTGCAGCCACATGGCAGCATCTGGTGCGCGGGAAGCTGTTCATGGATTCACGCAATTCAGACCACTGATGTTGTCGATTCAATGAAATAAATGAGGGAGCGTTTGAAGCGAAGCTGTGAAGACGAAGATCAAACACCATGAGATAACTTCCCTTAAGGCGAGCCCATAATGCCCCGAGATAATGCTGTACACCTCCCCGGCAATGCTGTCTCCCAGCTGAAGGTGGACCTCGTTTCTCCAAGGACATTTAAAAATGCGAAAGCGTCTGGCGTGATCGTGCGAAGCCAGCGCAATATGCTCATTTCTCGGGAACAGCCGTATGAGACACTGGATGTAGACAGCCTGTTCGCTTTCTCGACATTTGCTAGGCCAATGGTAGTTCGAGAAGTGACGAGTTTGCCTCATATGTGGAGAACATCGACCTCTACATTGGCCACGTATGAGCTTTGCTGTTCATTTCAGCATAAGTAGATTCGCCAAATGTCTCCTGCCATTGGTAAGGACGTATCGTACGCTGTTTGGACACGGGATACTGACATAACTGGACAGAGGTCCTAGACGATAGTTGGCGGGATCACTTATCCCGCCCTGGCCGTGGACACCTCCGCCCTCTAACCCCGCGTCAACAAGGTTGTGGCGACTGGAAGCACATCCAAGTTAGTCATTTGATCTGTATAGATAGGGGACAATGTGCATGCCTGTTTTGCTCGTGCCGAAGTCCAGGCCGACAACCAATAGGTCAGTCACAGAATGCCTTCCCGATCACGCTGATGCGTAAAGTGTAGTCATGAGGGAAGGATGATAATCGGGGGTTACAATGCGATTGCTGGGAAACGATGATCTAGCTATCCGCAATCACCACCAGCATTGGTCAGCGGTGAACGCTGGCATGCTATAATGACAGATAGAAGGGCCGTCCGGATCCAGATTTTGAAATCGGAGGTGGCACCATAGTTGCATATAGCTAAAAGAAGACTTAATGTGGCATCTGGCATGTCTTCAGGCGCTCTTTGGCTAGAGACATGGCTTCTGATGTATCGCTCGTAAAGCGGCCGAGTCTTCTTAACGTCTCAATGATGACGAGGCTCCAATTAACGCATGCATTCGTTGAGAACATGCAGGGTATTGGTCGCGGACCTTCACAAAAGCCCGAAACCATACGGGCGATGGGTGATTGGCAGGTACTGTACCTCGTCAGCATCGATGCGGCATGCCTTTCCTTCCCGGTAGGTTATTTCCTAGCTGGCATGTTCGCGAACAGGTAGGATTTATGCCACGAAAGGGCTAGGAGGTGGAGCTGAACAAAGCTGAGGGAACGGAGACAATATGTGCCCAGGACAAACTGTTCCGTCGTCAGAGGGATACCTAATTAGCCACAAATTACCGCTCTCTTAGCATCCGGAGATCGAATTCCGAAGCCAGAAATCGTATGAAATTGACTCCTGCGTTGTCGTCATCTTCCGCGACCCGCCTGGCAAAAAGGTTGATTAATTATACTTATTTAGGGATTGTCAGCAGGGACAAGCTCCCTCAATGGGACCCTTCGACATCAACCATGAAAAAATGGGGAGACAGTCGAGGAATCATCATTGCAGGCGTCGGTAATCTCGATTCGGGACATCACGATCCATGTTTCGGCATTGTTGTGTGAAAGTTCGACGGCTAACGGCCAGTTACTGTTGAGGATCTCTGAAAGTGACCGGTCTTCATATGTTATCTCGAAGAAGTACATTCCCGGTCTCTCGTTCTTTCCGAGATCCCGATATCGGTTTAATGGTAGTGGGGAACGTCACACTTGGTTCTCGCGGTTGTGCTTCAGTTCAGATTTTCGTTTGAGATGCTTTTGAGAAGCGTTAGGAATGCGTTTTTCTGGAGTGCCCAGCGCTGATACATACCTTATATTCTTGAACAGCATTCCTCGATGAGAATTGCGTGTGTAGGCCGCTAGTGGTTCGGTAACCGGACATCGCTGGTAATTGCATCATCATATGAAACATTTCGCCACTGCCTCGCTTGTCGTTGCCCTGTTAAAGAGGGTCGGTGACAAAGGATCATTGGGTCTTCAGAAGCGACAGATTGTCGGGGCTGTTAGGGTAATACTTCCTCAGATCAGAATCCAGAGGACGATGAAATAGTTGGCCGGGGCTTTGTGTCATTTCACCGTCTCGGAGTGCCCATGCTGCTTGAGAGAAAAGTGATCTCCCCTGGTTTCAACGTTGAGTCACGCGGTCTTTGGAATGGCATTTTCTGTCCTTGATATAGTATAACAGGTAGGACCCAAACTAGAAGCTCGAGGCCGCGTTCAAAGACAATACAACGGGGACGAAGGTCTATTGGCTTAATAAGACCTGAATCTAGGCTATAATAAAATTGTCAGTTATAACTCTGCACCTAGGCGTTTGGGTGCCCCTTACCTGAATCATCCCTGGATTCTAGAGCAACAAACTGTGGGATGTTGGTCACACGAGGGCCTTCTCGCCTTTTCCAACACATGTGGTGAACAATATGGGAGATTCGCAGGTGGTCCAAGAACAGGTCGACATCTTGTGAGGGATTTTGGCTGATTCTCGCGAATCCGTGATGCAGGAGATCCAGTCTTCAAGCCGCTGTCTAGGCGCCATAAAACTATCTGATTATGGGATAAGATCGCGAAGCCATTCCTTGCATCTATCCAGCAATTTGGATATCCAGGATACTACGAGTGATCGCTGTCGAGGCTTGTAACAAAGAATCACTGCAATGTTGTGATCGGCGCCATTCGAACGACAAGAGAAGCGTCTGCCACAATCATCTCATACCCACTAGCATGTGACTGATGGGATCGATAGGTTAGTCACATGGTTCAAGTTCGTCGTTCGGGTATATCGTATTCTCGCCGCATAAGACCGTCCAAGCACAAGCACCACACATCGTGGTCTAGGATCTTTGTATGAAGTCATCGTTGCTCAGCTGTGTTGATTCCGCCTCGGTGTAGACACCAATAGGGCGTTGCGTGCGTCGTCGACAGTTGATTTCATTTGGGTATACCTCCCAGTCACTCATCAACAGCAGGGCGTAGATCCTGCCCAACTGAGGCAATGGTTAGCTCATGACTCCACGATTTGATGGAAGCCAATATGGGGAAAGCCGTACATAGCTGGCAATGCCATCTTTAGCAATCCGATCAATCCAAGTGTACTTTGACGCAATCGAAAGTGTTTGCCCGGATCCATTTGGCTTTGATTCGCGCTGAAATGGTGATCAATGTTTTAGAGGCCAGAGACCTGGAAGTGATATAGGTATGGAAAGCCTTGCAAGTCGCGATGATGCATCATTGAGAGCCATGGCAGCAGTAAAAGGTTTGTGCCAATGTACGTCGCATGGATAGGGTGAGGTGCAGTTGACTGGTCCTGGCGTGAAAGTCAAGCACAAGTGTGATCCCTTGGTATCTCGGTGTTTGTGGCCCAAGCCGACACTGGGGCACAGAAGCTCTGGCGTAGATAATGGACAGTTGGCAGAGCACATTGTATCGGGAATAGACAGACACACCTATGTCCGCAGGGTATAAACGGTCGATTGGGCGTGCTAGCTGAGTCGATTGACCACGTACGGCGCCTGGCTGAATCTGCCCAGAAAGACCACGAGGGGTAGTGTGTGGCCAGTCTGCATGCTTCGGGGCCGACCACTGGTGATTGACCATGATGTCAGTAGCTGATGCGATCCATTGCTGGGAAGAAATCACTCACTGCCTCCTACCACTACCACAAGTCAAGTTATCAGAAGTGATACCGTTCTCCAGCTTTCTCGACGCCTGTTTCACCCGGCGACCCGACAGATTTGGAAGGACATATTCCTGGACTGCTGGTCCGCCCTCTTCTGGGTTTGATCCTCAATGGGTAGGAGGAGAAAACACACATATATAAATGAGGGGAGACACAAATTCTTAGTTCGATGACCATGAAGAAGACCGAAGCACGGGATCGAGGCTTACAAACCAACAACTGGTATAAAGAACGAGGAAAATGAACAAGATGTCAAGAGTAGTATGGGAAATAAATCGCAGATGAGCACGATGACCCCTTGGTCGGCATTGTTTGCGGCCTCAGCACCATCAGTCTCATCGTGTAGCATAAGTCGGAACAGAAATTTCCTGATGGATATGCCCTCTTACATGCCAACATCGCCATCAAATCCCCTGCGTAGCACAAAGACAAGATAAATACAAGACAAGTCAATCGCCATGGACTGCGTCCTTCTTGCAGGCTAAGAATCCCCTGCGAAGGATGCAGCCTGCCTATCGCTATCGCCTTCAAATCACTGGCATCAAGCGCGACCTGGCGTGATGGTATATAGAGAACAAGCCACACATTATAAGCAAGAAACATATATATGGAAGAAACGAAAAGGAACAAAGCAAAGTAATGAAGGAAGCAAAGAAAAGAACATACTATATATATGAGGAGGAAAGAAGAAAGAGAAACGGACAAGTTCGCGAGGGACCCCATATATAGCTTCGAAGCGATACCACGGTGATTGCACCACCTCCTATGACCAAGTCCCAAAAATAATCGAGAAGCGAACAGTGTGGTCAAACCTGGGGGAGAGTCGCAGTATCCCAGCTGGAGTGGACAGAGGGGTAGAGTCCAGGCCAGACACCCAACGATGTCAACAAACGGGGGCAGTGTCTTGTGCGACGCCCGGCAGCAAGAGAAGAACTGGCCCGACCTGGCCATCGATCGGGGGATCGGACCTGTCAGTGAAGGCCAGTGGCCCTTGCAGCTGCCGTGGCGGTGCTGCCGACAGGGATCCCGACGCCATCGGAGCGGATAACTGCAGCGCGCCATTGACGGCGGCCAGCTGGGCCGCCCTGGTTGGCGGCACTGGCCACGGTCGGTGCTACCAACGGGGTAGTATCGCGTCGCTAATGAGTTGCTTTCTGACAATCGGAAAATTCAAAGAATGCGATTCACCGTTGGGGACCGTCCCGACATGCCTGGGGTCGCCCTGTCAACCATGCGGCATTATCCGCACATACCATTATGGCGACGAGGAATGGAAGTCAAGGCTGAAGAGGTTGACAGCCTTCCTGGGTGGGCCTATCTAATCGCCCCTCTCTTCACACATGCCATGATAATCGACATTCCTCGTCCTTCATCTACGATAGCGATGCATTATCGATAGTGGTACTTACTAGTAATAGTGGTCCATTCATCCCAGCCAGGCAACTATATATATATTTTTATTAATCGCAACATAAAACATTACGAATTAACGTAATAAATAATCTAAGTACAGAAGGAAAGCCCCAGAATGGCAGTCCACGCCGGGAGTCTCGTGTTACCCCCAAAGGGCTGGGCTGGCCGGACCCCGTGCCATTGCGGTATAGATCGAAGAGCCATCAGGCTACCACGGGCCAACCATCGTTCCAGGTGAGCTGGTTCCAGCCGAATTGGTAGTCATCGACCGTCAGGCCAATGTTCTTGTTGGCGTAATGGTAATAGACAACCAGTCCGTAGGTCGTATCGTTCAAAACACCCCTAGTGCCCTGATTAGCATGCTTCCATTTGATCTAGGACTAGCTAGCTGGTCAGCCACCAGGAAGGGTGGGGACAAACTTACTGTCCACCTGGACCGAAGACGTAGTCGTGACTGGCCAGAACGGTAGTTCCGCCGCTGTTGGTGCATGCAACACCGTTCTGGTCGACCTGCACACGAAATTAACACCTCGCTCAATCTTCCATACAATCTGCGAGTCACTTACAAAGTCGCCCGTTCCCGTCTGGGATCGGCACACAACAATCCGGTACTCGTCTCCTTGGGCGGGCGGGCTAGAGATGTAATTCTGAGCCTGACCGGACGAGAAAGTAAGGTAGTAGTAGCCTCCACGCTCGAACATGAAAGCAGCCTCGATGGCATGGTTTCCCGATGCGTTGTAGGCCAAGTTGGTGGGCGTGCTGCCGCTGCTCGTCAGGGAGTCGGTCATCTCCACCTGGTAGATGCCATCCCAGTACGAGCCAAACTGGAGATAGGGGGTGCTGCCAATGGTGATCCAGTTGGGGTCAATGGCGTTGTACGGGGTGGACGAAGACGAGGTGACGCCAATCTCGCCATGGTCCGTCCAGGAGCCTACCTCGAGGGTGGTGGAGCTGGCAACGCCAATGGTGGAACTTTGGCTGCCAAGCGTAGAGCTGGCATAGTACATGTAGTAGGTGCCGTCAACGTAGTGCACATCTGGAGCCTGTGGGAATATTAGGTCTGAAGCCGGCCAGCGGGGGTGGTGGTATGTCAAGGTGTCTTACCCAGAGATTGGAGGCATTCCCCACTGTAACCTCCGAGCCGTCTGCCAATGCTACCCCAAGATCGGTCCACGGACCAGTAATCGAGCTGGCCGACGAGATGTGAATGCCTAACCCTGTCGAAAAGCGAAAGAACGTGCCGTCAGACTTGCGTTGGATGACATTGGGGTCATGGGCCCAGCAGGATCCCGAGCAGGCACCCGGGTCTGAGTAGGCGTTTGCCAACGCTACACAAAGCAGAAGGACAAACGAAAACATGACGGATGAGGCGGAGATGAGGGGGAGATGAGGGGAAGAAAGAAAAGGGGATCGAGTGAGAAAAAATGTCTGTTTTCGATTGAGGCAGGATACATTGTCAGTCGCGAGGAAGGGCCTTATATGTACAATGAATGGGCTCCGCCGGTGTACATCGGCAACTGTCACCGCAATGCTTGCAGAAGGCAGCCTTGCAAGTAAGGACCACACTAGAGATCCAGCTGAGCTTACGCATGCATTGACCTCGGGTCATTCTCGTAATTGAGGAGGGCTAATGTCGAGCGATACTCGGGGTTGACTCCCTTGCTGGCCCGGGTCCGACCAATCACGCCTTCGGAACTAGCTTTAACTTTAGGAGACTAGTTGGTGGTGACGAGGATGCTCCATGGATGTATCTGGCTCCTTTCCATGCAGATTGTTTGCATCGACGTGGATCCTTGACTGGATGGATGGATGGAGCTGCCAGCCTAATCCGTCGTGACGGCAATCAGGCAACGGAACAATTTTGGCTCTCGACGAGTAAATCCACAGCAGTTTCCCCCCGCGTTAGTCTTAGTGACAAAAGCAAAATATTATCTCCCAGGCAAATGCATGCAATCCGAAAAAAAAAAATAATAAAAATAAAAATCAAAACAATTGCCTAGCCAAGGTTTGGGGGAATTATAATTGTAGGCACCTGATCGATCGGCTGGTCTTCATCACATTACCCTTTTGGGACCCCATGACTCCTTCCATCAACCTCGGATTTCGGGTCGAAGAAGGAAAATCTCCTGAACCATCTCTGCGGTCTTTCTGGATTCTGGAATTTTGGAAAGATTATCCTCGGGCCGCCTCACTCACCGCACAAAGTACATACGAGGAAGGTACGCCGTCAGCCTCTTTGTTTGCCGTGGTGGTGCCTGCCTCATCTCCTCCCCTTTCCATTCACCCATTCATTCCCTGCCACATCCCCCACAAATACTTGGCCTGACGTGTCAATCCAAGTGCATTCTAGATGGGGGTGTCAAAGGCCACAAGTTGAGATTGGAGTACCGGGCTCTCCGCACGCGATGATTGGGTGACTGGATACAGATGACGGGTTGAAGGAGAGATTCGGTCGGCTTGGTCTCCTTAGCCCATCTTAGTCTTTCTTGGTCGCCCCCAGCGCTGGGCCTAGTGGGTGCCCCCAAAGCCTTTCGGAAGGCCATCGGTCGATCATGGACTAGGCCTGCCCAATGGGACCGGCCCGTCGAGTTGGGAGTCCGTGAGCATGGCGGAGCGACGCCAAAGCTTGCCATTTATTTCGGGATGTCGTGATGGGGATCCCCAGATCTGATGATTCATGGGGGTCACCTAGCCTGTCTAGTGACTTGCTACTCTCCTGCGAAGATCCTCCGATAACGTCCCCCCTGCTGAGGATCGCCTACCCGACAATGGGAGGAAAACTATGAAGAATGAGTGCCTTGGGGGGACGGTGAATCTTGTTTCCACGTCGCAAGCCACACCCCTTGCAGGGACCCGTCACGACTCATTCATGTCTGTTTTTGGGTATTTCTGCATTTGTAGGATCGATCTAAGCGCACAGCCCTCGTCCAAGATTCCCACAGCCTTGCTACCATTATGTAATCGGGGTTCCCCTCATCTTGGACCTGTCCCGATTGCCGTCCCAGCGGTCGGTTCAAGCCGTGATGTGCCAAGAGTGCCCGGCTTTTGAGATCGGACGGTACTGTGATGGCTTCACAAGGAGGTGGAATTGGATGGTGCACCTGGCATGGTCTATCCAGGATGGTGCGACCTGCGCTAAGGATGTCGTGACTCGTCCAAGGCACTCCTGAGGGAAAGGGGAAAGCGCGATAGCAAGCATCGCGGGTCCTTGTCTATAACACGCACAATTTATTGCCAAGGTTGACCGATTCGAAGTAACAAAGAGAGCGACATCATGGATGGTTTTGCCGGGTTGCCGCTCTCGTGTTTTGCCCAGCCGGCTGCTGCAAGGAGGCCCAGGAAGAAGTAATCATGACCGCATGCAGCATCCAGTTGACCAGTGATCAAGGGCTACGGAGCACTACTGACCGAATCTCACGGGGCACGACCGGGTTGCGGTGAACAACACGTTGCTGTCTTGATTATCTGCGATGCGCAAATTTCCACTTGATTAATGTTGTTGTCAAGGCCACATATCGTCGCGAATTGCAACGATAAGAAGGGATTGCGCCTTCTGGGGAATCTCCCACTCGTCCAGGGGCCGGGGTGGAGGAGACGGTTTTCCGCAGTGGAGATGAGCGTGCATTGCATGCATTGATGGAGTGTCTGGGCCATCATATGGCGCCAGCCGGCTTGGTGGGGACTGCGGAGGTTTTAGTATTCTCCGGAAACAACACTTATCTACCTACCTAGTGTTTAGTGTGTGTTAGTGATGAGTATTCAATAATCCGGGAGTTGCGAGCGGTTCCGGAAATTCCCCGTTGCAGGGGAACCCGACCAAGAATCGGACGCGTTGGATCTGGTTTTTGGGGCGTATCGATCGCCGCGATCTACTGAGCCGTGGTAATCAAGCCACTTTGCGACCATCACTCTATTCACACCACAGGAACCGGTCCTGACAACGGATTTTGAGCCCGCATTTATGACTGAAGCAAACTGTCAGGAAGCAAATACTTTCTAAGCGACGATTCTATATCAACCACGATCTCAACTTTGTGATATACCTGACAGCCACGCCTCTCCACACCCGCCATCACCCAAAGAACACCAATCCATAAAACCACAACACGACCTCAACAATAACCTAGCATGAGCCTACGTACAAGATCCAATAACCCACTGAGAACAACACAGAATGCAACACTCTCAACCAATCCCCTCTGCACCTGACCCTGATCATCCACCACAATCTATTTTAAGCACAGGCAGACACCAAGCAAGGGACACATCAATACACGAACTCAACTGTCACTTTCCTGAACTCTATCAACCGCAAGACACAAACAACCTCCCTTTCAAACCTTCCATCAATGGAGATAGATAGTCTTCAACTGACCCAACGATCTAAAAGACAAGTCTCATGCATCCTGCAGGGGCAACACCATTCATCATCGCGACCGAGTAATCTGCAGCAACTCGACACGCGTCCAACACATGGTTGTGGCTCCTTCAAGCTTCTTGCCCCTGACGATGAAAACTCTGGCTGGCGCGTTCCTGCAGTAGTTGATCGGAGGGAATTTGCCACTGCTGTTACCTGGTAGAGGGTGTTTATCGGGGAGTAGGTAAGAATTTAGAATAGATCGTAGCATACCTCCTGACTCTAACCTATAGATCGAGAATGAAATAGACAATGAGAGAAAGTAGAAGGGGCCGGCAAGCTCTATCCCTCGCTTTCCATCAAACTTCCATAAAGCTTAATCATACGCAGAGTAGAGTACTCCGTATATCCCTAACGATCCCCTGATCACCACCACCACCCACCATCAATATATCCACCCAAACCAAGCATCATAAACGTAAATCCATCCAGACAATCACAATACACACCCAAATTCATCACATATAATCCCCAAATCCACCCCCCTATATACACCCAGACGGTCTACCCAAAGCAAAACACCACCTAAACGGAAATGCACCCGATGACGCGTCCCCATCCGACACATCACGAATCATACGTTCCGATACTCAAATAAGCAACCATAGTACAGAAATACACTACATCATTAATAATAGCTTAGCTGTAACTCCTGGGTTGGATTCCCGCCTGCGAGGTTTATTTTTATTATGTTTGTGATGTTTGATGGGGTATTGGATGGGATGGGATGGGCACGCCAGCCACATACGGAGTATATTTACATACAGAGCATTAGTTAGTGTAGGATGGAGTTAGTGAGGCGGGCGGAGTACGGAGTAAGTATATTTGTTTATGTGACTTGATGGAATTTCTATATCTGTACGTAATTCATTGGATGTTGTCTTTGTTTTAGTAACTTATTGCATTTGCTCAGATGTATATTTTGGTTTGCTTGGAACATAGTATGTGGTCGGGCTGGCTCACATGAAGTCCCTGAACTATTATGAAAGCAAGTCAGAATAAAAAGCGTTCTAAGAAATTGAAACTTGGGGGGACTCGCATCAATCCAAGTTTTTAGGTAGGTCCATGCAAGTGCGATATGCCTGCTGATGCCGTTGACCACCAGCTCGACCTGCAAGTACTTCCGACGCAGACTACACAAAAGCTCTCCTTTTGAACCATACCGAGATATCTTGTTCAAACCTGGGACCGCTGTACGTATCGCGGAGTACCGAAAGAGCCAGGACATATGTAGGTATGGTTATGATGTTGATGATGGATACGTTCCCAATCAATTGAATCAGGGACGAGATGGGCTATAATCTTTCCCTGGTTGATTTGGAGCGTACTAGTGCCTTCTCGGAGCATGAGGCGAAGCTGTAGTGACTGGGTGTGGACAAGAATGGACTCGATTGGACATGAGCATTGCATACGGAAGGGAAATTTTGTGTCTAAATCCGGTGCAAACATCCTGTCTATGACATGCCATGGGCATCGTCACATAACGGCGCAAGTGACCACCATGTGTCAAGGACTCGGGTCGCGTATTGCTCCCATGTGGCATTTTTATCAAGTGTGTCTGGCAGAATTCAAGCCAGCACCGCAGCAAGACGTGCTAATGTGTTCTCTTCGCACTGCTTGATGCAATTGGGCTTGATGTCTTCTATCTTTAGCTTTTTCTCTTCTTCTTCTAGAGAATTAATGCCTAAGTCATCCGGCTGAGTGTGCTCGGTGTACACGCTTGGTCCCTCTTCGAGCTCTCGCATGTCCCTCTCGTCGACTGTGTTGAGTCTGCTTAGCTCATTCTGTTCGTCAAACCATTCGGGTTCACTTGATGTATTTGTGGTACGCCTGTAATTATGTCGCAGGATCGCCTATATGGCCAATGATGGCGGCTTTTCTCACAGTAAAGCCGGTTTATTCGATGGTCAATCCCAATAGCACCGTTGACGGCGGTCCAAATACATGACGGGAATATTTCTCCGGGGTCTGAGTGTCTTGCGAAGTACCGTCCAGCGGATGTTACCCGGAAGATTGCCATGCTAAAAATATCGAAGGGTAGGCCATAATAATGGTTCAGTCCCCAGTTTGCGTGCAAGATTCTTTGGAATGCACGTAGTATGTCGGATTCATAAACGAGTATCTCTCCTATACATAGCTGAGAGTAGCTTATTTGCAAAACGAAGGGACCAACATACATCATGTATCTTCTCTGAGTATGAATGACACGACATCCACACACAAATGGTTTCCCTGTCTCCATGCGACAGCAGGTCTTATGATTAAAGTCATCGTCGCAGTCCTTGAGCCATTCGGGAACTTTGTTCCACCATGTCCGGGGGCCTCTTTACAGAGACAAGGCCATTCCAGGATTTATATTTGGGATCCCCAATACGGCTTCCGAGCCTGTCATATGTACGTCAGTACAGTCTAGTCGAAGACACTTTTCCTTCCAGATGGAAACTGTTGGGGCAGATCACCTAGCAACCGGTTATCCTCAAGATCGCGGAGGATGCAACCTAACTTTGAGAAGAAACTTGATGTCCATAACTACTTGTCGTCTCTGTTCCACGGAAAATAGGACACGTGTGTCCAGTGGAAAGCCTATAGCACGAGCTTCTAGGTCATCTGTGATCACTGCAAACATGCGGCAGATGTCACAGTAAGTAAAGCGCTCTTGCAGATCTCTGACACTCCTGGTGCTTGAGTCAAGTTGTGGAAGAAGCTTTGTGTATGTAAGAGCAACATAATTTCCCACAAACAGTCATTATGAGAACTTCCCAGTCTCATATGTTTGCAAATCCTATAGGGCAGAGCGATGGGAATATCTCCCTAATCCGGACAAACTTTGTAGAAGTGGATATCCTGATAGTAAGTAACACTATTGATAGATTCACTGTATATGGGCACTCGAGTCTTTCGTTGAACAATTGTCACGTCCTCTAAACGGTCACAGCACAGAGGGAACAGGTGACTTGACCACCGTCGTCAGAATTCAACCAATTCTCACCAGGATTACGTGGCATCATAGAAGCTTCTGTAAACTATTACCTGCTTGGAGGACTGAAAAGAGGATGAATATATCCATCCAGGAGATATGTTGGAGCGGATAAACGCGCATCAGAACGAATAAACGACCTAGCATTGTAATGGTTTAAATTAAACTAATGCACGACACTTAGATAATCCGTAATGAACGGGCATATAGCCATGGGCATTGGCAGACTTCACGCTCCACATGCTTCCTACTTGATACCCCGCAGCAGGTGATGTGGCAAGCATGTGCCATCACGCCAAACAGGTCTAAGAAATTGAAGTGTGTCCAACCTGAAGGACGATAGGTGTCAGCTCCAAGAAAAGCCATTTTGAGTGACAGTATGAGTTAAGGTCAAGTTCTGAAAATAGATGTAAATAGTACTTGCTCTAGCAGGATAGAGATTCGAGATTATTTGATGCTCACCGCTTGAAAGATAGCCTGTGGGCAGCGATGTCTACATCCTTCTAGAGATAGCACCTTCACGAATTCTCATGTTGTTTCTTAGCACAGAGTCAGACTCTCTTGAAGAAGAAGAATCAAGCTGTTTTAACATTATCCTATCTAGCCAAGGATCAATGATCGCTAATCGAATCATCCGCATAGTCCCTACCATTATCATTATACAGTCCCATAATCGTAACCAATCGAACCAACACAAGCCTTTGGGCCAAGCATCCAGCTAAGCCTGATATACCTTGAAACTCTTAAACTCCCAGTACGCCTGGGTGAAATTGCCAGGGTTGCTGCGAACGAAGCTTTCGCATGTGCCAGGACAATGATACAGTTCCGTATAGAACTCCCGGTTGGCACCGAGTTGTCCGCACAGATCGATGTTTGCAATAATGCTTTGATTCTTGAAGTGCGAAGATATGTCGCAATGCGTGTTCGGGAAGTCAGCCAACGCGGTTCCCCAAGTCGATGGGTCTGGGGTGCTGCTCGAGTTCGAAACGTCGTCGGGAATGGAACTGCGTGGGAAGAACCAAGCTCGGATGCCAGCATCCCGCAATTCCAAAGCGTAGACCTATACCAGTCAACATCGGGAACTATGATTAAAGTATCGTGACTTACTCCACCGCCATCCTCGTTCATCTCTTGTCCATACGTGTTGGGCAAGCCTTGCACGCCACATCCCGCATTTCCATGCGTGCTATTGTCGCAGGTCACGTAATTAGGAGTACCAGTCTCCTTCCGCTTAACATTCATCTTACAACCGCTGGTTGTATGCAAGGTGACAGCATTTCCTTCCGTCGCGATGTTGTTGGTCTCCACCACATCAATTTCTCCATTTTCTGGCCAATTGTAGGTATCGGTTAGCCACAGCGCAGGCCACAACCCACAGCCGTAAGGCGTATGAAGGATGTCAAAGATAAATAGACCGGTATCGTAGCTCGTTTTCGACTCCAGTCGCACGGACTGTCGGCCATTGGTTGCGTTCTTGTTCGACGTGTCCACCTTCATCACAACGGATTCGTCGGTTGCATAGGTCAAATTCAGCGAGTTCGATGTCGAACGGTTGACATACCTACACGACATAAGCTAAGGTCAATGAATGCAGGATGTGCTCCGCCATACTGAACAAATCCATCGGTGGGATCTTCGCCGGAATAGTAGTCAAAACGGTCGAAGAACGAGGTCCCCGAGTACGTGTCTACCAGCTTGTAATCTAGCTTGGAGTAGTTGGGATATTTGCTCTTCTTTGTACCCTCGACAGCTCCAACAACGACTGCGATGATGATGACAACAGCCGCAGCTGCTATAATCAACTTTGTGCGTAGCGACCAGCCGCGAGGATGGTACCAGGGATAAGAGGCGACTGTTTGTTGTGCGGGTATAAATTGCCCGGATCCTGGAGGAGGGGGTGGTCCTGCGTGTCCCAGATCATCCTCCAGCTTGGGGATTTGAGCAGCGGTGCCGCCATACCTGAGATCGTTCCCGGGTACATAGTACTGCTTATCGGCCATTTTGGCCAAAGGCTTCCGATCGAACAGAGGGGGGGGGAAAGTGAGCGATGTAAATGTCGAAATGATATGGTTCCCGTAAGCTCCGAGTAAACGAATGTATGTAGCTAGTGAATTGATGGTGAAGAGTTGAGAGATAGAAGTCGGGACGGGATGTTGTCATCGAGAATGTGCGACGCAACGATCATGGCCTGATTAGGCAATCAGCAGTCACAGCCGTTGAAGCGATCATTGCCACGATAAGGAGAGGTCAACGCTTCTAAAGGTGCAATACAACGTGAACAGAGATAAAGGTGAGGGAGAAGAGTTCCAGAATGCCGCCATCAACTCAGTCCCGTATTCCTCGGATCCATTCGAGAGCTTATTATCTGTGTTGCATTGCATGTTTCCGAAACGAGGAGAATATGTTCTGTTTGCATGGTCCCTGGCAGCGCTAAACTGAGTTGGGAAGGTAGCCCCTGGACCCTGCCCAGATTCTGAGTATCGCCAGTCACCATGCCATTTCGTACGTGTATCTGAGACTCTAGAATTAGAAAAACGCGCCGGACTATAGTGTATATAATTAAGAAGAGCATCATCGCCTGAATCTTGGAGAGACGACTATCAATCGAGCAGTGGAAATACCTTGGCTGACCTGCCAAGCTGTTCTAAAATTAGTAACCACGGGCGGCCCCAACAAGGAACCCACAAATCGCACAATAATGAGGGGAAACATCCGCTGAGACATGACAGCACGACCATTAGTATTAGCAAACACCCCTCGGAGATCAGGCAGTCTATCACAGATGTACTCCTAGAATAATTGATTATACCCTGTGGTCTGTACTTGGGTTATATGTATAGTGCTGATCCCATGGCTATGCGCCGTATATTGTGGAGATTGCTGTAGTCTGCCTCCCAAATATTGATCCAAACCAACACTGCATACGGAGATAACAACATCTAGCAAGTTGATTCAACTATAACATCATGATAGTGAGCTCCATCAACCAAGAATGCGTCCGCTAGCACCATGCAACCTAAATCAAAATGGCCAAGCATAGCGCGAAATGACTAACAGTACCACTAGTGCCTCTGGGAAAAACGCCTTAAACCTCCGTGGATTCCAACCTTCATCATACGGCAGACGCTCTTCCCCAAAGACAGCTCGCACATAGTCGTCCGGGATCCCCTTTTTGACTCCCTTCCCAAACACGCATCGCAGAGCAGCCAATTCCGCACATCCAACGTAGTGTTCGAACTTTCCAAACTGCAGATGCGGATTGTCTCTCTTCTGCTCTCCATACCGCTTTTTCCGATAGCTTCCCATGTCGGCAGACCGAAACTTGCCCTCCTTCGCGGATTGAATAAACCGTCTGTATAGTTCAGGATCCAAGTGGATGCAGTCGCCCAATTCGCGATCCTGTCGGGTGATTGAGACATCATGTTCAAGAGCATGAGGACGGCCGACTTGGTCTAGGTTGAGTACGGGGACTCCGTCTTTGTTCACTTGATTTGGGTCGCGTAACCCAGCTCTTGAGCTCCCAGGTGGACCGTTTTTTGGGTCGTCGGAGTGAACTTGAAAGACACGGCTCACGAGAGCGGAGGCTATGTCTAAGCCAAGCCCGACATACTGGACGGCGGCTTTTAGCTCAGAAGCGGTGATATCCTGTCCGTCACGGGCGATAAAGCCATGGTTAGCAAGGGAGTTGAGTACAGGGCATGGAGAACGTAAGTCTCCTGGTCCCGCGGGATGGTATTGACCCTTCTGGAGCGCCATTTCTCGATGATGAGGAGGAAAGAATAGAAGGGGGGGGTTGAAGCCAGCATATTTGTTCTGGTGATGGGCATCACGATGACGGGAGGAGCTGAAACGGCTTGGGAACAGGTGACAGCCATGCCTGGGAATGCCTGGGGGCTTGGTCACGAGCATCCAGCCCGGTCTTACTTCCACGCCTCACCTCCCGCAATTCAGTCAAGGTGGATCAGATTCGTTATTCGCTCGTCTATCTTAGCATGACCGCGATGTCTCCAGGAATGATCTTTCAGTTATTTCTATCCACAAATCCCTCGAGCAGGTTGTTCAGCTCTTGCTCTCTCTCCCAGCCTAGCATGTGGCCGCTACCCTCAAAAGCCTTCCATTGGATTCCCTCCCCGATCTCCTCGCGTATTATTTCCCCATGACGGAAGGTCAGCATCAGATCTTTGGTGCCATGGCAAACGAAGATCCTCTCTCTCCCCACTTGGTCCCCCAGTGACTTCAGCTGCTCCGCTGACTTTTGATGGAAATAGCAAGCCACAATCTGCATGAGAAATCCTTTCTTCGTGTGCGCTTCGGTGTCAGCACGCTTCTGCAGCATGGCAGCAGCAAAGCGATCCCGCTTGGTCGGAAAGTTCATCGTCGGATCCTCGTACTCCGTATCTGGCTGGGCAAGAAATTCGTCTGCGAAAGTACTCTTTGCTATTCTCTCCAGCTCTACGTCAACATGGCGGGGAATGAACATGCTCGCCCGTTGACGCAAGTTTTCGAAAAACGGACCAGTCCGGACAACACGCGGAGCTGTGCAGCAGAGGGTTAGACTCAACAGGCGATCGGGGATGAGCATTCCAATCTCTTGGGCGATCATGCCGCCCATACTAGCGCCGATGACATGGATCGATCGTTTTGGAGGGGCGCTGAGGTCGATCCAGCCCAGCGAAGCGACCAGGTCTACGGCATCCTGAGCCATTTCTGATGTGGAATAATAACAGACCGGCTTGTCCGAACGACCAACGCCACGGTTGTCAAAAATCAGACACGAATATTTGGAAGCATGCTGGTGGCCAAAGTACTTCGTCTGACGCTTCCAGTCTTTGAGGGATCCGTTGAGGCCCATCACCCACTCGAGCCATGTCAGTACTACCACAACCGGATGGATTGAAAATACTGCTCGGACTTACAACTAACTTCACGGGCCCAGAGCCATGGATCTCATAATTCATATTCAGGGGCCCACCGCGCCTGGTTTGGGCCACCGTACATGTTCCCGATGTGGTGGGATGGAGCTTCCAGTCGACCGTATTGAAAGCAGGATGCTTGATGACTTCCTCTGCAAGAAGTGGTGCCATTTTCTAATTTCTGAATCTCTATTCCGTTCAAAGGAATGATCACGACAGGTCTCGCCGGGATGGGCGTGGGCCAAACCTGGGCAGCTGCTCACATGTCCCGTTTTTCTTGGCAGGAATGATCCGAGGCCGCCCTGTGATCCATCCGTTCCTGTCGATGATTTCATTTCCGCCTTGGTGCCTACCCGACAGGTACCCTCTTGCCTACACGGCCACATCTGCTCTTTGACGATGAGGGCGATGCCTATCATCGTGATGAAATCTAGACTTCGTTCTATTTATCTCCTTCGACATGGCATTGAAACATAATCTGATGTTACAGATGCATCTCGCGAACTTGTACGGAGTACGCGTACGCATGCATCGACAGAAGCTCTGTATGCTATGTGATTCATCTGGATGGATACACAAAGTCCCCCTGATACATAATTGCCAATGTTTGTTTACACTGGTGGCAAGGTTCGATTTCGCTCGCTTCGTGACGTCTCATGAACCCCGAAGTGTGGGGTACGCGTCCTCTTCAGAGCAATCGGGGGGGGGGGGGGGGTCAATAAAGGATGCGCCAATACGATACCAGAGATACTCTGTGATATCAGCTCTTTATGTTTAATGGTGATGCCGTGGAACCTCATAGATGACGAATGATTCCTACCGGGCGAATGTTTCTTCTGGGAAGTCAGAAGTCAACATCAGACCCCTGAGGATAGTCGTCCACGTCTCTGAAAGACAAACTTGCTACGCTTCATTTCAGGGGATAGTTGCTGCCTACAATCATGTTCAGATACTGACGGGTGGTGCAGATGCTGTCTCCAAAGGGCCTGCACAGCAAAAGAACCGCCACCAATGCTGGAAGGATATACACCTTACTGAGAAGCGGAAGAAACAAAGAGAGATCCAGCTAGCAATGTGAGAGTAGCTGTGACTGGGTGGGTTAAGACAGTTTGATTTGTGCCTCTACACGCACCTGGATGAGGTGCGTCATAGGATTTGGTGGTGACACAGGTAGGAATGGTCGTCTGCCGCATATAAAGACTCGCTAGTACATGCGATTCACCTAGTTATTAAACCATCAATCAATCGATCGTCCATTTCAATCCTAGGAGCGCCGTTCTTCGTGGTCCTTTCAACAGTTCCTAAGGCGAGCCAGTGACAGACAAGACTCATTACATAGCACTTCTGCCTACAAGGCGTTTCGACATGGTGTGCCACTATAATATCCACCAGATCTGCTTAGCATCGACAATAAGTCCGGCTAATCCGGTGCATCCCAAGGCATCCTCGCGAGAAATTCAAGATCAACAGAATGAGTCTTTCAACTCCAAATTGGAGGCCCTCACGGGTGGATATTCAGGGATCATCAACAATGGCTCTCCAAATCCACTACTCGTCCCCGCAAAGCTCCACCGCAGTGTTGCTAGGATACACGAAGCACTTGTCCTTGGACTCACCAACATAGTCGAGAGATGGTGTGCAGACGAACAGGCAGTGTTCTCTCGCCGCATGCCGCTGGAACCGCATGAGGAGGATCTCTTGCGTGTATGTTACCTCTCAAATGCGAATTTCGTATGCTAATTCGCATATTCTAGTGGTTGCATGAGCAGGCCTGTGAGAAGAACTTGCGACAATTCTGGGAGTGTCAGGGACATTGGCGAACTGACTTCTTGCTGTCCGCTGAATGGCCTCGAAGTCTCCAAATTTGCGAGATCAACACACGATACTCGATCAATGCCCAGCTCATAGCCGCGTATGGCTACGAGGTATATGGCCAGATGGCATCGGAACGAAGTGTGTTTGCAGCTACAGATGCTGAAGAGGTATGCATTAGTGTGATTCTTCCCTCATTAGCAAACCTGACGTTCATAGTTTGTTCAAAGCCAGCTAGAACTTTTTGATTCGCGGTTCCCGGTGCACATCATTAACGATCAACATCTTACTTCTTTTGTCGAGATGTTCGTTTCCTACGCCGAGCGGAATACGGGGTTGCAGCCCACCATAGTCAAGCCGTCTGACCTCCGACTGGTGCAGGATCATGAATCTGCGACTGGCCACTCCCTCTACTGCAAGTCGACGCGCGAACACCCTGACCTTGTTGAGAATGGCGAGCCTCTGGATCGGATCTACCAGACGGGTATGTATCTGCTTCCGCACGAGCTCCGCTCCATGCCAGTGGAGATTCTACGCCAGCTAGCCTTATGTTGTGTCAACGACATGCGAAGCATCCTTTTGATCCACGACAAGAGGATTCTGGGTATTCTCCTTGAGGAACTTGACAGCCTTGTCGAACAGCATCGGATCCTGACCGCGGAGCAAGCCGAACTACTCCGGCAAGGCGTTGTGCCGACAATCAATCCGGGGTCGGCAAAGCTGGAGCAATTCATTGATCAATGCACGAAGACAAATACCGCCAATGATTCCTACATCATCAAGCCAGTGCGGAGTGCTCGAGGCGAAGGGATTCTACTCGGCAAGGAGTTATCCCCAACCCAATGGGAAGCTCTTCTGATAGACATGCGCGATCCCAAGCTTGCCCCCGGTCGAGCCGTGTATATCATCCAGCCGTTGATCCGACAGTCGGTCTTTGAGGTAATCGATCATCGAGGCGATTCCCAAGTCTGCCCTATTGTTGGTTGTTCTCACCTGGCGAATGGGAAGTTCACTGGCCTCGGATGCTGGCGGGCTGGAGGGACCGAGGTATGCAATATGAACAACAGGGCATTTTGGACGATGGGGGTTGTTGCCCGTCCTAGTTAAATGTTCTCGATGCCTGTTAAGGTCTGGATGAAGATACATTGAAGCGGGGGTACTGAAAAAGCAATTACCATGTGCTGGCACACTGGCAAACTATCCCACACAAAATGTAGCGTCGAATTACTACTTCTTATTTCTCATGAAGTCAAAAATGGCATACCATTGGATGCCATCGCCGAGGATTCGGATGTTGTAACGTTATCACTCTTATCAGGCCGAGTGACTCCAAAATGCGGGGATGCCTGACCCACCCTCTCCAACTCGCCGTCATAATATCCTCATCTCGAACACCCATGCTATGTTGAATCCTCATCATCTCCCAACTCACAATGGCACCCAATCACCGCGTCGCCGTCATTCAATGGAACATCAAGGTATGCCTCAACCTACCAACTTACCCCCTTTTAATTCAACCAACTAAACAAACCCCAGGACCTCGCCATCGACGAGAACCACCAAAAAGCATGCGCCTACATCTGTGATGCCGCATCCCAGGGTGCCCAATTGGCCGTCCTCCCTGAGTACGACTACCTTCCACTCACTCCTCCTCCTCCTCCTCCTCATCACCACGTTTTAATCAACCCCAAATCAAACCAGATACCACCTTACTGGCTGGTCACCCTCCAATCCCGAATGGATCGCCCTCGCCTCACAAACAACCCCCTACCTAACGGCCTACCAAGCCCTCGCCCGCGATCTACACATCTGCATCGTCCCAGGCACCATCGTTGAACACCACCCCTCCTCTCCCACAGCTAAAGATGATGGCCCCCTCCTCTACAACACCGCCTACTTCATCTCCAACGACGGGACCATCCTAGGCCACTACCGCAAAAAGAACATCTGGCACCCAGAACGCCCCTTCTTGACATCCTCGGGAACCGACCCGCACGAGGCATTTGATACCCCCATCGGCAAGGTCGGATTACTGATCTGCTGGGATCTGGCCTTTCCCGAAGCATTCCGGGAATTGATTTGCAAGGGGGCAGAGGTAGTAATTGTACCTACTTATTGTGAGTATCCCTCACCATCTCATCACTTCCCTACATAAAGTAAAGGCACTGTGACATGAAGATCAATGCTAATTAATTACACTAAAGGGAGCAAATACGACGCTTCCCCCGCCGCACTACACCATAACCCCAACTCCGAGAAACTCTTCCTAGAGACAACTCTCACGGCACGATGCTTCGAGAATACCTGCGCCATCATCTTCGCTAATGTAGCCCGCGGTGAAGAGGAAAGTGATCGTTTCCTCGGCCTGTCGAGGGTCTGTTTGCCCGTCATCGGCACAGTAGGGGCAATGGGTCCCGAAGAGGGAGTGCTAGTCATGGATATGAACATGGATGTTGTTCGGATCGCAGAGGAGAATTACCGAGTCAGAGAAGATCTGAATCGTGAAGGATGGTATTATACCTATCGGCATCAGAGTGTATAAACTACGGTGAAAGTGAGGTGAGGTGAGATAAGGTGACGCAACGTCCCATGTACATTAAACTACCCCATTCCTCTTCCTATTCCCGATTTCTTATCGCCATTCCCAACTCACGTCCAAGTGAGGCTTAATGATCCCCTCCACTACCACTACCACCTCCTCTCAAGCATCCATAAACGCAAAGCAAAGTCAAAACAACGCAAAACCCAACTCCCCCAGACCTAACCCCCCTACCCCCCAAAGCTATAAACCACCGAACAAGCCCCATCTTCCTCCAACTGCATATCATTGATAATCTGATGCACCCACGGCGGACGATGCTCAAAAGCCTACCTCACACCACAATTAGCCCTTCCCTCACCTAGCACCACAGAACCACTTCAACCACAACACTCACCCTTGTAACGCGCACACCGGGCCCAACGACCCCGTCACAGACGAGGCAAAACGGGGCATTCAGACGACGCGCGGCCCCGAACACAGCAATTGGGATCCAGGATTCGCGTGGGCAGAGGTCGATGGGGGGAGGGGCGAAGCTGTCGGGGTCAGCGAGGGGGGAGGTCTCGTATAGAGAGGCGAGGGTGCGAGGCCAGCACTGGTAGATGAGGGTGGAGGGGATGACGTGCTGGGGGGAGGCGGAGCAGTGGTCGTGGATGAAGCTGAAATTGACGGTGAAGCACATTCTGTGGTGGTGGTTAGGATTTGGTGAGGTAGAGGATGGGGGAAAGGGGGGTACTGACTTTGCTACCTTCAATGGTGGAGGTGAGGTTGGAGTTGAGGTGTGAGGGAGGTTGTTTTGAGATGTTGGAGATGTATCTTCACGTGTAGAAGAGAGGGCAGAGATGCAAGATGAGATGTAGCAACAGGAAGACAAGCTGAAGCAAAAGCAGAGCAACATCCAAGTGCTGAACTAGAGTGATATGAGATGAAGATGAAGACAAAGGGGAAGAAGAAGAAGAAGAAACAAGAAGAGATTCCTCTCAGGACAAAGATCTATACTCCCTTGATGCAATCATTCACTGCACTAACACCATCACTGAAGCTGCCCACCTGACCCCTCTCTTACACTGCACCCAATCTAGCACTTGACATCCTACACCTACTGAACTCAAGTACATCCAATTTGTGATCATATCAAATGCAATGCATGCTTTATACAAAGTGTATCTAAGGTGAGAGTCAGCACAAACGCTCATTGGCTGATGAGATGACGCTAACAGCGGGATGAGTAGATAGGATCTACTGGAAACAGGCGCTAATGATACGTATGGGTTAGCGTGCTGATTATCGGCACGTGCGTGAGATTCAGTGGATTCAATGTTTGAGATTGATTCACTTCTCACTGGGTTCACTCACTTGAGTGGATATGGAAGAAGGATAAAGGATTTGTTTATGTGACAAGGTGATCGCTTTTCCAATGCACAGTAACGTGAGTGTGAGAATGAATGAGTTGAATGATATCATGCTCAACAGCAAGACACAAGCATTAGGATAAATTAAGCCATCGGCTATCTACAGCTACTATACATCGCATTAAGCAGCAACCGTCTGAATTCTAAGAAACCGCAATCATCCACAATCATTAGGCGATACAAATTCGTGAAATCTCGACAACCTGACATCCATGCCGCCCAGGACCCTGGTAGAAGAAATATAATCAGGAATAACTCCTCCGACACAGACCCCAAAAGACTGGCTCCTGCAGGTCAGAAAGCAACCGGTGTATAGATCAAAACTAACCATCCAACCCGCCCCTTACTGCACCTGACTGACGATCTCGCTGGCCCGGGACAAACTCTCCACCATCTGCTGGCACTCCTTCCTCCGCCGCACCGTGTAGTCGCTCTCCTTCAGCAGGTCGTCCAGCTCGCTGTTGCGGTACATATTCTCGAGGAGTTCGCGCTGCATCTCATCCTTGGTGAATCTAGCACAGGTTAGCGGAAGACTTGGGTAGAGGGAGTGGAGGACACATACTGGACAAGGGTGTACATGATGGCTTTCGGGACCATATCGATCATGGTCCGCTTCACGATGTTGAAGTACGACGTAATCAGGAGCTCTGTTGATCATTAGTATCGGCCTTCGTAGGAACCCACTAGTGCAACACTTACTAACGACCTCAACTTCCACACTCTCACGCTCTGACAAAGACGCGGACGCCTTCAGGGTCGGCGGCGGCGGCTCCATGGCGGCCATCTTCTTCTTGTTCTTCGAAGCCCAGAAACTGCCGAAGAATCCACCAGAGTTGCCATTGTCCACGGGAAGCTCAACCGACGGGCTGTTGGCCCGCGGAGGCAGAGGCTTACCCGTCTTTGGGTCGACCTGAGTAGGCTTTCCACCAGATTGGCGCTCGTTGACAATAGTCATAGCCTATACTGTCAGTACATAGCAGAAAGATGGAAGATCAATGGTACTTACGCGGTGTCCGTTGAGGAAATCCGGGTGTCCCGTGTTGATATAGCACGCCTCCATGGAGATCAAGTCGTGAACCAGCTTGTTGGTCGGCTCCATGCACTTCTTGAAAAAGCCAACAACCACCGCATGGAACTTCTCCTTCAGCATAGGATACCTCCGGAAAAGTTGCTTGTTCAGGAGCTGACCCAAGATGCGGACAAGTTCATCGTAAACCAGCGAGATACACTTCAAGCTGGGGTCCTCCAGGCGCTTGATCTGCTGCTTCACGATCAACTCAAAAGCAGTCGTGCCAACGAACAGTGCGGGAGAGGGACCAGACGAGTTGTAGAGAATGGTTCGGATGTCAATGTCCTTCACATGGTCGAATGGGTCGACCGCTTTGACACCGTTGGAGTAGAGCTCATGGAACACAAAGCTGATACGAGCACCACCCGAGAGTTCGATGCTGGACAGCTCCTGGTTGCTTCCCTCGAGCACCGTACGGTACTCATTGCTGAATTCCGTGATGATGTTCAGGATGATATTCGCACTGTTTCCGAGCATCGAGTCGCCAAGTTGCGACAATTCCGAGGTGTACTTCTGGAGAGAGGAAGAAATGCGCGCCTTAATATCGGGGAGGGTTTGCTTGATGTGCATCATAAGGATCTACCAAGGTTAGCCCGGATGCTGCACCACAGCCTTCGACCACACGTACCAGGTTCAGCTTTCTGGCAAGGTAAGGCGTTCCGCAGTATGAGGCCTTGTTCCGGTAAGCCTTGTGGTTTTCGAAAAAGTTCTTCTCGTGCTCCAGGGCATATGTAATAGGCCGCTTGTTCTCGATATCACGCTGACCACGGTTGACGACCGGCACGTAACCCAGACGCAGAGGGATAATCCTGCCCGCAAGAATATCCACAACATCGGTACCCTCGTCCATCAGATCCACCTTGGTCAACACACCGATCGTACGTTGACCCTCCGGGTCTACTTCCCGCGCCAGCTTCAGACCGTCCGAGTTGGCCAGATCTTGATTGGCCGAAGTGACCGCCAGGATGATAGCGTTGGGCTTGCTGATGTATTTCAAAACCATGTCCCGGATCTGACGCTCGATATCCTTGGGCTGGTCACCCACAGGCACCTTGGTCAAACCGGGCAAGTCGACCAGTGTGAGGGTCAAGACATTGGGCGAGTAGATACGCAGGTTGATTGGAGCAGGCGAAATACCGGCGTTGCGACCGACCTTGGATTCGGTCTCGCGGACAATCTCCTCGCGGATCTTGTTGAAATCGTAGAACTTCTGACCGGGGATGTGGAGGAACTCGCCGTACTCGTCCAGGTTGGCCTCCTTGTCCGTCGTCTCCAGGGGCTCTTCCTTGACGCCATTTATTTGCGAGTCAGCGGGCTTGTTGATCAGTTGCAGGACGAGGGGTCTCCGAGTGACAATTCCGGAACCACGGGGCAGGCTAGGCAGCGATAAGGGTGCCAGTTAGTCGGCTGCGACCACGACAACGATGAGGACCAGAGAGCCACTTACAAATCGCGGCCGACAATATTCTCTAGGACAGAACTCTTTCCACTAGATTGCGAACCGACGACGGCAATCTGGGGCAGGTCGATGGGGTTGTGAACCTAAACGGAATAGGCGGTGTCAGTCGGCGGAGGGGTTGCTTGCAGCTCAGCTCAGCTCCACGGCTCCATGACTTACCCCGACAGTCGAAAAGACATCCTGCAGCTTGTTCACCAGCGAGATCAGGCTGGGATCGTTGACATTTATCCTGCGGGCACCATGAGGTCAGTCAGCCGAATCGGAGGCATCAGCACGAGGGACCAGGGGGGGCGGGTTGCGCACGAGAAGCCAGTCGGGCTTGCCATGGCTGGCAACGCAGAGCAGGGGACGGTCGCTCCAAATTAATAAAAGGGTTGGATATAGAGAGACGTAGGCAAGTAGCTAGACGACGTCCGAGCAGCGATTGTCCGTTCAGGGGGAATGACAGAGGAGCGTGGAGGATGTTTGGGGGGGGTTGAAAGGGAAGAGAGCGAGCGAAGGCGGGAAGGGCCAAGTGGAGAGTTTCGCTTCGGTCCAGATCCCATAGATACCAGAGGACGGAGTACCTAGATACTCGCTGCAATCACGGCCTGCCACGGCGTTACCCACCTGAACCTGGGACCCTGATGGTGGCAAATCGACGTCTACAATTGACTAAACTACGGATGAAGGTACCCGATGGGCCACCCTTTGGGACTGACTGCCTACACAGCAACGGGCGGCCGCGTCATGTGGATTTGGCCACCCAAAAGCGGCCAGACAATGGCACCAGCTGCTAAATGATGCTGCCTGACTGACTCACTCCCTCGCACACGACAAACGGAATCCTCTCGAATTCATCAAGGCAACAGCAATAACTACATATACTGGGAATTTGCTATGCTACAAGCTCGGGATATAATTTAGTCAACACGCCCCCGGTCCACCGGCGATAATGCCCTTCTCTACTCATCCGACACCGAAGCAAACCGCTCCGACATGGACTGGAGAACCTTCTCGTACTGCAACAAACTTAGAAATAGGCATCAATGGGAGCGGCACCATTGGACTTACCTTCTCGGAAACTTCAGCCTCGTTGGTCGGCACCTCGAACTTCATGCTCCGGAGTGAGCTCTGGATGTCGGTTGTGGCGTCGCGAACCTTGGCCCAGTTCTGACCTTGGGCCACAGCCTTTTGGGCTTCGTCGTGGTAGCCCATGAACGCCTTCATCATGTACTCGGTCTTCCACAGGGGACAGAACTGATCGTAGTCACTGTATCCGTTCTGCTGCAAGAAATCATCCTTGACCATGGCAGCCACATCCAGGGTAATCTTGTCCGAGTCACCCAAAGCGGCCTTACCGACCAGCTGCACGACCTGGTCCAGATCTTCCGACTTGGTCAACAGCTCACGGATCTGGTCGCGCAAGCGAGGGAACTCGGGGTGGTGCTTCTCGTAGTACCGGTCCAAAATCGTTGTGTACTTGCTGTAGGAGATCGAGGTGTTGATCGACGGGAAATGCTTCCGTTGGGCCAATTTCTTGTCCAGACCCCAGAACACCTGGACAATACCCAGGGTACTACTGGTGACAGGATCCGAGAAATCACCACCCGGAGGACTGACGGCAGCGACAATACTGACACTGCCGATTCTCTCGGGGCTTCCGAGAGCGGTACTCTTGCCCGCACGCTCGTAGAAGGAAGCCAGCTTGGCACCCAGGTAGGCCGGGAAACCCTGGTCAGCCGGCATCTCTCCCAGACGACCGGAAATCTCACGAAGGGCCTCGGCCCAACGAGAACTGGAATCCGCCATCATAGCCACGTTCTTTCCCTGATCACGGAAGTATTCGGCGATCGTAATACCGGTGTAAATGGAGGCCTCACGTGCGGCGACAGGCATGTTGGAGGTGTTGGCGATCAGGCAGGTACGCTTCATGATGGGTTCTTTGCGGCCGTCGACGTCAATAGAGAGCTACCAAGTTCACTCGTTAGTATAAGAGATGCTCGCCACCAGACGGTTTCACTTACCTCGGGGAAATCCATCAAGACTTCGGCCATCTCGTTACCACGCTCACCACAACCGACGTAGACGATGATATCACTGTTGGAGAACTTGGACACACTCTGCGAAATGACAGTCTTTCCGCATCCAAAGGCACCAGGAATACAGACAGTACCACCCTGGACACTAGGGAACAAAGAGTCCAGGACTCTCTGACCGACGATGAAGGGAGCGTCGGATGACAGCTTCTCGTTCACAGGTCTGGGCACACGGACAGGCCAGGTGTGCATCATACTGTGTTCCGTCTTGACACCATTGAACTCGATTTCCAGCAGCTTCTCCTCGACAGTATAACTTCCAGCCTCGGCTATGCGGGTGATGGTACCTCTGGCGCGGGGAGGGAGAATGATCTTGTGGTCGTTCACCAGACTGTTCTCGGCAACGGTACCCCAGATGTCACCTCCGGTAATGTGATCGCCGACCTTGTACTTGCCCGGCGTGAAGTCCCACTTCTTCACCCGATCCAGCGCATTGACCGCAATACCACGGGGAATATAGATACCCTTGGACTGGTCGTAGATCGCCTTCAGAGGTCGCTGAATACCATCGTAGATTGTTTCCATCAGGCCGGGACCCAGCTCGACCGAAAGAGGCTTTCCTGTTCGCAAGACGGGGTCGCCGACCGTCAAACCAGCTATAGAAAGATGCAGTTAGACACTGGAGCTGTAGATGGCGGGACTGGCGGTGGTGGCGGTGTACCTGTCTCCTCATAGACCTGAATAGTGGCCTTATCGGCATCAATCCGAATGACTTCACCGACGAGCTGATCATGACCGACTCGGCACTACAAGAGTTGCGGGGCGTTAGCGATCGGACTTTGTCGACATTGAAGCTTGAAATCCCAAGGAAGAAGGACAACAAAGGCAATGGGGGGCATACCAACTCGTACATGGCACAGCCGATCATATGCTCTGCCACAACGACGGGACCGGAGACGGAGAAGACGGAGCCATGCTGGGTCTCGCCATCATCAGCGGAGGGGGCCATGATGCGTGGAGCAGGGGGGTGGATAGTAGGAGTGGACACAGCGGGGGAGGGGGAGGGATGGATGGGGGAGGCAGGAGGAGGAGAAGACGAGGAGCTGTGGCTGCAGGATGATGAAGTGGGCGAGACGGGGAGCGGTGGCAGTTGCGGGCTGTCCAGCTGGTAGTCTAGTCCAGATAGTCCGGGCGGTGATGACGACCTGCAACCAACGCCTTCGTCGTGACGCGCGATCAGGTCTAGCAGCGAAGGGCGGGCTTTGAGTCGTCGCACACCGAGTCCTAGCATTCCATCAGGGGACCATCACAATATCACAATACTAGTATCTAGAGGATTGACAGATCTGGGGCATCAACTAGATCGTGGCCCCTGATGAGCTATTGGCTGCGTGGTCCTTGCGGTGTTGCGTGTTGACTCAGCCGGGCTTATCGAAACGGTGCCGCCTACAACCTACAACCTACTACACTCGAGGAACTAAGTCACAGTCCCCGACCGTTCGAGTCAAAAAAGACTGGTAATAACTGTTTGGGATGCTGCACTGCCTCGGAGTCTTTCTTCACTTTGAGCGACCACCTCCAATGATAATGGCTGCCGCGGCGGGATCTTCCAACCATCCCACCACAACAATACCAGGTAGCACTTATCAGTCATAGTAGATACTACTAGGCAGAAGACTGTATCTTCCACCTCCCAACCATGGATACTACTGTTTAATGTGACGGATCTCAGTTACACCCTATACCTATACATATGACCGAGGTCTGAGGAGTGAGCATTCACGTGTTCATCCAGTATCTCCTCAAACATCATTCAAATACTTCCCCGCATTCTAACTCTTCCATCATTGACCCGCTCAGCACAGCCCTCACAAGTCTCTATTTGGCTCTTTGGCTCCTTGTTCCATGGACCTTGAGCAGTTAATCTGCTATCCGGGACTGGTTCATCGCGAGGAATAGAAGTTCATGTCTCAGGATTTGGTATCAGTACTTATACGTGCAGTATGACGCGCCCATATATAGTATCTAAGTGGCTCAGCTGCACAAAATCACAAACACCAATCTCATAACAGATAGTACCCCCACCAAAGAAAAGACCCGAAATACCAAAATGTCACCATCGAACCTGCGCAGCTACTGGGACTATACGTTTCTGTGGACGGATCTCCACCAAACTAAGGAACAATTACGACCAAGAATATACACTTATGACAGGCTTGCAGATGAGTGTCTCGAACGACTGGATGTCCTTGCTCCAGAGACTGTACAAGATGTCCAAAATGATGCGGCGGGGCCGAAGAAGCCCAGACGAGACATGCATGCTTTGATGAAGGATCACGCGCGTAATGATCCGAAACTTGGTGAACTTTGGACGCAAGTCAACACCGTGCCAGAATGGGTCGATTGGCAGCAAATCCAACGAGGACAGGATGTGTTTTTTCGCTATGGGCTACCCATCTTGAATGCGGTAAGTTTATCGTGAAATGGATATCGTCGTTAAGATGCTAAGAAAGGACAGCTCAACTTTGGAAGCCTTCTCGGTGGCATGTAAGTCTGTCTAAACCATGTTTTAGTTCCGACTATAATATCCCCAGGGGTTCTGCACGTGTGGTCGAAACCTTGGCCCGCACTGGAGGCTTCTCTGCCGATGTTGTGCGGCGGCGATTGCTGGAGACCCTGCAGTTTGTCCTTCAGGTGTCTGAGTCCTTGGACGCAATAAAGCCAGGCGGTGCGGGCCATGTTTCATCCATCCGTGTCCGGCTGCTACATGCGTCTGTTCGTTCGAGGATACTGAGCTTGGCAAAGAATGATCCAGATTACTATAACGTCGACGAATGCGGCGTTCCCATCAACGACCTTGATTGTATTGCAACAATTAACACTTTCTCGTCCATCGTGATCTGGGTCGGTCTCCCTCGGCAAGGTATTTGGCTCCGAAAGCAAGAAATCAACGACTATCTCGCTCTTTGGAGACTAGTGGCCTACTACATGGGAACTCCTGACACGCCCTTCGCCAGCCAGCCGAGCGGGCGTGCCATGATGGAGTCTCTGACTGCGTCCGAGTTTAATCCCACTGATGTTAGCAAGCTTCTGGCACACAATATCATCCTGGGTCTAGAAAAGACTGCCCCAACATACGCGTCAAAAGAGTTCATGGAGGCAATGGCTCGATACCTCAACGGGAGACAGCTCTCCGACAGACTCGGTATCCCTCAGACCAATCTATACTATCGATCCCTGATATACGGGTATCGCTTCTTCGTTATGACACTAGCATATGGGACCCGGTTGTTTCCGACGCTTGACCAGACCCTTATCGCAGTATGTCTAAACGTCATGCTGTCATTCTTAGGATGTAATTCTGTACTGACCTATCCAGTTCCGTCGCAAACTCTACTACACCATGATAACCGACCGAGAGAAAGGCCTTGGGGGGGAATCATTCTACGCCTTCCAGTATGTCCCATCCTACGGGAAGACCACGAGTCCGGGAAAGCGCAGGTCATCGAAGCCAGCGGCAGTTGGAATTGAAGCAGTGGCACAGCTAGGCCTTTTAGCTGCCCTGCTTGCTGCCGTGGTTGTGTTCAGCGGAGGCATATATGCGTTGCGCATATTGACCCCAGCCATTCTATGACAATGATTTGAGCTTCGTATGCGATACATTCATGTGATTACATCCGTCTTTCGATAGTATTCAATTTGAGCATGTACCCCTCCTACCCCGTATATCAATACAATGTCTCAGCGTTCCACCTTCCCCACTATGACGTTATCGACAACATGGCACTGACAACACTTGCATCCATCATGATCCCGCAGTCTCAAGAACATACACTTAAATCAAAACTACACTCCACAGAATCGCTATCTATCTCAACAGCTCTCAATCACCTGTTGAGCATACACCTCAACCCTACAACATAACAAAAAACAATCATCTCATTCATTCCAATTAATTTCATAAACACATACCCCCATACTATATCCACCCAAAGCTATCTCCCTCAACAATACACATCACATATCAAACTCCAATCCTCGCAATCTCATCCCTCGAATTTACTTCTACATACGATAACCAATTAGCCAACCCCACACACCCAATCCAAAGAAAAAAGAAAGGAATACATACCCCACACTCCTTACAAGTGCACCCCTGACCACAAGAGCAGGTACTGGGGCCACTGCAACCACAAGTATTTCCGGATCCGCAACCGCAGCCCATCTTGATGTAGGACAATTGGGTAGAATATGGTGTGATAAGTGGATAAGAATGTGTCAAGTTGGTTTTAGGTCTTGTGAATGGACAATGGGAGATGAGAACCTTGGGGGTGAGATAAAGGGGGGAAGTAAGTTAGCATGTATGGATATATATAGGTAGAGGGAAATGGGTTGTTGGTTGTTGTGGGGGGAAAGGGTAATACGAGGCATCATTATGAGGTCAGGTCAGGTCAGGTGCTAGGGGCTGGGCTGGGTTGCATTGGGTTATGTCATTATGATGGGTGGGGTGTTGGTTTGGGAGGTAAGACTACTACTGTGTATCATGTTTTCTTTGTGTTTGGGGTTGGTTTTGGGTGTTAATGGGGATATCTTGTATGATGTTGGGTTCGTGGTGAATGGATGTGTTTATCGCTTCTTTGCCTCTTGTTTTCATTTGAAGAAATGGGTTGGTGTTTCAACGAGATGTATGGGTGGGAATGCTGTGTATGGGCTGTGGCCTAGTCCGTGAGGAGATCCTGTAAGCCTGGATGTTACTTGTTCTAGACGGCCGTGATCTGATTTAAGCATGTGTGTCTTGGATCTTGTTGGTGGTTGCGTGAAGGCTACTGGATGGGCTTATTTGGATCTCGGTCCTTCCGGACAAAGAGACTTTATGGAACACAACATCGCTGAGGCACCGCAATTGGACGATTCATAGCGACGCCAAGGCAAGCTGTTTGTTCGATTGGGACGATAGTCGGTATCCTTTTGTGCCATGTACCGTCTACTTATGTAGCGAACGGCTGTCTGTCCAATGGACCCTGTCCAACTGGAAACTCTGACCCTCTCATGAGAAGACCATCTGTCCTTAGGTTCTAGATCCGGAACGAGTGTGAATTGGTCCCTGAAGTAAGGAATTCAGGAACAATATGTCCCGTGGAGTCTAGATCCATTTACTGGACCAAGGAGCATGACAATCCAGTCCCCTGGCGTTGTGAGTCTAGCCCATAATGCGAGAAATGGCTCGGCAATTATACTTTCAGGGCGTAATTCACCAGAGCGAAAGACTCATGTCAGGTTCCTTGATCTTCATCATTAAAATGTATGGATCAAAGCTGGCATGCAGCTCACAATTGGCTGGAGGCATGTCTTGACGGTCACAAAAACGACATATTTGGTACGAAACTACAGTCGCAGTCAGCATCATATCTGCTACATTAGTAGGATTCATCTGATTTGATGATTGGTGGCTCTCCGAATTTTGAGAAGATTCAGCTCTAAAAACTCCCAGCTCGAACTTGATTGATGAAGCCAAACAATTAAGACAGAGAAGACACGCCGGCAAGCAAAAGCAGCGGTGAAGAAGGCCGGGTGGTTGTAGTAAACTTAGGATCGCATTCGCACCGTTTCAGGTACTAGCAGGGTCTACCAATCCAATTGTTCCCAGAAGAACCAGAGGGGCCTCGTGCTCGAGCCTGTCCAGCCAGAAACACCCAAAGACAATTGCGGGGAAACCATGTTGCCAAATCGTCCATCGCGAACAATAGTAGGTAGAACCGTAAGTCCTGAACTGCGATATTACAGTCACAGCTCGGATGGATAAACACGGCTCCCAGAGGCATTTTCTGAACGCGTGAAAGGCAAGGGAATCGCATCCGACGAAGTCTAGCAAGGCCTGGGGCCCCCACACCGACAGAAGCGCCTAATCAAGTCATCGACACGCCCACTTGGGTCCATCCCAGTGGTACCAGATGGCAGGCCTCCACAGTGGGCTGTTGGGTACAATGTACTAGTAGCAGGGTGTGGCGTTATTGGGCTGCATGGCGTACCGTGCTGTTTCGAAAGTCAGTGCTGAGATGGAGAACGATCTATGGAGACCAAGCCCTAGTAGATAAGGATTCCGTAAGGAGGAGAGTATAAGGCCCCTGGGCCCGAAGCGCCCCTGACACTGACATGGGAACAGCTCATTCGATGTGCCCGAGCGGGAGGTGCAGGTGATACCTAGTAGTAGGTGGCAGTGATGATCGGAGACCCATTTGGGCCAACCGTTTGGCCATGCCCCTTGGTTAATCGAGGATGGTGTCATATCGGGATCTCCATGTCAGCTGCTCTTCCCTTCAGGTGATGCGCGTGTAAGTATGTAAGTATAATCACATCAACCAGAGGGGGAGGGAGGTGGATGTGATTGGGACACTCTCTGTTCTACGACGTACACCTGAAGTCTGGAGCACAAGGGAAGGAAGGCCGCTGAGGAAAGGGGGATAAAAAAAGAAAGGAAGGAAGGAAGGAAGGAAGGAAGCGAGCGAGGCAAAGGAAAAGAGGCATAATGCGCAGCAAAAAAGGCCTCGAATTTGGACGGGTGCAGAAATCGAATGTTTCCTTCTGGCTGCAGGCGATAACCTTTTTCAGTATCGTCATACGGTATTGTATCATCGTCATCATTCATCGTCGTGGTCGGCAATGGCCTCGCCCTTTGTGTAGACGGTTGACATGGGAAGGAATCTCTCTCCCGAGAATCTGCTGCACTAACCAGGTTTCGAGTAGAAGAATCAACGATCTCCCATTAGGGTTTGGGTAGGAGTGGTGAAACCGTGCACTGGTGAACTGGTGAACTGGATTGTGATTGTCGGGACTGCTGGGCCCCACGGAGACGCCGTCAATCATCAGTCAGTCAATCAAGTCAGACCAGCCGCCGATGTGCTTCGTCCTGCACTTCCGTTCCTCCAGCTTCCTCCTGCTGTCTGCTCTCTCTCTTCACTTCACTTTCCGGCCATACATCCTCGGTAGACCCCTCGATCTGTTCTTTGATCCGAGTTCCCTCCTGACACCGTGCGTGTCATCTGTCCTACTCCTGTCTTTCGTCCCCGACACTCGGTCGTCTTTCCCCGGACTTGACCCTCCTGGTCCGATAAGACCTCCGCCCGACGACGGTACGAATTCCCCCTCCAACCACCCAAATCATCCCATCCCACAGACCACGGGCTGATTAGGAGCGATAATCTAGGCTCGCCACCGATATCTATCACCCGAACAACTCGCATTGATCGGCCTCCCGGGCTGTTCAACGAGCTCCAAAAGGAGGACCGAAACTCGGCGAGTATCAGTGACCCGCCACTGATATAGGTCTGCTCTCCTGGTTCTTCTACAGAGCCAGGTGAAAGGGCAGATCTCAAAGTTTTCGATCTGGCAGACCATCCCCCCGCCTACATACCCTCCTCCGCCACTCCCGACCACCCCGATCCTCCTATCCCCCTCGAACCTACACCGTCACGTCGTCAAACCACTTCCGCTCCGGGCGGCCCTTCTTCGTCATCCCTCCAAAGATCGGCAGTCAGCAATCGTTACGGTACAGCAGGCGCCCCTGGAATATATTATCCGTCATCTGCTCGTCGACGTCGCCGTAGTACACCCGATACGCCCGGACGTACTACCGAGGGGTTAGGAGGTTTCGTGGAGGATCGTACGGCAAGCGAGGCCGGGTCTCAGGCATCAAGCGGATTCCAATCACGCGCCCCGTCAGAGGGCTACGAACCATACCCCAAGCGCAGGCGCCTGGCAAATATGCGGCCAGATGGTATTTCTAGTACAAACGGCTCCTCTCATGCGTTAAATGGCTCGGCTGCGTCTCCGTCCCAGAAGGCGGCTTTCTCCCACACCCTGAATGGCCAGGGCGCTTTTGCAACATCCCACAGAGGCGTACGCACAAACGGATCGCAAAAGGCGTCAGTCGGCCCTCCTTCATACTTTGGGCATGATCGGGAAGAGGTTACCCGAATCCTTATTCAGAGCTTATTCGAACTTGGCTATGATGGCGCTGCGACACTGTTGAGCAAGGAGAGTGGGTATCAGCTGGAAAGCCCAGCCGTTGCTACATTTCGGAATGCAGTGCTGGAGGGACGGTGGACGGAGGCGGAGCATATACTGGTGCAGTCCTTCTATCCAGACGGAGGTGGTCGGGGAGGTAGTGGCGTCGACCAAGGGACGAATAAAGAGAAGCTGGTGCTGGTGGAACACGCTCAGAAGAACGAAATGCTCTTCTATTTACGGCAGCAAAAATTCCTTGAGTTGTTGGAAGCCCGTGATTTGGCGGCGGCCTTAATAGTTCTGCGGCATGAACTAACGCCGTTGAATTATGACATAGGCCGGTTGCATGCTCTTTCCAGGTAAGACTAGATGTCTGCGCAGTCATGGAATATCAGGAACTGACTGTATATAGTCTTCTCATGTGTCCTCTGGAGCACCTCCATGACCAGGCTGGTTGGGATGGTCCCATAAGCTCTTCTCGAGAGCGTTTATTATCAGAACTGTCAAGTGAGTCTCATACCAATACCCGGGGTTTTATACTGCGTATTTTTAACACCCAACAGGGTCAATATCACCCTCTGTGATGATTCCCGACAATCGTCTCGCAATCTTGCTAGACCACGTTAAGCACAACCAGATCAACCAATGCCTATACCATAACACTGCATCTCCCCCCTCGTTATATTCAGACCACATGTGTGACCGCAAGGACTTCCCTCTGCGGGCAAGCATCGAGTTAAGCCAACATTCCGACGAGGTCTGGTGGTGTCAGTTCTCGAATGACGGGACCAAGCTGGTCACGGCAAGCAAGGACCAGACGGTGATCATCTACGACACGAGCACCTTTGCTGTGCTGCAAAGGTTATTGGGCCATGAAGACGGTGTTGCGCAATGTTCATGGAGCCCTGATGACTCTAAGATTATCACATGTTCACAAGACAAGACAGCTCGGGTTTGGAGCGTTGAGGTATAGTGCACCTTTCTGTTTGGAGTGGATGGTGTTTGTACTGACAATAGGCAGACTGGTCGTTGCCTTCTGACCATCAACCAACACCGTCATCCAGTGACAGCTGCAGCATGGGCTCCTGATGGAGAATCTTTCGTAACGGGCGCTCTTGATGTAAACGCGCAGCTATGTCATTGGGGCATGCGTGGTCAGACTCTGTACGTCTGGCCTGACGGCTTCCGCGTTCAAGACTGTGCTATCACGCCCGACGGGCGGCGCCTCATCGCCGCGGATCTTGACCAAAAGGTCCACGTTTATAATTTTGCTACTCGCGAGGAAGAATATTGCCTCGCACTGAAAAGCAAACCAACTTCGGTCGCTGTTAGCAGGGACTCGCGCCATATGCTTATAAATTCCGCCGATGGTCAAATACAGCTTGTTGACATCAACACCACCGACGTGGTACGGCGCTTCTCAGGGCAAAAGCAGGGCCATTTCGTCATCCGCAGTGTCTTCGGTGGAGCCGCTGAGAACTTCATTGTCAGCGGAAGTGAAGGTGAGAAGTCACGTTGCGTCCACTGCCATCTTTAGCTAACGGTGAGCTAGATTCTCGAGTTTACATCTTCCATAAAGAAGCCGGGACGCTAGTGGAAGCCTTGGAAGGGCATATACGAGGTTGCGTAAATTCGATGTCCTGGAATCCCCGAGATCCCGGAATGTTCGCTTCCGCGGGGGATGACTGCTTGGTTAAAATGTGAGCTTCATCCCATTCACTTTTTAGATTCACTCGGCCCTTGACTGACACACCTCCAGTTGGACACGTGAACGTGATGTGCGACCCAGTGTTGCAGCAGGCAAGCACAGGGCCGTGTCGACAGGTGGCTTTACTCGTACCAGCGCACTACGGTCAACATCCAGCTTCAATTAAACCCCGTTCCTAGGAAGGAGCATGCAGTCATACATCATTTACCAAACTTGGAGGCTCTCTAATCCCAGGAGCCAAAACCCCCCCTCCTCTTATCCTTCTCATCCCATATCCACTTCCCGCGTTTTCGCTCACTGCATATACGCATTTTCTGGCCCGTCAGTGATCCATCTAATACAGGTTTCCGGCGCCACTGTTTTGGTACAGATCAATATATGCTTCGCAATCATTTTTCTGTTCATTCATCATCATCATCGTTATGCATTGCCGTAACAGGCCCTGCATAGTTATTTATCCACCCGCACCCATTCATAACGTGTTCCCACGTCTACTACATATACAGAATCGACGCTTATCTTTATCGGTTGTTATTGGCTGAAGTCAGGAAGGATTCAGGGTTAGGTCAGGCGGAGTGAGACTTGGTTTTTTGTCTTCGACCAAAGTATAGTCTGTACCTCTTTATCATTTCTTTTTTTCCTCTTTTGAAATGAGTCTGCTTGTCTTCTCGCCGTCTCTCTCACTCTCTCTCCAAGGTTGGAAACGAATGGTAGAGTCTGCATCGGGTAATTGAATCGTTTAGTATTTGATTATACGAAGACGGAATCGGCTAGGTAGTGGATGTTGTAGCACAGCTACTACTACTAGGACTAGGCTATATTTATTTTAACACGGGGAAACGTATAATGTGAAATTGTGGGACCACCACAATGATGTGTGCCAAAAAAGGATATTCGGAACAAGGCAGGAACGGTGTCTTGAGATAGACTAAAATTTTGACTTCATCATGATATAACTCCAACTATAGCAAATCCCGAAATGAAAACAGATCAAACGCCAGAGATATTCAGAGAAGATAGTGCAAAGATAGAATGGCAATTGATATCCTGAACGGGCAGGCCGCTTGGTCGAGGGTTGCGCCGCAATACGTATTCAGACATCACTTTGAACTGGGTCAGATCTTCATCTTGGGGTTAGGGACTGGTCGGTTGGTCATGTAGACTAACCAATTTGATTATTTTCCCATTTCCTCCACGCGATTTTGGCCCCCCAGGGCACCGGGGACGGTGTCCTGGGCCTTTTCCATCTTTCTCAAATGCATGAAAAGGAAGTGAGCACAGTACTGCTCGTATACTCGGAGTCTGATGCTAGGAGATGGTTCGTAGGTCACTTTTCGAACGGGTAGATGAACCAGAAAAGAAAAGTACATTAAGACAAGAGATCGGCAACTGGCGATTTATTAGTTCGGACTTGGTTGTCAGAATTGATGAAGAACTTACCATTCATGGGCATCTCGTCGATCTGAGTGGAATAGTACAATTCGATATCACGGAGAATGCGCACGTCATCGCTGGTGACAAAGTTGATGGCAACACCCTTACGTCCGAAACGACCACTACGGCCGATACGGTGGATGTAGTTTTCACGGTTGGTGGGCAGGTCGTAGTTGATAACCAGGGACACTTGCTGCACGTCGATACCACGTGCCCAGACGTCGGTGGAGATGAGTACACGAGAGTTGCCCTGGCGGAAATCCTGCATAATACTGTCACGCTCCTTCTGGGGCATCTCACCGTGCATGCTGGACACGGTGAAGTTGGCCTCGCGCATCTTGTCGGTGAGCCAGTCGACCTTGCGGCGAGTGTTGCAGAAAATGACCGCCTGGGTGATGGTCAAGGTATCGTAAAGATCGCAAAGGGTGTCGAACTTCCAGTCTTCCTTCTCAACGGCAATGAAATACTGCTTGATTCCTTCGAGGGTCAACTCGTCACGCTTGACCAGGACGCGCACAGGGTCGGTCATGAACTTGGTGGTCATGTCCAGCACATCGTACGGGAGGGTGGCGGAAACAACGACGACCTGGGTGGCAGGGGGGAGGTAGCGGTAGACGTCGTAGATCTGTTCACGGAATCCACGGTTGAGAAGCTCGTCGGCTTCATCAAGAACCAGCATCTTGATGTGACGGGTGCGCAAGTGGCGTCTGCGGATCATATCTGCGACTCTGCCCGGTGTGCCCGAGACCACATGCTGGCCATAATCAAGCTTCCTAATGTCCTCTCCGATATTCGTACCTCCGATACAAGCGTGGCATTGGACGTTCATGTAATCACCGAGAGCCATGATGACCGACTGGATCTGGGTGGCAAGTTCGCGAGTGGGGGAAAGGACCAGCGCTACAATGAGTGAGCCTTGCGATGACTAGAAACAAGTGGTTTAGAAGTAAGTAGACTACATACCCTGAGACTCCCGGACAACAGTATCGATAACCTGGAGGATACTGATCGAGAACGTAGCGGTCTTACCGGTACCGGATTGCGCCTGAGCAATGGTATCGCGACCTTTGCAGATCTGGACGATGGCACGGGACTGAACTGCCGACGGAGACTCGTATCCATAGGCGTAGATACCACGAAGGAGGCTCTCCTTCAAGTGCATGTCCTCGAAGGTAGGAGCAACCGTGACCTCCTTCGAGGTGTTGAACTCCATCCGGTCTGGGTTTGCGCGATCAGTATACAGGCGTACAATGTTGAGGGTTTTCTGGTGCCCTACCATCAGCGCGTCTGTCAATGCCGTCCGCCATATTGAATGCACCAGGTCTGTAAGCTGTAGAAACCGGGGGAAAGGGAATCGACTCGAGTGGGTGGAGGGAGCTGGCCTGGTGGAGTAGCAGAAGAATCGCCCAGCTTCTCCGGCGCGACTTTTCGCAGCGACCGAGGTCTCACCGCCCGTCACACGTGACGGTATCTCGCCGCAAAGCTCTCATGGATGGCGTCGACCTGCCCGCCAACATCTCCGTCCCCAGAAAGCCTTATTCTTGCCAGAAGACCGGTGGAGCCTTCTGAAACTACTCACCATGATTTTCGAAGAGCAAAGATTCATCCACGAGGATCTTGAGCGGTTGGAGCAGGCGATCGCCGACCGCGTTGCTGAAGAGCCCCGTACCGTAAGTGGCCTCCCAGTTTCCAGCTTGTTGCTCTTTGTTAACTTGCGCTTCTATCCTCTAGATTCGGGATCGCCTGGCTCGTGATCATGAGGTCGCAAATTTTTTAAATCGCATCGAAGACCAGTCCAAGAGGTTGCTCGATATCTACAAAGATGCCGACGGCGCGCGTGAGAAGGAACTCCAGGCTGTCTCGACCGGTGATCAGTTCGAGGAATTCTACAAACAATTCAATGAAATTAAGGATTTCCACAAGCGCTACCCTAACGAACCAGTCGAAAACCTCGAGCGCGCTTACAAGCGCCGTCAAGCCGGGGAGGGCGAACCAACTGGAATGGAGATTGACAACTTGTTCACTGGTGAAGAGGGTTATGGACAGTTCTTGGACCTTACGACATTGCACGAAGACTATCTGAACTTGCCTGGTATCAAACGACTCACCTACGTACAATACCTCGACGTGTTCGATGCGTTCACCCCCCCGCAACTTCCTATCAAGCGAACCAACAAGCTATCCGATCGGTATTTCAAGTATGTCGGCGAACTCGCGAACTATCTCGAAAGCTTCATCAAGAAGACAAAGCCGCTACAAGACCTAGACAAACTCTTCGCCAGCTTTGATGAGGAATTTGAGAAGCAGTGGGCAGCCAATGAAGTTCCCGGTTGGACCGAGGAGGTTGTTGAGAATGGCACTCAAGGTCCCAAGACCGAGGGCTCCGGAGAAGGTATCTGGTGTGCTGACTGCGAGAGGGAGTTCAAGAATGAGAATGTTTACAAGAACCACTTGACTGGCAAGAAACACGTCCGGGCAGCCGAGGCCCGCAAGGCTGCTGGGGATTCCGGTGATAAACCGGCACCTTCTGCAGGCAACGGCACATCATCCGTCGCCCATCGTCTTAAGGAGCGTGCGGTTGCAGAGAGAGAACACCGGGCGCGTGCCTTAACGCAGGTCCTTGAGCCCGAGCGCCAAGCAACCAAAATCAACGTGGAGCGGAGACAGGGTATGACTGAACGTGAACGTCAAATGGAACTCGAAGCCCTGCTTAACGAGTCCGAGAACCCTGGCGGTGATCGCGCCGGCGATCAGTCCGATGAGGAGGACGAAGACCGTATTTACAATCCCCTCAAGCTGCCACTTGCTTGGGATGGCAAGCCAATCCCGTACTGGCTTTACAAGTTGCACGGCCTGGGAGTTGAATACCCCTGTGATATTTGCGGTAACTTTGTGTATAGGGGTCGCCGTGCCTTTGACAAGCATTTCTCAGAAGCTCTGCATATCTTTGGTCTGAAGTGTCTCGGCATCACCTCCAATACCAACCTCTTCCGCGAGATCACTCGCATCGAGGATGCGATCAGGCTTTGGAGTAAGCTGGAGCAGGACCGCAAGAAAGACAGAGACGGTCGCGACAACGTGGTACAGATGGAGGACGCAGAGGGCAACGTGATGCCGGAGAGGATCTATCTCGAGTACGTTTCCCCCTCCTCGACTCCCTCCCTCAACTACAAGATATGCTAACAATTACCAGTCTTCAAAAACAGGGTATCCTGTAACGGCAGCTTCTGTTCCTTCGATTCTTCCTGTCCTTTGCATTATCTTTCTACATACCTCAGATTCAAAAGCCTGGAGTTTGGTGGGTGTCTTTTCTCTATTTTTCATAATGTTGCGTGAATCACTGGGATATTCTTGGTTGGGAACGGCTGTATAGGAACAGATCCGAGAAGATGCAGCTTTGCGTTTCATGTATTCTACACCTGACTACTGCCATCATCCCTCGAGACAATAGAAGAAAAAAGGGTGACCACGGGTCATCTGGTCCACGCTAGCATCTCAAAGTCACATAACTCAGCTAGAGCACAAGTGTGATGATAAGGGACTGCTCCCTGGAAGCCAAACATAGATCTATATCTAAGTTTTCAGGTACTCCCAGAAATAATATCAATAACGACCAGACCAATGCCAGCCGGCGTTCATCCACACCTACTCAAAAACCTGATACCGAGGCGCGGTGGAATGCCAGTAACAGCTACCACCAACATACAATTCAATGGCCTCAAAGTACTGCACGATCTCCTGCGAGACCGGCCTCTTTAATCTCTCCTCCTTGAGCTTTGCAGCTCTCGACTCCTCGTCAACGATGATCCCGAAAAGCATCATCCTTGCTGCATCTGCGGTAACATTATGCTCCTTCATCAGAACCATCACACCATTTTTCATCCGATCAGTGGGATGGTCCCTCTCGACATTCCAACTGAAGTAGTCATTGGTCAGACCGAGTACATTCCCCATGGCAATATCATATTGCTCGATACTAGCGTAGTCTTCGTCACTGAGAGCCATTCCCATTCCCCAGCGGATGAAGTACGAGGACATCCTGCGCGTTGGCTATTGATCAGTTTTCTATATTTCGGAATGATTGTGAGGGAATGACAACTGACCAGTAGCCACAATTCGCAATGCGATGGGGCATGTACTCCTCCATTCGTGTGAAGTCGCCCCCGATATTGTCAAATGTCGCCAAATATGTTTTCAGCATTTCGATCATTGCGGGTGCCTTCTCCGGGTCCATATCAATAGTTTTTTGAAGCACCCCGGCGAGGGTTCTCAGTCTTGGATTATCTCCATTTTAGGCTGCAATGCTGTCAATCATTGAGGGATGAGGGGTCCCTTTTATAGATTTCTCTGAGAAGCTCTCGTGTGAGGCAACGGGGCACGTTTTAGCTTCTGTTGGGATGAGGGTACAATACATTAGGGTCGTAGTGGCTTTCATGAGTCTCAACCAAAACAGTTCCCCAGAAACCTATCTGGGCAGATACATTGACACGTACCTTAAGTTCTCCCTCGTATAGGGTGAGAGCCTATAGTATCAAGATGCCGGACACCGTCATGGATGGACATCCAATGGCAACGGCTGCCGAGAGAAGGGACAAGCAAGGCCATCCTGCAACGATCCCGATCCAGCATCCAGCAACGCTTGATGCACCGCACTGTAGCACGAATATGACAGCATGACACTCGCTCGGGAAGCAGGGGGGCATCTCGATGACAGGAGGCTTCCGCCCCCAGAGGGCTACTCCTAGCGTCGACATTCCGCATCTGGACTCCACTCATGGAATGGTATCGACGACATCATGCGTGGCATTGAACGCAGTACTCAATGTTGGGGTCAACACTGTCTCCCAATATTTATCTGCCATGGATTCTGTTGAGTAAGAACCAGCAAAAAGAAGATGGTTCTTCCTTCAACGCTTCCTCGCCGGTGTGCCTTCGCATCACACCTCCATTGCATCGATCGTTCACAGGGAACCATTGCCATGTCTTACTCATTCATCGATCACGTAGGCCAGGGGCAACGGCTTGGTCTGATGGCCATGGTGCTCTTCGCAGCGTTGGTGTTGCGCTTCGCGATGAAGTTGTCTCAAGCCCGAATGAAATTTAGGAGACTTCGGTCCCAGCACATAGTATGTCTCTGGCTTGTACGAAGTGGATATGCAGCTGAATATCGCAGCCTATTATTCCCCATTCCCTGCTGTTCGGTCATCTTCTCGTCGTCCTGCAGTTCTACCGAGATTGGGCCTTCGACGCGAACTTCATCCAGACCTTTGGCTTCTACATGAGTAAATACTGGATGAAATTTTTTCCCGGCGAGAAAGAATGCCCCCCAGTAATATACGTCGATGTGTGGCCGATATCACGGCCCATGGCATTTTCCTTGAAAGCCTACGTATCTAATCAAATGGAGATTGGGAGCAGCCTGCCAAAATCTCCCATGCAAGGAGTCTTTTTGGATCCCATCACAAGCGGGAAGGACCTCAACTGCATGCATGGTGAGTGGCGCATGTGGCGCTCGAGATTCAACCCGGGATTCAGTCGAGGTAACATCCGGACCTGGATCCCGGCTGTCCTGGAGGAGATTGAAGCCTTCGCCCATGCACTCAGAAACCTGTCTGGTGGGACCGGTGAATGGGGTCAGGTATTCCCCATGGAGCAGATATCCAGTAATCTCGCTTTCGATGTCACGGGGAGGGTAGTTCTGTGAGTCTTGACCAATATCACTCTTTTACTGTTGCTGCCATCCGGCTAATGGTGCCCAGTAACACTCGCTTGAACTCTCAATCGCCATATCCCTCACCCTTTACCCTCGCCTTTCGAGAGCAACTAGCTCGCATGGAAGTAACTCTAAGCCCTCGCAAGCTCCTGTGGAGGGCGACTCCATGGTTTAAACTCGTGGTACGACGCAAGCGGCAGCAGCTCTTCCATTATATTCGACCATTTATCACAGAGAGCATTGGCGGGTTACCCCAGGCCCACGCACGATAATCCGGTCGGCAGTGGAGGAATACTCCAGAGAGCTTGCAAGTAAGGAAACCGGCGTTAATGCCCCAGACGACGACTTCATAGAATATGTCTTCAGCCAGTTGATGATATTCTTCTTTGGTGGTGATGATGCGCTATCCATCACAATTCCTCGTATCTTCAGACAACTGCAATTGAATCAGGAATGCGTGGCCAAGTTGCAGGCTGAACATGACGCAGTGCTGGGCTCCGATCCAAGCCTAGCTGCTGTTAAGGTCCGGGAAGCACCCCATATCCTGGATTCACTACCGTATACCTTGGGTGTTATTAAGGAGACCCTGCGCATGAACCCCGCTACCATCACCGTCCGGGAAGGCTTGCCTTCCTTCAACTTTCGGATTGATGGTGCAGACGAGCCATGGCCGACAGATGGCTTTGACCTTTTCGATAGCTCCATCTCCATTCATCACGATCCAGAGGTCTTCCCTGATCCCGACAAGTTCATCCCAGAACGGTTCCTGGTCCCAAAGAGTGATGCATTGCATCCAGCCAAGAACATGTGGCGTGGGTTTCAACTTGGGCCTCGAGAATGTATCGGGCAGGAACTGGCCATCGTTGTGCTAAAGCTCGTCTTAGTATTCACTGTCCGAACATTTCATGTTGAAATGGCCTGGGACGAATGGGATGAATTGCGAGAGCTGCAGGGGTAGAAAGTAGATCGACGGATGGTGGTAGGGGACCGCATGTATACCACGCGTAAGGCAACATCACACGCCAAAGATGGTGCTCCGATGCACGTCAGAATACGGATCTCATCCGACAGGTAATACATAGCAAATGTGGCTGCTCGGATAGGGATGGGTTCTTAATCCCCTGGCGACTTCTCCATCGCCTTAGTCAAAGCAATCAAAAGCAATCAAATACCGAGAGCATTGACCTCATGCTACACGGAGATGAAGAGTAGAGTAGTAAGTAGTAAGTAGTAAGTAGTAAGTGGTAAGTGGTAAGTGTAACAGAGAGACTATTGGTTTGCATCACGTGTTTCCGCGCTCCGCTCGCGTCGATCCATTCAAAATGATGCCCCGCGTCTTCCCTCTCATTTGATCTGGACGGGCTCTTCGAATTGTGTGGTCGGACAACCTTGCTCAATACTTAGCTTGTGTTTTGCCGATTGACGCGTGTCAGACTATCAGTGCGCTGCGTATGACACTCATAACCGAGCTGGCTTCTTCAAACGTCGCGCCCTCCGTCACGACTTCTATATGGGGTTCAAGTTTGCTCACCTATGCGATCTACTATCATCCCTCGAGAGCAACAGGCTCGTGAAAGCTGCTCATGAGGCCAAAGCCATCAATTCCGATGCTCGGGCCGTGACTCGATGGTTCGCCCAGTATGACAAGCAAATCCGTGATAACACTACCGACCAATTGGCCCTTCTTTCCTGCATGTTTCCAGAGAAACGGACGGACCGCGTCTATTGGCTACAAGCGACAAAGTTAGAGAAAGTAATAGCTCGGTGCCTGCTCCTGGGAAGTTCCCGGCGTCAGGAGCTCGAGCGCTGGTGCGTCTCGGGGGGGATAGATCTAGGACAAGCCGTGGAGAATGTCATGCGACAGGCCGAGAATCATGTCATCAGTGGGCAAGAAGTCACTGTGGAAGAGATCGATTATGCCCTGAAAAGGATTGCTTCTCGTTGCAAGTTCTCCGGTCCTCAGGTGCGAAGACAGCGTACGGCTGTTAATGTGGATGAGGAGCTATCGTCACTATATCGACGACTGAGTAGCAGGGAAGCCAAATGGCTCACACGAATGATACTAAAAAGTTACTTCCCTGTCATTCTACCGATGAAGTTGACTATGAGAAGCGTCCATTTTCTACTTCCGCATCTACTTCTGTTCCAGGATTCCTTTGAGAGTGCTTTGAGCATGCTCACCTCTGGCCCTATGAGCCATTTTCCTCCACACCCGGAACCTGATCTAGCCCAAGATCTGGGACTCATCGCCTTGCGGTATCTCAGTCCGGATGTCGGAGTGAAGATAGGACGCCCGGACTACTATAAGGCTAGGAGCATCAAACATTGCTGTCGCATGATTGGCAACCGCCGTATGAGTATAGAAAGAAAATATGACGGTGAATACTGCCAGATACATATCGACCTTTCCAAGCGTCTGAATCCCATTCAGATATTCTCCAAGAGTGGCAAAGATTCAACTGAGGACCGGGCCGGCATCCATCAAGTCGTCAGCGATTCCTTGAAACTAGGAATGCCCGGTTGCAAAATCTCCCGTCGATGCATTCTAGAAGGTGAATTGCTTGTCTGGAGTGATAAACACGGCAATATCGTGGATTTCCACAAGCTGCGTAGATTTATATCTCGATCGGGCACTTTCATCGGTATCGGAAGCGATTCCCCGTGAGTGGCATGGTACATGAAGCTTCAACGTTAGATTCTGACTTTGACAAGGCCACAGCCGTATGAACACTTGATGATAGTGTTTTTTGACATCCTACTCGTCGATGACAACGTGTGCTTAAAGCTTCCACATCGGGATCGATGATTGCTTCTCAAGGATATCATACAAGCTATTCCTGGACGCGCTGATATCTCTGAACAATGGGTCTTGGACTTCTCGCGTTATGAGAGCCAGTCACGACTGGAGAGTATTTTTCAGAAAGGCATATATCAGCGATGGGAGGGATTTGTGCTGAAAGGATGCGAAGACCCCTACTTTACAATATTTCCCCGCGAAGTGAGCAATTCCTCCGGCCATTGGATCAAGTTAAAGAAGGACTATATACCAGGACTGGGCGATACCGTGGATCTTGCAATTATTGGTGCGAGGTATGACTCTCAGGATGCCATGGTGCTCCAGCGAGTCAAGAAACTGTTATGGACAGAATTCTTTATCGGGTGCCTTGTCAACAAAGAAGATGTTGTGCAGTTTGGTGTCACGCCCAAATTTCGGTTATTGGATGTCATCAACCACAACTGCATGAATATCAAGCATATGCAGATCCTCAGTCAATTTGGAGAATTCTCCGCTTGCAACACAGACTCGGGACATGGCTTCATGCTTGAGTACGGGGAGAGTATCAGCACAAGCCTGGATGTCGTCTTCAAGAACCCCTTCGTTGTTGAGATGTTAGGCAGCGGCTTTGAGAAGCCATCAGGTGCCAGATATTTTGCACTTCGCTTTCCAAGGATTATCAAGATCCATTGGGATCGATCATTTGAGGATGCAGCGTCATTCTCAGAGTTGCAGCTACTAGCGGAAAATGCCTGATCTGTTCCCAGCGAGGACCCCGATGACCTGGAGTACGATTCCGCCAAACGGTTGAAGCAGGGAAATCCTGCATCAGACTATGGTACGGATAATTCACAGAGCCTTGAGACCACAGAAAGCTCTCTTACTAGGGCTAGTGAAAATCAGACTAGCGAGGTATCCATACCCCTTTCGAACCTTGCATCGGCCTCTCATGGCTCCTTGTGTGATCCAACAAGACAGCGACAGCCAAAACGTCGTCATGAAACCAGCGCCATGCAACGTGTCATTCCCATTCATAGGGACCCAAGTGGAGACTCATCACCATCACCACCACCACCTATGGATTACAATGTGCATGGCCAGTACTTGACGGACAATGAGAATCTGTCTTCCCATACAACAGGCCAAAGGAAGAACTCGGCCCACATAACCGAATCTTCTCACAAAGTGAAGGCTTCCCGAGAACGTCAAGGGTTTGAGGCCCCCAGTGATCCACTCAAATCTACAGAAGCCAATCTGTCCCGAGGATATCCCAACCACATCCCTACTGGGAGTCAAGTCGTCGTTACCAGCCCCTTCTAGAAACCAGGAAAACGCCTTCAGTCACCACTGAAGCAAATCCCTATATACGTCCACCACTTCTCTCCAAACGAAAACCTCACTCCCCTTCCTATCCCAGCTACATGGCGAACATCGTCTACTCTCAACCCCTTCCTCCGCACATTACTCTCCCAATACTCTCAATCTCTCCTCAAGACATCGAACCCTCACGCCGCCTCCCAAAACACAGTCTACGGCCTGATCATTCTACCCAGCAAGCAAAACGCTCTCGGAACAGTCCTTCCCGACCTCAGAAGAGGGCTATCCAAAACCCTACAACCTTACCACCCCGCCAATCCCCAAACCGGGAAGATCTTCATCCTCGACTCGAACCTCCTCAGCCTCACCACCACAACTCACAACGACACGCGGTTCTGCCTTCGCCAGACCTGGGAAAACATCAGTAAGGAATCCTTCTTTGCTTGTGTCAAATGGAGCTTCAAAGGCCCTCCGTGACTCACAGAAGTGGTTCCCACTACACCAATAGAACCTCAAACCCGAGGCTATGATGCCGGATGCAGAAAGGCCAGAATAAATGTGAGCTTTGATAGACGCAAGTTATGGAGTCTAGGTGAGTTAAGCTCCCTTGAGCCTTTGGTTCATGCCGAGAGGGGGTTATATACTCATTTACTTTGATGCTGGCTCCTTTGTGGGGGGCTAGGACGCTTTTCGGGAGTTGTATATAGTTTAGTGGTCATGGTACAGAGTATATACTATATAAGAAGAATTAACTAGTAGGTTCTAGGCCGCATTATGGTTGAAGGTCTATGGTAGTGTGATTGGAGATGGAGATGGAGATGATAGGGGTATCTAGATATTATTGACATCTCATCCGGCTTGTATGCATGACCGGTACCACCCCAGGACAATCACATATGTAACTTACGAGAACTATTTATGAACCTCGTTCCATCGTGACTCCTGCACAAACGCCTCGCTAGCCCTGGGGAAAATGAAGGAAGATAGAGATAGTGTACAAATCCCAGATATATGATGCTGATGATTATTCATCCCCTTCTCTTCGTGCACGAACATCCCTCATCAAAGCCTTGGCCTCTTCGACTTCGACCCCGTCCTGGCATAGCTCGCCTGCTAATTGGTCTGCGCGTTCTAGGTCTCCGTTGCGCAGAGACCACCGCGCAAGCCATAGTCTTGCCTTGGATGTGGTAGCTGTAACCCCTGTGCCGTGCCAGGTGTCTTCATCTTCATCGTGTTGGGTAGATGACTTACGAGTCCGTCTGGAACTAGACTGGGCATCTGTTCCGGATTGATCATCGTCGTTGTCATTGTCGGAAGATGCGTCTTCCTCTTCCTGTATCACTTGGCCAGATTCCTGTTGGAGAGTGAGTTCCATGTATGTGGCTGCTTCTTCTTCGTCGCCTAGGCGTTCGTAGAGGGTGGCAATTTGGTGGAGGGTTTCAGGGTCCAGGATCTTGCGTTCCGGACCACCCATTCCTACTTGGGAGGTATCTTCGGCGTAGTAGGAGCCCGCGACGAGGGCTCGTTTGAGGGCTTTGATGCTTTGTTCGATGCGGCCCATCTTCGCATAGCAGGATCCTACTGCTTGCCACATCTTCGGGTCGTATGGACGTAGAGCCGCCGCTCTTTGATAGTAGAATAATGCGTAGAATGACATATCCAGTACTTCGTAGGCTTGGCCCAGACCGTACCAGGCGCGGTAGTCTTTGCGGTTAACATCGACGGCGCGGCGATATGACTCAATGGCTGCGTGTGTGTTTTTCATCTCAATGTACTCATGACCCATGAGGGTCCAGGCCGACAGGAAGTTCCGATCCAGGGTCAGGGCTCGTCGAAAATACATGACTGCTTTTTCATGTTCAGACTTGAGGGAGTAATAGTTCCCTACTACACAACATGTTTCTGGGCGGAACTTGTCGGTAGCAGTTGCGATCTGGGCGACGAATGCAAGCTGCGGACGAGCGCCCATCACGTATAAGATATTGGAGTAATGATCGAGACTGTCAAGTCGGTGAGGAGAGGTAACGAGAATGTCTGTGAAGATACTTGATGCTTCTTCAAAGTCTATAGGCCTTGTTAGAACTATTCAATGGATATTTTGCAGGCTACCTTCCTTACCTTTCGAGTGATAGTAGAGTAGAGCCCTTTGAGTCTTCAGGAAAGCGCTTGCGGGAAAGATCATTTCCAGCTCAGATAGCGACTGGTAGGTATCTTCAGTGGCCTGATACAATTCTTGACTGCAGTATACGCGGAATATGAGAGTCATGATATTTAGCGGAAGAAGTTTGACCACTTGGTTTAACTGCGAGGATAATTAGCAAGTCGCGACAATTATGGAACATGGGGTGACGTACATCTTCTGTGCTCGCAAGCAAGTCATTCAGCTCCTGCCATGCGCCCCAGTGAAATGGGTTCAGATGAACGCTCTGTATGAGCCACTTCTTCGCCTCATCCTCGTTTCGGCCCTTGAGGAGTATAACACCGTATAGATACTCCAACCAACCCTGGTTCCGATCTTCCAATCCTTTCTCCTGCCGCTCGGCTAACCATCCCTCCAGGCCTCGCGCGAGGTCCGGTAGCTCTTTGTTGACCGTCGATCCTCCGTCTGCTGGGCCGAGGACCATTTCAGTTTCCTCATCCTTCCGCTTCTCACCTGCCAAATACTTGGCGTACAACGCGAGGAACAGCGATTTCTGACTGAGCCTAGGATATGGGTTCCTCGTCACACTATGGTCCTTGACACCTGAATATGCCGACGCTTTTGATTTGCCCTTTTGCGGGGTCAGTGACTGTCTGGATTTCGGTTTCGGCGGCGTCGAAGTAAGAGGAACGGGGGAGATGGTCGGGGGAAGGAAAACCGCCGCGCAACGATCGTATTCGCGAGTGTCGAAGTAAGATTTCGCGAGGAGGTACTTGTATGACTCTTGCGCTTCGAGACTGGCTTCGAGTGAATCTTGCGATCGGAGGTACGGATTCTGGGTATTCGAAGGAGCATCGGGAAGGTCCATTGGGGAGTCGGGATCGGTATCATACTGCTCAGCTGGGACGATGGAATCCAGCATTTCGGCTGCCCTAGTTCGCAGATTTAGTTACCGGCCAAGATGGTGAGCCGGGGCAATGCCTGTAACTGTACCATTTGGCTGACTGGTATAAACAGCGTTCGGAGCATTTCATTGCCGCATCTTCGAGCCGAAACCTGAGCTCCTTGATGTTCTCTTCGGTGAACCGGATAGCCATGACGAACGAGAGAGCCGCAGCTACCTACGCGCATGCGTATAACAAAGAATGGTGGTAGAGCTCTTGTGACTTGACAGTAGCTAGCGACGCGCTAGAATCATTGCTAAGTACTTCCCGAGGACTGAGCGCTTTAAACACGGCGGAGAGGCCTGACGTGGATCGGATTCGGTGGGATTAAGATTGGGCAGATCGCGTAAGCAGCGCCAGTAGTGTAGCAGCAACGAAGCAAGCCGGCGACGACGAACGTATGGCAAGAATTGGGGAGAAGCAGACGACGCGACAGCCATCTGGGGAAGCGACGGGCCGGAGAATGAGGACTTGCCTGTTTGGGCCGCGGCGGGCAAACAGAACAAACAGCGGGGTCTTCCCCTTTGGGCGTCGCCGAAAATGAGGGTATTTGAACTATTGGAATCCCTGCTCGCGGGCCATTGTTCTTCTCCACGCCCTTTTCTCACCCCTCTGTCCCTCTTTTCCCCTCCAACTCTCCCAGCCTACGAGCTCTCTCCCAACATGTCCGCCACCACTACTCGCGCCGACTTCGAGGCCATCTTCCCTTCTCTGCGCGAAGACCTCCTGGACTATGCGAAGCAGTACAAGTTGCCCCAGAACGCCGTCGAGTGGTTCGAGAAGGTGGGTGCCATTCGCTCTCCCGTTCGTCTTACTCCAACTCAGAATGCTTACTCTTCTCGTTCTGTCCCCTCCAACAGGCCCTCAATGTCAACGTCCCCGGCGGAAAGCTCAACCGTGGTCTCTCCGTCCCCGACACCGGCTCTGCTCTCCTGAAGCAGCCCCTGACCGACGAGCAGTTCAAGCACCTCAGTCTTCTGGGCTGGCTCACCGAGCTGCTCCAGGCTTTCTTCCTGGTCAGCGATGACATTATGGACGGCTCCATCACTCGCCGCGGCCAGCCCTGTTGGTACAGGCACACCGGTGTCGGCCTGGTCGCCATCAACGACGCCTTCCTCCTCGAGTCCGGCATCTACATTATTCTGAAGAAATACTTCCGGTCCCACCCTGCCTACATCGACCTCGTCGAGCTCTTCCACGAGACCACATTCCAGACCGAGCTGGGTCAGCTCTGTGACCTGATCACTGCCCCCGAGGACAACGTCAACCTGGACAACTTCTCCATGGAGAAGTACATGTTCATCGTCACCTACAAGACCGCCTATTACAGCTTCTACCTCCCCGTCGCCATGGCCCTGCACTACCTCCAGCTCGCGACCCCCGAGAACCTCCGTCAGGCCCACGAAATCCTCATCCCCCTGGGTCAGTACTTCCAGGTCCAGGATGACTACCTCGATGCCTACGGTGACCCGGCCTTCATTGGCAAGATCGGTACCGATATCCAGGATAACAAGTGCTCGTGGTTGGTCAACCAGGCTCTCCAGCGTTGCAACGCGGAGCAGCGCAAGGTGCTGGAGACTGCTTACGGCCGCAAGGACAGCGAGCTTGAGGCCCAGGTTAAGGCCATCTACAAGGAGCTGGATCTGGAGAAGGTCTACAAGGAGTACGAGGAGGAAGTTGTTGGCGAGCTGCGCACCAAGATCAGCAACGTCAATGAGTCCGAGGGCTTGAAGAAGGAGGTCTTCGAGGCCTTCCTGGCCAAGATCTACAAGCGTACCAAATAGACATTCAGCCATTCTTTTGGAGGAACGATACCCCTGTCATTCTACGCGTCATCATCTCTCTACATAATACATAGCCTACATACCCCATCCAGATAGATTAGCTGAATGACTGAGACGAAGTGCATTGCACGGCTGTACCTGATTAATGGCTCCTGGTGCCCCTGCAGTCAGTAACAATAGTCCACCGGTGACTTCAAACCGCTAGCATCTTCTACTATCTTCCAGAATCACAGCATCCGCTCAAACCCCTCAGCTCGGACCTCCCACTGGGACGGAAACCCCGGCGCAACGGCTTGGTGACTGGTGTTCCTTGCGACGTCCCAACCACCAGTCATCATCGCAACGGCAAGCAACAGGGCTGCGCTCCCAGGGAAATATGGCGTGGGTGCCTTGGTCCCGACCGGCATGCCGACATCGTCGAATTCAAAATTCGAGTGGACCAGATACTGTATCGCAGCTTCCACATCTCCCAGCCTTGCCGCGTTCATCGCCAGCATGGGGAAGTCCCAGCTCCAACAATCCGTGAAGTTCCAAACACTGGCGACTTTAGCGGCTGTCGCTGCGACGATTGTTTCGTTCACGACCGACGAGAGTGATAAGAGTCCGTAGATGCCGGTGGGTGCTGGATGGTCGGTCACGGTTTCTGGATCTGTCCACATTTTCGGAATGCCTTCGTAGAGGGTGTATGTGAGGACCTCATCACCCGACTTATCTATTGTCCTAACTGTAGGTAGTGATGCGAGGTTGCTCTTGACATGGTTCCAAGATGAAGGAGCTTCTTGGCCGAGCCGGGCTTTCCAGGATATGGCTACGTCGAGACCAAAGTGCCAATATGCGAGCTCGAACGTGGGGTTGCGGGTACTGTTTGGCGGGGTATTCTCTGAGACGGGGTACATGGGAGGTCCAAGGTCATATACATTGGTGGAGGCGTTCCAGAAGGCAAAGGACGCCATGAACTCGGCCGACTCGGTCAGTATGTAGTCCCATCTCGCGAGGACATCATCTGTGTTCCCCCTTGCAGAATGTATAGTTTGGTACTCGGTCTCTGCGAAGTAGAACACATGGGGTTGTTGCCATATAAGCAGCGCGTTGATCTCTCCTGGAGCAGATCTCCCACTCGGGTCGCTCATTTTCCCCAACCTCAACCCCTTGTATCCCTGATCTGCTGCCCGTTCTAGCGACGATGGAAGGAACCGATCGTAGACCCCGATACTTCGCTTTAGTAAAGATAACTTGCCCCATGGGGTCCAGTGAGCGGCGTGCCAGAGGTACATCTCCATATGAAACTTGCCATACCATCCATTATTTACCCGGCCTGATTCCTGTGGCGGATCATACCCGGCCTCATTGACTGCCAGTAGGTATTGGGACAGGATTACACGTCGTTGAATCTCCACTGCCGTTGCATTCCCAGTTGCGGTCAAATCCACAAAGGCCCCGGTCTCCCAGTAGGCAGTCCACCATTGCCGAGATCGTGCGGTGATGGCATCAGCAGATAATGTCGACGAGTTTAAAGTCGCATGCGGTGAGAAGTTTGCTGTAAACTCAAATTCTGTCGTGCGGCTACCGTTCGGCTGGAGTACATACCGGTGGGAATGGCCAACCCTGGAAATAGACGCACCAGTACCACTCCACTGCAATGTGTTGTAGTATGTGGTATTGTCAAGAGTATGTTGTATCTGAGCTCCAGTGTTATCGTCTGTGAAGTGCAGGATCGTGGTATGATTCAAAACAGCGTCCCAATCGCCAATGAAGGGAGCCTCGAACTTATTCTTGTCCGTAGCATACGGGTAATCAAAGAAGATTGCCAGACGGTCTAGGGTCAACAGCTCGGATTGCAAGCGCACCGCTACCGTGTCCGAGACTGGATCAACACATGTCCAGACGGTGGTCGCATGGCCGTCTAAAGTAAAATTAGACTCCAATATGCCCTGGTAAATATCCAGTACTTGCGACTTCTCCTGCAGGTCATCTTCAGTATAGTTCGTGTGACTTCCTCCAAATACGAATCCGATGCGTCCTAAGTTGATACGGTGAGGATTGGCAATCAACCACTGAGAGATCCCCGCCTCTGCAGGATTGGGCATGTCATAATTGACTAGCCGACCATGAGTCCACCAGTCAACACCTTTGAAATCTGACGGCGTGGAATTCGCAGGCAGCGATGAATTGTGCCAACCCCAGGACGAAAGGGTGCCATACGGTAGGAAGGTCTACAGGCCAGTCAAATCTGCCCCGAATGCGAAGTTTCCATTCCCCACCTGCATTGGAGTGCTTGTCGAGCTGGCATTGCGATAAGGGTTGAATCTGGCAACCACTTTGGACCGATCAATGATGGGGGTTGGTGGAGACTTCGGGGATGCACTAGCCTCGCCAGTGCTGGATAAAAGATAGGGACCCAGTGCGAGACTCGTCAAGGCTGATAAATGTCGCATGATGATGCAGTGTTAGTCTGCGTAGCGGGACTGTCACATTCCAGCAATGGTTCCGACAAGTCCGCGTCATCATGAGTTTCTTCTTCTTTTATAAACCTGACTGAGCCCCTCAAGTTTGTCTACTCGACAGTTAGAAGACCGTTGCAGCGTCTCGACAGTCCAGATGAGATTCCACGAATCAAATTGGGCAGCATACCATCGATGCGCGGCAAGGAGATGCCGGCATTGATCTCCGCACGGGAGTCTCGGGCCAAACGCTGCCGAAGGAACCGGGTCTGCAGCTCCGTCATGATTCTCGGAGTTTATGAGGGGAACAATGAAATGGAAGAATGACCTGAGATCAGCGCTGGATACCGAGTCATTGGTACAGATAGATAGATGCTGGTTGTACCCCGTAGATTGTACGGTGTAAAAGGCCGAAGCCAGAAGGCAGAACCCTCCTCCGCCCACGTGGGCACCACCTGATCAGTGATTCCCCCTCAGGATTTCGTCGGCCTTTCCTTTCCTTTCCTTCTACCTTTGCATCTCAGCAATTTCGATATCCTCTTCCCGGATGGCCTCGGAAACACTCCGGACATTGCCAACAGTCCACAGTCCATCATTTGATCACGCCCCTTCCAGGGGTATCTAGGGCTGCCTACCCCTCAGGCGGACTTCAATCTAATTCAATCTATTTGGGAGCTCGAGGCGCCAAGTGGAGTTGGACTCGTCCAAACCAGCGACCACAACTGGCATTGGCCAACCGGCTAAGTCGGCCCAAGTGGGACACTGCATTTGTTGGAAAAAAAACCCAGCTAAAGAAAAAAGGCTTAATTAGTACCTATCCCATACGAAGAGTATCTATCTACCTAGAAGTCCGGATCACGAATCATGCCAGAGCCATCTCACCTCCATTTCACTCTCCATCCATCGGACTTCCGTGTCCTAGTGACAGGCACGACTTGATAAGGACCAAGTACCGACCATACAGGGAAGCCTGCCAAAAGGAATAGCCGGCCGACCTGCTTTGTCTTGTTCTCCTTTGCCAGCCCCTGTCCGCGCCTGTCCCAACGGGGCAAATATCCCCGGCGGGCTCACCAACCATCGAATTGCTGCCTCGATCACCTCACTCGAGCTCTACGCAATAGTCAATAGCCTTACGCAGTAGTACTGCTCAATAATAATACTACCGTATATTATCTAGACGTTTAGCCTGCCAGTGCCAGCATCCCGATGGTCCACTACCACATAGATATCTGAATACATACTGGTGGCCTTGAAGCCACCGCAGATGGCCACAGTGGATCTCCCGCGCCCTTGTCAACGAGAGTTTGAAATTGCCAGCTACTTTCTTTCCATCTCCATGCTTTTCTTCTTCTGATCCTCATGTCTTGCTCGCGGGGGTGGCGTTGACTTTCCCACCTTGCTCGCTCTGTCAGCAACTTAGCCCATGCCTCCTGACCACTAGACATCTCTGTGCCTGCGCCATGTTTCTGGGCACTCTACCCTTCGCGCTAGCGACGTTCCTACTCCTAACCTCTGTCTTGGCAGATGAAGGGCCATATTTCGCGTCCGATTTGTACGAACAAGGTCGGATGGGACAATGGCCCATTGAGGCCTACCGTTCGACTTCCACTGTGGGTGCGGCCGTCAATTTCATGGAATATAGCCCTCAATGCAAAGATGGTCAATACTACTTCATCTCTCCCCGCGGGTATAGCGTCCATAAGCCCGGGCCGATGATCCTAGACCAGGACGGTCATTTGGTCTGGACGGAGCCCTTGGGACATACCTATAATCTCAATGTCTATCAATATAAGGGCCAGGATTATCTGACATTCTGGCTGGGCGACGATGGCAAGGTGGGACACGGGGAGGGGACGTATTATATGGTACGATATCCTCCTTTACCCATACAGGCATCGAGTGGTCTTGCTAAAGTATTCGATAAAGCTGGACTCATCCTATAAGACAGTATACACCCTCAGTGGCGCGAATGGTCTCAAAGCAGATCTCCACGAGTTCCATATCACCCTCGATGAGACTGCAGTCTACACGATCTATGACGTTCGCCCTGCCGATATTCGCGTCGCTGGCGGTCCTGAACATGGCTGGATTTGGGATGGCACATTCCAAGAAGTTGATATCGAGACGAACAAACTTCTCTTCGAGTGGCGAGCATCGGAGCACTTCGACTTCACCGACGTTTATCGAGGTCGTGACGGCACGGGGGATAGCGAGGAACACCCATGGGACTTCTTCCACATCAACAGCGTCGACAAGGATTCAAAGGGGAATTTCCTGGTGTCAACACGCTATGGTAACTGCCTGCTTTACATCGACGGACGCACTGGCGACACCATCTGGACGCTGGGCGGCAAGCACAACAACTTTACCGATCTCTCGGGCGGCGCAGCCACCAATTTCACCTGGCAACACCATGCTCGCTTCCGCAACAATGGCACATCTATCACCCTCTTCGACAACTCCTCTCGCGGCAGAGGCGCTCCCTCATTACCGAGCCGAGGCCTTTACCTCGATGTTGACCAAGAAAAGATGACTGTCCAAGTTCGACATGAATACTGGAATTCACACCCTATACGCAGTCAATCCCAAGGCTCCGTCCAGATTCTTGACAGCGGCAACGTCCTCGTCGGCTACGGCTTCAGCGCCGCATGGACCGAGTTCACCATGGACGGCGACATTCTGTGCCACGCGCACTTCGCACCCAAACGAGACTTCAGCAAAGGCAAGGTCGTCTCCTTCCGCACGTTCAAACACCCCTGGGTCGGCAACCCCAACACCAGGCCCGACTTCGAAGTATACAGCTATCACGCCGCAGTGAGCTGGAACGGCGCCACCGAAGTCGCAACCTGGGTCCTGGAAGGCGCTGACAGCAAGAAATCGACCGACTTCATCTTCATCACCGCTGTTCCGAAAGACGGGTTCGAAACCGTCATCCCCATTCCCAAGGACGCGAAGTATAACTACCTTCGTGCCCTCGCATTAAACTCAACCGGTCACACCCTCGCCTCAAGCAAGGTCGCAAGATGGGATCCCTTCTCCGATGAAGCAGTCGTAATCAGTGGCGTCAGTGATGATGACGACGACGATGACGACGATGATACCGAGCCCTTTTACAAACTGCGTACGTTCTTGTTTGTCCTGATCGGCTTTTTCTCGGCGGCTGTGTTGGCTGCCTGTGTATGGTTCGTGAAACGCCACCTCGCGTCTCGGGCGGCGAGTCAAGGTCCCAGTGATAAAGAACAAGGTGTTTTCAAGCCTTTGAGTCGCTTCAGTATAGGTGAGGATTCGAGTGATGCGGAGGCGGAAGATGAGGTCGAGTTTTCTGCCCTGTTAGGGGACCGGAGATTGGATTCGCATTCGGACTTGGAGATGGGGAAGAGTAAGGATGAGGCGAGTAAACGATGAAATTTCATCTTTACTGCGCATGCTTGCTAAGGGCATGTCTGATATTGAACGTCTCATTGTACTACTAGTAACCTTTTGCTGTATAGACGAAGAAATCCAGCTTTGGCTTGACAGAATTATTTGTTATACATCTGCAGTGTAGATGTCGCTTACATTTGACTCTACAAATACGGGCTTATGATTCAAACGATCGTGTCATTGATTGCGTATTCATACTAAAGGAGCGCATGAGTTATCATAGCAATTTGGGCCGATAAAAGTCCGTTGTAGAAGGATCTCTGTAAACGAGCAAGCATGCTCAAGGCTCAATGAGTGATATCCTCTGCATCAAGCCGAGGAAGCTACTTCCAGCCGCTTGTAACCACCCTCGGCAGCGACCTGCTTCTGCAGCTCAGCCATCCGCTTCTGGTCACCCAGAGGATCGGTCGAGTCTGCATCGAGCGCCCAAGAAAGGTAGTCATTGGTGTAGTTGGACACGAAACCTGCATCCAGAATACCCAGACGCTTTCCGTAGTTGGTAACCTTGGCCCAATCGCGACTGACGTTCTTCAAGTCGCGGCTGAAGTACGCGAAGGAACGCTCAAAGATCTTTCGGTTGACCGGGGTGCCCATGATCGGCTTCATGTCCACGTACTCCTCGAATGCCTGGGCCGGTTCGGCCAGGACGTAATCAGTTGCACGCTTGACAGCATTCATGAACTTCTTGACCTTCGCGGGGTTAGCGGCTAGGAAGGCATCGTTGGCGATGTAAAGAATGGAGCAGAAGCAGCAGCAGCCGAGCTCAGCGAGCTGGTCGATGCGGAGCATCTGGACATCGTCGCGAGGACGGTTCTGGGTAGCGAGCCACTCGGCGAGCTCGACCATTTGAACGTTCTCAAGGCCGATTCCTGCATCGATGTCACCGCGGATGATGGCTTTGGTGACGTTCATGCCGCAGCGGACGGCGGTGTAGTCGTCAGCAGTCATGCCGTAGTACTTGGTGAGTTCGTCAATCTGGATCTGTCGTGTGGTTGGGTTAGTAAGAGCTTTGAGAGCACTTTGATGGCCGGAATGGCGAACCTTTCCGAACTCTCCGACGTAACCAATCTTCTTGCCCTTCAGGGAGCGGAAATCCTCGGTAATACCGCTGTGCTTCAGGTAGACGACACCAGTGAAGGGCTCATCCAGCAGGGATCCGATCGAAGTGACGGGGAAGTTGCGGGCCTTGGCCTGATTCTCGGGTTAGATCCTTTTTATGTCAAGATTCATAGAGAAAGGTGGTTCGTACAGCAAGGGTATGGATCATAGCCTTGAATCCCATGTCCACCTTTCCACTACCGATGATCTCGGTGACATCGGACGGGTCATTGGGCTCCAGGAGGGCAACTTTGAGGCCCTCTTCCTTGAAGAAGCCCTTGCTCTGGGCAAGGTACAGGGGGGCGTGGTACGGGGTCGCGTGCCTTTAAACACATCTCTTAGCAATCGTTCTAACCTAGCTCATAATCTCCAATCCATACCAGTTGGTGAGGAAGGTGATCTTGTCAGTAGACATATTGGCACAAACTCAGGTCACGAGTATTGCAAAGTTCTGGAAACTGTCAGCAACAGAGAGATATGGGATCCCTCGTCTCTGTAGGTTATAATGTAGGGGACAATCAATGCCACGCATGTCCTTTCGCTAGTATTATCTAGATCAAGTTTTGACAGTATAATCTCAGAACGACCAAGCTCCAGTCCTCATCTTGGACGGGAAGTGTCCGAGATGAGAACAGGAGCTCGAGCCGAACACCTGTCATGCGCGAGCAGTGACTGTTATACTATTGTACGATACCTTGACCCATCTGAACTCCTAGCGAAAAGACCCGCAGGGCGATCCTGCCTGCGCGGCCTCATTGTGAGTCGTACCGAGTGGACGAGCGATTTGAAGGGAGAAAGTTGAGCAGAAGAATGAAGATGGATGGATGGATGGATGGAAGGAGAAAGTGGAAGGGAAGGTGCGGCATAAATAGTACTTGGCCGGCAGCAGCGGGGAAACAAAACCAACCCTGGTCGCTGAACCCCACCATTCGCGACTCCAACTTGCTTCCTCTCCCTCACCGAGAACACAACAGGACCCCCACGAAAATGAAGCCAGCATCTGATTGGAGATCCTCTCACCGGACTGATGTGCTCCTGGGACCTTTCCGGTTCTCGAGCAGCGACCACCTCATCGTGAACTCTGTCCCTTCCTTCCCCCGCTCTGGACCCGCAGCGACTCCCGCCGGTACCATGTTAAATGACTCAACCCAGCGTGGTCGGCCATGGCTGCACCCCAACCGGATACCTCAAGTCCTGACTGGCGCGTCTAGATCCTCTTGGGGAAGGATCGGCTCCGGTCTACTGTTAGCTCGGCTTGCCTGCTGTCTCGGACCGCGTAGGGCTTTGCACCGGCAGCGCATCATCCCATCTCAACCAAGGCTGCTTCTTGGCTACATCGGCGGCACGCAGGAATGATATTCTATGAATATGATCTTCGTCGTGCATTGGACTATCTCAACCTGGACCTACCCCAGTAGGTCCAAACAGAAGATACAACTCGCTGGCTACAAGTAGATGACATATGCAAAGAAGGAATGGAACAATGCAAGAATGGAGAGATTAGCTAACGCAAGTGAGCAAAGGCAAGGTGGGGCGCCATGTGAATAAGAAACTCGATGGGCTAACTCAGCTCCCATAACCCATGGATGAGCTGCTCTTGACTCGTGGGATAAATATGACAGAGGCGGTTGACCAAAAGCATGATTCCGCAAACAGACGTTAAACGAGAGCAAGTAGGTTGGAATGTGGCGGCTTCAACAGGAATGGTACCTTGTAAATTCAGACCATTGAAGGTTTGCGGCTGCGAGGCTGGCACTATCTCACAGTCGATCAAAGGTCTCCATTCCCATTCACCGACAGCTGATCAAGTGGCGACGGCGGACGATCGGTGTTTTTCTTCGTGCGCAGAGTGAGCGGGAAGTAATGGTCATCAGGCTCTTCTTCCTCGCTAGTACTGGATATCAATCTCGGTCAACAACTCAGCTCCTCGCGTACATTCATGGGGTGTTGGCTTACGGCAGTCGCCATGCAACATAGTCCTCCGTACTCAAGCCTTCTTTCACTTCCTGCAATGAGGCAAAATCCCCGGGAGTCATCATCCCAGACCGATCCCGTGGCGAGCCAGGAACGGACAAGGGCCGCGATATCTTCTGCTCCGTGCCGCCGATAATGTCGTATACATCCTCGGACGTCCCAAAAGACGAAGGATAGGCTATATACAAGGTTAGATTCAAGAAAAGAGAAGCGTGGTTATGCATATACCTCTTCGTAGGGCCAACTGTCGAGCCTTGACATACTCCAAGCCCATTCGTTTCCAGTCCAAGAGGTCACTCAAACGCTCCGTCCGGTTTCGTTGATTGATCCGTTGACGCCGACTCTTCTGCGTGAAGTTGTACATGAACTCCGTCAGCTGGTTGACGGAGTCATCCACGCCCTTCATGCGACGGTCCACGATGTAGATCCCGTAATCGGACGAATTCTCGATCAACTCCTCCATGTAACAACCGAATCCAGAGAGGTTCGTGGTGATGCTGGGAACGCCCATCACGGTGCATTCAGCCGGCGTATATCCCCACGGCTCATAGTATGAAGGGAACACCCCAAGATGCGTGCCACGGACAAAGTCATCGTAGTCTAATGGGAGCACGGGGTTGGATGAGTTCAAGAACTCCGGGTGGAAGACGACTTTAACCCGGTCTGACTCATGGTTGAAGAGTTGAACACGACGAATCTGATTCAGGATCGGGTCCTCGTGGTCGCTGACCATATTGTGTGTCACAATCGGAGGCAAGGAGTGTCGTTTCATAGCAAAGAGTCTGCGACGCAAAAGCACGCGATCCTGACTAGCCATCAAATCCTTCTCGTCCGGCATGTTGTCGCCTTCCTTCCATGCTAGGCACCGCTCGTACATTCTTCTTCCGATACTTTTCTCGATCATCTCAATCGTATCCCTCAGGGATTTCACGACCGCTTGGCCCTTGAGCGACTCGACTGTAAGTGATGACGTCTGAGCGGGCATAATAATAAACGCGACGACAGTCATCTTAGATCCCTCAGATTTGAGGCGGTGGTTTAGACGCGCTAAGCCCTCGATGAACATGTCAACTCCTTTGTTTCGGAACTCATAGCGTCCAGAAGTGAAAACGTAGAGGGTATTCTCCAAGTCAAAGTTGTTGTGACCGTAGAAATGCCCACGAACAAAGTCATTGATCTTTTCTTTGGACTGTGAATGTAGGTTCTGAAATTCATGCACAGCAGAGAACTTCTTGACATTCAACCCATTGGGCAGCACTCCATCAGGCTTCCTTTTGAGAAGATGTTCGCTCTCAAAGGCTGTGATATGTGAGACCGTGGTGAAGACATCTGCTGTATGAGCGGCAGCTCGCTCAATGCAGTACCTGTGATAGATCCCCCGTTTTCCAGCTTCCGCATCAACATCGAAGTACTGGAGGTTGTTATAGAAATCCACCGATCCAGCGCACAGGTACCGACCGAGCAAGGTCGCGTGGGTGGTGAATATTGTCGTCAAGTCCATATGCCTTTTCTTAGTGAGTGGCAAGGCGACACCAGCCAGCCATTCGTGGAAATGAGCAACGACCGCATAGCGACGCTCATGCGCAATGAACTGAACAACCACAGTTAGCATATGCACGCGCGCAGTCAGTGTTATATGTGCTCGGATCACATACTTCACCCAAGAACCATGCTACCAAGTAACCGAAGACAATGGCCTCATTCGTCTCACTATCAGCAGGGGGCGACGGGATACCAGCTGAATTCCACAAATCTCCCTTCCACTCGTCCAGATATTTGTATCCAGTCCCCGTGTCAATGAGGAGCACTCGCGGCGCACCCTCGATCAGCCAGCGACCGTAGACGATTTCGATCCCCCGCTCCTTCATAGACTGGATGGTCTCAATCAAACGGGGGTTCGACGGCGTCAACTCCTCGACCTCCACGGCTGCTGAAGCACGATTGAGAGGACCGATCAGAGTATAGCGGTCGCCATACTCTGCGGTGGTCACGGGCGCTTTGGACTTGAGAACCGAGTAGATGCCCCCGACCCGGTTGGCCACTTCGGTGGCAATCTCAAATAGAATGTGATTACGAACATCTCTCTTGAGAGGCTCCTGGCCACTGTCCTCACTAGCCATGGTTTAGCTCTAGCGCTCAGGCAAATGCAGAATGGGGATTATGAATAACTAAAAGAAAGCCAAAAGGAAAGGAGAAGGAAGCTTGAATAGAGGCAGCGAAGGTAAATAATAAACAAAGACTCAAGGAGAAACGGGCTCGGCGCTTCTTGGGGGGGGGAAGCTCGAGGAAGGTCGAGGAGAGGAGGTGACGTGCGGGGGAAGGGCGAAAGGCAGGTGGTGTGGCGGGGAAACGAAGGAATATCAATCAAACAGGGAGGAGGAAGAGGAGGTTGGACCTCGCCATCGTTGGGACAGGGACCGCAAGGAGGGGCGCAGATTCTGCTCCATTCACTCCCCTTCCTCGCTTTCCCCTCAATTCAGGCTACAAGAGCTTTTCCCTCGCGCAATTGCCCGACCAGGGTGCCGGGAAAGCTCACCGAAGGCCCCCGTCCTAAGCCAAGGTTGGAGTTGCACGGACGCATCCCCGGTTCTGGCGACGGCCACCAAGGGATCCCCCGGCAAATGACATCCCCGGTTGGTTGGTCGATTGCAGAATCATCCGACCAGATGATGATGGTTGCAACGTTCCAGCTGGAGCTCGGGCGTACACGACCTGTTATCTGCATCCTCAGCGCCTATGCCCATCGGCCATTACGTTGTTTTGGAGCTAGTCGAGCCGCCTCCCTACAGGGGTCTAGACACCCGAGCGCATTGTTGGGGTGGCAGGTGGCACAGTGGGAAATTCATTCCCACCAAGAATTAATCTCCTGAAGAACCGGAGAGATCGATCGCGACCGGAAAGGGGGGATGTCGAAGATAAGGAACATTCGTTCGGCTTCCTGGGTCCCTGGGTCCCTGGGTCTCAACACGTACCAGAATGTGCCTCCGCTTGGCTCCAGCGCCGGGTTTGGGCAAAATCGGGGCAAATCTGGGGAAAGCTGCTCGGATGTGACGTCACCAGTCCTGGCCGCTGAAGCTCAACTCGCCCGCCGATAAACTCCCGGGCCTCCCAGCAGCCACCTCGCTGCACCACCCTGCAATCGTGACGGGAAGATCACCAGGCTCATCTTTGATCTTACTGGCCTGCTTGCCTCTTCTGATAACCACAACGATCATTGGTGCTCAACTGGTGAGATAGACATTATGTGTCAATGCTCCACGGCTGTAGCCAATATATTCAACCCTGCAAGATCTGCAAGTTGGCAGTCACCGCAGTCACCTCACACGGTTGTGGGCTCAAACAAGCCAGCATCAATTTGAATTCATCCCTCCAATATCCACTGAGGTCGTATCGAGACTCATGGGGCTCAGGAAAGGGGGTAAGTGGACCCTCAAGCGCGCTACTTATACTACATAGCGGATATGGGACGGACTTCTTTAAACGCAACCTCGCGTATCGAGCCGTCCGATATGATGCGATCGCTCCGATAATGTTGATCATCTCCAGTAAGCGAATCGCCGATCAGACCCAGCACCAGACTAAGGGTCTACAATATCAACCGGATTCTAAAATTGACCCTCTCTGTCGGCTATCTTCCTAGAAGTCTAACTGCCATGAATACCGCGCTGACATCCTCTCGATTCTAGTGGCGTGTATTCGATGACTTCCCCCTTCCTCAGACTGAAACCCATCGCGATAAACGAATCGTCGAATTCCCGAGACAATCGTGCACATAGTAAAGTCCGATTGACATGGATCACCATTCAAAGCTCGGCCACGGTCGCATACTATACGTACCGACTTGAAGTCATTTTCGTCTGAGGATCCTCCGGGGAGGATAGGATGGTGGACACAACGATATCACCAGCTGCTCTCAGCTTTGCTCGCCACATATCCGGGTCTCTCAACTGAATTGATGCTAAATCGACTCGCAGGTTGCCAAGCAGTCGGGCAATGGTGGTTTTGCCTCAGTCTGACCCCCCATTGGTATAACAGGTTGTCTTTCCAGTTTCGATTCGGTCGATAACCCTTTGTTATCACGTATCCAGGCACTGCCCCGATGTAACCTTCAGGATAACGTAGATAACTGAGCAACTGCTAGCTCGAAACGCTTGACAAACCATCAAGATGCTGACTTAATCCAGTAGCTGATGTCTTGCGGTGGTGGTATTTTCCAGGTGATTTAGAACCACGCAGATGGAGAAGTTTGACGAAAGCGGATCCCTTATGTTCCGATCAATTGGGTTACATGAGTTTGCACCTATTAGACATATGAATTATTGAGTATGCAGAAAAACTGATTCCAATTGTACGGCTTCAAATTTGGCTCTACCCGTATACTACTACATCCCGGGAAAATAAATATACACAGCAACGGGAAGGTCAAGATCAAACAGCAGGGTCATTGCCCATTTCTACTATACTCAAGTCCGATCAATGACTGAGAGTCCTAGTATTAAATATCGAATGACAAACCCTATAAGAATATTAGTTTCGCTCTCGATATCGAGAAAATAAAAGAGAGCAAATTCCGGCAACCTCAACAATCAAAAGAAATTGAGGCTACTACTCTAACCCGTTCGCTTCCCATTATCACCAACCCAACAAATCCCAATATTCTCATTCTCTCACACATTACAATCCTAAAAGCACAAGAAATAAGATTTTTACAACATCAGCAAACAGTGGTACACAACCAAAACTCACCCAAGTTCCGTTCCCAATAACCTTCCCGCCGCCAACCACACCCAAACCACTATCACCACCACACAACCTCACTAACCTAACCCAGAAGACACCAACAACTAAGAATAACCTGAAACAACAATACCATCACTCAATTATACCCAGAATCACATCCAACCATCCAGTAACCCTTTCAATCAATCTTCATCTAGATCCTTCCAATCGCCAAACACGGTACCTGATTTAAACCCTTCTATGAAGTCATCGCTCCCCACAATGACTTCACGATGCTGTCAACATCTCGAATCGATGTGTTCATCGACCTGGTCTCTTCAGATATAAGAACCACCATCTCTTGAGTACCACTTACATGTAACTTCATTAATTAAATCAATCACAAGCACAAGCACAAGCACAAGTACGAAGTACTTTTCTGCAACATAATACGAAAACTACACTACAACCAACAACCAAGGTATGCACACTCCACCACCACCACCAACTTCCCCAAACTAACACCACTCAGACAAACAACAACCAAAATGCCCCGCGGAGCCGAATACGACAACGGAATCCCCCAAAGCGACAACGCTATTGAGGCCGGCGAGACGAAGGTCCACGGAACCAACCCTGACGTATGTCCCTTACCCTCAATCTTCCTCCAACAAAAAGTCCAATATATGCTAATAGAATACATACAGAATGACCACCTAAACCGCGCTCAGCGTACCGCTCCCCTCCCCGAAGCCGCGCACAGCAGTGGCGGAACATACAGCATCGGGGGCAGTTCGGGCCCGAATAAATTCGGCAGTGGGAAGGGTGGACACGAGCCCAAGACTCTGGGGGAGAAGAAGGGATTGGGTGCTATTTAAATGAAGTTATGAATGAAGTGTGTTTAGGGAGTTTGGGGATGCATCGGTTTAATGAAAGGCATGTATAAATAAATAACTATTGACTTGTGTACTACTTTTCATTCGATGAGTGTTATGAGAAGATGGAGAAGGCCTCCTGGGTTTGAGGTCTGGATGAAATGATGTATTTTGATTTGAGATGATATGGGTTGTTTGTGGTTTGTTGTTTGTCTTGTATTACTTGTAGATGGATGGAGTAATTGAGTAGGTGGGTGAAATTCTTATTAGATCTATATATGTATGTGTGTGTAGGCTACGCTCTTCGAGTGCGCCGGACAATGAACAGAAAGGTTGGGAATGACTGTACAGTCCTGTACCATGTGGTATAGGAGGTCTACGAGGCGATTCACACTAGTTATACACAAGACCGTCAAGGCCCAAACACGGATCGATTGCCTCTGTTAGGATTGATTCTTCGACGCGCCGTTTGCATCAGAAGACGACTTTCGAGAGGAGTCCGTGGAAGAAGCCTTGGATTCGGTGGTGATCTTCTTTTGGTTTACCAATTCGAGTAGACGCTGGCCCAGATCGCCAAAGCCGTCGATCTTGCTCAGCTTCGTTTGAAGATACTCCGCATCTCGTTGCAGTCTGGAACAATTAGCTTAGGTCGCAGTCATGAGGCAGTAACACTTACCGTTGCTTGCCAGCATCTGAAGTTACGGTAACCTCTTCGAATGCCTTCGTCCACTGCTCTCGATAGCTGCTGAACACAGGATCCATGATCATCATAACCGTCATGTCGGGAAGATGCTTGCTTAGCACCCGATGCAGTGTGCCCGTTTCCTTCGTCAGAGTTTCCATGTATGGACTCACACCACTACCCCCTGCGGGCGCATTCCAGTCAATCTTTTTCATGGCATTGACATGGATAGACGATCGAGATCCCATTATGTCCACAAGTTTCTCATGAATTCCGGACTGATGCTCTTGGTAAAGCCGCTTCACCTTATCAAACTCTCCCATCAGCGGGCTGGACGGTGCATGACGACGAACAAACTCTCGGATATAGGGAACCAGGGCAATGACAAAGCTCAGCGCCTGGGACGACAGGGCCAGGTGCTTAGTAGTGATATTCTTGAGTCCCGCACTCCTTGTTGCTCCAGCACCAAGAATCAGTTGGGAGGAACGTGAGTTGAATAGCTTCAGGGACTCCAACAGACCAGGCGCAATGTCCTGCATCATGCTGGGTATATTCGCCATGATGAATTGATATTCCTCAATACTTTTCATCATTGCCACAGCTGATTCAGAAAGAATATACTTCTGCTCGTCGATCATGGCACTGCGCAACTTCTCCTTGCCAGAGCCATTGACAACTGTAGTGTTTGCCGGTGATGGTTGTCGGCGTTCATCCTGGGACAGCCATATCTTCGATGCGTCTACCCAGACGTCAATGTCTCTGGTGCTTGCACCCAGGATGCGGTCTAGGATAGCATTGTCGGCTTCTCCAAAGTCCCTCGCATCCCATCGGTCGGCGTCCATTACCTCGACTACACGACGCCGTTGCCCATCTCCAAATCGATTGATGTAATCGCGGATCTGGTTGCCTACAACGGTCTTCAACGCAGTACCACTTCGCCCCGAGATAGCCTCGCACTCATCAGCAAAGAGCCGATTGAGAGTGAAGTACTTGAGGAAATCCTCTTTTTGAAGCTGAGACGTCTGTTCTGATCGAACCTTCAACACCTTGGTAACCTGGGATTGGGCAATATCGACGGCTTGACCAAGAAGGCTCGACATATCCAAGACCTGCAGTATCTCATCTTGTGCCACAATGGTTGTAGGCCCCGGGGTTGAAGCCTTGCCTGGACCTTGTGGATTCGGGCTTGGAGGACCAGACTTCACCCCGATCGGGGTTGGATTCTCCAGCCCACTCGCAATATCAAGAAGGACTTTGACTTGAACACTAAGCCTCCGGAGAGACTCGCTGATACCAGTGTATACCCGTGCGAGCATGTTGTATGAATCCTGAGCGTCCAAGGCACGGAGATTCCGCGCCAGGATCGAGGACTTCTCTTGCTGACTGAGCTGCTGGGACTTTTGGGTCGATATCGATACCACCGACTCGTTATCATCGTCACTGGAACTTGGCATGTGTTTGCGAATCAGACTCTTCATCTCTCGCAGCACCGCAGTCTTGAAGGCGGTTGCTGCAGGTGTCGTGTGGCGGACACGAGCAAGGCCGGTGAGATGTAGGTGCAACCTGGACCGTAACTGGTCATCAAAAGCCATATATGCCGGGGGTTGCATAGCGCCTGAGCGCTGTGCTCCACGCTGACGCTGAAACGCAGATCCCCAGCGTTGCAATGTTGCATCCAAAGGCATGTTCTCGATATGCTGCCTCAGATCGCCCAGTAAATCGCTCAAGAAACGGCTTTCATAACCTGTGCCTATGCGGTACCTTAGGTGAGCTAGGTCATCAGAAGCGCCTTCCAGTGCTTTGAGCCTGCGCAAATCGATAGCCTTCCTCGGTTGATCCTGCGGCTCCTTTCCGTCGGTAGGACCAGGGGTATATTCTCCGGCCATCAGTCTCTCCACCTCTTCTAAACCATCCGCGGCCTCCTCGATCTTGCCGGTCTCGACTAGTTCCTCGCATCGAGAGACAGATTGAACGACGTCACGAAGTTGCGATACTGCATCGGCGAGCATGCGCACATTCTCCCTCCGACGTCGCAGATTGACAATCTTGAGACCACCAAGTGCCATTTCTCGGTCGATTTTCTGCAGGTCCTTCCGCAAGATCTGGATCCGCTTCACCGAATCAGCAGCCTCTGCATGCAGCTCACGCAGTGACCCCAGTGCGGTAAAAAAAGACTTCGACGCAGTCGAGATCGACGAAATAAGGTGAATTTCTACAGTGTCCATGTACCATGAAAGCTTCTCCTGCAGAATAGCATTTGTAGCTAGGGCCTTTCTACCCGTAGGAGCCGGCTCCAGAGCAGCGCCATTCTCGGCTTTATCCTTCGATGGTGTCACAATCTCAGACTTTTCCGACACAACATCAAAGGTCCGGGGGTTCTCTAGGTGGAAGTCGTCCTCAAAGTAGACCGTAGGGATTGTAGATAGAGGTGTAACTGCATGTCCGCGACCGCGACCAGCATATGACCTTTTCCTACCCCGAGTATCGTACGGAGAACTTGCTCGGGAACTGGTTGATATCGCCGAGGGTCGCCTTTCCCGGGACCTTGGAACCAACGAGTCCGAGTCCTCTGTCTTGGGAGAAAGATTGTCGCGTCCCCGCGCTAGCTGTGAATCCTGATCCCCAGTGCTTTCTTTTGCTTGTTGAAAGACATCGTACAATGATCCGACCTGCGATAGATACGCCTCGAATGCTTCGGGATCCACGTGGGGAATATTTGTCAGGGTGACGGGAGGGATATCGCGAGTAGTCGGGGGCTTATATCCGGCGGAGGGGACGGCGGTATGGGGAACAAGACCGGTGCGGACAATCGGAGGCTGCAGGAGGGTAGAGATTGCTGCGCCGAATTAGCATGGTTTTATCTTTAGTCACTTGTCTCATGAGCCCAGGTGCCGTACCATTTTGTCCGGACTCAGCTATCGATCCATGGCGGTAGGAAGGATCCAGAATCCCCCCAATACTGGCAATCGAGCTCGCCGTTGACCCTCTCCTTAAGGGAAACCTCTGAGTTGACGCTCGGGGAGACTCGATCTGGCTCAATGAAAACTGAGACAAGGACGGGGTCGAAGCGCCTGAGGCCAAGCTGTCAATCGACTTCCGGGGGGTTGCGGAGGACATATCGTTGATGGCGGATTAGCGACTCCCACGGCCACCGTGCTAGTACTCGGGAGAACAAAGGAACAATGTTATCTACACATGACAAGAGGACAGCGGCAATTAAGAACGGGGGCGCGTAAGCAGCGTTCTGCCAATGATCCCACGCTGCCAGGGTACAAGACCTGTGGTCCAAAGAGGAGGAGAATGAAAGCCACGCCGACGAGGCCCGCTGCAACGTCACCCTCGACCCTCTGATACGGGGGGTTTGTTCATGACAGCTTCCCCCGATCCGGTATGGTGCCAGGCCCTGAGACCACCCACTAGCCTGCTTTGGGGTTCCTCGGGATTTAGTGTTTCCGGTTCCCGTCCCCGTGCTCCCTGCAGCCTCAGGCCAAACACAAAAACCACTTAACGCGTGAGGCGACGCGACGCGTTCCGCTCGTGTTGCTGCCGCAGAAGTTATTTGCAGGGCCTTTTGCCCTGGCAATGGGATGGATCCGAAATCAACACATCTCATCACAACCTCCCCGCAGCCCGCCCTGCTGTCTTCGCCATGGACAGACGCACCCCCTACACCCTGAGCGTCCTCGCTCCCAGCGTCGATGGTGTGGAAGACTCTCGTTCTCAGATTCAGGCCAAATTGAAGGAGTTTGTGCTGGAATTTCAGCTCGACAATGCATTCATCTACCGGTATGTTGTGTTTTGGCTGTCAGATACATGGAAGAAAAACATAAGCTAAGGTTTATGGCAGCGACCAACTTCGACAGAATGTCTTGGTCAAGCAATACTATTGCGACATTGATATTGCACACTTGATTTCATATAATGAAGAGCTGGCACACAAGCTCACCACAGAGCCTGCCGACCTCATTCCCCTTGTGAGTATTCTTCCCCCAACTCCTCGACTTTCCTCCTAACCAGGCTTGTCATCTTCTAGTTCGAAGCGGCACTTCAGGATTGCACTCGCCGCATTGTATACCCCTCTCAGAGAGACATCGTCCTGCCAACCCACCAGCTTCTGCTTCACTCTTCTGCAACTCATATTTCTATCCGCGACCTCAATGCCACCAACATCTCGCACCTTGTTCGTATCCCTGGTATCGTGATCGGCGCATCCACAATATCATCCAAGGCAACGGTGATGCACATTCGATGCAAAAATTGTGGCCACACAGAGAATCTCCGAGTTGAGGGTGGTTTCTCGGGTCTTCAGCTGCCTAGAAGATGTGGTCGCCAGCAACAACCCGGCGACAATCAATCAGAGCCTTGCCCTCTGGACCCATATGTCGTATCTCACGAGAAATGTCAATTTGTCGACCAGCAGGTTCTCAAGCTTCAGGAGGCGCCTGATCAAGTGCCCGTGGGTGAGCTTCCCAGGCATGTTCTCATTTCAGCAGACCGATACTTGGCCAACAGGGTCGTGCCTGGCTCTCGTTGTACTGTGATGGGAATTTTTTCGATCTATCAATCCGCCAAGGGTGGCAAGAAGGATGGAGCCGTGGCTATTCGCAACCCGTACTTGCGGGCAGTGGGTATCAGCTCCGATCTGGATCATACCGCTAAGGGCAGCGCCATCTTCTCCGAAGAAGAAGAGCAAGAATTTTTGGAGCTTAGTCGCCGTCCTGACTTGTATGAGGCTCTTGCTAAAAGTATAGCTCCGTCGATCTATGGAAACCTGGACATCAAGAAGGCCATCGTCTGCCTGCTCATGGGTGGTTCCAAGAAACTCCTCCCCGACGGAATGAAGCTGCGTGGTGATATCAACGTGCTTCTCCTTGGTGACCCCGGTACGGCCAAGTCTCAGCTGCTCAAGTTCACGGAGAAGGTTTCCCCTATTGCTATTTATACATCCGGTAAGGGTTCTTCAGCAGCCGGTTTGACGGCATCGGTTCAGCGCGATCACGCCACCCGTGAGTTCTACCTGGAAGGAGGTGCCATGGTGCTTGCAGACGGCGGTGTCGTCTGTATTGATGAATTCGATAAGATGAGAGACGAGGACCGAGTCGCCATCCACGAAGCCATGGAACAGCAGACCATCTCCATTGCCAAGGCTGGAATCACTACCATTCTGAACTCAAGGACATCGGTTCTGGCCGCAGCCAACCCGATCTTCGGTCGTTACGATGACCTGAAAACTCCTGGTGAAAACATTGATTTCCAGACGACCATTCTGTCTCGTTTCGATATGATCTTCATTGTTCGCGATGACCATGAACGCAGTCGTGACGAAAGCATCGCGAGACACGTTATGGGTGTGCATATGGGCGGTCGGGGTGTCGAGGAGCAGGTTGAGGCGGAGATCCCGCTGGACAAGATGAAGCGCTATATCAGCTATTGTCGCACGTAAGTTGTTGATTTTTTTTCTCATTTTTTCCACAGTAACATGTCATCACAGGCGTTGCGCGCCCCGTCTCTCGGATGAAGCTGCTGAAAAGCTGTCGTCCCACTTCGTCACCATCAGAAAGCAAGTTCACCGTGCTGAACTTGATGCCAATACCCGATCCTCCATTCCGATTACTGTTCGTCAACTCGAGGCTATTGTCCGTATCACCGAGTCGTTGGCCAAACTGAGCTTGTCGCCGGTCGCCACTGAGGCCCATGTGGACGAAGCCATCCGTCTTTTCTTGGCCTCGACCATGGATGCCGTCACTCAAGGTGAAGGGCAGGGCAGCAAGGAGATGATGGAAGAAGCGAGCAAGATCGAAGACGAACTGAAGCGCCGTCTGCCCATCGGATGGAGCACCAGCCTGGCGACGTTGAGGCGCGAGTTTGTTGACGGAAGGGGTTACACGGAACAAGCTCTGAACCGGGCATTGATTGTGATGCAACGACGAGAAACCGTTCAAATCCGGTCGGGTGGCTCACAGGTATACCGGCACGGTGTATAGTGCTTTGTTCTTCTGCTTTTTAATTGACAGCATGCGATATGGTCGGGAATGATCCTTCAAAGTTTGTTGGCTGGAACGACGCTATGTATCAAATTGGGCTCGGGCACAACAGGGATGAAACGGTGTACGGCGTATTGCTTTGTTCTGGGCGATCGACTGATTAGTTACTAGATGAGCGAACTTCATGAGGGGCAATATAACAACAATAATCATCGATATCTTACCAGTTTATATACAGACACCTTCGTGTGTCATATGTTTCTCAACACAGCTCTAGAAAGGCACAGTCGACTCTGTGTGCAGGGAGCTTATGCAGTTGGTGGCCCAGCCCCAATGTCAGGAATTTGGTGATTGTCCTCGACGACAAATCGGCTCGTTTGTGGCCTTCGATGTTCTCGTGTCCGGGAACCCAATGAATTTCGATCTTGACTCCCATCGTGGATAGTCGGTATGAGAGCGCATCAATAAGATCCACCAGACGGTCTGCGAGCGGGTTGGGCTTTTTTGAATCCGGTCGGAGCATAGTCATAGCGGACATGCAATCAGTGAAGACCCGGACGGTATGACCTGACGCTTCAAGCCTCTCCAACCTATGGACTGCGGCTTTCAGTCCGGCCCCGATGGCAAACAACTCACCTTGCTGGCTGAGACGGGCATCATCGACGACATACATCAGTTCGGCCAAATCACCGCCCTGCAGCTTGTCCCAGACGATTGCAGCCCCAGATGGTGCGATCTGATCAGCAGCTGTCGATCCGTCCACCCAGAAAACATGGCGGTTGTTTGAGGATTTCTCATTCTCCACAGCATATGTAATCGCGCCTGCGTGTGGGCGTACGGCCTGTACTCTGTCGAATCGACTGTCTTGGTATGTTTGGATAGAAGGTTGAAACTGTTCCTGATGTTGTTTCCCCTGTTGTTGCTGCGGTTGCTGCTGCGGTTGCTGTTGCGGTTGCTGTTGCGGTTGCTGTTGCGGTTGCTGTTGCCTTTTATTCTGCTTCTGAGCGTGCTTCTTACCCCGACGCTTCTTCGATGCCTTAGCCTCGATGGGCGCGGCGTCATCAGAGACAGGACTAGGGGCATCACCTTGAACCCGGATTAGGTCAGTGTGGGAATCTCGACTGCTTTCGTTGCTGTTGCTGTTGCTGTTGCTGTTGCTGCTGGCACTACTGGTACTGGCACTTCTGTGCTCACGTTTACCGAGGACAAAGGCAGCAGCACCTTTGACCTTATCGGTGTGGGAATCTCGAATCTTGTCATTGGAACTCTTGGACTGGACCCGATCAAGGATATAATCCCTGTCGATCATAGGAGAACCTCGAGCACCGTCTTCAACCCTCTGTACCCCGGCATCTTCAAGAGTAAAGTCTGCCACTTTACCCTTGACGATTTGGGGCTTCACGTTATTCCAGTTGATGGAAGCAACCTCTGCAGGCATCTGCGCCTCCATGATGGTTTCTGGTTAAGAAGAACTGTTTTGAAGGAACTGCTCTGAAGAAGCTCCGAACCCTCTGTGGGAACGGTATGGGGAAAGGTGTGGGAAACGCTGTGGGAAACGCTGTGGTGAAATATATGAAGGGAAAACTTGGAGGAATGATATGGGGAGATCTCTATGAGATCTGGAAATAAGCTGGAAGATGGCGCTATCAAAAAACAGATGATGGTGATGGTGAGGTTGAGTGGATGGTCTGTTGGGGGGAAACATCAGGAAGAGATCTATATCTGACTCACCCTACACTACATAAGCTTTACGTCGAACTGATGACTCGGATACAGAATCATGACGATATGCCTGGAAAGCCATTGAAATATTACAAAAGGTCAGGGAGTATCAAAATGTGCAGACGAAGACAACCTGGGTTTCGTACTTGGTCCGGTCTATCAGATGCATTGTTCACTTCTTCTGATAGAATTACGATAGCCGCACCAGTGAACATATACTTCTATTGATAGGGATGGCAGCTATATCACGGCTTTTCAGCCCCAGGTAGCCCGTCACGTCTGGAAATACGGTCATGACTTCCGAGAATATGTGGCGAAGAACGGACTGGAGTCGCTTGGGTGATCTATATGGATTGCGGTAAGCGAAAGCTTACTAGCGAGGATCAGATTAGCGAGAATCGTATGGACGAGTTTCCAGATCTGTAGCCTGTTCTCGCTTATATGACAAATGAACAGAACCCTCGATCCTGCTTGCTACGAGGTTGTCATAAGTCCCTGCATATTGATTTGCAGTAGATCAATCTTCCCTCTCTTATTTCCCGACAGTGATCTTCCACCCGGATCCTCTCCCGAACTGCGACCTAATTGCTGGTAAGCCCACTAGAAGATGAAGCCAAAGCTTATGCAGAAAATTGCTCGGCTTGAGACGGCCCCAAACCGCGTACAGCATGACGTAGCATATAGTTCCTGCTGAGGCTTCCGGGAGTCATACTACTATATATCATTCCATACGAGAGATTTATTTTTTTACTTTCTAATTAGTTCTATAATTTTCCTCATATATAGATCTCCATCTTTCTATACTCTGCACTAGAATGTGTACAGGCAAAATATCCGACATTGTCACGGGAGTAGTAGCTCATCATTTCTGGTTCCGTTCCTGAGTCCCTGCTCGGTTCGCTTATATATAGAAGTAGTACTACTACTATATTATAAGGTTCCCAAGACAGGGCTAGTATTTACCTAGCAGCTTTGAGTATATATGTTCCGAGTAGTATAGTATATTCTATTCCAGCTTTACTCATATCGTAAAATTGATGATTTATACACTAGTCGAAAAATGATTGTGGGTGGTGATAATTCAGGCATGCTACGACTACGTCACCGCATGAAAGGCTTTCAACTGGAGATGAAACAGGACACTGATACTACTATATATCAAGACAAGAATGAGGAGTTGGGGTATCATACACTACTATTTACAATCCATGCCCGTGTCAATAGTATTAAATTGAATTATGGCTTACTGTTCGTTCCCCCTACATCAAGTTCTTCGGGAAAGATCGCTAACACTAGTATTTCTTCGATCAGTAACATATATCGAGCACTGCGATTTACCACCACACCAGCTGCTCAATCTGATAAATTCCTTCACCCCGTACACTTACTTAACATGTGATACTCACAAGTATCTTAAAGGCATTTATAACCCCCCTTGTCCTTTCAGTGAAGATCCGATTTACGAAGTACCCGAAATAAACCCATGTGACACTGGGAACAAACTCAACCCAGTATCTGATATCTAGGTAGATAGCAAAACACGAAATGCAAGGTCGGAAGGTAACCTTAGTATCCACACCCGCGTATCTATACTATGTCAACACTGTTTACATGGTTCCATCGGGCCTCCCCGAACCATGGGTGCAAGGGGGTGAAACGTCCCGCAGCCTCATCCGCGCCTTTTGGCTGGGTGATTGAATTTTTTTCAGTCTGCGGATGTGAGCAGAGGACACGGGTTGTAGGTGTTTGCTGATATGGATGGCTTTTGTGCTCTGGTGTCGAATATTTAGATAGCTGGTGTTGGCAGCATTAGCAGGTGACTGATTCACCTCTGGTTCAACGGACGGCACCGACGAAAGTAACCAGCCAAAGAGGTGAGATATGTGAGGTACGAGGCTTCGCAGCAACCGTGGCCCGGGTGATGGCATTCTTTTGTAGGAAAAGTATCCGACAGCATTCCTCAAGTCAAGCGGGTCTGAATTAGTTAGTTAGTACTGACGCGCCGGCGCGTGGGAGATGGATACGGCCGAGATAGATAGCGGGTCAGAAGACAGCCCTGACATGCCAAAACTAAAAGGTTAACCAAGATTAACTCGGCTGGTCCGTGGCAGAGAAAAAAAAAACCGGAGCATGTCATCGAATTTACGTTCCTTGGGTCGTCCGTCTACTTGACGCGAAGAATGGAAATAAGCGTGTCACTTGAGCTCTGGGAGACAGACTGGCCTTCGCCATTTCCGGCGCGTAACGTGCGTATCCCCTGACTCTCGGGTCTGGGTCTGGACCACAGGTTGTCCACTGACGGGGCATATGGGATGGGTTAGTCGTAGATAGATGCTGGTTGGGAAGAGGTGCAGCGAGTAAGGACTCTTGGGCTTCGGCTGAGCTCACTTGCCAGGGTTCTATGTTTCAGGTTGGTGCAGCAGCGCCAGAGACATGGGTTGGGAAGCGCCGGGGATGACGGTGAAGAACCTAAATTAGAGTCGTGCTGACGGACGAGAGATAATTATATCATGATCCGTTGATCTAGACTGGATTTAGTCCAGATGTACTCCGTATGCTGCCGTTACACCATGTCGCAGTCAATCACCATCATAGGACAGACGCCGTAGCGCCGTCCATCGCGCCGGCCCCAAGGAGTGCAGTGGTGAAACATGGGAGGGGGCTACGTGGTTGACTCTGGCTGAGATGGACACGCGCGATGGAGCGATGGCGCGCCATGCGTTCTGAATCGGGGAGGGAGTGGACGATCTGGTTGGTGAAAAGGAGGAGGGGAAAGAAAGGGTCGTGATGGAACGCGTTGAAGGGGGGTGTATGAGTGGGGTGGAGGCAGACACGGTCAGCCATGGATCCTTGAGTTCAATGGATTGATAGAAGAGGCAGATAGCATTCCTCTAGTAGTTGAGATGCTGGAGTAGATGATATCATCTGACGAATCGACACGATTGGCGAGTCAATGAATCTTGCAGCCATCCATCCATCCAACATCCGCATCGGGGATGGGGCGGGAAACCCTGATCGCCGGTCGAGCGCGACGCGCCTCGAGGAGGGCGACGTGATGGCAATTAGGATCTATCTTGTACTAGTACGAGGAAGAATGAACATTGTGGGAGCCAATAATCCATCAATAGTGAGCGTCTCAGCTGGTCAGCCTTGCATGACACCATTGGAGGGGGGTAAAGAGTGGATTTAGCCTCCGTCTGGAATTCGGTTCCCTGGCCATCTGGCGGCCATTCCGGGCAACGCCAGTCCGACACGAACTCGACGCGCTCGCCCCGAATTCCCCATCGTTACTTATACCTCGTCTTGGTCCTCCCTCTTCTTAGCCCTCTCCATCCCCGTGCATAACCTTCAGCCCTTGCCCGTTGAAACCGCTTGTCTGCATGTTTCGTGTCTTTGTGCCGAAGCCTGGAATGAGCGTTGAATAACCAGCAGCCCGCCGTGTTCCCTGCCCTCTCCAATTTTAGGCATTCTCGAGTCGACGCTGCCTACCACGCTGACTGACACCCTTGCCTTCATCGCCTCTTATATCTCCTCGCCTGGCTCGCTCGTTCTCCTCCTGTGTCACTTTCCATCTTCCTGTCTCGTTCTCGAACACGGGATCGTGGACAATCAATCTTATCGTCACCGTCACCGTCATCATCCCATCCATCCTATTATTTCCTCCCTCTCGGATCCTAACCGTCGATCGCCTCAGACCGCCAATCGACCCCACTCTATCGACGCGACCAAAACATCCCGTCTCCAACACGGCCTCGTTGCCTGTTGATATCCATTCCTATCCACTCATCCTTTCTATCTCGTCATCAATTCCTCGTCTGATTCATCCCGACCGGTCTACACAATGGCCGCTCTCACAATGACCCCTGCCACCATACGCCAACCCTTCGCCAGCTTGGATGCGCCACGCATGCGTTCCTTGCTCAAGAACAAGATGAATCTAAAGAACAAACAGGATGGTATGTTTTTGCAAAGCCTCGCTTCTGCTCACGTGCGATAAAGCTGATATATATAAACCCAGGTGCCATGCTTTTGGCAAAGAAGCAATCCTTGTCGGATATGGACTCGGAAAATATTGACCCAACCACCCTTAAACACTCGACTAAGCGCAAACGTGGTGCGGAGGATGACGGTCTGGAACCTGCCAAGGAACCATGCAAGCCTTTCAAGTCCTCGCGCATGGTGCCGACCACCGTGGAGTCCATCGGTGTGACTCCTCGCAAGCCTACAACTCCCACAAAGCCCGCCCTGTCTACCCCCAAGTCCGCTCCCATCCTCCGGCCTGCTGGACGCTCACCCCCACCCAAGTCGTGCAAGTCATTCTCTCGTCGCTCCACTATCGCCAAAGGCCGTCTCGAGTCTGCTAGTCGGAAGACCGTCCACCGCCCATTTTCCCTTGCAACTGCTCTATCCGGCTCCAAGTCGAAGCGCCACTCCACTCCCAAAGCTCCTGCCTCCTGGTCATTTGATATCCATGTGGACAACGAACAGGACGAGATGACCAACCTGATGCAGCACTCCACCTGTGTCCTGGACATTAGCGACCAGGAAGGGAAATTGGAAACCTCGGGACGAGGCAAAGAGAACGTACCTCCCGCTGAGCTCGGCATTGAGCTTCCTCGCTCCCGTCAGCGCGAGTCCCCTGCTGCCGCGGCACGTAAATCCGTTATGCTTGAGGAATCTCGGGAGCCCTTGGGTGACCTTGTCCCTGCTGATTACTATGGAGAAGATTGCCATGCTTTTTCGTATGCCATTGTATACGATGAGGAGGCCGAGGAGAATGCCAAGGCACCCGTGTCCTCTCTACCACGCCCCAGCCCCACCTCCAACCGCAGCAAGCTTTCTACTGTTTCATCCATCTCTGCCTTGGTTGAAGCGACCACCCCCGCAAAGTCTATTCTTGAACAAAATGCCGAACCCTCTGAGGCTGAGATCGAAATCTGGGAGAGCGCAAGTGCTGCCGAGGAAGCGGCCAATGCTGCCACCGCTTGATAGGCTTTCGCCTACCTTATCACTTTCGTCTATATCAACAAGAGCTCTATTACAACGGCGTTTGGATTCCTTTAGGGGCTGTACAGAATCGTTCTTGGATACCCTACTGATACCGTCTTTTTGATTTCGTTTGAAGCCCCTTTGAACTGACCAGTACCGTCACGACATGAATTTTCTTGTCTTTCCTATATTACTATCACGATCCACACCACCCAGCATACCATCTTACTATCCCTGGTCTACATGCAGACCACCTACCTCGGCATGATTGCCTATCCATGGCCTTCCAGTATAATGGCCCACTATCATCTCATTCCTTTCCGTTTTGATGAATACCCGTCTCTGCATGTACCCACTAATGACCTGAGAATGCGTCACGTTACCTAATGTCCTGTATGAAATACATACCCTTGGCTTAGTCCAATACAAAAAAATGAGAATTTTGATAAAATAAACTTCGAACTGGTACATAGTAATTGGCAAGTACATTTAAGCTCTCCGCCTTGTAGCTTGTTTGGTCTCGGCACCAAGCATATCTGTATCCTCATCTTCGTCATCCTCATCCGACTGTTCTTCGCTTTCGTCTTCCTCATCTTCATCTTCGTCCCTATGCTGATCACCCCCAGAAGCTGACGCTGCGGCCGCAGCCTCCGCCGCAGCTTCCAACAATTCTTCCTGCTCAAAGGCCTCTTCCTCACCCTCACTCATTTCCTCGCCTCCCTCTTCGCCACCCACCACATCCTCTTGAAATTGTACCCGACGAACTGCCCTCTTCCCCTTCGATCGCGCAGTCCCCAAACGCTGACCCTCCTGCTCCTCCTCCTGTTCCTCCTCCCGCACCGCACCCCGACTCCTCTTTTCCCCCGCCGTCTTCTCCTTCCACGTCGGCGCGCCCTTAATCATGGCTCTCATCTCCGTCGCCATCATCATCTCCCGCTGAGACGCCACACTCGGATCCAGCCAAAAGTCCACCATGACCGACTCGGGCGTCGCATGATCCGGAAGCGTCAAGATATTCGCGAACTCCTCATTATTCGTGGTCTTGTCGTCCAATAAAGCCAGGATTTTCGCGCGCATAATCGTCTTCGTCTTCGCAAGCGTACCATTCCCGAACCATCCATCCGTGACAATATCGCACGTTTTGCGGAGGAATTCCGGTGCCGGGTTCGGCGGGAATAGAATGCTGCGTAGCGTGGGATCGGTCACGTCGCAGAACATCCACATTCGGCCGTCGCGCGGGAGAGGTATCCCGCCTGTGAAGAGGTGCGAGTCGGTGGGGAGTTGCGAGTCGACGTGGTCGAGGGGTACTTCGTTGGGGCGGGCTGCCGCGTGTCGACGACCGGTGTAGCCGTCGCGAGCGACTTCGGCTTCTCGCGGTAGAATTCGGAACATGGCTGTTTGGTAGATGCGGTAGTCGGGGGAGGTGCGTGGGTCGTGTCCGTATTTGACGATGGCGTCGCGCCATGGTCCAGACCGGAAGATGTAGCCTACGTAGGGGATTGCGTGGCGGAGAGCGTATCGCTGCTCTAGGGTCGTGAGGGAGTTGCGTAGTCCGCGACGGGTCCAGGCGGGACGTTGCTGGAAGAGAGCTTCCACGGTTGCGATTGTCTCTTGGAGGATCTTGTCCAGGGTGTCGATCGGTGGGCAGTTGTCGCGTGGTTTGGTCGGTACTGTGGGGACGTCGTAGGATACTAGGTGCGTGAGCACTTTGACGACCCGTTGGGTGTTGACGGTGGTGATGTTGCCGGATGTGTCGATGGACTGGCGGACTGTGGGGTTTTGACGATAGCTTTGGCGCGTTAGTGGTGCTTTGCTGCCGCGTTGTAGTGAATATGTAACTTACATGTAAGTGAAGGGGACGTCTCCGAAGCTGAAGGAGGGTGGTGGGATGAGGTCCACATTGGATACGGCCCCTTTGCTCATGTCAAGGTCGAATTGCTTCATTTTATCGTCTGAGCCAATTAGCATCAATTGAACGTACTCTAGATGGGAGTATCATACAGTCGAATGGCAATATCTGCTCCCGGAATCGGTTGACAAACGAACTAGACGTAGTAGAGAAGACATAATCCGGCATCCCTGCCAATATCAGCATCACGTACGCAATACACATGTTAAGTCTGAGAACTCACCTCGAAACACATGTGTCCGGCCGATAAAGCCCACCGGCTCAACCTGATACCTTCCAACATTATCACCCAGACTCCGCAGCAGTTCTCGTGCACTGTGCCGTTGCGGCTCCGTAGGGATCGTCGATACGGCAACGCCGCTGAAGGGCTCATTTGATCCCTTCTTGCGCTTGCGACCCGTTCTCTTCGGAACGGTCACCTTGAGGAGGATGTTGTTGGACGACGAGCTGGTCGACTGAAGCGGCCTGGACATGGCATCCTCCGGACGGAGGAACAGGTGGGCCGGACTGTCCGGCTTGGATGGTTGTAGTACCTGGAATTACTATCAGATCGAGTGAGTGACCATCAAGGGGTATTGGTTAATCGTACTTTGGTTATCCCCGCATCACCTTTCAGCGTGTCGACAGCCTTGTCAAGGTTTCTGATGATGGCAGGATGCTCCACACTGACGATGCGACGAGAGGGGACGTGATAGAACGGGGCCGTTCTCGACCCATACTGATCGGCCATTCTGTCTTGCTGGTGGGCTTGGAAACCCGAATCTAGCCGGTGGGTTTTCTAATCCAGTGGTGAATGGAAGGCTGGTGGCCTAGACTGAAGCTATATAAATGCGGATAAGTCTGCACGGATATTGAACCAGGATTGACGTCAACGGTCAATCCAGGGGCTTGAAGTTAATTTATCATACACTTGGCGGATTCGTGAATCGTTTCACTGATACGATCCGGCACCAGGGGTTTCCCGAGTTCGCATTACAGCCTCTACCAGTCCCTGCCTGCCTAGCAATTCTCGAGGATGGATGTTGATGTTAGGAATCTGCAAGTCACATGACCTGCGCGGGCTGCCACACCACTTCCCCCCCAAAATCAAATGGGAAAAAAAGCCGCGACTGAGACACGCGGAGAGGCTGGATGCGTTCGATGCGATTCCGGATGGTGGCTAATTTTTGCTCCTCTAATAATATAATATCATGCTGTTGCTTTTTTTTTTTTCTCTGTAATTCTTACGGGGGGATGCGCTGTCGACCCCTTGCCTGTAGGTAGGTAGGTAGGTAGGTAGGTAGGTAGGTAGGTAGGTAGGTAAGCTGGAGACACACCACCAAGGATGGGAAGTGGTGTGGGTGGCTCTATATTTTTCGTAATGTCGAGGCCCCATCCCATTCATCTGGTTCTCAAAACCGGTTGATCCCAGATTCACATCGTGCTGGTGGCCGGTAGATAGGTACGATAGTTTGTCAATTGTTAAGACTTAAGGGACCCAACCAGGCCCACGACCTGTCCTGCACCACACGTCCGAGCGCTTCTCTTAGCCATAGCCTGTCCGCCCTTCGAGTCGCCGCCCCCTCTCCCCAACCTTGATACCACTAAACTCCTACTCCTACTACTTATCTACTACTATCTATTTCCTCAAGCTTCATCGTGAGACAGCTCAAATCTGGCGGCCCATCCTTGTCGGGACTCGACTATTGGACCCGTTAACAACCGTTCGGCATCCGCCATCGAGTCCCTCGTGGACTGCGACCGTGCCCAACAGCACAGCGAGGCAATTCTCCCCCGGGGCTCACTGATGATTGCACCCCGCTTCCCGGCCAGCCGCTAAGCGACACGGAAAGACGATCGCCTCCAGCAGACCAGACCGACTGACTTACCGTTGGCTGCTCCCTATACCGCTCCGTTCTCCGTTCGCGCCAAAGAGTGAGCGTGCCTGTCTGAGAGATCCTCCTCCCTCCCACACCCTCTCCCCAATCGTCTCGACCTGAACTTCTCTGAGGTAAGTCCTGCAGCTATAGTTTCCTGTTCCTCTTGCGCCTCTGGAACCCGTTCTTGTCTTGGTTTCCCCCCTCCCCTTGTCCTCCCTGAACCCCCTTCTGGTGGTACACTTCCATCATCCGCTTGTTCTTTTGGGACCTCCTACCGCCTCCCCCCGGTGCTGGTGTTGGCTGGTTTCCACCATTTCCACCCCTCTTATTCTCTCTTCTTTTTATTTGGTTCTATCCCGCCCCTGCGATTTTTCGAGGCAAGGCCTGCCCCTGGATCTTTCTGTCTTCCATCATTCCGATCCGAGCGCTATGCTAGGCTGCGTTGTGGTTGGAAATGCTCATGTGGTCATTTCCAGGCCGACATAAACAAATCCCGACGTGGCTCTCCTGAACTGCCCCCGCGCTGTACAACGCCCTATCCCTCCTGCTAGTGTGCGGCATCTTGCTGCACTGGCATCGAGACCCGAGACCGAGTACATGTGGCTTTACGATTAGTCGCGACAATGAAGGGTTTCAGACAGAGAGTGGTGAGTTCCCTATCGACGTCCGCCCCCTACTCTTTTCCCCGCCTTCTCCTGCGGATGATCAGCTCTCCTCGACAACGGCCCCCCCCCCTCTCCCCCCCTGAACGCTGGCTAAGTTCCCTAGCATGAGCAGTTGTCGAGGGCAAAAGACGCCAACAAGTCATCGAAAAAGAAAGATTCCTCCCATTCGTCGTCCCAGAACCAAGCAACCCTGCAAGCCAACCATGGACAGCAGTCCGCTTCCCCTAACCAGGGCACCCCGACCTCGTCCACCACGTCCGTGAATGATACCAGGGGAAAGTCGCCGGACAATGGCTCGCAGCCGGGAATGTATCCTCCTGGTCAGTACTATATCGGCGGAGCCATGGTTGGTCAACCCGTGAGTAACGGTGGCCCAGGAACTCCTACCAAGCAGGGACAGCCGATGGCTCCAAGTGTCGTGATCAGTCCGAGCGCACCGGTGAGCTTGTCTTTCTTATTGAAGCGGCTATGCCATGGTCCCTCTAGATAGGGCCTGGTGATAGATCCTATCGGTCTTCTGATCGATGCTGACCCTTGTTTCCGAATAGCATGTCCCTCCTCCCCCCGGAGCCGCCGAGACCATGCCAGGAGACCTGGCCCCTCCCAGGAAGTCCCATGTCTTTGATCGACTGCAGACGACACCCAAGGATATGTCTGAAGGAATCCGAACCCCCAAGCGCCAGCATTCGTCGCGATTCGATATTTCCGATCAGCGCCAGAGAGAGCTGGAGAAGCTGGAGAGTTTCCACGAGGTCCCTCCCCATCGTCGCCAATCCCTTTTCATGCAAAAGATCGACCAGTGCAACATTATCTTCGACTTCAATGACCCCACTGCCGACATGAAATCCAAGGAAATTAAGAGACTGGCACTCCATGAACTACTAGACTATATCGCCAACAATCGCTCGGTCATCACGGAACCCATGTACCCTCGGGTCGTTGAGATGTTCGCCAAGAATCTTTTCCGACCAATCCCGCCTCCGGTAACTCCTCAAGGAGAAGCGTTTGACCCCGAGGAGGACGAACCGGTGCTAGAAGTCGCATGGCCCCATATTCAGGTGGTGTATGAGTTTTTCTTGCGCTTCATCGAAAGTCAGGACTTCAATACGAACATCGCCAAGGCATATATCGACCATCACTTTGTGCTTCAGGTATGCTATTCTGCCAGCGCTTACCGGACGAAGAGGCGCAAGCCTGTGTGACTGACTGCGCAACAGTTGCTGGAGCTGTTTGACTCCGAAGACCCTCGTGAGCGCGATTTCCTCAAGACCACCCTACACCGTATCTATGGGAAATTCCTGAACTTGCGATCATATATCCGCAGGTCTATCAACAACGTTTTCTTCCAGTTTACGTATGAAACGGAGCGCTTTAATGGAATTGCGGAACTGTTGGAAATCCTGGGGTCCATTATCAACGGCTTTGCTCTTCCCTTGAAGGAAGAACACAAACTTTTCCTAACTCGTGTACTTCTCCCTCTTCACAAGGTCAAAAGCCTGAGCATGTATCACCCGCAATTGGCATACTGTATTGTCCAGTTCCTCGAGAAAGACTCGACTTTGACTGAAGATGTGAGACTTGGCCCGAATCTTGTTCCTGTGACTCAATGGCAATTCTGACTAAAAACAGGTGGTCCTTGGTCTCCTTCGCTACTGGCCCAAGACCAACAGCACCAAGGAGGTGATGTACTTGAACGAGGTGGAAGACATCTTCGAGGTTATGGACCCGGCCGAGTTCGCCAAGGTTCAGGTGCCTCTGTTCCAGCAACTCGCCAAATCTGTCGCCAGCCCGCATTTCCAGGTTTGTTATCCGGAACTCAATTCAAGATCCAACGTCGAAGCGCTAACTTCTTGTGAAGGTGGCGGAGCGTGCCCTTTATTTCTGGAACAACGAATACTTCTGTAACCTGGTTAGCGACAACGTAGAGATCATTCTGCCGATCATGTTTCCTCCGTTGTACGAGAATTCCAAAGGCCACTGGAACAGGTACGTCCATTTCCGATTAAGTGCCCCTTTCGCGGTGACTAACCTTTCTTAGAACGATTCATAGCATGGTCTACAATGCGATGAAAATGTTTATGGAGATCAACCCCCAGCTTTTCGACGAATGTTCCCATGATTATAATGAGCGGCAGAACAGTGCTGAGGAGCGTGAGATGGGTCGACAGAACCGGTGGGAGAAGGTGTTGGAACGGGCCAAAGAGAGAAAGAATGGGGTTACTGTGCCCCCGCAATGCCAGGTTGCCGAAATTCCAGTCCACTTAGACGACATCGACTCAGTGACCCGCGAGAGCCAGCAGCGACTTCATTCTTTGAGACTGGATGACTCGGGCACGACGACGGAGCGACGGTCTCGAGAAAGCACGGCATCTTCGGTGAGTATTCAGGTCCCCGAATAGGTTGTGTGGTCATGTTATGCCCATGACGTTGTCGCACTTGAGAACCAATCCCCTATACTTTTGCTTTACCGTTGTCTTTGCTAAGAATTCGCCGATTTCCATCGTACAGCAAGCGTGATTCTAACGTTGAAACGTCGGTTTTGTCCAGAGACGGCGCCGCGGCTCCTCTGATGATACTCGAAGGCGAAGAAGTGGTAGCGCTAGTGAGATTCGACCGCGTGTAGATCGACGACGGTCGGCTGGTGCTGGCGTTACTGTATCGATCTTGTCCCGAAGCAACTCGACCAAGTAACGGTTGGCTTGATGGCATTCTTCCGTTAGATTTCCCTTCAATGATGGCATAGCGACTACGAGCTGCGATGAAAGTGTATTCGTTTCTATTTGGTTCCCACATTCGGCCAGAACTCCCGTCTGCTTCTTTCCATATCTTCCGCGTCTTATTGCCTCCTCCCCTTTTTACTTTACTTTATTTCTGTACATGGCCTTCAATATTCTTGTGTCTGCGCGAGCGCGTGGCTCATGGAGCCCGAGCATCGGCACGGACGTTCGAGTTGGACTATTAGAACTGTGTTCGGGTCTGGAAAACGGGTGCGAATGGCGTTTCCCTCCGTCGACGTCGAGGTCGACGGACTCTTGAGATTACAACATGAAGTATTTATGGCATAGCCGTGAACCAGAATCCTGTCATTTCTAGAACCCCACCTCTCTTGCCTAGTAGCCCCTAGACCGTTGTGTACCTGTCTGTCACCACGTGCCTCCTTGAGCAAACCCCTGAGCCAGCAATCTGTGATACGTCAACAGCCGCTGGGTATCGTAGGCGCGCGTGTGTCGGGTTGGAGAAACAAAGTCCCGTTTTTGCCTATTTCGGCCTAGTGTTTCTTTCGGGGTCTCTGCGATACCCGCGTTCTGCTCTGCTGCTTTCTGTTCCTGTCGGTTTGCAGGCCGTCAGTTTGCGCTCATTTACTCTTTGCTTGATGTTCTTGACTTCCCTTCCCTTCCTTTAACCGACCGCTATATAGAGCCTTTCCTCCCCCTCCTCCTCCCCTCCCTTCCTCCATCTCCTCTCCTCCCCCGTCCGAGCTCGATTCATGACTTGACGACTCGACTGTACCTCTTCCAATCTTATGAGGCGCCTTCCGTCGCTGCTCTGAGCCCTTCGAGATAGCTCCACCACCACCAACCCGCATATGAATCCGACATAAGAGCAGCTTGTGCCGGCTTCTAGATTCAGGCCGGCCTCGCGGCCTGGCGATTCACTAATCCCATTAGCTCAATATGTCCTCCTCTGAGGGCCCCCGAGGCAACATGGAGCGGAACGCGGAGCGAAATATTGATATCTACAGCACCAAGCTGGGCGACGACAAGATTGGTGCGTTTCGGTCTTTGCTCGTTCATGCAGAGATAGGTGCCTCAGCTTCGGATCGGGCCCTTCAAGACCTATCTGACTGCGAGCATGGGCTGACGCTTTCTCGCACATAGATATTAAAATCAGAGCGAATGTTGCTGTCGAATTACGGGATAATATCGAACCTCTATGCTCGGGCGCAAGCTACCCAATCTTCTTGTCGAAGCTATGGCCGGTGTTTAAGCACATCCTGAGGGGCGAGCCCGTGTTCACGAACTTGTCCTTCGAGCAGGTGAGTCAGGGATCGTGACTGGTTCAGGTCCTGGTTGTTGGAATGGGGACTCATGCATAGGTCTATCGCCAGAAACTACGGAATTGTATCCTCGAGACACTGCATCGATTGCCAATGGCGTCTCCCGACGTGGAGCCCTACGCCGACGACATGGTCGACCTGTTGATGGATCTGGTCCGGATTGAAAACGAGGAAAACGCTGTGTTGTGCATGAAGACCATCATGGACCTCGAGCGCAACCAAGCGAAAGCGACCGCCGCGCGCGTGCAACCTTTCCTCGCGCTCATTCAGGAGATGTTCCAGATGATGGAGCAGGTGGTTCGGGATACTTTCGACACACCTAGTCAAGCTACCCCTTCCGTGATGCCTTCAACGCCAAGTGCAACGGCTCAGACCTTCCAATCGCCCAGACCGAGCTCCCCCGCCACGTCAGTTTCGGATCTCGCGCCGGATCAACAGGCCAACAATGTGTTACTTAAGGGCATGCAGTCGTTTAAGGTCCTCGCCGAGTGTCCGATCATTGTGGTGTCCATCTTCCAGACCCACCGGACTTCTGTCGCAACGAATGTGAAGCTCTTTGTGCCACTGATCAAGAGTATCCTTCTGCTTCAGGCTAAGCCCCAGGAGAAGGCACATACGGAGGCTGCCGCTCAAGGGACGATATTTACCGGAGTATGCAAGGAAATCAAGAACAGAGCTGCTTTTGGCGAGTTTATCACAGCGCAAGTGAAGACGATGAGCTTCTTGGCTTATCTTCTTCGCATGTATGCCCAACAACTGCAGGACTTCCTCCCCACTCTTCCCTCAGTCGTTGTCCGTCTCCTTCAAGATTGTCCCCGCGAAAAGTCCAGCGCGAGGAAGGAGCTCCTGGTTGCCATCCGCCACATAATCAACTTCAACTACCGGAAAATATTCCTCGAGAAAATCGACGAGCTTCTTGATGAGAGAACCCTGATTGGTGATGGCCTTACCGTTTACGAGACTATGAGACCTTTGGCATACAGCATGCTTGCTGACTTGATTCATCACGTACGGGACCATTTGACGCGTGATCAGATTCGCCGAACTGTCGAGGTGTACACCAAGAACCTTCATGACGACTTCCCTGGAACCAGCTTTCAGACTATGAGTGCTAAGTTGCTCCTCAACATGGCAGAGAGAATATCCCGGCTAGACGACAAACGGGAGGGTCGCTACTTCTTGGTCATGATTCTAGATGCGATTGGTGACAAGTTCGCGTCGATGAACTACCAGTTTGACAATGCGGTCAAGGTCTCGAAAGCATACAAGGCCACCCGAAAGGATCTCGAACCTTCATCGGAGAGGTATCTTGCAGAAAGGGAGCACCCGCCTGACTGGGATGAAATCGACATTTTCTCCGCATCTCCCATCAAGACTTCCAACCCTCGCGATCGCGGTGGAGATCCGGTGTCAGACAACATTTTCCTGTTCAAGAACCTCATAAATGGCCTGAAGAACATTTTCCATCAGCTCAAGAACTGCAACCCCGATCACATTCAAATAGATCCGGCCAGTGTGCCCATCAACTGGTCCGAGGTTTCTTATGGCTACAATGCTGAGGAAGTGCGGGTTATCAAGAAGTTGTTCCACGAAGGAGCCCGTGTTTTCAAGTACTATGGGGTGGATCAGTCCCCTCCGGAGGTTAACTACTCCTCTCCCTTTGACTTTCTTGCTGGCCAATACACCGCGCCTATGTCACGCGAAGAGAAGGAGCTCCTGGAGAGCTTCGGAACCGTGTTTCACTGCATTGATACCGCTACTTTCCACGAAGTCTTCCACTCTGAGATACCCTACCTTCACGAGCTTATGTTTGAACACGGCGCCCTCCTTCACCTGCCCCAATTCTTCCTGGCTAGCGAAGCCACCTCCCCGGCGTTCTCTGGGATGGTATTGCAGTACCTTATGGACCGGATCCATGAAGTGGGCACTTCCGAAATGACGAAAGCAAAGATCCTGCTGAGGATGTTCAAGCTTTCCTTCATGGCTGTGACACTATTCTCCGTTCAAAATGAACAAGTGCTACACCCTCATGTTACCAAGATTGTCACCAAGTGCATAGAGCTTTCGGTGACTGCCGAGGAGCCAATGAACTATTTCCTCCTACTGCGGTCGCTCTTCCGCAGTATTGGTGGTGGCCGGTTTGAGCTCCTATACAAGGAAATCTTGCCTTTGCTAGAGATGCTCCTAGAAACGTTCAATAACCTATTGCTTGCTGCCCGGAAACCACAAGAGCGCGATCTCTACGTCGAGCTTACACTCACAGTTCCTGCTCGCCTGAGCCATCTGCTGCCCCACCTCAGCTACCTCATGCGCCCTATTGTAGTGGCATTGCGTGCAGATTCGGACCTTGTAGGTCAAGGTCTGCGGACTCTTGAACTTTGTGTCGACAACCTCACAGCCGACTACTTGGACCCGATCATGGCACCCATTATGGATGAGCTGATGACTGCGCTGTGGGACCATCTGCGGCCGCATCCATACAATCATTTCCACGCTCATACGACCATGAGAATCCTGGGCAAGCTTGGCGGTCGCAACAGAAAGTTCCTGAACCACCCTCCTGATCTTTCCTTCGAGCAATTCGCCGATGACACGCCGAGTTTCGATATCAAGCTTGTCGGACCGAGCGAGAAGCGGCCTTTCCCTGTGGAGATCGGCGTCGACTTGGCAATTGGAAAGTTGATGGAAGCCAATAAGACACCCACGGCTAAATCATCGGATATCTACTACAAGCAACAGGCCTTCCGGATGCTTTCGTCGCAGCTGAAGCTCTACATTGGATCCGAGAATCTCCCGGAGGACCTGGCATCCCTCATACGTCTACACGCGAACGATCTTTTCGAGAGCAAGACCACGGCTATGCCCGACATCCTCGAGCGATCGGAGCGGTCCAGTTCCATCACTAAGAAGCTGACCCAGGAGGGCTCAATGAAGAAACTCCTCAAAGCTTGTATCTTCGCGACCACCATCCCAGAGCTTGAGCAGACTGCAAGCGCCTTCGTGGCTGATGTGTGTAAACACTTTGCTGTTGTGGAAGTTGGACGTGCTCTTGCCCAAGCGAGACACACTCGCAGGCCTTTCGATGTCAGCAATGGTGAAGGCCCGGTGTATCTTGACTCACGGGTCCTGGCCGAAGCTTTGGTCGAATCCTTGTCATCTGATAACGCTGAGGTCCGGGATGGTGCTCAGGCAGCAATGCAGGTCATGAAGGATGCGGCCGGTATCATCTTCGGAACTCCCGAGCGCGTCGCAAAGCTACCATTTTTCCAGCATCTTGGCCGTGTGTTCTGCCACAGCTGTCATAGCGAAGAGTGGTTTACTAAGGCTGGGGGTAGTCTCGGCATCCATATCTTTGCGACGAAGCTGGACCTGGGGGATTCATGGCTTCTGGACAAGCAAGTTGAATTTGTTAGAGCATTGATGTATGTCATCAAGGATACGCCCTGTGACTTACCGGCCAGCACGCGAATTAGGGCGCAGGAGACGCTGGATCTCATCCTGCGCCGATGCTGCAAGAGCCTGTCTTTGGATGACCTGAAGAACGAGAAGAGTCGCATGTATTCTTTGTGTGGTCACTTCGTCTACGAACTCTCACATATGAACAAGCAGGTCCGCGAGGCTTCGCGCCGCAGCTTCTCCACCATTGCTCAGGTGCTGGGTTGTCAGGTACATGAGCTCATCCTGCCAGTGAAGGACCGCCTCTTGCAGTCCATCTTTAACAAGCCGCTCCGTGCCCTGCCATTCCCCACGCAGATCGGCTTCATCGACGCCATCACGTACTGCTTGAGCCTTCATAACAATATTGTGACTTTCAATGATCCACTCAACCGGTTGATGCTGGAGTCTCTTGCTTTGGCTGATGCTGATGACGAGTCTCTCGCCTCCAAGCCAAACGAGTTCAAGAATGCGGAGATGATTGTCAATCTGCGTGTCGCTTGTCTCCGTCTCCTGTCAATGGCCATGAGCTTCCAGGAGTTCGGCAATACTCCACAGAACACGAGCCGCGCACGCATCATCTCTGTATTCTTCAAGTCACTGTATTCGCGGTCGCCCGAGGTTATTGAGGCCGCCAATGCGGGTCTTCGGGACGTGCTCACACAGACGAACAAGTTGCCGAAAGACTTGCTCCAAAATGGTCTTCGCCCTATTCTGATGAACTTGCAGGATCCCAAGCGGTTGAGCGTTGCGGGGCTTGACGGTCTTGCGCGGTTGCTGACATTGCTCACCAATTACTTCAAGGTGGAAATTGGAGCTCGTCTTCTGGACCACATGAAAGTCATTGCAGATGATGCAGTCCTGCAGAAAGTGTCCTTCAGCCTCGTTGAGCAAAGTCCGCCGATGAAGATCGTTGCCGCCATCTTCAACATCTTTCACCTCCTGCCACCGGCTGCAACTTCTTTCATGGAGCACCTGGTGAACAAAGTGTTGGACCTCGAAGACAAGCTCCGCAGGACGTCCAATAGTCCTTTCCGGAAGCCTTTGGTCAAGTATCTTAATCGGTATCCCAAAGATAGCTTGACCTTTTTCCAGAGTCGTTTCAAGGACGAGCGATTTGGACGATTCTTTGGTCAAGTCTTGGCAGATCCAGAAAGCGAGGCGCTTCGTTCTGCGGTAGTTGCGGACACTGAGAGTTTCATGAATGCTGCTTTCGGACAAGAATCCACGGATGGCAAGAACACTGCCGCCATCAACGGTATCTACGTGGCCCACTCCATTTGTATGTATGATGCTACCAAGCGCTGGTTGGTCTCACATGCGGATCTGAGGACTAAGCTCTTGAGCTCGGGTCGCGACCTGGAGAAGAAGCTGCGTAACGATAAGCTGCCAGCCAACGAGCGGCTGAGAGTCGAACAAGCAGAGGACCAATTGATGGATATCTTCACCAAGTATCTCACAGAATCTGTGCAAGATCTGGACTTCCTGTTCGAGGTCATGGACGGCCTGTCTGCGGATGAACTGAAACGGACGCTCTCGTTCCCGAAGTTCATTTTCCGTCATATCATCACAAATGAATCTATCGACTACCGTCGCTCCGTGATTATGCGGTGCCTGGACCTCTACAGCCAGCGAGCATGTTCCCAGAAGATGAAGACATACGCCTTCCGTCACCTGGTCAACCCTATCTTTGCCATGGACGTTCAGACAACGTGGAATAGCCCGCCCAACAGTCCTAAGCTAATGGACAAGAGCATGACTGAGTTCATCCAGAGCCGCTTGTGGAAGCCCCAGCTGGCTGATCTGAGCGAGGAATCGAACCAGGCCGGTGTTGACCACTCGCGCATGGAACTCCTGCAGCTCTCTGCTTTGTTGATCAAGTATCATCATCAAACCGTGCAGGATTCACGCAAGGACATCATCAAGTTCGCCTGGAATTACATCCGACTTGAAGACATCATCAACAAGTACGGGGCTTACGTCCTCATCAGCTACTTCATCGCGCATTACGAGACACCTTTCAAGATCGTGGTGCAGGTCTACGTGGCTCTGCTGAGAGCACACCAGAACGAGGGCAAAGCTCTTGTGACTCAGGCTCTTGATGTTTTAGCACCTGTATTACCCACTAGGACCTACATGGCAAACAACAACGCTCAGGTACAAGATCCACGGTACCCTCTGTGGGCTAAGTGGCCTCGACGCATCCTGGCCGAAGAAACGGCGAACCTGCAACAAGTTATGTGCATCTTCCAATTTCTCGTGAGGCAGCCGGACCTCTTTTATGACTCTAGGGAGCATTTCGTTCCTCTTATTGTCCCATCCCTTATCAAGATTGCTTCCCCTATGAGTTCTTCCAACGAAAGCAAGAAGCTGGCGCTCAACCTAATTAGTCTCATCTGGCACTGGGAGGAAAAGCGTGTTAAAGCTAGCTCTACCCCGATGCCCAACGGCGTTCATGATTCCCCAAATACCAAGAAGCGCAAATTGGAGGAAGCTCAGAGCACTGCCTCTCCTTCGCCTGCAACTGGATCGTCACGGGACTATTTGGTCCCTCAGGATCTGCGTGCTGCGCTGACTAAGTATCTTATCTCCTTCATCACGACAATCGCAGAGAGGTATCCAGTTCCTGCTTCTCGAATCCGCGAGCTTCCCTCTTCCAAGGTGCCGCAGCCTGCGCCAGTGCCCACGGGTGATATGGTCAAAAAGGCTGTGCATCTGCTGAGGAACCTTTTATCTCAAGAATACTGGGCCGACTTGGACATTGAACTGTACCAAAAGGTCACAGAGCCGATTCTTGCGGGCGAGAAGGCGGACAAGCCTGAAGAGAAGCATGTTACTAGCATGGTGAATGCTTTGCAGGTCGTACGAGTGCTCCTAGCTTCCAAGCCGGATGACTGGATCATGGCGCGCTTGCCACTCATCCAGAAGCTTTTTGAGAAGCCCTTGCGTTCGGACAATCCGGAAATTCAGGACTGCCTGCATGGGGAAGAGGATGAGATCGATATCTCTCCCAAGCTTTTGCCTCCTGTCAGACGGGTCTTGGATGCTCTTCCGGACGATCAACCCGAAGAGGAGGATGCTATGGACGTTGAGAACTCGCCGTCTGAGTTCGTCACCTACCTGTCGGCCATTGCTACTGAAACTCTATCGAGCAACAACCATGTTTCTAGTCTGAATGTTCTCTGGACTCTTTCCAAGAACAAACCGGCTGAGATGGACACCCATATCCCCCAAGTTATGAAAGCCTTCTCGCAGAAATTGGCCAAAGAACATGTTGCAGCTTCCACTGCCAACCAAGGACAGTATACTCCAGGAACCAAGCCTCCGGAAGGGGTCCCAGACCAGCAAGAATATGAGCTTGGTGTGGATCTGATCTTCAAGACCATCGAGCTGATCTCTGTACGCATGTCTCACCTTGGAGAGCAGAGACGTCCTTTCCTGAGCGTCTTGGCGCAGTTGGTTGAGCGGTCCCAGAACATCAAGCTTTGCAGCAAAGTGTTGGGTATGGTTGAGAGCTGGATTTTCCACTCGACCGAGTCGTGGCCCACGCTTAAAGAAAAGACTGCTGTCTTGCACAAGATGTTGCTGTTCGAATCGCGACAGGACCAGACCATGTTGAAGAAGTTCCTCGATCTTGTTATCAGGATTTACGAGGATTCGAAGATAACTCGAACGGAACTAACGGTCCGGCTGGAGCACGCTTTCTTGATCGGAACTAGAGCACAGGACGTTGAGATGCGGAATCGCTTTATGAACATCTTTGACCGCAGTTTGACCCGTTTGGCTAGCTCCCGTCTCAGTTACGTGTTGACTTGTCAGAACTGGGACACCCTGGCAGACTCATTCTGGCTGGCGCAGGCCGCTCATCTGGTCCTGGGCTGCGTTGATATGGGTTCCTCGGTGAGGTTGCACCCTGATGACTTCACTGTCTACCCCGTGTCTTTCCTCTATGGCAATGCCGACAAGGACGCAAGGAAGGCGGACGTTATGGTGGACATTCAACTGGAAGCCTTTGTATCTGAGCGCAAGCGGTTCATAGGTGAAATTGGCGACGTTAAAGCGCGTGACTTGATCGAGCCACTGTGTCAACTCCAACACACCGACCCCAATGTGTCATACAAACTCTGGACGACCCTGTTCCCCATCTTCTGGTCTACTCTTTCCAAGGAAGACCGCATCGATCTGGAAAAGGGCATGGTCACTCTTATCACGCGTGAATACCACCAAAGACAACTTGACAAGAGGCCGAACGTCGTCCAAGCTCTACTTGAGGGCGTGGTGCGCGCTACGCCCCGCTTCAAGATCCCCCCGCATGTGATGAAGTATCTCAGCCGAACTTACGATGCGTGGTATACGGCTGCCACGTATCTCGAGGAGACTGCCATCAGCCCTATCATTGATACACCTACGGTGCGCGAGAGCAACCTTGATGCTTTGGTGGAGGTTTACGCAGGGTTGCAGGAAGATGACTTTTTCTACGGTACTTGGCGACGCCGTTGCAAGTTCGTGGAGACCAACGCCGCTCTTTCTTATGAACAACAGGGAATGTGGGACAAGGCTCAGCAGCTCTATGAGAATGCTCAGATCAAGGCTCGCTCCGGAGCCATGCCGTTCTCGCAGGGCGAATATTACCTCTGGGAGGACCATTGGCTCATCTGCGCACAGAAGTTGCAACAATGGGAGATCCTCAGCGACTTTGCCAAGCACGAGAATCTGAACGATCTTCTCTTGGAGTCGGCTTGGAGGAACATTGAGAACTGGCAGAGCGAGGGCAGCCGAGAGCAGCTCGAATCTCTCATCAAGTCTGTTTCCGACGCGCCAACTCCCAGACGCACCTTTTTCCAGGCGTTCATGGCGCTGCTTCAATTCCACATCAAGAAGGAGAACATCCAAGAGTTCAACGGTGTCTGCGATGAGTCAATTCAACTCTCCATCCGGAAGTGGCTTCAGCTTCCGAAGAGGATTACGAACGCCCATATCCCAATCCTGCAGCACTTCCAACTGCTGGTAGAGCTTCATGATGCCAGCCATATTTGCGCCAGTCTTTCGCAGACCAACGAGCGTAACCTCGATACCAAGTCCGCGGAGTTGAAGCTGCTCTTGGGGACCTGGAGAGATCGTCTGCCCAACCTCTGGGACGATATCAACGCCTGGCAAGACCTTGTTACGTGGCGACAGCACATCTTCCAGCTCATCAATGCGACATACCTGAGTCTTCTGCCCCCGCAGACGAACAATGTGGCGAGCAATTCGTATGCTTATCGAGGCTACCACGAGACAGCGTGGATCATCAACCGCTTCGCCCATGTTGCTCGCAAGCACCAAATGCCCGAAGTGTGCATCAACCAGCTCAGCCGTATCTACACCCTTCCGAACATTGAGATTCAGGAAGCTTTCTTGAAGCTGAGAGAACAAGCCAAGTGCCACTACCAGAATCCCAAGGAGTTGAACAGTGGATTAGATGTCATCAACAACACGAATCTCAACTACTTTGGTGCTCAGCAAAAAGCCGAGTTTTACACCCTCAAGGGTATGTTCCTTGCCAAACTCAACCATGTCAATGAGGCGAACGAGGCATTTGGTGTGGCCCTCTACTACGAGTTGAGACTCGCCAAAGCCTGGTCGGAGTGGGGACAGTACAGTGATCAACGGTTCAAGGCTGACCCCACGGACTACGAGCTCGCCAGCAACGCCGTCAGCTGCTACCTGGAGGCTGCCGGTCTATACAAGAACGCGAAGTCGAGAAAGCTGCTCAGTCGGATCCTCTGGCTTCTTAGCCTGGACAACGAAGAAGGGCAGATTGCGCGTGCATTTGAAAGTTTCAAGGGAGATACTCCGGTTTGGTATTGGATTACGTACATACCACAACTCCTTACCAGCTTGTCGCACCGCGAAGCTCGTTTGTGCAAGGCTGTTCTGGTCAAGATTGCGAAGCTGTTCCCACAAGCCTTGTTCTTCCTGCTTCGCACGAACCGGGAAGATATGCTCAATATTAAGAAGCAGCACGACCAGAAGCAGGAGAAACTTAATCGGGTCAGGCAGCAGCAGCAGCAACAGCAGCAGCAGGCTTCTCCGCGTCCCAAGGCTTCGCCAGCAACCGCCTCCCCTCTGCAGAACTCGCAATCAGCCAACCCCAGTCCTCCGACTTCTGTGCCCGCCCCAAGTGGCCAACAGGCTGTACAGAACCAGGCTCAGCCCCAACCACAAACAACGCCAGGCCAGGTCCCGAACGCAGGCCAGGTTAACAACCAAAACGGACCACAGCAGACCCCTGTTCAAGGCCAGGGTCAGGTCCAAGCTCCTGGTCAAGGACAAGTTCCCAACCAAGGACAGCCCCAGATTCAGCCACAAGGCCAGCAAGGCCTTCTGCAAGTTCCCGGACAAAATGGAGTGGCCCAACCGAACCAGAATGCTGCTGGTGCGGAAGTCGAGAAGGAGCCGCTCAAGAAGCCCTGGGAGTACTCGGACGAGATCATGTCTGGCCTCAAGACCGCTTTCCCTTTGCTGGCTTTGTCAATGGAGACCATGGTCGACCAGATCCACAAGAATTTCAAATGCCCACCGGACGAGGATGCCTACCGTCTTATTGTTGCGCTGCTGAACGATGGGTTGGCGTACGTTGGCCGCATGCCAGGCTCTTATGCGCAAGACTTCAAGCTGCCTCCTGCGACCGAAGCCAATATCACGCGCTTTGCCGAGACCATCCTTCCTGCGCACATCCGCAAGTCCTTCGAGGCAGACTTTGTGGTTAAGAAGCCCACTATGTACGAGTACATCCAGAAGCTGCGTCGTTGGCGTGACAAGTTCGAAGAGAAACTCGACCGCCGGCCTCAGTCACAATTCTTGGAGACGTATTCTCCGCACCTGAGTGAGTTCCGCTTCCTCAAGTTTGATGAAGTGGAGGTGCCGGGCCAGTATCTTCTGCACAAGGACAAGAACCAGGATTTCGTGCGCATCGATCGCTTCTTGCCCGATATCGATCTGGTGCGCGGTATCGGAGTCTGCCACCGTCGCCTGAAGATCCGCGGCCACGACGGTAGTGTGCATCCATTTGCCGTCCAGCATCCCGCCGCCCGGCACTGCCGACGTGAGGAACGCATCCTGCAGCTGTTCCGCATTTTCAACGGGTTATTGGGCAAACGCAAGGAAAGTCGGCGTCGCAACCTGTACTTCCATCTGCCGCTCATGGTCCCACTGGCGCCTCACATCCGCCTGGTCCGGGATGACCCATCCTACATTTCCATGCAGGGCATCTACGAGGACTATTGCCGACGGGTTGGCATCAATAAGGACGAGCCGGTCATGTTTACGATGGAGAAGATGCGGTCGCTGGCTGAAACGAAACAGAACGTAAGTGATCTGGACCGGACCATGAAGCATCCCACTAACGTCTCACAGCGCACCAACGATCAGCAGCAGGTCCTGCGGACCGAGATGCTCACAGCGATCCAGGAGAAGTGGGTTCCTAGCACAATTGTGCTGGACTACTTCCAGCGGATGTACCCGAACTTTGCGGACTTCTGGCTGTTCCGGCGGCAGTTTGCCTATCAATATGCGGCGATTGCGTTCATGACCTACGTGATGCACATGGGCAACCGGTACCCCAACAAGATTCTGATTTCGCGGTTGACCGGTGACATCTGGGGCTCGGAGCTGATCCCTACGATCAACCCGACCAAGGCATTCTTCTACAACCCCGAGCAGGTGCCGTTCCGCTTCACGCCCAACATCCAGACTTTGCTGGGACCGATCGCCACGGAGGGGCTGTTTGCGTGCGCGTTGATGGCGATTGCCCGCTGCCTCACGGAGCCGCGACACGAATTGGAGCAGCAGCTCAGCGTGTTCGTTCGCGACGAGATGATGTTCTGGGCGACGGCACAGCATCGGGCGCCCCTGGGACCGCCGCAGCTGCGTGACCTCGTGTACAACAACAGCGACGTCATCGTCAACCGGGCCGTCAGCCTTGCCAGTCCGCCGGAGGGTAACCTGCCCGCCAATCAAACCACCATTGATTTGATCTCCAAGGCGGTGAACCCGCAGCATCTGGCTGCCTGTGATGCACTCTGGATGCCGTACCTGTAAAGCCGTTGTTTTCCTGTATTTGGCGTTTGTTCGGCTGGGGCTTCAGCCAGGTAGTTTCATTCTAGCGTGGCGCTCTGGGGAATATGGGATCGATTAGGACTGCTACTTGCTATTTGCTACTGTTTATTGCTATATGCATTTCTGGTGTATGATATTTAATATGAGCTGTTCAATATTCCTTTCCTTGTGGCTATGCCGTAGAGTCCGTCCGTACTTATGAGATAAACGGAACCAACACCAAATAAATTGGTTCATGTATCCATAGTCATGCCCGTATGTTAACTCCTGCTAATGAACCGAACGCCACCCTGCAATCAGCAACCAACCCATACCCCGAGGTAAACTATACCAACGACGGCTTGGCCTTCTTCTTAATACCCAGACTACTCACAACGGGCTTCTTCGCCTTTTTGACCCTCGCAAACGAAGGCGGCGCCGGAGGCGGCATCATCTCCCCTCCATTCCCATTCCCAGCACTCACCCCCTTTCCCTCCCTCTCCCTCTCCGGCTCTCCCCCTCCTCTTCAACCAACCTCTTAACCCTCTCCCCCTCCTCCGTCATAAACGCCCTCCTAGCCGCCTCCTCAATCTCCCTCTCGACCCTCTCCGCCTCCTCATCCCTCTCCTCCCTCACCCCCACCAGCGCCCCCTCCACCCCCCCTCCCCCGCCCTCTCCACCCTCGCATTCCTCGTCCGAATCTCATCCAACGCATCCGCAATCGCCATCTCCCTCTTCGAATCCAACATCTTCTCCTCCAACTCCGCCATCTTATCCCTCTCCATCTGCTCCGCCTCCTCGCCCTCCTCCCGCTCCAACCGATCCAATATCTCCTGCTCCGTCTCATCCGCATTATCATTCTTCGAACTATCCCTCCATGGCTCGAAGTTTCGTTTCGCCCCCTTTTCAGCCCGATAATCCATGTTCTTGGGATCTGTCAGGAAGGTAATTTCTCCGCTGCAGCGCGTGCATCGGATGTAGAAGCGGTAGATGGGGATGGAGAAGTATTTCTCGGCGGTGGTTTCTTTTCGGGCGTTGAATTTTCGGCCTTTGTAGATGAATTCGCCTGTTTTTTATTAGTTGGGGGTTTGGGGGGGGGGGGGAGGGGGGATGGACGTACCGCATTTCGTACACTTCATGGAGAAAGGTGCCATGAGACGAACGGTGATTACTTTTGGTCCTTGTCTTGGAGATATTAGTGTTTTGTTTCGTATGTCTGGGAATTTGGGGTGGAGGGAGGGAGGGACGTACTGTCTTAGGTGTTTCGGTGTGCGTGTGATAGCACTGGGATCGAAGTCCGGGGGGTAGTATTTGCTGTGGTTTGGATATGAGGTTAGTTGCGTTTCTTTTGGATGGGGGGAGGGGATGGGGTGGGATGGACGTACGTGAGGACCTTTCGCTCGGACATGATGGCGGTTCAGCTGGAGATCTTTGGTTAGGGAAGTTGTGTTGGGCGAGGAAGTGAGGTGAAGAAGTATGGGGACTGAAGTTGTTAGGATGGAGGCGATGCGATCCGATGCGATTGATAATGTCATGTGACTGAATCAGGCTTATCGGTGTGCTTGTGCTTAGTCACTTTGTGAAGAGTAACTTAGTGCAGGCATAAGTATCAAGACAGGAGATTAAGGTATGAATCAGTCTCATTTAGAGGTATCATACTGGCACAGAATAATACTGGTATAATATTGGTCTAGGAATGATTCCAATGTACGCCTGCTATAACCGAATCATGTATAACCGTGCCAGGCCAAGGGTATATCCAAACGCCCAGTTGCTATGCTTCAAAGTCCCAATCGCTCAACTATGCCTCCCATTGCTTCGCATTCTCGATCCCCGGCTATGTCCCGTGTCGCTCACATCCGTCAGACCTTGTCGTTTGCTTCGCCCCCCGCGCACCCGGCTCATTGCTTGTCGGAGCATTCCATCCGCCTCATCGTCTAGTTCCATCTCCACCCGATCCACGGCAGTCTCTTCCGTGACTGTGGTCTGACTATCCACATGGGCAACCTCATCGGTCCACTCTTCAGCGTAGCTCTCGTCCGCAGTGCCTCGTCGTCGCGAAACCCGCCCCTTCCCCTTGGAGGACCGCGTTGAACTGCGACTCGCTGTGGTCCGAGAATCTTCCAGCACCACCGGCTCCTCCTGGCCCTCCAGAGCCCATATCTCCAGTGCCCGTGATAAGAGCGTGCCAGCAATCCCAGCACCGCCAGCAGCATCTCCGCCACCACTGGCTCCCAGAACCCGCACTGCCTCGTGCAGGGCCGTCACCGCTTCCATGGTGCGATCCAGCTCCAACAACACCAGGCCACGAGCAGTGTGCAGGGAGCCAACCAGCCCGCGGTCCTCATACCCTCCGACGCCCGACGAGGCCACGCCAGAGGCATTACCGCCGCTGCCCCCGAGGAATGGGCTATATCCGAAGCTCGCCCCTGCAGCCCCGATACGAAGGCACTCGTCGAATTCTTCCAGCGACTCGTGGAACTGGCCAATCCGACGCAGAGCATGTCCTAAGTTGGCTCGCGTAGCGACCCAGGCCCCGGGCTCACACTGCAGCGACGTAGCCAAACTCAGAGACTGGCGGAACAACTCGACGGCCCCTTCGAGATGATTCTGGTGATATAGAACGACTCCCAGCTCGTTCAGGACAAGCGGGTCGCCACCCAAGGAGGTGAGTTCCGACGGATTGGCGCGGATCGAGGGAGCAGAGCTGGACGCAGTGCCAGTCGACATGGTATAGGCGGCCGACAGATATTCATGTGCCAGTGACATATTGTTCAGTGCGAGATGTTGCATTCCCAGGAAGAGCTGTGGAAGATGACTGCCCTGGAAAAGCCGAGCGGCAGTGCTATACGCCGCAATGGCTTGATCGTGCTCTCCTTCGGCAGCAAAGGTATGAGCAAAGCCAATCCATGCTGGCGCCGAATGCGGGTCCAGGAGGGATGCTTTGGAGAAATAGCGCCGGGCCTCGGCGATCTTTGAGACGGATAAGTAGTAAACACCAATAGCAAGGTATGTATAAGACTCCTCCGGGGCATGGTCCGCTAGCGTATGGGACAAAAGGAAGAGAGCATTCGTGGCGCCCGTCTCATAAAGACAAGCCAAATGCAAGGGGTACACGGCAGCCGGATGACCGATGTGGCTTAGAGCCGGCGTATGGGGCGCAGGTGTCATTTGCGATGATACTGCGGACTGGGAGGTGGACAAGATCGATGACGTGAGTTCTAAAGCTTCAGCAAAGCGGCATTGGGTATATAGAGCTTCTGCGCGTGAGAGGAGAATATCCGAGTTCTCCGCGAGGTTGTAATGAGTCGATAGTGTTTCGGTGGCGTCCGAGAGGATCGACGGAGAGGAATATTTAGACAGACGGGTGGTGTATAGCATTTTGGTGAAATGGGCGGCTTCCTGCGCCACCGACGGATCGGGACTGGACACGGAGTCGAAGTCTAGGGACTCGAGGAATTCCAGTTCCTCGGCCGGCGACATTAGGGAGTTCTTCATAAGCTGGTCAAACGCCTCGAAGCACTGCACATCGATGCGGACGGCGTCCTTGTAGCAATCGCGGGCGCGGTCAAAGGCATTCTGCTTTGCGAAGCAGAGCCCCCGCAAGTAACACATTGAAGCCTCGAAACGAATATTACTGGCATTCTGGAGCTCCCGCGCCTCGTCTCGATCGCCGCGCGACGCCGTCGTCTTTCCATTCCGCAAGGTGACATGGCTGGGACCATTGAGATGTTGGAGTTTGCGGCGGCTGTTGCTGCTGCGTAGTAAATGTGTGGGACTATGGTCGCCCAGGATTTTGAGTGCCAGGTCGAACTGGTTCTGCATGACGTGACAGTGCGCGGCCAGATAGCGACAGGACGTACTTTTCGTGATGAGATCTTTCCGCGACAACAGAGCCAGGGCGTGTGCGTAATTCTTGTTTGCGAAATGGACTCGTGCAAGCCAGAAGGCATCTTGATCACTGTCTAGAGAGAGCATCTGGGATTAACACTGATCAGAAAGCAATGACAGTCACTTACTGGTCAGCGCGAACACTTTATCGCCGACGTAGATGGCCGCATCATTTTGGCCCCGATTCAGCGCCTCCTGACGCCAGAAGCGCAGAAATTCCTCCATGGCGAAATAGATGAGGGACGTTCAAGTGCGAGGGGTGATCAGGACGGTCGCATAGACTGAAAGGCATGGGGCGGGTTGGAGGGGCGACGGAGGTAAACAGACCGCGGGCCTCAGCGACCAAGGCAACTGTCACGGTGACCAACAGGAGCGGAGACTGTCAAGTAGTACTTAGGAAAGGAACGGGTCAATTGAAGCACGGATCTACCGCTGCAGACGGGGAAGGTCCGAGGAGGAGGAGGCAGGGAATTGGAGTGGAAGAAGAATAATGAAGCTGGTCGGTGGCTTGCCAGAACAAAGCGCGTGTTTCGGGCCCGTGCGTCTTTCCGATGAGCTTACTACTTTGACTTTGGTACTTCCATCGCTGGCTGCATTATTGCAATATCTTAGAATATCTTGGTCACTCGCCATCCTACACTGACTCCTTTAGCTACAAACAGAAACAGACATGCCCCCGCATACGCCACTCCACAAAACACAATCAATCCCGAATACTCCGTCTCGTTCACATGTCCCCGGTTCTGCCCCTTCAGTATCTCCCCCGCCACAGGAATAGATACCAACAAGCAGACCCCCATCAACGAAACAGTCGTCCCATATCGCTTGCCATAATGCTCAGTCCTGGAAATTTGAGCCACACAGACTGGCGTCAGACTTATCGCTGGCCCGCTCCAAAACCCGATCAGTGCCGCGAACACCAGGATACTAGCTTTGTCGGTGCCCGCGGTGAACCACAGCCCAAAGGAGAGGATGGTACATGCAGCACAGGTTACGAACATGACGTTGAAGCGGCCCCATAGATCCGCTAAGATCCCGGGAACGACTCGGCCGACAATAGATGTTGCGCTCACAATCGTCATCAGCTGGTAGGAGAGGGCGCCCTTGATGCCGTGGGACTGCGCATAGGAAGGAAAATAGGTGACGACGATCATCAGACCGATTTCGGCGAGAATAACTGCGATGGATGTCATAGTGAAGACAGGCTCTTTGAGCGCTCGGATGTCTATTTTGCTACCCCTTGATGGACTAGGTGGAAGACGTGCTCTGAGAAACACGACGCTGGCCGTAAGGCTGGCCATGAACATGAATCCCAGGATGCGAATGGTCCAGGGAAACCCGATCCGAGTGCTTAAGATACCGAAGACGTTAGTGAAGATGATTCCTCCAACACCACCGCCCGTGGTTGCAATCCCAGTGGCTAGACCACGTCTTTTGAGGAACCAGTGCGTGATGCACACGGCACTGGGGGTGTATACTGCTGATGCGGAAAGGCCCCCTAGGATGCTGAATCCCAGAATGAACTGATAGTATGCTACTGACTGTCAGTCAATGACGACTGGACCTGAGGTGCGAACCTTACCGTGGGAAACGCTAAAGACCATCATCGACAATGTCATCCCGATGCATCCAGGGATCAGGGTATACTTGAGGCCATGGGCATCAAAGATGGGCCCTAGTCCCAGGTAAGTAGACATTTAAGCTCGCGAAAGAGACGTACCAATCTGGATGCCACCCAAATAGAAGAGGAAGAGCCACAAGCTGAAGATCCACGAGATGGAAGCTTTCGATAAACCGTGCAGTTGATGCTCTGCCAGCCACTCTTCCAACAGCCCGGTCAGGTTCATTATTCCCATCGTTGGGAAGATGGCACACCATGCACCCAGAACTACCGACCAGGCTCGCCATCCTCCCTCCGGGAAGGGTGAGAGGTCTGCGTTGTCGACGGCGAAATCACCCTTTTCGCCATCAGTCGCTGCTGGGACAACGGTGCAGACCTCATTATCTTCAACAGTTGACTCCATAGGGACAGACATTGTAGAGACGAGCGTGAAGGTACTCAGCAAGCTGGGCTTACCGAATCCCTAATAACGCCGGTCGCAACATCTTGGTCGCCACGTTGCGATCACAGCATATCGATAGTGTGAGCGATCAGCGGACTATAGCGTGCCTTACTCGCAGAAGAGACTTCCCTTGCATCAGCAATCTTGATTTTCGATGATTTGCATCTCAACCAGATCATTATCAGTCAAATCATTCAACATCCAAAACTACAGCCAACAGTGAAGTGAAACAAGCATGCGGAATGTGCCTGTATCCGCATAGATCTACAGTGGAGCCGCAACAGCCATCAGGATGGCCATGAAAAGCAATTTCAGATGGCTCAGCTTGCCGAGTCCTAGTGCTTGTTTCTGCATGAAATTCCATAAATCAGCACATGATCTTGCATTTGAAGAAATCTGAATGTGCGTGCCTCCCCCTCATCGTCAGATCCAGATTCGTGGGGCTGTAAATCTGCAATACCTCTTAACTACCTAGGTAGGCAGGTAGCTGCACTCGGCTAGCATATGCACGCTGCAGATCAGCCTTGTAGTCATCTCTCGTCCCTCTAGTAGTAGTATCACATAGAACCTGATCTAGTATACAAACTACTACATAGTACAAGCCCATCAAAAAAGCTACCTTGGTTTCTCTACCTACCTAATTACCCAGATAACCCCCCCCCTAAAAAAGCCCCCACCGTGTCTCAACCCATTCGGGACGACGCCAATCGCAATCCCACAGAAAGATATAAGATCAGCAATTATTTTCACTTCAAAGCCCCTATTCTTCACACGGGAACTGCCATCCCCACGTCGAAGGCAATTAATTAGGTAAAGCACAGGCGTGGCGTCTCGGGGAGCTTTCTAGGGGCTTCTTCAACTAGGTAGTGCAAAGCCTTGACCAATGTTTATCATTAGTATAGTATTACCCCACAAAAAGGGGTTGAGTAGGTCCTAGGGGACTAGGGGGTATGTGTTAAGCGTATCGGTTATGGCGATATCATCAACCAACAAAGTGTTCCATGGTGTGCGAAGGTATAGTTCAATTGGATGCTGTTGCTAGGCAAACGAATACCAAAACGGCATTCCAAGTGTGCGAGGATACAGAACTGGGGATGGTGGAGAAGATCATAGTATCTTTATAGCTTCAGTTCCATAGTTGTCCTTGCCATGCACAACATCATATGGAAGGCGTAACCTGCTGAACGTCAAGCCTGTGGATGTGACTGCGGCTTTGAAAGCCTGGCTGATCATCCATAAATAGACTCTGCTCCTGATGTTAGAGCCCTGATGTTAGCTAATTGACTGCTGTCGCTGCTAATGTAGCGTTCATCAGTGAACCTGGATAGACAAGGTTGGTTATTAGTACACATAGAAGGTTATCCCACTATATAGATAAAAGGGCCATACTCAGCCCTCGGCCGCAGAGTAAAGCGACCCACAGGGACGGGCCCGAGTGTCATTTTTCGTCTCTAACTCATTGGATGGAAGATTAATCGACGAGGGGTCGTTACGTCAGCTCGACTTAGTATACAGAAGCGAGCATCATGCGCAATCACTCTTGCATGCACAAGGCGCTCCTTGTAAACTGTGCATCGTCTGAGTCCCGCAGAGAAATTGCCAGGGCTCAATTGTCTCTCCAAACCCAGCATATCGTATGTTTGGAACTGCCACCGACACAGTAGTACAAGACAGCTGGCAGTTCATGGGTGCGGCCCAGCAGACGAGCCTCGTTGGTTCCAACATGGCTCTAACCGTTGAGGTGGGGGCAATCATGCAGCATATCATTGATGACTTGCACGAGAGGCAACGCGATGATTAACCGTGTTTGCTGCAATATTAAGGAGATATGACAGGAGCTGGTGTTCTGACACTCAACAGGAGGGGCGATGCCGAAGATGCAGGCTCCAGTCGAGGTCATCCCGCCCCGATCATCGCGATCATCCGAGACGGCAGCGCGGTTGAGACCAGCACCGCCTCAGGTGGGACTGGGGCAGGATTCGGGCTGAGTCTATTCCGTACGATCCATCTGTTCAGAAGTTGTCTCCGAATGCTCTGGACATCCTGCAATCAGGCAGAACAGTTTCCCGTAGTAGACGAGATACTGGGGTATGCCGTTCTCGGCATTGGAGTCGCATAGGTCAGATGGCAATTTATAGAATCTCGACATCAACACAAAGAGCTGCCAATGGACAACCGGCCAATAACATCAGGCTGGGCAGTTGGTGCCGCCGGCCGACCGGGGAAAGATCGACCAGCGACGGCTGTTTCAGCTGCTAACATGGTACAACCAGGGCGCAGCCATTGCCGCGTCATATGTTGATGTTGCTCCTCTGTTCTACACATCAGATAGGTCGTCATGCTTGCCTTCCCCATACACGGCCCCTTTCAGGGTCGACACTCCCCTGGCTGGATCGCCATTATAATACGCGCATGATGGACGCTGGGAATAACGCCCCGTGCTCTTCACTCTCCCCACCTCTTCCCCTTGGCCTGGATGAGACTGCCCTTACAATGCGATCAATTCTCCCAGGGCTAGAGGTCAGGCTTTCCTCTTCTGCCCATTCGCGATGACACTCTCCGGTTGCTCACGTTGGCGCCTACGCCAGGGCTATTTTCTCTGTCTGTTCTATATCACAGGCTTGTTCATTTTTGCTTGTATCATCCTCATCTGGTATGGTGTCAATTCAGATCGCGATTACATCCACCCTCTGTTGACACAGTTGATCCCCGCCGGTCACTGTGCATGTCAGTCTTCCACTACCTTCCAGTGCTCGAGCTGCCTGACGTGTTCGCACCCGGGCCTGGCCCAACAGCTCACTCCAGCACCTATATGGGAGTTTCAATCTGCTCGAGATGGTAGTAACGAAGGCCTTGGCCGAGCCCAATGCGTGGCCGCATTCCCTGGCCTATTTGAAGATATTCTTCGCGCCGCAGCCTTTTGGAAAATGCACGGGGCACTTTCTATAGAGGACTTGGACGAGATTCCCCTAAGGTATGGCATGGTTCGAGCATTCATCCACGGCGGCGAGCTTCATGTGGTTGCGGCGCGGTCAAAGGGCGAAGATCACCGACGAAAGATTGTAGCCGTGCTGGGCGCAATTCACCGGGCACTGGTTGCAGATGCCAATCGTGCCGCGCGACAAGACATAGAATTCATCTTCTCGGTGGAGGACAAGGTCGAGGATGTGACCAACTCTGACCACCCCATCTGGGCCCTTGCACGGTCTGCGACTGAGGAGGCGGTCTGGCTCATGCCTGATTTCGGGTTCTGGGCTTGGGAGAACGCCCATAATTCACTCGGGCCATATGACCAGGTTGTCGAACGTATCAAACGCACGGATGTCCCCTGGTCACAGAAGAAACAGCAGCTGGTCTGGCGAGGAAAACCTAGCTTTGCCCCCAAGCTGCGCCGCGCATTGATGGAAGTTGCTCGAGACCAGCCGTGGGGCGACGTGAAACAGGTCGACTGGGGCCAGCGGACAAATATAATACGCATGGAGAATCATTGCCAGTTCATGTTCATTGCGCATGTGGAAGGTAAGTATTCTCGCGTGCCGTTATTGCGAGACTCCCCTGACTCTGGAGCGTGTGATGCAGGTCGTTCCTATTCCGCATCCCTAAAATACCGGCAGGCATGCAACTCAGTTATTGTGGCGCATCGGCTGCAGTACATCCAACACCATCACTACCTTCTCGTACCGAGCGGTCCTCAACAGAACTACGTCGAGGTTGAACGGGATTTCAGCGACTTATCCGACAAGCTGGAACCTCTGCTGGCCGATACAAGTCTTGCCGAGCGGATTGCCAACAACAGCGTCCGAACATTCCGGGATCGGTACTTGACCAAAGCGGCAGAGGCCTGCTACTGGCGCATGCTTTTTGAGGGATATGGTAGCGTCTGGAACAGCAGTGTCCCTGTGTGGTCGGAAGTGTATCGGCGCGAACGAGGTCTCCGATACGAGTCGTTCCTCTTGATGGATAGCCGGTTGATGTTCGATTTCGACACGCTGAGGTCGACTCACTTGTAACACGGTCGGCATCATGGGATTCTCTGCGCATAGGCTAATCATTTTGGATTACGGAGTTTGAAGGAGTCAGCAGAACAGGTTCATTCGACATTGTATAGACCCTTGCATGGCGGCACTTTATTTTGAGATACCATTGGGCGGATGCCATTTTTGATCGATAGATGTGATATATGATTATAGTGTTGTTGACAATACCCAGACGTGTGTGTGGAAGAAGCACTGAATGGTGGATTGGAATGTTTGTAGCCCTGTATGGCTGCTGTCAAGTTGCGACCATGCGACTGGTATGTCATGGTGCCGATCCCCGCATCACCTTGTACTTTGCAGACGTGATCGGTGAGCTCCTCGAGCTCTCCCTTAGGACATGTCACAATAGTAATGCACCAGCAACTGGCTGAGCGCCAGAGGTAACATTGCCAAGTCATCTCAAGGGAGACTGCAGTACGGAGTAGTTCGAGTTCGTATGCTGGCAAGGAAGAGGATTGTTAATCTCCTTCGGGCGGGGAAAGTGACACACCTCAAACCTTGGAAGGGGGTCCCAACCACCAGCTTTAGTCTTCTGCGATGCGATTTGTCAGGTCTGCAGAGATTGGCTTGGGGTTGACTCGGCTAGTCCCAGCTCACCCTTAAACTGGGTCTCTGCAGAAACCCACGAGACTAAAGTGCTGGACCGGGTCATCTGGAGGAGGGATCGATGGCTGGAATAAATCATTTTGGGATGATCTGATTCGCTGGTCAGACGGCTTGTGCAACATGAATTCTTGTTTTCTGCTCGTTAACAGTCGACGCCACCATACACAGGGGGTTTACAGTACGAGACTTTTGGTCGTGGAAGGACGAAGAGAGAGAAAGATGAAGAGGTAAGAGAAGTGGGGATCGGATGGACCCCTCGGGACGGCACCAAAGACAAACCTGACCAAACCATCGCTAGCAAGTAGAGTAAACAACACCCATCCGTCCTCTTCGGCGGATTCTCCTTCCCACTCTGGAGATTATATTTCCTGACTTGATTGGTTCTTCACGATAATTTTACCTAGCTAGTACTATGCTCAGTACACCACAGTCTGTTATCTCAGTATCTGGTTTTGACTTTACCCTTGTGCCAGCGTCGCTGACAATTGATCCACCGTGAGTGGCATTCCTCCCGTCGCGTCAAGCAAGGAAGCTCTCGCTTTCCCCACGAACCATGATCTGTGCGCCGATCGGCTCTTCGTCTGCGACGTCTGGACCACTGGGATCCCGCCGGTGGAGCTCCCAAGGGAGCGACCAGCCAACTATCGAAGGGATCATCGTGCGCTTCGGCGAGATTCAGCTCAGCTGAGATCTGCAGCCACACATTTGCCCAGGACCATTCACAATAGCGGCCGCCTCAATGGAGGTTGCACGGGCAAGACGACATGCTGCAGGAGCGAGAAATCGCGTGGAGAATAGTGGGCTGGCTTATAAGGTAGCCCGTCGTCCTCGCCTCTGCTTGCTCTTTTTCTCGGATTTCTCTGCCTCAAACCATCAATAATGTCGTCGCCGATTCCCAAGCCCCCGGGGGTCTTCCTCCTCGGTAATGTGCGCGACGTGAATACCTCAAACCCTTGGAACTCGTTCAATAAGCTTGCAGCGAAATACCGTGAGTTTTCATGCAATTTCCATACCCAGTGCTCTAGCTGACGTGGGTTCTCTCCGCCTCTCAGGTCCCATCTGCAAGGTCACTATCCTAGGCAATGACATTGTATTGGTCACAGGCGCTGCCCTTTTGGAGGAAATATGCGACGAGACACGTTTTCGGAAATGCGTGACCGGTCCCATTATTGAAATCCGCCAAGCAGTTCACTCCAGCTTATTTACTGCGAAACACGATGAAATGGAGAGTTGGGGAGTCGCTCACCGGATAATGGCGCCGCTGGTCTCATGGGAGGCTGTTGAGCAGGTCTTCACGGATATGCGGGAGGTGTCGACAGATCTGATCAAGAAATGGACCGCAGGTCCTCGCCAGCGCATCAGCGTCACCAACGATCTGGACCGCCTCAACCATGCTGCCAACATGCTCTGCTTCTTCGACCAGCGCCTGCACTGCTTGGAAGGGCCGGAGCCGTCTCTCATCAAAGCTATGGAGGCCGCCACTACCGAGGCCGTCCGGCGATCGTCCCGGCTTAAAATCATCAACTGGCTCCTCTACCAGCGCAAATTCGATGCTTATAACAAAACCCTGCGCGACTACTCTGCCGGCTGCATCGAACATCGGCGCGCCAACCCGTCCGCCAAGAAGGACATGCTCTATGCGATCATGGAGGGCAAAGACCCGCAGACCGGTTTAGGATTGAACGAGGAGCAGATGATCGACGAGATCATCAACGTGTTTATCGGCAGCGCTACGGCCCCCAATCTCGTTGCTTTCGGTCTGTACTACCTCATGAAGAACCCTCAGGTGATTGCCCGCGCCCGGGAGGAAATCGACGCCATTGTCGGCGGCCCCGGCGCGAAGATTGAGTACGAGCACATCGCCGCCCTCCCTTACTGCACTGCCATCCTCCAAGAAACCATGCGACTTGCCGCTCCTGCCCCGGGCTTCAACCGTGAGCCTATCCCTTCAAACGAGGGCCCAGTGCTCCTCGCGGGCGGCGAGTACGAGGTTCCCCGCGACAAACCCCTCATCGCAGTCCTGTACGGCGTAAACCGCGACCCCGCCGTATTCGAAGACCCTGACGCGTTCAAGCCAGAGCGCATGCTCGGTGATAAATACGACCGGCTACCGTCTGCCGTAAAGAAGGGCTTCGGCAACGGCAAGCGCGACTGCATCGGAAAACGGTACGCCTGGGAGTGGTCTCTCTTCACGCTCATCAGCATCATGAAGGACGTGGAGTTCGACCTGGCCGATAAGAGCTATGTCACCGACGGTGCCGGCAACAACTACAACGGCGCATTCACCGTCAAGCCCTTGGACTTCTTTGCCATCACCGGGCCCCGACCTCGAGTTGGCTGATCATTGACACCCCGTTCCTACTTGCTTTACGTCCCACATATGCCTATGATATCCAGATTGTGCGTTTATTTGTAATGTATGCCACGGACGTTAATACCATACTGCCATACCACCCATGCCACTCATCATAAGAACTATCTATAACCATTCCCAACCCAAAACTAAACCCAAACCTTGCCCCCATCCATAACCCACCTCATCGAATCCCTCACCATCTCCCTCACTGCCTCCCACTCCCACCTCTCCCAAAACAACAACTTCACCACCAGAATCAAAGTAATCCAATCCCTCAACATCTCCCACGCTAGAAGAAACAACCCCCCAGCCAGATTCAAGGCCAACCACACAAACATCAACATCAACAGTCCGAGCCTCGCAAAAGCGAACCCGGATTTCTTCGTCCAGTACAACGCCCGCCGTCCTGTGGTAGGGGGCTTGCAGTGGTATTGGTCACTGCTCTGTTCTATGTGTTTCTTTAGATCTAGGGCCACCTGGGAGAGGAAGTCATGTGATAGGAGTGCTAGGCTGTAGACGAGGGCTTTTGTGGTTTCGAGGATCATTGTGTTGGTGAGTTGGGAGCAGGGTTTGGGTGGGTTGTGTGTGTGTGTGTTGGAACCAGGACAGGATATGGTTTGCTTGGTAGTAAGTAGTTAGTTAGTGGAGAGATTGTAGAGAGGATGTTGGGATGCTTTGTTCAATGTGGTTAGTGAGTGGGTGATGCTGGATAAGTAAAAAGTATGATGGAGTGAGTGAGTGAGTGAGTAAGGGAGGAGATACAAGTTTATATAGCACTACTTTCTAGTCTTTAAGTTTAGGGGCTCCGTATCAATTATCGACTCTTTGTATCTAATAGAGGCTTTGTGAAGTAACTTCTCGTAAACAAGGTTTCGAGTATAGGAAGTATCAATAAAAGAAGGTTGATTAAAATGGAAGGCTGGTCGGTAACTACCTCCAAATGTAGGTAGACAATTACATAAAGAGGACAGTGATGTGAATTGCAGGGAAACTGGCTGATCGTTTGCAATTTTATATCTATCTAATCGGGGGATTACTACGTTATCGACTTCTTCCTATATATGTGTGGTGTTTTGCGTTGAGTCATGTGTTTTGAGGTTGAGGGATTTGGCGGAATTCTCAGCAATGTTCCTTTATATCGTGAAGATCAGATAACGGTATTTGTCAGAATTATCAGGATATGGATTGGATTGATGACATGATCTGGGTAGGTAGTCGGGTTGTCTTGGGCTGTTACTGGGGGTAAGCTACAGCTATATACATGCATCGTATGCAATAATTCGAAATCCGTACGTATGGAAGTAAGTAGTTGGTAAGACGTTACTTGAATTAGAACCTAGGCTTTTTGCAGCAAAGGCACAGGCGTAGGTCGAGCCATACAATTAATCCAGACGCGCTAAGCGTTCGTTGGATGGGCTTCGATCTTCTGCGTCCCAGTACAACGCTTGACACAGCATCATAGATGATAGAGAATCTGGATCGTGAAGAAAGTTTGCGCTACGTTGGCCCTTGGGCGCCGGGGATTGTAGTAGCGTCTGCTGTGGTTCTGCAACGTTCGTTTCATCATTTATGGTGTTGCTCCTGTCTAACAAGCGCGTAGCACTTTAGATTATCATTGCATCGATATCCCACTCGACATTCGATCTACCGTGACACACTGACTATCACTGCAGCCGATGATAGGATAGGAAGCTGGGAAACTTTGGATATTCATAGGCTCACACCCCCTTGGAGAGCTTAGGCGCAGTGTAAGGTCGCCACGTCCTGCAGGTAAGGAAGCTCCAGATCCTATATATCAGCTTTCTCGCCACCCCGATGTGTTATTCATAGATTTTGCAGATCTATCCCGATCACTGTTCGACCTATGTATCTCAGCCGATTAGGGCAGTTCCCCCATTGCAGGCGCCTCTGTTCTTGCCACAAGAAGGCTCACCTAGCTGTGTTGGTAATTTCCAATCCCAATGTTTGGTAGTACTGTCTGAATAGTAGGTCTTGATAAAAGTTGCTCGCCTAGCTAAACTGACCGGCAGTTCTTCAGCGTTGATAGCACACGTCGATGTGGTGGGACTCACCAGCGCAGCAAAGGCACGAAAGCTATATGAAAGATCCAGACCATATTGATGCATACAGCATAGGCCACCAGCCGGTCACCTTGGATTAGACATGAGGTGACCCGCATGCTGGCGCCTACTTCACGGAACACAATTCACCTTAGTATCTAGTATCGAATCCTCATAAGCAGAAAGGTGGAACGTAACCAACATCCCCCATTACTGGGACTGAGATATCGACTTGAGGTGAAGGGCGTATTCCAGGACACACTCCTGCAAATTATGAGTGAGCGCTTGCAACGACCATGTCAAATGTAGATCGGGTCAAGGTACATCCATTTGAAGGAAGTAAAACTGCATTGCGTATGTATATGGAAGACATAAAGAAACCACCCTATTGGGACCCACTTCCGAATACTGAGCCTGGATCGGCAGCTTCTGTCACCTACTCATTCTTTTCATAGAATCAATGTACACCAGCGAAGTTCGATGGAGGAGTGTTACAATAGGCCTGCAATCCACTTAATCGACACTATGTTCGCATGGCATGTTGTTGCCCGTGCGATATATTCGGGCCCTGAGCGACCCGGCCTCATATGAGCAGCTTTAGCGATCGGTAGCATGCCAATACCCCAAGAGGTAGATTGCGAACAGAGATGACCGCTGTTTTTGAGGCATGGTAATACCTCTCTCTAAGCTCAGGCTTTAGGTAGCATCGCTTGGATCCCTTGGTGTCAATACTGGATATCAGGTCTTGTATAATATGGAAGGTGCAATGACGTATGATGTGACTGCTTCCTTCGGCCAAAGCGAACGTGGCAGACAAATTCTCAATCCGATCGACATTATGGAATCTAATCAATTTTTTTGAATGATACAGCCAATCCAAATGGATCCTTTATGTAAGATTTTTATGATGCTCAGGCCGAACGCATGATTTGTTATCCCATGATCAACGTCGTGGATGCCAACAAAGAGGCCCACTAGACTTGTTGGCCAACGATATAACGTGTGAGCTTCCAACTAGTTGTATTGGTATTTATCCAACGCACTTGGCCTTGATGACCTGGTCGCCTGGATGCCCTGTCCAACAAGCAAAGCCGGTATTTGCGGATTACTGGCATGTGATTAGGTGGGCCTATGCAAGCCTTGCCCAGAGAATGCCAGAGGACTAGACCAGGCCTGATTAGAATGGACCCGTACCTCTCCGACTCTTTTGACTACCGCCGTTGCCGTAGTGCGAGGGTCAGAACAAGTTGTCTTAGCGATCTGTCGGGAGTATAAGTTCATCCTGTTTACGTCGGTCTAGTGTTTCGCAATAAAACGACGCTTCAACTGTCTAGTGGTCAAAGCATGGGTCACAGGATAGTTCGCAGAGGATAGCAGCAGACTGGCACATCTTGTAGAGCTCTGTCCAATTGACAAAGTTCCTGTTGGGTACTGCCCGTAGAAGCAAAGCAGTACCCAGGCGAACTCCGCAAGGCAGAGCATCATCGGTGTGGTCAAATGCGGCTGCGCACGGTCTCTCCGACTTGCATGATGAGAGGATCCTAGAAATATGCAATGTAAAGAGTCACAAAACCTGGCCAAAAAGCCAAAGACTGACTCGAACGTGGACCATTGTAGACGAATGGGTTGAGCGCACTGAAATGGTGGCGAGGAATGTTGGATGGATGGAGGAACAGACAACAAGGAAGGACCCGGTGAGTTGAAGGGGAAGGAAAGAGTGCCACAGCAGGCAAAAGGTGTGTCTAGCAACGATCCGGCCCTCTGAGGGATGAGGTTAGGCAGTGTGTTGCTATTGTCTTTGGTTATCGATCTTCCTGCAGGATCACCACACAATAGTATCCTTGGACTCCGAGAGGATGATCTCCAGGAACGACTGATTGGTGTGGGCAGATGCCTCCAGGAGGTGGGGATTGGCAGCTCAGCGCTGACAGGGGGAGGTTGCAGTGGCAGTCTCGGACAATTGCTGGAAGAGGAGCGGAGCTGAGCTGAGCTGAACTGAATTGAACTGAGCTGCCCGTGACTGTCGCCTATCACGGGATTCCTTCCGCTGAACCTCCTCTCATTGTTCTCTTTCCCCTATCCTCTGTCTGGTTGTCTGGTTCTCTACTTGCCTTTTCTTTTCTTTTCTTTTTGTTTTCAATTCTGATTCTCGAACTCATACGACTTCGTTATCCGATGGAATCTTCCCACCATCTCCACCTCCCCCACCCTACTCCAAACAGATGGGTTGCACAATGGCTGGATCATCTGGCAGTGTCTTTCAGCCCACTGGCGTCGAGATTCCAGCCTGAATACGAACTCCCCTGACCTCAATTCCACGTTACCGGGATCAATACCACACCATCTGTCGAGCTGTGTCGCTGGCCATCCGGATTGGTCTTCTCCAAGCTCGCCTACATACAAATGGGCTGATTGGTCCTTCATCGAGGGGACCCCGGCCACATTCCAATGCTGACGGCAGATCAGCCGTCACGCTGAGCGCAGGCTATCAGAGCCATCATTTCCGCACGGCCATTGACTGGCATTTTACTTGAAGGCGAGTTGCCTATATCGGACGCTGTAGAACTGGGTATAATGCGTCCCTTCGATCCGGCCATAATATTGAGCATGATGAATTTGGTTGGTGCTGATCCCTGTTGGCGTTGACTGGCGACTATTCCGGATTGGTAACTGAACCAGGCAGGTCGGATTGCCCAGCCCCGAGATAAGAATACCTCCGTCCCTTATAGTGCGCCATATGCGACAAAGTATCAGGACCATTTGCCTGGTTTGTAGCCCGGGTGTTGCCTTGTGACGGTCTCGGTGCTTAATGAGAATAATCATCTTCTGGAAATTATACCCGCTACATATCTCCAAGAGTCTGTTTGCCTTTCAACAGTTCTGGTTAACCCCGCACGGTCATGTCGACTGAGGACTGCTTCGCTCAGTCTAGCAGTGTCTCTGCAACACTTGGTGTTTCAAGAGTAGCATTCGCTCCAACTAGTGGTATCGCAGGGTGGTTTTCTCGGGAGGTCACGGAGCTCCCTTCGAGTGAAGCTCTGCAAGGATTCCCCGTGATGATAGGCATAGAAGGTCCGGCTTAGATCTTGAGGCCACTTTTCTGCTATGTCATCTTTGCCGCATAGCTCGCTTACAGGATTTTATTAGACGCTCTGGGTGGGTTGGCCCAGCGTGCATATTCGTGCATCGCGGCTTGCGAGGCCGTCAAACTGTCTCACAAATCACTACCTTGGCTTCGGTGCTCGGATTTAGTGGGGTCGGGCCATGAGATGTACGTGCGACAAATCAGCTGAGGGGCCTAAGCAGGCTGATCTGGACCGATCTCTATTGTCCGACCCATTCGATATTGGGGCGGAGCCCTTTATTGATCGTTGTTTGACCTAACCCAATTGATCAACAGCGCCAAGCAAAGCCTTGCCCACGCCTCGAAGCCGTGGGTCATTGTTTTCTGGGCATCTCTACAGCCAAAAAAGGCCGTGAGACATGGATCAAGGCTGCATATTGGAGGCAGAACGTGGCCCCGAACACCACGGGCCAAGTACCAGCAATCCGGATGGAAAGTAGCCCATTCCAACCCAGACGCTCAAAAGGCATGAGCCGACTGGGAAAGTAAGGTGTTTCGAGTAACCGGTGGGTATTCAAATAGTGCCTCTGGGGCCTCCTCATTCCTTGGCCATGCCCGGGATGATGTTGCACTCATTGCGCAACCTCGTAAATCCGGATGACATAACCAATCAGACTGATCGATGAATGCCCTACAAGCTCCGGGATCTGGATCTATTGACTCTATCCGCTGAGCTGAACGTGTGTAAGATCCTCTATAAACGAAGGTAACAAGTCTCCATATTACCGTGCCCGCAGCACATGTCTAACCTTCAGTGCGAAAGCTTGCAGACGCTCCACCTCCGCTTCTCTCTCTCCCCCTCTCCCTCGATTGAGACTATTCAACACCACTGTCCTGGACATATGTCTCATTATCTGCACACTATATTTCTATCGAGATTGACGCCGCATCAATAGTTACTAGCAAAACCAATACTTCGAATTTCCTAATCTCCCGAGTTCAACAACAATGCGGACGCAGTCGGCAAAAGAAGACAGGAATACCAACGATGCCTCGGCTCAAAAGCAGGATCCGATTGAGCGGAGAAGACTGCAGAATCGGCTCTCGCAGCGAAACCATCGTGAGTATCTACGGTAGATCATGTTGATGGGCATTGCACTCATCGCTTGATAGGACGCAAAATCCGTGATCGCATTGCCAAGCTTCAAGAGCGCGTTATTGCGAGTGAACTACGAGCAGCAGCTAGTTTGAATGGCTGGGACCATCCAAACACACTCACCCCATCGCCAGTGGAACGGATGCCGCCTGTATACGATCCTGAAGGGAACGCCTCATCGCCCATCCAAGATGGTTCATCGATGATGGCATCCACATATCTGCCCCAATCAAGAGTTGTCTGTTCATCCTGCAATAGCGCTCTGGGCCCGATACCTGTCTTTTCCCCGCAGCCACCATTTCCTTCCTCATTATACGATGCCACGAATGAGCTTGACGCCACCACCTCCTCGTCTACTATCCGAAACAGCTTTTACTACCCGCGTTCAAATTCCATCAACCCCGAAATGCAGAACATGGCCAACCTTTATCCTTCAATGGACTCTAGTGTCCCTCCTCTTTGTGAACAATGGACAGGCCCCGCCCAATACCCCGGGTCATCGTATTACTATATAGCAACAGGTAAGCCACTGTTCTTGCCTGACGCACGACTACAGAGATAATCGTTCTCCAGAGGCATCCCTTCCGCAAATTATGCAAGCCCTGAGTACCAGTTCCTCACGTCCCAAAGCAATCATCGTGCTTTCACAAAACAACCACCCCACAGCACTGCCAGCAACCTTGCCTACATCGCAGCCATCGCCCCCCGGAACTGCAGTCGAGCTGCCCGCATCGTCGAGCCCACTGAGCATACATGATTCCCCATGTCAATGTCAGAACCAGGGCATGATGACACCAGGTGAATGGGGGTCATCTGCGCCTATCTGCCCGGTACACCAGATGCAGACAGGAGAAAATCTGCAACTGATGATGCTTTGAGCGGCCTACAATAATATACACGAGATCCATGTCCAACACGGATTGAAAATAGATGAAATTCAAGACCAACCCGTCACGTTGAATGAATGACTTGCATTTCTACTTTCCTCATATCTCATTGCATCAAAGCAGAAATAATGAACGTCTGATCTATCTCAAGTTCTATCAATCCGAGTGCATGTGGCATCCGCTGGCCCGGTCTCGGGGATGTTTGCCAAAACCGAGTCAGTCGGAATTAGTCCCCCATGCAATAATCTCAAATAAAAATGCAATACGCCCCAGTCACTTGATGGGAAATATTTTACCCTGTAGTTACCAATAGACAATAGTCCCGAGACAGCCATTGCCGCCGGAGGATGACACCCGTGTTTGTCCTGAATCTCCCCTGTCCTTGTCACAGCCCTCTATAATGTCAACCAGTATTTTCTATAGATCCCATTTTCCCTGCCCCACACCCTCTTTCCCACTCGAACAAAAAAGGTGGCAATATAGTCCATCCCATACGATTATCTGTATAAATAAACCATCTTTCTCAACTAAGTACTACGTACCTGCATAACTGTATAATAAACACAGAGCATCAACATTTTCTATCCCTACCATCTGCATCAGCCTCAATCACGCCACCTAACCCTAAGCTAGACCCAAATTGAGAGTCAAGAAAGAAAAGCAAAGAGCCATTTCAATCCCACCGACCCCATATCCACATATTTACATACATGTCCTCGTGAATGTTGTGCTCTCTTCTCGAAGCTCGCGTGGAGGATCAATGTATTGTAACCCTGTACCTACCCGCGATAAGAATCACTATTCATGATTTTCCCTCTGACTGGACTAAGGTATGCCAGTACATAGGTACATGTGGCGGCGTCAGGTAGTTCTGCATCATACATATAGGGTAATGTATGTAGATGTAGCCGGAACAAGGGTACACATACATGTCTAGTGTGTTTGATCGGTACGGGTTGGGGTGATAGGCTGCGCGCCACTTTTGTGTAACTGTCATCATCGCCGCCCATTCCGCTTTCAAGAGGGTTGTTTGCCATTGCCACGTACGTGGGAACTTAGGGGCCGGAAGTGAGGATGAGGTGTCCGGCTTGGATCGGATGCAGTTCGCTTTAACTTTGCGGGAGGAAAGCGATAGGGTTCAAGATCTTCCCGTAGTGGTCTATTTTAATTGTGATGAGTTTAGTATGCAGTGGTGATAGAACGATTGATGGAAAAGTACTATGAAGAGATGAAAGTACGGGATTAGGCGCTTGCCAGGGCTATACAAGCCTTTGGTTACTGACCAACTGTTGAATTGCCCTTGGCTTTCTGTGGCCTGGCGCTAGCGGACAATGGCATAGCGTGTGCATCCCTGCGGGAATGAGACTTGCAGACCGCCACATATCTAGAGACTCGTTTGTGGAAATTTCCATGAGTGATGCTTGGTTGCCTTGTGTCCTGAATCCAGGCCATTTGAATGGAGACAGTCGGAAGAAGCCGCCCAGGGGTCAAACGACATATTAATCCGGTGTTTTACTCATGATGGCCAGTTCTAAGTCGGAGAAAAGGAGTGGGAAAACACTGGGAAGGAGAGCCTTTCATGATTTGTACAATTTCTGGGTCTTGAATGCCTGCATCAACGGATCCTTGGATCTGCCGAAGCCCTGGGCGCTAAATGTGATAGCTCGAATAATTTCGAGTTCCGAATGTGGCGATTCTAAATTTCTCTCCTAGAATCCTAGTGCATGCCGAGAAATTGTTGAAGGTCACGCGATTCCATGATGAATAAATAAAGGTACATCGAGGATTCCATGTTGGGCACAGCATAGTCGAGCGCATAGCTTGCAGTATGACATGCACCATGGTCTTAGCAAACTCTTATTTCGACTTTTCAACTGTGCATTATTAGCAACAATATATCCAGTAGCTCATAAGGATATACTAGGTCTGACCTCTCAAATGACGCTATAGAACAAAGATATTTTTGAGTCCACGCATAGATAAGACCACGACGCATCACCGTTAGGCACTATCTGGAGTCAGTACGATGGGCTGTCTTGCATTTTGACCTTGGAAGGTACAAATCCTGAGATTCATCGAGTCCCATCAGCCAGATCCTCTTACTTTTATTCGGTAACGCTCCCCTGAATGAGACAGCTCTTGATGAACCCTCAACTCTATGTGTAGATGTCTCCGCCAATGCAAATGACGCCATCACGACGAGCAAAATAGCCTTGTATTCCGATGAGCTGTATGTCACTTGCTTGAAAGTGAACTGGTCGAATGTTCCAAAGGGGTTTTTTTACTGGATGGCAGGGCAAGTTGGGGGTTATAAAGACTGCCAGCGTAGGGACCCCAGGCATATACGTTGGATCTGATATTACTGGCTTTGATTCACACGACAGTTCCGTAGAGAAACAAACAAGTTGATATGGCTTCTGGGAGCAGGTGCGTCACCGAAGGGTTGGGGATATGTTATTGTAAGGTTCTTGAGGGATTTGTAGAGAGATAGAGGCTATAATTGATAAGTATTCCATTGATATGTGTTAGCGTATCGAACAACCCTAGACAAAGATGGACATCAATGGACACGACTCACCAGATGCGACAAAATCCAGCATCGAATACTTTGAAGGCTTATTTATTGTCAAGTTAATACCTGTAGACCAAAACGATATACCGCTGGCCTCTGGAGAACAGAAGGTTCGACATGTCCACATGTCCCAACACTTATAACAGGTCAAGGCCGTAGATATCAATTTCCAATGCTCCATCACGTCCGTCGGCCAGTCAGGCCTGAAATGAAAGATGTATCAACCGGGTTATTTACAGGCCCGGCATCGAGTGCGAATACGACGACCGAGACAGTGATAAGTCAGTTTCCGGAGCACTTGTAGTTTCTAATCCGTTGTCATTTCTGAGAATGTGAAAGTAGAATCATTGAGACCAGGGGCTTCATTGGGCTTTCAAAGGTGCACCTTGATGAAGTTTTTGCGATCAAGCCCGTATTCAAGTCTAGGCCTAATAAGAATGGAACTAAGATGATGGAGAAAGTGAAAGATATGTAGGTTGGAGGTAGAAAGATGAGGAGGGAAAGAAGCGGATGAGGGAGAGAGAAAGAGGGAGGGGCGGCTTAGAGAAAGGGAGGCCGAAGAATCAGTGAGTAAGAAACCCTCATCTTCAATATACCTTACGATGACACCAAATGAATTAGTTTTGGGTGGTTCCTTAACAGTAACTGGCATTCGTTGATTGCACACGAGACACTCTTCAAGAGTAATATTTTGTTCCGGTCCACCCACAACAATCAGGCCTGGTTATTCCAACTACATACAGCAAGATAAGAACAAAGACATCCACCTATCTCCTAAGGATGTATGCTAATTTTATGATGTAAAGCAGAGCACATCACATACCTACCACGGCAACTCCCCTCTATCGTACTGATTCAATCCAGGATTCTTCTCCCACCCAGGCATATGAATATTGAAAATTAGACCGTTCCCTCCCTAGTCGTCCTGAAAACAACATCCAAGGTGGCCTCGGCTACCAAGTCTACGGGCAGATCCGCGCCAGAGCCTCCCATATCTGTCTTCAGCCGCTGCTCCAGTCCGAAAGCAAGTATATCACATCACGGCTGCACTGATGCTCACACCGGGACTAAAGTTGACGTTCGTTTCAAGAGTGTCGTTAAGATCATTCCTGCCCTGCATTGGACGAATTTGCTTACTGATACCATGATACGATATGGCATTTAGTTCTGCGAAAATACACCCCTCAAGAGATCCAAATTTCGATACGCCAGCATTGTTGATCGAGACGGCTAGTTCCTTTCCATCAAGCTTGCTTTTCACAATTTCGACTGCCCTCGTTACACTTCTTTCCTCCGTGATATCCAGATGAATAAAACTACCACGCTCAGAATACTCTCGCAGGAGCTCTTGGAACTGAGGAGCACTGTCTGTACGGGCTGTGGCAAACACAATTTGGACTTCAGAGACGGGCTTGACGGCCACTGCCTAGTGATCAGAAATGAAGACATGGTCAGGAAATGCAGGCAGATGAGGACGGAAAAGAAATTGCTTCCGGGTTGGATGTCGATTTGACAGCAGCTGCAGAGACATGATACGTAAGGTATTAATCAGTTCTAGGGGATTTCTTGCTCTTCACAATCTCTATTGGTCTAATAAATCTTCTGTCACTGGCAAGTGATGAATCCCACGGAATTAACATATCGGTGTCCGTACCCAACTGCAACACTCGGTGATAAGACGGCGATGAATTGATGCACCTCTCTGGTCAGAGATACTATCTCCTAAGAACTTCTTTCTTCTCACTAGAGCCACAGACCACAAGGTACCTACCACTCGTCTCCTCTCGGAACGACTGGTGGACAACCACCATCGGGATGTGGACAAGAAGTGCATCATCCCGCATCTTCGCATCGCCAACTATATAACAGCCAAATATGTCCATATATAGATAGGCAAATAGTCATACCACAATCAACACAGACACCATCCAAGAGACAGAAACAGAAACAGACACAGAACAATGACCTCCCCCTCCTACTCCCACCACTTCTCCCTCCACAACCTCCCCTACGGCATCGCCTCCTCCCCCACCCATCCAACCCCCAATGCGCAACCCGCCTCCACAACACCATCATCTTCCTCTCCGACCTCCAATCCGCCGGCCTCTTCACCTCCATCCCCTCCCTGCCCCCCAACGTCTTCTCCCACTCAACCCTAAACCCCTTCGCCTCTCTCCCCCGGACCACCCAAACCCAAGTCCGCCATGTCCTACAATCCACCCTGCAATCCACTCCAACCTCCCCCCTCCCCGACTCAAGCACCTCCGACATCACCACCGTAACAATGCATCTCCCCGTCTCCATCCCCTCCTTCACCGGTACGTCTCCCACCCAACCTCATCTGCCAAACCACCCAACTAACACCCCCTCCCTTCCCCCTCCCCCCTCCTCCAGAGGGACAGGGCCAGGAAAAAGGGAGACCAAAAAAAAGACTACAGCAGCAGCCTCCCACACAACCAACACGCCGGGCTCGCCATCCTCAACAACCCGACCCCACCGCCTGCATTCTTCCACTTCCCCATCGGCTACAGCGGCCGAGCCAGCACCATCATTGTCTCCGGAACCCCCATCACCCGTCCCGTAGGACACTTCTATGATCGAACTTCCGCATCCTCATCTAAGGAAGTGATTTTCGCTCCGACCCGCGCCCTAGACTACGAACTCGAATTGGGGGTTGTTGTTGGTCGGCCCTTGGCCCCTGGGAAAGGGCTCGATGCGAGGGATGCAGAGGGGCATATTTTTGGGTTGGTGGTTGTTAATGATTGGAGTGGTGTGTATCCCATTCCACCCTTTGGTTTTGTTGGTTGTTTGTTTGGGTGTGGTTTGGGTAGGGAATGAAATGCAATGGCTAATGGTATTTATATGGTGCAGCACGAGATATCCAAGGATTGGAAATGATTCCACTTGGACCATTAAACGGGAAGAACTTCGCTACTACGATCTCGCCTTGGATAGTTACTCTGGATGCGTTGGAGCCGTTTAAGGCGAAGGGACCCGAGCCGCGGGTTTCGTTGCCGAGGCATTTGGTGGATCCCGGGAAGGCGAGTTATGATATTAGTGTTTTGGTGGAGGTGGAGGAGGGAGAGGGGGGGAGGGGGAAGACGGTGTTGGGACGGTCGAATGCGAGGGAGTTTTTCTGGAGTGTGAGGCAGATGTGTGCGCATTTGGCGAGTACGGGGTGTGATTTGCGGACGGGGGATTTGTTGGGGACGGGGACGGTGAGTGGGGACGGTGAGGGGGAGTATGGGTGTTTGTTGGAAGTTACCAAGGGGGCAAGGTGGCGGTTAAGTTGGAGGGAGGGGGCGAGAGGGTGTATTTGGAGGATGGGGATGTGGTGACTTTGTCGGCTTGGGCGGGGGAGGGGGTAGGGTTTGGGGAGTGTGTGGGACAAGTGAGGCCGGCGAGAGAGGGGTGGTCGAGAGGAGGAGATAATCCAATTGAATAGATATGTAGTATGGTACTAGAAGGAAGATCAAAATACAAGTTGTTCCCAGATTGTATGCGCCGGCCGTGCTATCCTACCCAGCCAACCCCTGTACCCATGCGAAAATGAAATCAAGCGCCTAAACAGATCAAATGTACACCTATCGTACGACCCTCAGCTCCAGAGCGGGGGGTGGATGTACTCCGCTGCTCGGTCCAGGATGTTGGGTATCGTCCACTCGCCACTGGTCGAGCTTTCCGGGGTTGGCGGTGGAAGAGACCCAAGACTGGGCGTCATGCTGGCCGACACAGGGGGGACGCCCAAGGGGCCTGGGTTCAGATAAGCCGGGGATCCGGCCTGGCTGGCAGCACGGGCGGCCTGGGCACCGAATGCGGCCTCCAACTTCTCCAGGGCGCGGAGGGTCTTGGTTAGAGGCTTGGCCCATTGAGTTTGTGTGTCGACAGCTACGCCGGCAGATGCTGGAGAGGCGGAACTGAGGCCCATGGGGCTTGGTGCGGCAGTGCTGGGGGGTCTTTGGACGGTACCAAGGCGCACGCTGCCGTCAGTCGGAGGGACGGTAGGTTCGGTGGGCCCGAATTCGCCCTCGATGTTGGCTCGCTCCGATATGATCATTTTGAGCTGTTGCAGAAGAGTCCAGAAACGAGAAATGCCCTTAACCTCCTCGGTGACAGCCAGCAAGAAAATAGAGCTAATTGCTCGTTGCAATGCAATCCATGAGCGCGACGCGTGGGAGCTGACCGTGTGCATCTCAACATAGGCTTCCACCGTGGTCATCAAGTTGCTCACACAGTCTGAGCGCATGCTGGATAAGGCTGGGTCGCTGATGTCAGCGGTTGCTTTGAGCGCTGGCCGGCAGAGCTCAGAAGAAAAGTAAGACGAGTGCAGCTTGAGGACGACCCGTTCCAGGTGTTCGGTTGCCGAGAGGCAGTATTTTCGGTCTCGGAGGTGGGGCTTGGCCTCGATCATGATCTGCTGGATGCGTTCTTTGTATGCTTGAATGGTCTTGTAGCTCAGTTGCGAGTGGGGACTCAGCATTCGACTACGAACCACCTCCAGCGCCAGAGATATGATCCGACAGAGTGTCTCGAAATAGGAGATTTCACCGGGGTTCCGGTCTCCACGGTATGCGATTTCGGGTTGGCTCACGGCGGTCGTCGAAGGTCGGTCGTAGGAAAGGGAGAAGTGGCTATCCTGCCATGCCATAGACCACCTAGATGACATTAGCCGCTATGCACATGATGCAGTGTCCGAGTAACCTACCAGACATGGCGTCGACGATATCGCTCCGCAGCAGTGAAATGACCGGATTCCACGTGCAAGCCAAGCGCCAGCCCCATTCGAAGAGTCATACCGAGCAAAACATACGATATACCAGGATTCATGTTGTATGATAACACATTGCCGATTACGAGCAGCGTTTGCATGGCGTCTACTGTGGGTTGGGACAGGAAGTTGGTCATCCGCAGACACTGATAGGAGCAGCATACTACACAGCATTAGTATTGCCGTTCGCGCGGCCGACGTCATTCAACACATACCGTAGACTTGAGAGGTTAGCTCTCTTTCTTTCCCCGGCAAATCCGATGACTGGCAGCCAGAAGCTAACACGGCGAACAACAGACCCATGTAGGCAATAGTGACACCAAAGGGCTTCTGGGCTTGATCGGCATCCGCGCGATACGTCCCACCCATGGACGTCCTATTCCGTAGCATGAGATTGAGATTCGCCTCAAACTGAGGGACGTCCTCGAGGACCGGGTAGATAGCGCCTGCTATATCCCGGTAATAGTAGAAGAATCTGTAGCAACCCTTGGTTAATACCCCAACATAACCGACTCATTCAGTCATGGAAACTAACTCTTGGCATTGTTGGTCACTTGGCAATGCACTGCAGACTGCACTGATATCAAATGTTGACATATCCGATGACCACAGATCAACGAACGGATATGTCGCGGACTCATTATCCAAGCCCAGCTTCGGCAAGATTCCACCTTCTAGGAGCGCTTGGAGCTGATCGGACCCAGACTTGTTGTTCAAGATGTAGGCGAGGACCGACCTGGATCCCAGATGAACAGTGCCTTCGCCAAACGTATTCGGCGCATGGATGCCCTCCCGTTCCGGCGAAGCACCCTTGGATCGGTTACTTGCATCCCCGCTCTGCACACTGCCCGTCTCCAAGGTGGAAGCCGGCCCTTCGTCTGCCTTTTCCAGACCAACTCGTAGGGTGTTGATCGTTTGCTCCATCTCCTTCAGTCTGGTACGAACATTGTCCCACTCCTCGCGCGCAATTGAAACCCGGCCTCCATTTCCTGTTACACTTGGTCGACTCACACCCGGTTCTTGTTTCAGGCGCACAGGAGCCTCGGCCGAAAACCCAAGGTTCTCTACACCAGCCGGCTGACTTCCGACGACAGGTCCATCCCGGAAAGGTTGTGGGAGCGGGCCAGTCGTGACGCGCTTTTTCGACGGACGTTCGTACGAGCAAAGATCGGCATGGTCGCGCTTGACACAACCGTCGCATGGTAGGTTACGATCGCATTTGACTTTTCGAGCGTGACATGGATAGCAGGCTTTTGGCTCGCGCGCCTTTCGCTTGGTGCGGATGATTGCGTCCACCTGGGATTGGGGCAGGTCGGAGACTGGTCTCGAGGAACCAGCTGTCATGTCGGGGCCGGCTACAGACGGCGAGTACGACAGAGACGGCTGGTACGGAGAAGTCATTAGGAGGTCGGTGATGCGAAAAGGCTTGATAAAAGAGAGACTGGGTCGGGATCTGAATCGGTGTTTCGGCTAGGGTAATGAGTGCGTGTTTGCTGGTTTACCAATGCTATCTCACATGAACAGCGACGATGGAGAGAGGGCGGGAGAATGAATGCGGCGTGGCACTGATCGGTACGTTGCAGGCTTCACATCGATGGTAGGTTCTGAGGGATTAGTCCATTGGCAGCAGGTCTCAAATGGTGATTAGGACGAGCGAGGGCCGCACACCATCTCGCTGCAAGAATCTCCTCCCGAGGTAGCTGGGCGCAAAGTAGTTCTGAAGACGGACTAAGCACCGTTCATTGCAGCGCCCCATGACTCAGCAAACAAGCCCGGTCACGTGAGATAGAGGGGAACCTTGGCAGGAACCCTAAGCCCTACCCAAATGGTCGGGTCTTGGCGGTATGATGTAATGGATGATGACTGCGCTCCAGCGATTGCTGGTATGACTACAATGCCGCTGTCTTGGATTGTCTAACATCAGTCATAGTAACCTTATGACAGACCAGTCCATGGTTGTACGACGCATAAAAGGGTTGACCCATCCAAATGCTCTGGCCTAGACTTTCCCCTTCCCGGCCAGTCGCTGTGTTTACAGCAGAAACATTTCGCATCAACTAATTATACCCTTATACTATGTAGCAAACGACTGGAGACGATCAGACAGTCCAAGCATACGAGTACGTCGCTGAAGAACTATCCGGCACCCCAGGCGTTGAACTCCAAAAATACGTTGCAGCCAATGGGCCACCAACAGCCTCTACAATAGGCGCCAACGTGAAATTATGCCTTGGGTCATGTTCCTCAAGCAGTCCGTCTAGAACATCCTGGGGCGGAGTATAGTCGTCTGACTGATCAAACAGAAAGATCGTAAAGTCATGGACTCGACTTGTCGAAGGTTGGGCAGGGTGGTACGATGCCAGGGCATTGCTGGAATTGACAAATTTCCCATCTTGTAGTGTATAGTTTCCACCCCACCAGTGCAATCGAGTCGTCGTGTTGACTAACCGACCGCGTACAAGGCTCGAGTATTGGTCTAGCGCGGCGAAGGCTGAATCGGCGACGTCGTAATCTACCATCATGAGCATGTAAGTTCCCGGGTAGGTGCTCGTAGAGTGGCCGGGGAACACAGACGGATACACTGTGTCTGTTATTTCCAAAGTTAGAAGCTATAAATTGACTAGTACAATATGAAAGGACTGATATGAATGGCAGTAGAGTGACATGAGCTACACACCATTGGGATTGATCCAGACACCAGGAGTAACAATCATATTTCCGAATGATACCCCTAGATTGGTTGTTGTTTGTGGCCAAATGTCTGATGATGTCTGTGCCAGAGCAGTGGCTGCAACAAGAGCAGTTGAGATAAGTGTAGTCGCGTGCATGATGCAGGTTCGCTAGATCTATTTGCCGGACAAGTCAGACTTCCTGCCTTATACTTATGCCCAATGTAGGAGGTCAGTCAGTAGAATCAATGACCAGTGCTCTTAGCATCTAGCGTATGTAGAAGTCATGGGGCCGCTTTTTATCCTCAAAGTGCGAGGGATCGTCGAAGTGAGGCATCCTCAATCTGGTTGGCCCGGATATCACATTCCTGAGTCCAGACGGCATAACAAATATCTCTTGTGAAGGCCGTGACTTAGTATAAACCATCGGTCTGAGTTAAATCATAATGCGATACCAAAAACATGATCAAGTTACATAGTTGTGAAATCATATCGCTCAATGCGAGTTCCAGCTGAAATAATTAGTCGTATTTTTTCTTGTCAAAATATCTATCATTAGGCATGTCGTATATATACTTATATTCTCGGTTTTGAAAACGCGTCAGAAATTCAGACAAATCACATAGCTGTAGAGTAGTGTGTTAGATCTCGGGAAGGAATTCGGATTTCAGACTGTGGCCTAAGAGTTGCAGATGGTTTATTTGTTCACCAATGGCACTGCGTGTCTAATTGATCTCTCTCGACCTTTTCCTCATCGCTACTAGAGGCATGTCGTGAGAAACCTCGAATGGAGGCCCCTTTGAAGTAGAAAACGTATGGTATCGCACAGCAGGCCAGGGCAATGAAAGCAAGCAATGTGCTTGCCCACTGGTACCCGAGACGATCATACATCTGTTCAGTGAAGAGGACGGTAGACGCCCCCCATATTGAGCGAAGGAATGTTTTGGCAGCGAGAGCAGACGCAGCTTGGTGCTGGTACGTATCCACTAGATCAGTGTCAGCAACTATACTCCCAATATTGCACCAAAGCAGACGTACCGAGGTAGTTGTTGGCTGAGTTGTACAAGAAGATGATGCCGAACCCCACTGGCCATCCTCCAATTGCAGGTCCAATCCAGTGGATATGAGGGTACGATGTCCAAGCAAATATGAATAGGCCTAGGGGTATAAACCAACAAGAAAGCATCATCGGGATTAAACGAACTTCGGCAGGAGGCTTTCCTCCATGCTTAGCACATATGGATAGGAAGTGTCTATTGACGAAAGGTGCGCATGAAGCACTCATGAGGACACCAATTGCAAGAGGTATGAACATCAGGCCAGTGGCACTGGCGCTCCACCCCTTTCCAGAGCAATATATCACAGGGTAGCTAGAGCAGAATTAGAGATAATACCATTGGTTTAAGTGGAAATTCTACTTACGCAACGAAAAAAATGTACAGTAGACCGTATAATACCGACATGTAAAGTGAAATAAACAGGACAATAGGCTCCAGAAACAGAAGCTCGAACGGGCGGAAGAGAAAGACCCGCAACCTCTCGCCCATTGTTCGAGGATCCAGTTCTACTTCTGCCACATAGCCATGGTCATTTTCAAGATTCCTCAGTTTCTTGGCCCTTTTTTTGAGAAGAGTCGGTGCGTATGTCTCGGGTACAGTAAAGGTGATCAGAATCCAAGCAACAAAGGCCAATATCAATTGCAGCCAGTATAGCCATTTCCAGTTGGTAGCATCCGCAAGGAAGCCACCAGCTAGAGGTCCAATAGCTGGTCCAAGAAATGGACTAGCTGAGAACGCTGCCATGGGTACTGCTCGTTCTTCATTATCCCAGAGGTCAGCCAAAGTACCGCCAACTAGCGTCATGGGAGCACTAAACGCAATCCCATCGATCGCTCTGCAGACAATGAGTGTTCCAATGTTTGGAGCGACAGCACATGGGATAATAAATATGACAGCCAACAGGAGCGTAGTTGCATATACAACCCGCCGGCCAACCATTTCGGACAAGGGGGCAAATGCCATTGGACCTTAACTTAGTTAGTGGCACAAGGTTGATCAAGGAGACTTGGAAGCGACTTACCGACACCAAAACCAATGACGAACACTGTCACAACAACAGTGCTGGCCTCCCGAGAGACGCCAAATGCTTTTGCCGGGCCTTCAATGTCCGCCGTGATGACACTACTAGAGAAAGTGACCACAAAACATGCGAAAGACACTATCATTGTACAATACCATTTGAAGGGTTTAGACCAATTTTTGGGGTCCTCGGTATCATCAATCCTGAAAGTTACGAGCTTCCAGTCTTCCGTTTTACCTGTGATGAAAGATTGGATTGGCTTGATGATCTCGCCTGTATTGGTTTCCCTTGTGCACTCTTCCATGCTGACGCTATCGGTCGCCTGGTGGTGGAGTAGATCCAGAGGATTGACCTCAGCTTGAGTAGGATCGGTTGATATATCACGAGAGACATGAGTGTTTGAGTGGTCTGAGCGATGTGATTCCTGCATATCTTCTGTGGTCATCGTGCAGAGAGCGCGTGCAATAACCAGTACTGCTTAGGAGGTGCATGAAAACCCTATAGCCATGCCTGCCTCCTGTCTGCTCTTATAGACGATCAGATTCGCCATGATCGCCGGAAATTAGAACGCCTAGATTGATCGTATACAAAACAAGGTGAAGGGAAGGAAGAAATGACGGAGAGTAAGGACTCTTACCTGAACAGGAAAGCACTCGGGCTGCCCAGGGGTCTGTGCTTATTTTAGCCAATCGGGAGCTTAATGCTAATTTTATCAGGGATTATGCCGCGAGAGCGCGTACTAGTACTGCATCTATCTATCAACTTGATATTAAGAAGAAGTCCTGTATTATTAGAGACTGAGCGCTGAGGACTGCAGTGAGTTATTGTTACTGAAGACCTTTAACTTCGGACCATGTTTCCCAACCGGGAAGGTTTTCCTATAGGCAGGCAATCCGTTTGTAATGGAAAAGGCAAACCCGGGGAATTCCGGTGGAGTTCATCAATTTAAGCAAAATAGAGTAGTTATTCATTATCATACAGTAACTACGAAGCTTGCACCTTATTGGGCAGTTCCCGTAAATGCCCTTTGCTGTGACCCCAGTTCCTGCTATACAGTACAAAAGCCAACGGGCATCAGTAGATAAAACTAGTCACTTAATGACAACATCATCGAAAAGCTATGGAGCTATGACCCTTCTGAGCTCCGTCATGCCCCTCTCTACATATTCAGATTAACTGTCTCGAGCGCTGTACCAAGTATCTATATTGGTGCACGAGACTCATGCTGGTAGCAGATGTTTCCCGAAAGACCCACTATGCCGGTTTCGCGATGAACATCGTAGCCAAGCCCTGGGCGTACTTATGATTCCAGAACTGATACCGCGAGCACCGTGTAGATCCATTATCGAAGCATTCCAGGAGACTTTAGTGGCGAATCAGAATGTCAGCAACGACCGGGTGAGGTGCTAGTTGTGGTTCCTGCTGCAGTTTTCCGGGGAAAACGAAGCGCACGGGACAGATAAGGAGGCGATAAGCCGGAAGTGGATTAGCGCGGGGGTGGTTTTTCCCACTCCCCCCAGCGGTGGAGAGAATAATTTTGACTCACGCAACACGGACGAGCAGCTCAACGCCCGTCGCTGTGCTCCCTAGTCAGTCGAACTCGCACTCTAGAGGTGTGTCTGTGACACCTCGACAAAGGGGACTTCATTGTTTCTCTGCTCTACTCATATAAACGACTCGTTTTCCCTCCCCTACCCGTTCCCTAAGCCCCCCCGCCGACCGATTACCTACCACTTCACAATGGCCTCCGACTCCACCTATTTGGCCATCCCTGGCTCTGTTGCGTTCTCCCACTCTCGTGGACGTGCAATTGCTGCTAGCATTGGTGCACAGGATGTCCGTGCCCAATGGATCCACTATGTCTACCTCTCTCAGCCGTTGGACGCTCCTCAACAGGATGTCTTGGAACAGCTTCTCCGCTATGGTGATATCACCGACATCCCTCCCTCGTTCAACGCTGAAGACGGTCCGTCCGACGTCTTCCACGTCTTCCCTCGCACTGGTACCATTTCCCCTTGGAGTTCCCAGGCTACCGGTATCTCCCACGTTTGCGGCTTGCGCAAGTACGTCAAGCGCATCGAGCGGGGTATGAAGATCTCCTGCCTTCGCTCGGCCTCTGGCGAGTACAAGTCAGGATACCAGGATACCTTGCACGATCGGATGACCCAGGTTTTGAGTGAGAACGAACCTGACCTGCACTTGATGTTCTCCGAGCACAGCCCTCAGCCTCTCGAGACGATTCCCCTGCACGGAAGTGGCAAATCTCCCAAGGAGGTTCTGCAGGAGGCAAACAAGCGGCTTGGACTGGCTCTTGAAGAGTCTGAAATTGACTACTTGGCTGAAGCCTACGGTCCTAACGGGCCTCTGGCTCGTGATCCCACTGATGTCGAGCTGTTCATGTTTGCTCAGGTCAACTCCGAACACTGCCGTCATAAGCAGTTCAACGCAGCCTGGGTTATCGACGGAAAGCAAATGCCCAACAGCTTGTTCGCCATGATTCGCAATACTCATAAGAAACACCCCGAGCACACTGTCAGTGCCTACAGTGATAATGCTGCTGTCCTGGAAGGAGATGAATCTGCTTTCTGGGCTCCCAACTCGGTCACTGGAGAATGGAATCACACCAAGGAAATCGTTCACTTCCTGGCTAAGGTCGAAACCCACAATCACCCTACGGCTGTTTCGCCCTATCCTGGCGCCGCCACTGGATCTGGTGGTGAGATCCGTGATGAGGGAGCTGTCGGCAGAGGCTCGAAGCCCAAGGCTGGTCTTTCAGGTTACTGCGTCTCTGATCTCCTCATTCCCGATCTTAAGCAACCTTGGGAGCTGGACGTTGGCAGGCCAAACCACATCGCAAGCAGCTTGGACATCATGCTGGAGGCACCCATTGGCAGTGCTCATTACAACAACGAATTCGGACGTCCCTGCATCTCCGGTTACTTCCGTACCCTGTTGACTGAAATCGATGTCGGCAACGGCCAGACTGAGCTCCGCGGCTATCACAAGCCTATTATGATCGCCGGTGGTGTGGGAACTGTCAGACCTGACCACGCCATCAAAAAGCCCGAGGTTGTCAAGCCCGGTGCCTATCTTGTTGTGCTGGGTGGACCTGCCATGCTGATTGGTCTCGGCGGTGGTGCTGCTTCTAGTATCACCTCTGGTGAGGGATCTGCAGACTTGGACTTTGCCAGTGTGCAAAGAGGTAATGCTGAAGTCCAGCGTAGGGCTCAGGAGGTTATCAACTCCTGTACTGCCATGGGAGAGAACAACCCCATCAAGTTCATTCATGATGTCGGTGCCGGAGGTCTCTCTAATGCACTTCCTGAACTGATCCATGACTCTGGTCTGGGCGCGACATTTGAACTTCGTGAGGTGGACAGTGCCGACAAGAGCATGAGCCCCATGCAGATCTGGTGCTGTGAAGCGCAAGAGAGATACGTTCTGGCAGTTGGCGAAGAAAGCATGAACAAGTTCACGGCCATTGCCCACCGTGAACGTTGCGGTTTCTCCGTCGTTGGCCGCGGAGGTGGAACATCGGAAGAAGAGAAGAGACTCATTCTCCTGGACAGAGAGTCCACCGAGTACCCCAAGCCCATTGACCTGCCTCTGTCCGTTCTTTTCGGAAAGCCCCCGAAGATGACTAGGGTTGTGGATTCCCGCAAGTTGAAGCTGCCCGCTGTGGACGCCAGTCTCACCACCTACCTCCCGTCAATTGCGTCGAACAACCTCGAGCTCATCGGCGAAGCCGCGAACAGGGTTCTGTCTCTTCCCGCTGTCGGCTCCAAGTCTTTCCTTATCACCATTGGTGACAGGACAGTTGGTGGCCTCACTGCCCGTGACCAAATGGTTGGCCGGTGGCAGACTCCCGTCTCGGATGTTGCTGTCACTGCCACTTCCTTGGTCCAGGGTGTCAAGACCGGTGAGGCTATGGCCATGGGCGAGAAGCCGACTCTTGCATTGATCTCCCCCGCTTCATCCGCACGCATGGCGGTCGCGGAATCTCTTATGAACATTGCTGCCTCCGACCTGGTCGACCGCCTGAGCCGTGTGAAGCTTTCCGCCAATTGGATGTCGGCCAGCAGCCATCCAGGAGAGGGTGCTGCCATCTACGAGGCTGTTGAGGCTATTGGCATGGACCTCTGCCCCAAGCTGGGCATCAGCATTCCTGTTGGTAAGGACTCTATGTCCATGAAGATGAAGTGGAAGGACGAGGCTTCCCAGGAGGCGAAGGAGGTTACTGCTCCGATGTCTCTCGTTATCACCGCCTTCGCCCCTGTTGGAAACTTCCGGAAGACGTGGACCCCTGCCCTTCGTCGTCCCGAAGAGGTTGGCGAATCTGTGCTCATGTTCGTCGATCTCTCTTTCGGTCGGAAGACTTTGGGTGGCTCTGCTCTTGCTCAGGTCTTCAACCAGGTTGGTGATGAGTGCCCTGACGTGCGTGATGTGGAGATCTTTAAGGATTTCTTCGATGCCACGCAGCAGCTGCAAGACGCCGGCATTGTTCTGGCCTACCACGACCGCTCCGACGGTGGTCTGTTCACCACCCTCGCGGAAATGATGTTTGCCGGCCGCTGCGGCGTTGAGATCATGCTCGACAACATCTGCTCCAGCTCCAGCACTAAGGATGTTGTGGAGACTCTCTTCACCGAAGAGCTGGGTGCCGTCTTCCAGGTCCGCAAGGAGCACGAGATCCAATTCCGCTCTTGCTTCGCCACTTGCGGTCCTCCGGCTGGTCTGATCCACAAGATTGGACGCGTGTCTGAGAAGGCCAAGAAGAACCTTACTATCTACCACAAGCACACTTTGGTGCACCGCAACAGCCGCTCCAACCTCCAGCAGACTTGGGCTACCACCTCTTACCACATGCAGAAGATGCGTGACAATGCCGCTTGCGCTGACCAGGAGTTTGCCAGCATTCTGGACGATGCCGACCCTGGTTTGTCCTGGAACCTTACCTTCGACCCGAAGGATAAGGCCATGCCCCTGTTGACCAGTTTGACCCAACTGTCTCCCTTCAGCAACAAGCCCCGTGTTGCCATTCTTCGTGAGCAGGGTGTCAACAGTCAAGCAGAGATGGCATTTGCTTTCAACACGGCTGGCTTCTCTGCCGTTGATGTTCACATGACTGACATCATCTCTGGCCGTGTTTCCCTTTCCAGCTTCGTTGGTCTTGCTGCCTGCGGTGGTTTCTCGTACGGTGATGTCCTTGGTGCCGGTCAGGGTTGGGCCAAGTCTGTGCTTCTGCACGACAACACCCGCAATGAGTTCCAGTCTTTCTTCCAGCGCCCCGACACTTTCTCTCTTGGTGTCTGCAATGGTTGCCAGTTCCTTTCCCGTCTTAAGGAATTGATCCCTGGAGCTCAGAACTGGCCCAGCTTCGAACGCAACGCCAGCGAACAGTACGAGGGACGTGTGGTCATGGCCCGTATCTCCGACTCCGATGCTTCCCGTCCCAGCGTTTTCCTCCACGGCATGGATGGCTCCTCCCTCCCTATTGTCGTCGCCCACGGAGAAGGTCGCGCCTCGTTTGCTCCGGCTTCCGGCACCACCGCTCAATCGTTCGTCAGCGAAGGCCTGGCTGCTGTCCAATACGTTGACACTGCCACCCTCAAGCCAACCATGAAGTACCCTGCCAACCCCAACGGCAGTCCCGAGGGTATTGCGGGTATCCGCAGCGCCGACGGCCGTGTCATGGCCATCATGCCTCACCCCGAGCGCACTGTTCTGGGCGGCATTGCCAGCTACCTGCCTAGCAAGGCTGAAGAGTGGGGTGACATCGGTCCTTGGGGCCGTGTCTTCTACAGCGCTAGAAGATGGGTCGGTTAAAATGTGGATAACAATCTTTCCGCTTGTTCTATTTATTTGGGAAATATGTGGTTCATTCCACCACCATATACGTTAGTCGAAAAATACGCGCCGGGCCGTGGCACATGTTATTGTTCATTTTACGATATAAATACACTGTTAACATCTTCCTTTTTTTATCTTGATGCATTATGATGACATGTTGAGAAATAGCAAGTTTCCTTTGCAGATACTATACATACAGAATGGGAACCAGATTGCGAATGATATAGGTCTTTTCAGTATTCAAAAAACACTCTCTGTAGCAAGTTGCCCATCTTAGGCCGGGACACTCATAAAAGCAACTGAACCTAGTCGGTCATGCTTTGATTGCGAGACAGGATGTATGCTTGTTAACCTCCATCCGTCTACGTGAACTAGGTAAATCCATTACGTTGCGTAAAAAAAAAAAGCGTCCAGGAACTGTGTAGTATCATAATTATACCATTGCAATGAATATTCCAATTTCCGGGTATCACAAACCTAACCAGGATCCGAACCCCTATTCCGCAAGAAAAATTATAGTGAAAGACTGCTACTGTCCACCTGCTTTCCTCCATTCCAGTTTCTCGGCCAAGATCTCCCAACTGAGTTGGCCGTCGACACGTCCTACACCTTTTAGACCAGCCACCATGAAAGCTACCAGTCGATCGAACTGGTCTTTGATGTCTCGCAACCGTTGCAGGTAGTGTGTTTCGTGGAAAGAGGCATCGAGCTTGTCTTCGTCGTTATCGGATTCATTGTCATCATCGTCCTCGTCGCTCGGGTCGTCGTTGTCTAATCCAAAGCTATATGCATTCTTGCTGGCAGCTCGGGTGTGATCGAGATGGTTGTTGCCGTAGCGTGCTGTTTGGGCATCTGCAAAGCAGACGCACAGGTCAAGGATGGTGATGATTGCTTGATGGAGGGGATGGAGGTTCGTGGATAGGAGGCATTGTTCCTCCAAGGAGTGCATGAATGAGCGATGCGCCGCTATCATGCCATCGACGTCGGCGGAAGCAGACAGACTTTTGCGCAGGGATTCGGTCGCCGTTGAGACGACAAAGTCAGTCATGTGGCTGTATAGAGTGTTGAGGAACCAGAGCATGTTGTGTCTGAGGGCGTAGCTCAATGTGTTGTTTCTGGAATCTTGAATTTTGTCGGACTGGGTGTTATGCTGCAAACGCTGTTTTATTATCGTTTGCTTTGCCCTGCGGATTTGCATGAGAAATGTGGAGATGCACTGGTAGCCCCGGATAGTGTCTTTGGTGATAATGTTGGCAACAGGCCAGGGTAAGATGTAGTCGAATGAGATGGCATTTAGGACCTTGACCGAGCGGCTGCGGCTGTTTGCATTGCTGTGCGCTTCCTTGGGTGTCCGGACAATGAGTCTAGAAGGGTCGATAAAAGACAGAGCGCTAAATGCGCTTTGGGCTAGCTCTGTGAGGAGAAATCGATCGCTCCAGGCACCTTTTCCCCTATCGATGAGGTCGAATATCTTGCTATCAATCGGTCCGAAGATGCTCATATCTGTGCTGAGATAGATATACTCGAGTGCTTGGATCGATATCCATAAGCCACATTGCTGGTCAAGCTCTCTCCTCAACAGAGCTGATGTGTAGGAATGGTTTTCGTCGACCAGTCTTGCGAATGCAGACTCAAGTAAAACAGAGAATGGGAGGCAGAACGAAGCGGAGCCTGGCGGTAAAACTTCCTTAAATGCCAGGGAGACCTTCCGTGGGGTTTCATTTTCCTCGGACGTGTTCAAATATCGCAGAAACACCATGCTTTTCCCCGTTATGAATATCTTGTGCGCGATAGATTGAATGAATTTCGGGGCATTCAGGAGCCTTGTCTTGTCCAGCACGTACCAGTCATGCCATAACGTCCGTAGGTCACTGTCCCTTTGATCTTTGTATATGAAGAATTCACCTGCAGACGAATCCAATTGGCCTGTTTCCATCCAGAGACGAACTGGGCGTGCATATGTTTCAAAGCACGAGAAGAACAGTTCGGCAAGGGCCATAAATGCATCATCGTCCCCAGTAGCCTGTGTCAAACACACTAGATCATACAGCAAATCGAGGCACCGCACAGCAGAGTCCGAGGCGTTGAGCATCAAGCTGGACACGAGGTCAGATAGCATCAAAAGCAGTCTAGACTCGCGACGGACGTCTTCAGACAGCTGTAGAAGACTTATAGACACAGTAGACAGCCGAGAAAGATACTGAAGTTGCACACTTGACAGAAACGTGTCGAACTTGCTCAGAAAGCTCTCTAACCCCCGGTGAAATGTCTGCATATATGGAATCTTCTGTGGCACGCTGCAAAATTGCCTAAGAACATCCAGCTTAGCTCCCGTCGAACTTAATGATCGCAGTAGCGACAAAAATGTCTCATTCGACAGGTTTGTAATGGTATATCTCCGGTCTATTTCCACACTACCGTCAAGTCGCCAAAACAGAGACGTAGGAAGTCCTTGCAACATGAAAATCGTCTCCCTTACTACCTGTAGCTCTGTAATGACCCGAGAAGCGGGTTGGCCCCGGTCTGCGACCGAGCTCTCTCCATCTTTCCAGAATTGTGCTTTAGCGATTGAGTCAATAAGCTCATCGTTCTCTCCGGACGTGAAGACTTCATCGGGGATCACGTAGTCCTCTTCTGTATTTATAGATGTCTCTGGTTGATTCCGTGTGTGGTAGCTGTCGGTGGACACCGATTCAACGTCGTCATCAGACGAATCAACACCAAAATCTACATTCTCCCAGATATCCTCGTCACAGTATGCTGATCCATCAGCGTCCAATTCGGTCCAGATGAGGGCTTTGGCCTCCTCGCTGGGCTTGACTGCCGTCACCCGTTCGATCTTTGACCGCTGAGCAGGGCGATCTGCCAACTGCAACAGTAGGGACAGGATTTCCGGAAACCATGAGCTCTGGTGCTCGTGCAGCTCTGTCAGCCGGATGCGCAAAGCGTCTGCCAATTCATCCCTACAAAGGACTTGGAATTTCTCCTGCAATCCTTCGAGCTGGTTCGCGACGGCGAATTGGTCCGTACGGGCATACGCATGCGACTTGAAAGTGTCTTCAACCCGGCGCCTTAGATTCCTAAAATGCGGGGTGTCCTGGACAGGCGTGTCAGCACAAGATATGCCTGAAGCCGTGGGCTCGAAGTAATTGCCTTTCTGTCGGGCTTCGCAACGGCAGTGATTAGCTCGTCCGTCAGCGCGCTCACGTCGGCTGTGACGGCCATGACAGGCACTGAAGCATGCCCGGGCTGCAAAGACTACTGAAGGGGACTAGATAGGACCGAGAGTCCCCATTGCCCGTTGCCGTCCAAAGAGGTTGGTTACGCGGCGCTGACGCTTGGAGGAAAAGCACGGGCGGCGGATCGGAAGTGATGACTGCTTGATTGGGCCGGTGGCCACGCTAGGCCCGAGGAGGCAAGGCGGCAAAGAAGGCAGCGTCGCGGCGGGCGGCGATAGCAGCAACTTGGCCCAGACACTCTCGGGCTCGCCAGCTCTCTCCTGTCGCTCTTTTCCTGCCATCTCGTCCTTAGGGGTTCGCTGACAGGCAAGATGGCTGTCGCAAGACCCATTCGCATGCTTGGTGCCTCGTGCATCATCCTCATCCTCTTCCTCATCTTTCAAATGAACAAAACGCCCACCTTCATTAGTAAGGGGCCATACGCAACAGAGCCGTATGAGGGCATCACTTCAGACCCTCTCAAAGATCGTACGCCGTCACCACCGCCATTCCCTTGATTGTGTGTCTCGTCTATCCTGTGTGCTAACTTGACGTTTTCACTCCCGCAGCAACCGGAGAACCCACGGGCAAACTATGGCGTACGACGGATGGCGACTATTCCCCCGACAGCACCGACTCCCCCCGTGCCAACGCGGCACTCATCTCTCTTGTCCGCAACGAGGAACTGAACGAATTGATCCCGTCCATGCGTGATCTTGAGCGCACCTGGAACAGCAAGTTCAACTACCCCTGGATCTTCTTCAACGACCAGCCGTTCACTGAGGAGTTCAAGAAGCGAACTCAGGCGGAGACCAAGGCGAAGTGCTACTTCGGTATTTAGTCACAAGTCCAATCCACACTAGCTTTGCTGGCTAACACCTTGCAGAGCAAGTGCCCAAGGAGCACTGGGACGTTCCCGAATGGATCAACTGGGACCTCTTCAAAGAGTCCGCGCAGATCCTGAAGGAGAAGAACATCCAGTACAGCGACAAGGTTTCCTACCATCAGATGTGCCGCTGGAACAGTGGCTTGTTCTACAAGCATCCTGCTCTCGCCAAATACCAATACTACTGGCGTGTCGAGCCGAAGGTCAAGTTCTTCTGTGATGTTGACTACGATATCTTCCGCTACATGGCCGACTACAACATTACGTACGGTTTCACGATCAACCTCTTTGACGCCCCAGAGAGTATCCCAACTCTTTGGCCCGAGACCAAGAAGTTCCTCGCCGCAAACCCCTCCTATCTTTCTGACAACAACATGATGAATTGGATCACCGATGACCAGCTCCGCCCCGAGCACACCGAGGGAGCAAATGGTTATTCTACCTGTCATTTCTGGTCCAACTTCGAAATCGGAGATATGGAGTTCTTCAGAGGCGAGCAGTACTCCGCTTACTTTGATTATCTGGACCGGTCTGGTGGCTTCTTCTACGAGAGATGGGGCGATGCTCCTGTCCATTCGCTTGGTGTTGGTCTTTTCGCGGATGCGGCCAAGGTCCATTGGTATGTGAACTACATCCGGCTCTATCCATGGAACCTGTGCTTACAATTCTCTCTTTCGACTAGGTTCCGTGATATTGGATATAACCACATCCCCTACTACAACTGCCCCAACTCACCGAAGTGTTCTGGCTGCACTCCCGGCAAGATGTACGCCGGTGAATCTTGGCTGGCTAAGGAGGATTGTCGACCTAGCTACTTCCACCATGTGGGGACGCACTAAACGTGCTGCCACAATACTATTGCATTCTTTTCGAATCAGTTGTGCATAAGCAGGGCACGCATATCCAACCCTGCTTTTTAAAACATTCCGCAACAGGGGCAACGAACCGGTATCGTTCCTCCTGGCACATAGACATTATGATCTCGAGCTTGGAACCAGGGATGTCTGCTCCCGGTACTAGAGATCTCGTGTCATCGGGCATGTGTCTGCATATGCGACTCAGTGCATGCGTCTGTCACGGCCTCCATGTTCCATTCTCCAATTACATACACTTTCGTCATGACCAGTCATCAAAATCCATATCAGAATCTCGGCGGCGTTCGAAGGGATTGGCTTCCTTTTCTTTTTCTATATCTTGACTGCCCCTTCCTATCTATAGTCTTCGTTGTGTTATGCTACCTTGAAAGGATCGCTGGAGCGGTCTGGCTGTACCTATATTCTTATTATTCCCATACTGCATTCCCGCTATAGACGCACCAAAAGACACTCGAATGCATCTCAAAGATTCCCTGTTAGTCACAGCTTACCGTTCTTTGCTTCTTCGCCCTGTCTTCATTCGATGCAGTTGCAAATGATCCAAGCAGAATGTGCTCTTACTGCCTGATACTGGTTCCCAAAATGACCCAATCCTCATCACCGACGCCCGCATTAAGATAGATCCAAGCATCATATATCCGCAATCATAGATGATAATGGAAAAGACACCCTCTTATTTTCCGCACTATCACCAATAATACAGAGTACAGACAAATGCTCACAAAATTTATAGTAGCACTGGTATAGAAAAGCACGCGTGCACCTCCATTCAACCCCCCGACAGCCAGGGAAGTCGGAAGCATCCAGCCACCGACTTCATTCCAACTGCACTCTAGAGTATGTATACAGCTTTCCTATCGCGATTGACGGTGGGGGAGAGAAAGAAACATGATGAGATATATTTCGAACGTGCAATTTACTCCTCGTTGGGGTAGAGTTCCTCACGGAGAGCAACACCCAGCTCCTGACGAAGACCCTCAAGGGCCTCGAGGTATTGCTTGTACTGCTCGGGGGTCTCGACCTTGGCCTTGACACCTGTTTGTAGGAGAAAAAGTATGAGTCAATGTGTTTGGAAGGGGACGGAAATGGACGGAGATAGCGCACCCTCGAAGATCCGGACAGCGGTGGGGTAGTCGTTGACGCGACGAGCAGCCTTCAGAGCGGCGGTGAGGACCTCAACGGAGGGGACGAGATCGTAGGCGAAGCAGTTGTTCAGGTTGCGCTGGATTATGAGGGAAAGGGTGCCTTGTCAGCATGTTGTCTGATATATGGGATGGGGCCAGGTTTATCTGCCAATGGCAGCTTTGCTGATTATGGAGGACTGATAGAGGAGTGGATGGAGCGATAATGGGCGGTCTGCTTACCTGGAGCTCGAAAACATCCTGGACACCGTCGAACTCCTTCTCGAATCTACCGGGAATTGGGGTCAGTCGGGGTGTAACTTGCGGGTGTGTATCAGGAGGAATGTCGGGAGCACGGTGTGAATCCCTGCGATCGGGATCGTGCAACCCAGGGTGTGTCGGGGCCCAATGGCTTCACGGATGGTAATTGCATACCTGGCAGAGAACTGCTCGTATGTCTCGTCCTCGTGGTGACCGCCGAGGCGCTTAACGGAGGTGCTGAAGCTGGAACGGGCGACAGCCAGAGCAACGGGGGCCTGCACCCGGGACCGGGGCAATTGGGTCGCTCTGATCAAGCCGGAAGGGCGGACGGCGCGGGTGGCGACACGGAAGACGGAGATGGGCGACATGGTGAGAGGAGGGTGGGTTGTGGAGGTGGACGAATGGACGTGGGTGAGGGGAGATCAGGACGGGCGAGGTGTTGACGAAGTCGAAGTCAGAGGTTCAGCCGGCTACGCTAGGATTTTGCGGGTGGTGTGAGGTTGTTGATGCCTCAGGCCGGCAGGTCAGCCCGTCATTGATAATCGCCCGCTTCTCTTTTGCGGCTGCCCGTTCGCGCCCGAGCCCGTTGCCGCCTCAGGCCCCAATGCGGTCATTCGCTGCCCTTTCCATCCGGGCCGGGGCCTCAGGCTGATTTCTATCTGCCGCTTGTGATTGGTGGATGGGGGAGCCCTTCAATTGTCCGGTTTGATTGGCTAGCAGCTTTCCATAGATTCAATGATGCCTCGGAGGGAGTTGGACAGGAAGTGGCGTGACTAATCCCGGCCAAGCATGATATTAACGCAGGATCGGTATCAGATCCAGGACTCGAGCATGGAAATGAAGGCCTCCTGATGGTCCGCCTTCCGGGTCCAACTGGGCTTTTGAGTTACACCCCCAGTGGCGATCCTTATATATTCTCCAAGCCTCAATTTTGAATCCATTTTTGGGGGTTTGATCTTGCAAGAATGAAGTCTTGCATTTAACAATACGATATCATATATAGCTTTTAGAGAGACTTAGCCATACATTGTCCCGGTCTATTGACCGTGGCAGGGCTTCTCGAACGAGGATGGAATGCGTCAGACAAGTTTTACCTTAAACTTAGACACCCTTGTAAAGATCTAGGTTGCGCCATGACACAAATCGGAAACTTGGGTCGATCTAGTTTCAGAATTTGCTGCATGTGCCCTGGATGTAGATGCTAATATTAACGGTCGAAGCTCTGACATTGAACGTTAGATTGAGACAGTCCTTGGAGTTGGTATTCTGCAATTGGCCGTCCTGGTAATTTTACTACTATTACGGGGCAACTGTGCCCAAGCTCGATGGATAACAATTGCAGGAAGGCGAGGCAGGCGAGACATGTGAAAAGAAAGGGAAGTGGTCTGTGATTTTCCCCATACGAACCTGATGACGGGACGAGTCCATTGCCGGCTAGGTATTAGCGGCCAGATCGATGCATTCCTTTCACCTTCTCAGCCATGCATCTGGGGACAATGTCAACGTGCCAGCCCCATCGATCTGCAGGAGATTGGGCTTGACTGTTGAGGATGACTGTGCTTACCACGGAATCCCAAGGACATGAAATTCGGTGCCTGGGATGGCACATGATCGCCGGGCCTACTGGCAGGGTCGCCCCTTTTCAACCAGTGGCCGAGGCTACACTAGTCCCCATCCGGATGCTGCGGGCGCGCCGGAGCCCAAAAAAAAGACACGCGGATTGATCCTCCTTCCATTGCAACAGTCAGCTCTTATTCCACCCTCTCCACCTTTCCTTCTGCTTCTTTTGCTTCTCTTCTTCTCCTCCCTCCTCCTCCTCCGCGACCCTCCAACCCTTCGGTTCCCTTCTTTCCTTCCTTTTTACCTCTTTCTTTCCGTCTCTTTTTCTCTTCTCTTCAGTCTATTTGGCTGTTTTCGGTCAGCATTTCCGCGACCATAGAGAATTCAGAAAGAAGCCTTTTGCTGTCGTCTTCCAGCTCAATTCTTCCTGACTACGCCGTCGCATACCCTGTTCGGTCTGAGCGATAATCTGGTAATCGTTCAACATGGAATTCCTCCAGAACCTGCCCCGTCCGACAATTGATCGGCCGTTTGGCATTCACCTATGGCCTATCTTCGACAAGGCCTTCGAAACGGTGGTGGGCTATCCCGCCAGCGAGCTTCGCTTCGAAGAAGGCGTGACGCCCATGTCCACTATCAAGGAAACTGCTATTGCGCTCGTTGCCTACTACGTGATCGTCTTCGGTGGCCGTGAGTTCATGAAGAACAGACCTGCGTTCAAGCTCAACACGCTGTTCATGATCCACAACCTCTACCTCACCCTGATCAGCGGAACTCTCTTGGCCCTCTTCATTGAGCAGCTCGTCCCCACTCTCTGGAGGAACGGTATCTTCTTTGCTATCTGCGACCACCAGGGTGGATGGACTCAGCCTCTCATTGTTCTGTACTATGTAAGTGCCTATCCCAGTGGGAAAATCCCATCCGACCGCATCCGGTTTACTAACTCAGGATAGCTCAACTACTTGACCAAGTACCTCGAACTCCTTGACACCGTCTTCCTGTTCCTCAAGAAGAAGCCTCTTACCTTCCTTCACACCTACCACCATGGCGCTACCGCTCTCCTTTGCTATACTCAGCTCATCGGCTTGACAGCCGTTCAATGGGTCGTCATTGATATCAACCTTTTGGTGCACGTGGTCATGTACTGGTACTACTTCCAGAGTGCTCGCGGTATCCGTATCTGGTGGAAGGAGTGGATCACCCGTCTCCAGATCATCCAGTTCGTCATTGATCTCGGTTAGTAAACCCACCCGTTCTGTCGAGCTTTCGCTAATCAGATGGCAGGCTTCGTCTACTTTGCGTCTTACACCTACTTCTCCTCTACCTACTTCCCCTGGGCTCCCAACATGGGCAAGTGTGCTGGTGAGGAATTCGCCGCTTTCTCCGGAATGGCCGTCATCAGCTCTTACCTCTTCCTCTTCATCTCCTTCTACATTGCCACCTACAACAAGGCTGCCAAGACTGGCCGTCCTCGCCGCAACACCGGCAAGCAGGCTGTTATCGACATGGCCAAGTTCGAGGTCTCTTCGCCGTCCTCGGAGGCCAAAGGCGCCAAGTCGAATGGAGCTGCTGTGTCGACCGGCCGCGCCAATGGCCCGGTTACCCGCTCCCGCAAGGCCTAAGTCTTGGACCTGCAACTGTTCAGATGCGCAATTCCCTTGCTTCTCCGGTGATATGCTCGGAATTGCCATTACGAATACTGTCCTCGACCGACTTATTTCAAACTCTATTAGATGCCCGCCTCACTGTCTCTGGCGAATCCACGGACCAGCGATGGAGCACCGACGAGACAATGCCTTTGGATTCTAACCTCGATGTTTTACTCCCGACAAAAACTTATAACTATTTAATGAATGACCTTGACGACCCTGGTCGCCTTGCTTCGCGACCAGCTTATGCATGTGGCACCGCCGCTTTGCAGGGAGGGCGCAAAGCTGATCCCAGCGAGTGTGTGGGAGTGGGTGAAGTTCTCCCTGGGGATGCGTCAGGCAAGAAACCTGCACTGGCTGTTTCCAGGCTGTATTCTAGATGTTTTTACTTCTGCCGGATGCGGACCTTTCATCGTGCGGTACCTTTTCTGGTGAAGTATTATAGACGGGAAGGTCAACGTAAATGTAATCATGGTTATGTGTTTGTCTAATTGATCTTTACCTGTACATAATTGATTGCTTTCGGAATTGTTTATCTTCAATGTTATTATGTATCGAAGTGCTGCTGGCTCCATCTCGGAACACAAAGACAAATAGGGGGTAAGCGAAGGTGAGTTTAATATCATGCATCATGGAGCAAATCATGCGTGTCGATGGGAGGATGAGGGTCACCGACAGGCACGAACCCAGGGGCTGGCCATAAAAGCAATGAGTGAAATAGTAGCGGCCTGACAAAAGCGAGCAAGTCCGCGCAGGAACTATCGCCAATATTTATAGTTTGCGGGGGCATCTGGCTGACGTGACATTTGCCTATCGGTGCTCAGCCCTGGGATCCGGCGGTCAACGAGTTCACATTTTTGGGACTTCGGAAATGGACAGGCAGCCAGCCTATGCTCGCTTATCAGGAGAGCCGAATGACAGGTGATTGCCAGGCCACTTGGATTTCGTAAAAGAATCGGAGTTGCTGGTGAAGTGTCACGATCGACCCTCGAGTTACTCCGAGCCGAGATCTTCATGGCTCCCATCGGAGACCGATCTTCTTTCTCCACCCTCCTTCTGTCCCACGCAGCTGGCTCGGATTAGCATTGCAATTGAAGAATTTTGACATGCTGAAGGGCCCTGATCGATCATGAGCATCCTTCCCAGTGGTAGGCAGATAATCACCGCTCGCCAGTTAACCATGCATTTAGATTCAGACTGACGGGATAATCTATAGTCGTTCAAGCCCGAGGGATCCGGAAGTGGCTGGATTGGCTGAAAGCTTATATTGCCACATTCGTGCTGCGTGCTGCTGCTAATGCTTCCTGTTTATCTTTGATCCCGCTGTCGACTGGATCCGTTGATCACTAGCAGGTTCAATAGTTTATGCAGCTGAAAGCGACAGTGTTTCTGGCATCTGATGAGCACGTAGTCCGCCACGAGCTGGACTATCTATTTACCGAGCCCATCTTCGGTTGCTCACTAGCCAATGCCATGAGTTGAGCTATATCTCTAGGCGCGCTAGATGGCCTCTAGCTTGTCTAGATGCTACTTTCTTTTTCTCGATGATCCAGGTATGCCGAGCCATACGGGGCCCATTGCGATCTCCGGCCATCAATCACTAGGACAGTGCTCCATAGCTTTAGCGCCTCTGCTATTGAGGTTGAACGTGGAGCAGAGCATTGACCTTGTCGCCTCCCAGCAGTGATCTTCATTCTCGGCTGGAAGGAGCTGACCCTCAGCTATATGATGTGATGGCCTGGACGTAGCATAAAAGGGACCTCATTTCCTGCTGTTCTGTCTGCATTCCATCCATCAACAATCGCATTGTCTCTCCAATCCCCTATCTGCCCACTCTAATTTAGTTTATTAACTAACACATCACTACAACCGCCACCATGCGTTTCTCCGTCATCTCTGTTTCCCTCCTCTCCCTCTTTGCCTCCTCGGCCCTGGCCATCCCCGCCTCCTCCGGCTCCCTGAGCTGCAGCCAGATCAGCCAGGACATCGCCACCTACCAGGCCCGTCTGGACAAGGCCAGCGATGCCAGCTCTGAGCAGGTTCAGGCTGCCCAGAACGCTATCAACTCGGCCAAGAACCTTGAGACCGCTCAGTGCGGCTCGTCCAGCAAGAGATCCTACTACCCTGTGAGTACGTGTCGTTCTTTTGATGATCGAATGCTAATTGAGTACAGCCTGTGAGTCCCAAGCTCTGTAGTATTGAGCTCTGCTAATATAAATCCCATCAAAGGAGAGCACTGGATTGGTAAGTCCCTGACTCAAACTCAATGGTTTTGATACTGACTTTTGAAGATTGTGAGTATCTTGTCCTGAACTAGCTATGTGCTTATATTAGGAATGAGTGACTAAACGAACTAGGGAGTGAGTATTGTCCCTTCTACCTAACAGACCGTTGCTAACAAGATAACAGGTTGTAAGTAATCCCACTGATCCATTGGAAAGTTCAGCTGATGCTGATGCTCGGTGACTGCTATAGGTGGTAAGTGAAATGCCAGTCTGAGTATCTTGATTATTTACTAACTTGCTCTAGTTGGTGAGTAAACCGTCCATTGAAAAGTGACTTACTACTATGTCTCAGCTTAATCTAACAATCATTCTCAGAACGTAAGTTATTTCCTGACCTATATAAGCAAGGCTAACAAAAAATACAGACTGTGAGTTACCCCGGAAGAAATCAATGCTTGGAATGAAGCGATTGTCCTTTGGAATGAGAGCCAGTGGCTACTAATAGTTATTAACTCGTGTGATCAAATTAGGTTGTGAGTAATCCCTTTACCCCAGACAGAAGGCTGCAACTAACCAATCTAGGATGTGAGTGCTACTTGAAACCATTATATGTTCACTGATCTTGTCAGCCAGCTAAACAGCAATAATAGGCTGTAAGTACCTATCCAAAACTTGACTAGATGATGCTAACGTTCCTAGATCGTGAGTTCCCCATAACCTGACTTCAGTCTGAACTGCTCACGACTGACACGAATTGTCAATCTAGCTCGTGAGTATCCCATCCCCAGATCACTCAACCCTCAGCTAACAACCCCAAAGGAAGACCTTGGTCTGTAAATGGCCACCCCACGGCAGGGGAGCGGACCCCCGATGTCCCGCCCGGGATTGTCCCGGTTAACTGCCCCGAGTCGATATTCGAACGATGGAGGAATGCAAGGCGCAATGTGACCTCGGCATAGGTTTTATTTCCCGAAAGGTTTCCTATGCCGTGATGCGAATGCAGAGGTCAAGAGATAGTGCTGGATGAATTTTGGAATGTCTGATCTTGAGCAAATTGTATAGCTTAATTAATGAGATCGACATCGTCCAAATCTTCAAGTCTTACCCACTCTGTCTGTCTTAAACTCATTCTGCCTCTTCATTCTATCAACATCAGATAGACTCTATCCATTATCTTTGTACGCTCGTTCAAACTGGACATTACCTTCGCCGTGGCTACAAAATGCCTGCACCGAGGAACACTATCCAGTGCACGGCCCAATCCATTGCTATGAGCCTATCATAAACCCTCTGGGCGATGACCCGCCAAGCACGCGACTCATCTGAGACATGCACAGCCTTTCTCCATGCTATCATCTTCCACACGTTTCACAGGAAATGCTCCCATGTTCCTGATTCTTCGAAGTAAACCATGAGCTCCTACAGGTCTTATGTGGCAAAACAGAGCAGAAGATACCCATCCTCATTGCAACCCCTCTGCTACTTCCTCGATGATCCTCTAGTGGACCAAAATGTCTGTCGCATGGGCGTGTTGGAGTTCACCCCGGATACTCCTGCGCCTGCTTATCGCGATCTAGACCACCAGGGATTATATTCCATCTTATCTGATGACACGACCACGAAATCATCATTCCCATACGGTCGCATTGTTATTATCGAGGATCTGTCGCGCGAAATTGTAGAAATGCTGGGCTCGTTACTGCATATTGATCCGTTATTTTTTGCCTCTCATATCGGACACAATGGCCCTTCTGGGGATTCGACCATTGCAAGTGCACTGAGATCAAGAAAACAACCATTCATCACAAATCACTACTATCGAGCGGTTACCCTGCATGGCTTACAAGAGGGATGCAGCTCGCAGTATTCCAGGGAAACGAATGTCAACAGAGAGGTCATGCTTCTTCCGCCAACCCAGGACGGTACATGCAATGCACTCATCCAACATAACTGTTCTATCTTTGTGCAACAGAATAGAAACGATGGTTGGCTTGGTATGTCCATATCCATCTCTCTAATATGCAAGCTAACACCAGCAGGCCTGATCCTAGTCGACCCATCCATCCACAACAACCATCTCATACTCCGCCAAACAAGCAACTCAAAACACCTCCCATACACACCCACCTGCCATCTATTCCAAGGCGGCTACGAAGACTTCCTCGACTCGAACTCCCCAGCCAATGAATGGGACTCATACTATCCTCCCCGCCACGGCCTCTTTGAAGACCAAATCTACTACTGGCAAACAGAGTGCCCAACCAGTTTCAAACTAGCCAACCCCCCAACAATCTCCCTCGCATACTACCCCATCCAAATCATCCTATCCGAATGGACCAACACCCTCACAGCCCTAGACCAACACATCCAACACCACGAAACCACCATCAGCTCCCTCCCAAACCAACCACTCCACCCCGACCAATCCAACCCCAACCCCAACCTCCACGCCCTCATGACCCTACACCGCCGCCTCCAAACCTTCACCACCCACATCTCACAAACGCACCACTTCCTCCAACATCAAGAAAAGACCCTTTTCGACCTCCTCCACTCCTACGAAACCATAGCCACCGCCTTGGCCCAACTCTCCTCCACCCTCAGCAACACCCTCATCCCAACAGCCGCTTCCCTAACTCAGCTAGTAGAGATTAAACGCACCGAGTCGCAGACTTTCCGCGTCAACCAGCTCACATACCTAGCGTTTGGGTTCGTGCCGCTGAGCTTCGTGACGAGTCTGTACGGCATGAGCGATGAGTTCGCGCCGGGCGGGAAGAACTTCTGGCAGTGGTTTGTGGTGGCTATTCCGTTGAGTGTGTTTTGTTTGTGGTGTATGGAGTCGAGTACCAGGCCGGATGGGTGGTTGAGGAGGATGCAGGGGAGGAGGTTGCGGATAGAGTTGTTGGGGGGGGTCGGAGGGGGTTAAGTGGGTGAGATGATGTTGTTCTTATATATGCTTGTACCTATAGTACTTTACAATGTGAATGGACATGGTGGTTGCGCTGATAGGACTTGTTTTTATCAAGATCTATATAGCTGTATCCATACAAACCCAAAGTCTTATCGATAGCCAAACATAAGAGTATCATGAAACTAATCCTTCGAATTCAGCAATTCTATGCCATCAAAAACATAATACTAATCATCACTCTCACTAAAGAATCATAAAGCAAACACAAATTCATTATACTACACAATACTCGAGAGAGATGACGACCAGTTTTAGACCCAACCGTTAACTAACTACGGAATACCCGAGACTACATCCCCCCTCCAAAAACCACAAATTAAATCAAATATATAAACCAACCCCAAAATCCACACCCTAATACCCAATTCCCCCGATCTAATAATCCCTCCCTACCTACCTACCTACCTAGTACTATGATGTAGTCTGTATCTACCTTCATTCCCCAAACCCACAACCCGACTTGACTCACCCCGGAATGCAATCGCCAAAAGGTAATCGGTCACCCGGCCCAGCCACGGAATGGAAGCACCACCACAGTGAGTCCACAATACTATACCTTCTCCCTTCCATACCAAACCCAACCCTTAATCCCCAATAAGCATTTCCTTCATACGACGGGAAAATTCCGACATAATCCGAAAAGAATGACATCTAGCGCGTGGACAGAATGTGAATGTGCCAAGTCCACACTTACACCCCTTTCCCCGTCCCCGTCCCCCTCCGCTCCTTATTCCACAAAATCTTTTTTTTTCCGAGGAAATAGGTCGCAAGTACAACACAACATGCCATTCTTCACGTCTTGGGTACTTACCTACTCCACTCCACTACCCACCGACAAGTACCTAAAGTAAAGTAAGTACCAGGGTCTAACGTAAGTAAGTAGGTAAACACCGAGGTGGAGTCCCGCGCGGGATGACAAGTATGACAGGTGGACACTTACCTACACCCTGGGTACTAGGTATGTAGGTATCTGCCAACGGCGGTGCATTGATTCGGTAACGGCAATTCACTCTTAGGTAAAGTAAACAGGGATTAAGAATCGATAGTGTGGTGATAGTTAGTACTACCTAGTTTAGTGGGTGCTTCTAAAATTGTGCATTGGGTGATGATAGGATGGAGGGGAGGGGCGCCGTTGTCGCTCCACTTGATGGTGATGGGTAACTGTTAATTAACTGGGTAGGTAGTGGGTAAGGGAGGGGATATAGTATGGTGTGGTATAGGAATGGGTATAAAATTTCTGCTTGGTTGTCTTGGTAGTACTTTGGTAGGTGGAAGGGAGAGAGGGAGGTATCTAGTATTGAATCGCATGATGGTAGTACTGGCAGTGTACTACACCCCGTCTAGGCAACTACTCCGTGTCACTCACTCACTCACTTTTCACTTCTCCTGAATGGTAGACTAACAACCTGTCTTGTGTTTAGACAGGTCACATCATAAAGAAAGGATCATCCCCTCCACTTCTGTCAACTGTCATGTCACACTCTCCCCGAGTCTAAATTCCAGTGGAAGTCACTAGGTAACTAGTACTCCGTACTCCGTAAGTAGAATCACACAAACTCAACTATTATCCGAGTTTCATCATCGACGTTGGCGCATCCATATATAGCCAATCTGAAACCACCAGGATAGCGCTAATTGACCTACCTTCCGCCAACACCGTTTAAGTACTCTTATTGGTGCCCGTGTTGCACACCACAACAATATATTGAATATAATCTATATTCTTAGATGTCGATGTCGAGAGTTGGATTGCTGGGCCTGGTTGAGAGATTACCGAACGGTGGGTGCGCACCTTATTCGGGGTCACGCTAGCTTAGTTACTTCTCCGGGTTTGTTGGTCGCATTGATGGCTGGAAACCGGTTTCTTTTCTTTCTACCTGGGTAAGTTGAGTTTGGTGGTTTGTTGAGTTCGAGTAGACCAATGACGGGGTCTGGTCATCCAGGGGTGGTCGTGTTCGTGGTACAGGTGCTCGAGTCCAAGTCGGGTCAGCGCGTTTGATTGGGTAGATGGTGGATGGAGGTTGGGGTCATAGCAGATGATACGTATGGTGATGTGCACTGACATCAATTGGAGTGATCATGGGGTTGGAGTGGAAGGTTAAGTTAATGGTGATGGTGATGATCGGGTCATTGCGCTGACCAGCAACAATGGCATTTCGTGCTGCTGGCTGGGAACGATAATTGTTGAAGTTCAAGAGGATAGGAAGTAAGGAGGATAGAGCTAAAAATTTACATTATCTTACTTACCTACCTCATGGATGATTAGGGACTCCGTGGCATCCCAGCTCCGCTTATGCCCGTCCATGTGTATTCAGCTCTGTACTGCACTCTGCTATGCACTGCACCACGCCGTTGATAGTTTCAACCAACTCACTGAACTCCTTTTATCCCGGAAAAACGCATCCGATAAGCAAGCATCCCTTGGCCCCTCTATGCCGTTCGGCTGTTTCACACTGCGACCACCGTTGGCTGCGTTCCTGCATAAGTCCGGAGTAGGTTCGGCCGTTGTTTATCCTTTGGCCTCGGGAGTCAGAGTTGACCTAGTGACTATCACTAAACACGGTCGTTGATCCGACAATCATGGCTATTTTGGGGGGTTGGTTAATCTACCGATGACGCCGATGATTTTCCACCCGCTCGACGGATCATCTTCCCCAACCTGCATTTATCCTCTACTCTGTACCTACTACCTACACAGTAGGTATGTACTTGACTGCCCCAACTTCATCTACACTACAAATCCAGCAGTGCAATGTTGATATTTTTCCAATTCGGTCGGAATCCTAAAAATCGGACCATGACCTCACCAGCAGATCCCTTGCGAGCAAAGATGTCGGTCTGCAGGGAGAGTTGCGGCTATTGCAGCGGGAACAGGCACCAAAATCTCCCATTCGACGGTCGGGCAATTGGCCACCTCAAAAAGTGGGCATGCAAGAAAGGGGGTGGGAACCAAACCAAAGAAAAAGAAAGGAAAAAGCGACGAACTCCAGACGGGAAGATAGTTCGCTTGCTGGGGTTTGGCGTGTTTGAATTAGACATGCTCCACTGGTCTGGAGCAGCGGCGTTGCTTGGGAGTTGGGAATGGTTCCCGAGAGGAACCAGGGGATAAGTGTATCAGGTTGATGTGATGTGATGAGGATAATAATGTAGTACAAACTGTGGTGGTGGTGGTGGTGGTCGTCGTCGTGATGGTAATGATAGTGGTGTACGATCGAGATCGAGAAATGATCAATTGATGGGATCAATGCGCCATGTCATTTCCCTGGGGTCCGGATTATTCGAGATTAGAGACGTCTCAATAATTAGCAACCGCAGCAGTTAGACCTCCCCGTTCGGACTAGTGGTACTTCCAGCGTGGATCCGGCAACGCTCGACCCAGCGCTTTTTCCCACTAACTCTCACTACTATGGTTAACTACTCCCTATCCAGCGTAATCATCATCATCATCAGAAAAATGAAGAAAATAAGAGAATCAGAAAATAAAATTGATGGATGCTGAATTCGATGAAGAATCCGCCCACATGGCCCCAACCTCGCTTGGCACTTCCCCGCCCCGTGATTGGCTTGGACGGGGCTGCAATCTAGATGTGGCCGCCATCTGCACGCCACGCCCATTCATTCCTGACTTTCTCTCCTCCTTTCCCCTCTCCATCACTGCACAAAGCACTGACCTTCTCCATCCCGACTACCCCCGTCGACATGTCTAATTCGTCCATATCCATATCCATTCATTCAATTCCAATATCGGTCCCGTGGCGCTTGATTGTCCCCTCTCCGGTAGACAATCCGAATCTTCGTCCACGCCCGACCCGGCTATCATTGCTTCTCCTGGCCCAGGTTTTAGTCAGGAACCGCGCATGCAAGGGTTGTCCGCGTCCCTGATCCTGAATATCCTGAGGCAGCGGACCACTTTGGCTGCAGCAGGAGAGTCAGGCAAGGATGGTGAGGACGTAAGCGCTACCCTCATTCCCGCTGGCCTGCCGCGGCTCATGGGGACGGTCCTGGATTCTCAGGGACTATCTAGGTACTCTGTCGCGCTGGCCTGGTGGCGCACGTGTCATGCAGCGTTGCTTTTCCTGCAATTCAATTCTCCTCTTCGGGGTGGATCATGGTCCGTCCACTCCGGAGGTTGAGTGATCGATGGCATTTCAGTGGCTTCGTTCAAGACAAACCCCCAGGGTCGGCTCCACCCGTTTCGAGCATGCCATCCCGTGTGGTCAATATACCCTGTCCGGTCCCTGGCCGGTATATTTGATATCCTTTGCCTCCTGTCGGCTGTTTGTTACTTCCCCTGGCTGATTTTTCTTCATCTCGCTCGTCATCTCACGTTCTTTCACTCCTTCCTCGTTCTGCGTCGTGACTTGATGACCTTTTCCCCGACCATATAATCTCTCTTCATTAACCCCTGGGGCGTGCTGCTTCTAATTGATTAATTCTCTCGCCCCTCTTTTCGACTTTTCTTTTTATCGACCACACAACATGTATCCAACCACAGCCCCTCTCGATCTGGACTACTTAAATGATCAATTGCTGCCACGGCGATACGAATCTGATGAGGAAGAGACTTCGGAATCGGAATTGGGTGCCCACGACCATGCGTTTTCGCCTGTCAAGACTGCCGGTCCCTTCGACTCGGATACCAGCGCAGATGAGCTTTCCAATGTCAATTCCCCAGAGTCGCCGGTGGACAAGTCGGCGTTTTCCCGTCTCCTGTCTGCCTACCCGCCCAGCAAACAAAGTCGACCGGTGTCCATGGACACGGTGAAGCGAAGCAGCGGCACGACGTTTGTCCCGGACTCATACATCTTCGACGACGATGACGATGTGATCATCGAGCTGCCCTCGCCTACTTCGACCTCCCCCTTGCAATCTCCTATCTTCCTCCAGCCCACAGTCTATCAGCCTCCTACATCGCCACGATCTGCGTCTCCCGCCCCGACCGCCCCGACCGACTCGGACGACGAGACGGACGTGCTCGTCGCCGAGCAGGTCACCTTTGTGGAACCCAGCGCCAAACCTAATCTAATTCTAATCAGCCCCGTCACGGACGGACCAGTGGTCGACGAGCCGGAGCCAATGTCTGCAGTTTCTGTGGATGTACCCAACCGCTTCCCACCCCGTCAAGGGCTCTACTCTTTGAATCAGTGCACCAAATCACAACCCATGTTGAGCGACAAACGACCCGACTACTTGGCGCATATGAAGCGCGGCAGTTTGCAGTTGCACAGCAAGTATGCGAAACAAAAGCCCAGACGGGCCGATACGGACCCCTTCACAATCCCCAGAACTCTGGCGGATGTCCCTGAAACGTCCCAGCCGATGGCCTTGCGCTCGCGGTCCATGACTTGGAACCGACCACAGACTTCCGCCGAAAGCACATCGAACCGCGGACCCAAAGCGGGTACCCTCCGCCGTCCGCCGTCCATGCAAAACGTCGGTGGCGGTTACACGCTTTTCCCGAACACCAGACGCACACTGGGTTATCCCAACGAAGAGTTCCACGCGCGATCCTCCTCCCTGTCCTACTCGATTGCCAGCTCCGACGTCAGCCAACCTCCATCCCGCACATCCAGCCCGGCGCCGTATTACTCGTCACCGACGTTCAACCGACATCGGTCCGGATCTAATTACAGTGTGTCGAGCGTTCCAGGCAACATCAGCCAGCGACCTCCGGTGCGCCACTCGATGATGAAAAGCTCGACATCATCCAGCATGTACTCGGCGAGTAGCCTGCGGTCGGAAGTGGAGAGCGTGTACAGCATGGACCCACGGGAGGTGGCAGAGCCGGATGCCAAGGCGGCGCGGCGGAAGAAGAGTTTTCGGCGCAGCAAACAACCGAAGATGGAGAGTACCGAGCCGCTCCCGACCACCCCCAAGAGTTTCATGGGCTTCATGTTACGAGGCCGGAGAAAGTCCACCATTCAAAAGTAATGCTTAATTTGTTTACCTGGGGACTAGTGTTTCAGGTTCATCTGTTTAATAACTTTTTGGGAAGGTTCATGAGGCGTTTGGTTAGCGATACGGTTGGGATGGCGGCTTTGTTTACTGCACTGGATGCTTTGATAATTTCTTCTCTTTACATTTGGATGTTTATAATTAGTGTTATGGTCCCGGAGCAGGCCCAATGGACACGATGAACATATGCCATATACTATATACCATATACTTTGCCTATAACCCACACAAACACGATTCTCGAAGAATTCTCGAACCCTTCCACGACCCTTCCACACTACACACTATCCAACCCCTCACCCGGCAATGTGAATCAGAAGGAATCCCCGACTCCACCAGCAATAGCAGCATTTACCCAGCCCGGCATGGTATGCGATCAAGACGGAATAGATGAATGGATCTGACTCGGATCCCGCTCCACTTGTTCATCTCGGTTGGATCTACGAACGACGGACCTTTCCCGAATCCCGACACCCAGGGACGGGAATGGTCCCGCGGGTCTATTCAATTAATTTATATTTTCAATGGTTATATTAGGTTATATTGGATTAGAACCTTAGTTTAGATTAAGGGTGCGTTTAGCAAGATAAGGGGTTTTGTAGATTAATGAATGAGATAGGTAGATATTGTCTGTGAAGAATTTACGTAGGCAAGATGGATGTCACCTAGATGGGTAATGGTAGATGGTAGGTAGGTGGAGACAGAGACGGGAGGGAGGAAGGGAGGGAAGGGAATCTGTTCCATCGCTTAGGTAGACATTTTCTCCATCGATGGTACGCTAATTCCGATCCAAGATGAATGGATCGGTGGTACGAACTGCAGTGAAGTGTGGTTGTTACTTGGTACCGATCATCGATCTGTGGGATTGGTTTGGTTTGGTTTGGGTTATTGTGAAGGGGGATCGCTTGTTGTGAACATGAGTCGACTAGGTTCGGGATTGTCCTGTAGGTACGTGGTTGGGTGTAGCCGATGTAGGGGACTGACTCGTGGGTTTAGTTGATGGGGGATGAATGGGGAAATGGCTCTCTTGAAGGGGGGATAGGGGACTGAGCTTAGTTATATGATGAATGACAGTAGTGGTGATGGTAGTTGTAGTGATTAGGATAGATGGTGAAGAGGTCTCTTGGATGAATATCGGTATTCATCGTGTAGTGTACATGGTAGGTATATAAAGGCCTCTGCTTCCTTCTTTTCCCCAACATCCTTCGAAATATCTACACAGGTGTACTTGTCCTGACTGCATCATATGGCTTCATACACCGCCGAACATATCTATCGATACTTATCCAGTATGGAATTTAACGCCATATAGCATAGCATACCTCGCTGCTTCTGTTCTATACCCCCCCTCAAAATACACCCTATTACACCTATCCAAAGGAACTCTACTCTCAAAACCAACACAACCCCCATCGTCTTCTATATCCATCACTCCAGCGACATTCAAAAGTCAGCCATTGAATTTCTGATATCGTGGAGATCCAATACGAATCAATCATCTGCATGAGCACCAGCCAACCAAAAAAAGGAAGATATCCTTCCAAGTCCAGAGGCGCGAATCAAGAACAAACAAACGCCTCACGAACCAGGCAAATTCAAAGCAGACCTTGGGACAGGATTCTCAAAATGGGTTCGTTTACGAGCATAACAAAAAGGGGTGGGGAAGTTCATCCAACTCCAGTATGGATCTCTGGTGACACTCTAGGGTTTATCCTAGTAATTGTTTTGTCTAACGAGGCACAAGCCAATATCTGGATCCAGCAGGTCATCGAATCAGGATGGTCAGAATTGGTTATCTATGCTTGATGGTTCATGTTCAGATATACGAATTGTTGAAAAATGCCCTGGATTCTTCAGAGTGTGTCGAGTGCGTCAAATCTCTAACAATGTCCTATCGCATCTTCATTGTTCTGAGAATTCGGCATACGTGCATATATATGGTTTATATACAAAATTCCCCTGCGGACTTTTCCTGTGAACGGCTGGTATCCGATCTTCGAGGATATCGCCCCAATCGCAACAGCAGTAGCATACGCGACAACAGCTGCAACAGATTATGACCGGGATTAGTATACTTGGGAAGCAAACGACCCAATAGGGGTTTGCTATACCTGCCCGGAAATACCTGGATATCGTCGAGTTGATAACACGAATGCCATGCTGGTACAAAACAAAAGGCTCGGAAACAGTATACTGACACAGCCATGTCAGTCATGACGAAAACACATGTTGAGTCTGCGCCTAGACAGAACGTCTTGAATATAGATCAGAAACCAGGAATACGAGCTTGGAACCTTGAAGTGGGAAGTATCAATCTGTTAAAAGGTCAACATGATGAAAGATACCAGCAGACGGCAAATAGAATTAACAGTGTGTGTGGTACATGGTGCCGATGCTTGATCTGGTATCCTTCCACTCTGAACTTCAAGTCACAGTCACCGGTTCCCTTGCAGCTATGGGTATCACTATTGGTGCCATACGCTGTATGCAACGGCTGCATTTGGCCTGATTGTGAGAAAGCCGGTCAGATATCTAATTTCCTTCTTTCTAGTCTGGGAAAACACAACCCGAAGCACATAGTACACATATTATGCATTATCAGTGCTATTTACTTCTTCTCTTCATGGTTTGTTGCCTGAAAATGCTCAATATACGGGCTAGAGACACATTCTGCACGCTTATAGCTTTGTGCAGGTGTCCGGGAATCCCGAATACTCTTTCATTTAAGGAAGATAACTTAAACGACAGAGAAGCATTGATGGACGTCTTGAATGGCCAAACTTACTGCCGAGTCGCTACGCGGTTTGTGGATGGTCTAGCCCTATCATGCCCACAATCATTGGGAATGGAAGCTCCTTCTTTAGATTGAGGTGTGCTTGACTCTTCGGGATATAGATTGTTAATCTTGCAATGCAATCTCTGACAAGGAGCTACTGTGCAAGAGATACCGGCCATCAAAGCACATTTATGAATATACCAGCTTTGTGAAGAGGATCGACAACACGCAGTGTGCGATATCACTTCGCGAATATCTGTTCGCGGTGGCTCTATGGCAACAGATGACATACATAGCCAGATGTAATGACGACGACGTTGATATATAAGTCCGTCATCTGAGAATCATAAGTTTGAGAAGACCAAGTTCCATGAGTGGGTTTGGCAAAAAAGCATGACCACAATTTGCAAACTCCGATCTAAATCGGCTGCCATACTACATGAGAGACAAAATATCAGTATATGACAGGCATGGAGACAAAAACCACGCCATCAGGGCGTTGGCAGAAGTCAACCCCTTTTGGATATTTGAATCGAGTTTACAAAGAGTCAAACCTGGCATCAGTACATTGCCGACAATTTATATGGGCTTTGTGTCATCCGAGTCACGAAAGATTCCACCATAAGATGTGGCAGCTGCACATTTCGTGAACAGAACGATTCCAGCTCACGGACCCTATTCGAAGATGAATCCACCTCTGGATGCGACAATATCAAGATGATGTTGAGTGGCATGAGGTGTTTTACTGGACCAGTTGTCCCGATGCCCATGGCTCGGAGAGCCAAAGATGATTAATGGAAAATAAGCTTCCTTCAAACATGGCCCTTGCTATATAGGAACCACTTTAACTACAACTGTTGCTTTGCGAACTCAATGTCAATTGCTTCAGTGCCTTTCCCCTAGGCCGCGGGCTTATCCTTGCTGACAACCAGGGAATTCTTGAACCAACGTAAAATTTCACTTTATACGGGAACAATTGGCACCCGGCAACGTGGATCTAGTCTACGTGGATCTAGTCTACGTCGACCACCGCTAATCAGGCCGCTGGTGGCTTCAATAAACCATCAAAGGAAGAGAGAACAGCGTTTTCACGCTTCAAGAAGCTCATCGGGATGAGGTATCACATGTATCTATCTTCTTACGTGACTTCCAAGAGGTAACCGCGCATGTCTCAACCTTCTATCCAAACAGCGCGTTCTGTTGCAGCACTACCAAGAGAACACCCACATGATTTGCTCGGAGGAAAATCAAGTCTCCTTTCCAGGAACGTTCATTTGTCCCTGATCAGGTCACTAGATCAAATCACCGGGATAATACTAGCATCAGAGTCAGTACATGCTATATCCACCTGTTCAAAGCCTGACTCGAAACATCCGGGAACAACATCATTGTTATTGAGGCCAAAAGGGGCTCTTTGTGAAAAAGGCCTCCCCGACGAGGGTAACTATGTATATTTAATGTGCCCAAGAACGTGTTCGAGACTTGGAATATATCCCATATTCTGGCACACCTCAGGCAGATATCAGAGCTATGCGGTGACGACATGAATGATGAACACGACGTGGAAGTGGCACGCTCCGACCTGATTCCGCCACTGATGGGAGGATTCTCCTCGTATAGCTACGTTCAGGAAGATTCTTTCAACAATTTTTCGAAAATTACAGCCAACACGTCTCTTACTCCCAAACTAGAGCCGGCATGGATTCCCAACCACCAATCTTCTCTACTGCTACATACACGACGAGCAAAGTACATTAAGGGTACCAGCTATAACTCATTTCTTCCAGCGATATCACTATCAGCAGACGTCCAATCCCCACCGAGCTGTCGGCTCCTCGCATACTGGTCCCTCCTTTTGTGCCGGCCCTCGCCCCAGCTGCCGCGGTAAGTGCTATCTTCTCCGCGAAGCACATGCAGGGCCGGTATTAGATAGCCGATCCTTCCTGCGGGCACCCCCGGCACTGCCTGGCCCCTTGCGGTCCCTTTTCCTCGTGATTCTCTCACTACACCGCGGTAGAAATGTTATTGTTCTTCAGAACATATTAACTGCCCCAGTTACTAGGGGTCTGTTTATCCGCGGGCCACCTTCTCCTCCAGAGAGCATATCCAGGATTATATAGGATACTCCTGCCCCGCAACAGGTCAGGATCGCGGACTGGGTCTTGACTTAGTTTGTAGACCTACCCGCGGATGTCTGGTTCACTGGCCTCTCTGTAAATACACCAGCTATATTACCAGGACTTCTACCCTGGACAGAGCAGCAGTCTTTATCTACTTGTAGGCACTACTGGATAGCACTGCTCGTAGTTAGATCCATATCTTTTATTGGCTACAGTTTCTTTCTTTAACTAAAAATATATATCCAGCTCCGCGAGATTATTCTTGATTCAAACGGAATATAAACCTCCTTATAAGCAGGTATATAATACATACCTCAATCCATCTAATTCCCAAACCTTCACAGTATATATCTCTAGCAGCCATAATCAGAAATATAATAACTAGTACCTCCAGTCTAACCACAGATTCTACTTACTAGAGTCTTAATTATCAATTCTAGCCTACTTCTAACCCTACAAGTATAACTGCACCTCGCGTCCAGCAAACATATACCTGTACCTGGTAAAGAGATTAACAGGGAATTAGTCGTCTTCTGTAACTCTCACAGATGTCATGTTGTTGTTCTTTTCTTTTCTTTGTTGACCCAATGAAGACTGTCTGTCCCCTGGTCATAAAGTCTTTATAATAAAGATACCGTAAGCTCAAGATTGGGTAATCCCATCCAGTCATGTCCATGTCCGTGATGCACCTTGAACAAGCACACGACGATGTCTTCTGCCAGACAAAGCAAACGCAGCTCCTGTACTTGTCGGAGGCCAAGACACCCCTGTATCCATTCAAACTACGTTCCCCAACCGCCACGACCACGCTATCTACGCTCTCTTCCGTAGCACCTTCGACCATCCTACCGTGTTGTTGCTAGTAACTTAGTTAGTTAGTTAGTTAGTTAGTTAGCTACTGAATCTTCAGGCCGCAGCACTAAAGTGGCCGGCCGAACTACTTGTCCCCTGCACACGTCCACCAAGCTTACACCTTAAGCCGCCGAGATGTCCGACCGTCTACGTCAGCTCGTTGAGGAGCGAAATACATACACACTCTGACTGACAGCTTTATCGAGGAGTAGGTAGGTATCCTTGCAGCGCCTAGGGGGCTGCTGCCGTGCCGGGAGCAAACCATCCACGCAGTACAAAACTAAGTAAGTAATTACCAGGGATATGCTAGACAGACCAAGACTGATATCACCTTTTCTATGGTAGCTAGTTCGATGAACAAATGGACCTTTGATGGAGTACAAAACACCATAATGTCTAAGTTACAAGTTTAAGGATATCGAGCAGGCCGAGCCGTACCAGATAACAAAGCAGTCAGACGTTCGATAATTGCAATGCCACTTCTATTAGTTCGACAGCATATACGTACGACTAAGAAGAAAATATGATAAACTACAAACTAAATTGTAGATAAACAAAAGCGCATCTAACAAACGCATCCGCCGCTTACTGAATGAAACCCAAGTGTCTCTAACAGGATTCTTGAAGTTTAAAGGCAACCACTCATTCTAACCCAAACGGCCACTTTTCTGTGCTCCATGCATGCATGCATTACATATATCCTACCACTATTTTGATTGATAAGTGGGAATGGTAAAAAAACAAAAAACATACAACAGAAGGGATTCGCTGGTGGTCACCCACCCAACTACTAACCTCCCGGCGTGTGACTTAAGTACGGCTGAGCGGACGGGAAGCCCTGTTTTCCACACCCTGTGGTCGTATGTACTTATTTTTTCTTTGGAAGGAGTGATATAGAGGATATTTTGCTAGTTGGTATATACAGACAGGGCCATCATCAGACTTCGTTTATGCTTCAGTGGTAAGGTCTTGAACGGTACTTGGAGAGGTCGGGTAATTCTTTCTTTATATTCTTGTACAAGCATCTGCGCCCACATAGTGGTTAGTATTTAGCGTATTTGGGAGTAAAGTCCTGGTCTATTGATTCCTGTGTGCTGCGGGTGGCTGATTGAATTCGGAAATGAGCTTTTTTTTTCTTTCTAATTTGTATGCTGTACTGCCTTTGTCTATACCGGCCATATGTAAATAACTTCATGTTGCCGGCTCGGCATGGGCGAAGGGTGTACAACGCAAGTATTATAATAGGTTGAAAGGATTGTCTGTGACATGTGCATTCATGCGTATTATCAACTGCGAATGTAAAATGTAACCAGAAGCTTTCCTAAGGACATCCAATCCATTCCTCCAAGATGATAGATATAATTTCAGGTCAAAGCGATATATCAACCCGGCAACTAGTTACGTGCTTCAAGAGCAGTTTTGATGGCTGGAACACGTTAGAATATGATCAATTTTCTGGTAGGGTTACTCACCATCGCATGATGTCTTTGCATCGCCAAACAGCATCCTCGTTCCAGGCATGAAGAACATCGGGTTCGGTACGTCGGCTGCTTAATTAGTATTGTCCATCCATCTGCATCAGAACACTCACCGTATCCGCTGGACATGCCACGCTTCATCACAACCACTTCCTTGCTCTTCCATGCGTGTAGCACTGGCATGCCTGAGATCGGAGAATCGGGCTCCAGGGCGCTTGGGTTGACGGTATCGTTTGCCCCGATGACAAGGGTGACTTCGGTGTCAGGGAAGTCGTCGTTGATCTCATCCATTTCCAGCACAACTTCTTGGGTCAGCCGTAGTCTATCACCAAGCATCGCACTTACTATCATAAGGCACAGAGGCCTCTGCCAAAAGGACATTGCATTGACCTGGCATTCTGCCCGCGACCGGATGGATTGCAAACCGCACCGTGACGCCTTTGGCGCGGAGCATACGCACAATCTCGGCCAAGGCATACTGCGCCTTTGCTACAGCCATGCCATACCCAACGACCTACAAGGATTAGCTGTGTTTATCGTTGAGAGCTCAGACGTACAATGATGACGCTTTCCGCATTGGATAACGCTTCCACCGTGTCGTCAACAGTCGTCTGGGTCACCTGGCCTTCTATCTTCTTTGCCTGTAAAGGAGCCGCAATTCCACCAAACAGGACATTGGTCAGGGATCGATTCATAGCAACACACTGACATGGTTAGCACTTTCCACATGACGATGAAGATACCTACCATGATGTACGACAGGATCGAACCGCTAACTCCAATCAAGGACCCTACGCTCGTGAGAAGAGGGTTATTGAGCATAAATCCTTCCGCAACCAGAGCAAATCCAGAGTATGCATTGAGAACGGTAATCACCACCGCTACACCTATTAGCAAATCGCGTTCAGCAAATTTCAGAGCCAGCCACTTACGCATATCGGCTCCGCCAATAGCAGCAGTCGTAGTGTAACCCTTCAGGAAGCTGAGCAAGGTGTTTGCACCTAAACATGTCGCTGCAATTACTGGGGATCCAGGCGCCATGGTAACAAACGCTCCCATTGCAGCCACATTACTTCCGAGAAGGGTGGAATTGATCAAGTGTCTACCCGGCAGTATCATAGGCCTCGAAGACATACGACCGGCAAGCTTCAGGAAAGCCACGATGGACCCAGTGAAAGTAACGCCACCTGCTCATGTTAGAGATGTCCGTTTCATGTAGGATATATTTTACCAATTAGAACACCCAGATATGCCGTCACCATGTGCAATGTCGATATGTCAGAAACATCAGCCAACACGCTTCCTATACTAGTAAGCACAGCAGCCAGCCCGACCACGGAGTGGAGAGCAGCAACAGTCTGAGGAAGTCCAGTTGGGGTAACCCGTCGTCCGATTAGTGTTCCTGTAGACTCATCAGTAACGTTCATCAGGATGACTCGAAAACATACCAACAAGAGAACCAACGCCAGCCACAACACCAAACTGAGCCAGGACCTCGGGAGAGAACCCTACAGCTGCCAGAGAAGCAATGATTCCGGCGCCTACTCCAAGAATACCAAGGATGTTGCCGCGTCTGGCAGTGTTTTGAGAAGCAAGGCCCGATATTGAAGCTAAAACGTCAGCAATGGGAATATCAACATGGAAACTTCTTACCAATACAGAGCACACTGCTGACAAGATATCCAGCTTGCACTAGCCCCGCCATTCCAGTGCTGGCAGCGGCAAAAAAGCCCCCGCCAAACAAGACGGCTGGTATGGCATAGAGCCACGGATATTCGGGCGGGTCGGTTGGACCTGGAAATGGTGAGCAGATACCGCACAATATGCTAGGGGACTGACGCTTAAACATATCCAGCATGCGTTTGGTAATCACAAACCCGCCGGAAACGTTCATAGATGCCAGCAGGACCGAGGCAGCCCCCAGCGCTTCGGGTATCGTACTAGGTACGTATCCTCCGCCCATGATGAAGAAGCCGCCGACTCCAACCATGCCTAGGACAGTCAATTATTACAGCAGCACAATTAATCGGCCGACTCACCAGAAATAGCATTGGTAACGCTCATCAACGGAGAGTGAAGCGCTGGCGCAACACCCCATACTGCACGGTAACCGACTAGACCGGCAAGCCCAAAGGTCAACATGTTACCCATGAAGACCGGTCCCGTAGCCTTGCCCAGAGCAACGACAGTTCCCATGCCAGCGGTTGTGGTCGCAACATCGCGCGTAACCTTCTGCCAGGGTGACAGTGCCAGCTCTGGTTCCTTTGCAGGCGCAGTGACCTCTTGCTTAGGCGCCGGTGGTGCAGGCCGCGGTGCAGGTGGGACTATTTCTCCGTTGAGGGTGACGATGGAACCACGAACAACTTCATCAGTCAAATCTATGCCGAAGGACTTCTCCTGTGGGGTCATGGACAAAAGGTACTTGGTGATGTTATTGGAGTACAGCGTAGAGGATTGGGTTGGCAGGCGGGACGGAAGATCAGTATATCCTATAACTTGTCAATCCTCATCTTGGAAACAATACGAGGATAAGTACCAATAATAGTGACATCTTGAAACTTGGTCAATTGTCCAGGAACAGTTGCTTCGCAGTTTCCACCCGCTTCTGCCGCAAGGTCAACAATGACGGATCCCGGCTTCATAGCAGTGACCATCTAAAACGATCAGTATTTACTCATAACTTGGTGCTCCAGACTTACCTCTTTGGTAATGAGTTTGGGTGCAGACTTCCCTGGAATGAGAGCCGTGGTGATAATGATATCCACTTCCCGACACTGTTCCATGAAGAGCTTCATCTCTGCTTCAATAAACTCCTTCGACATTTCTTTGGCATACCCACCCTGACCCGAGCCTTCTTCTTGGATATCCACCTCGATAAACTCTGCACCTAGAGATTGAACTTGTTCGCGCGCAGCAGAGCGGGTATCAAATCCTCGAACGATAGCTCCCAAGCGACGGGCCTATGCTGTACATTAGCGACTTCCCTGCGTTGATATGATATCGGAGAGCCTACTGATGCAATTGCACTTAGGCCAGCCACGCCAGCTCCAATGACTAGAACTTTGCTAGGAGGGATCTATGATCTTCTTAGTAATTGGATGTATCTCGGCGGACGGGAGCACAACCTTTCTAAATGGATACGGTTAGTAGATTCGTAAAGAACACAGGTGCTCACTCACCCAGCGGCAGTAACTTGGCCTGTCAGAAATCGGCCGAAATGATTTGATGCTTCTAAGACAGCTTTATACCCAGCAATGTTGGCCATAGAACTATCGTGGTTGCATTAGTATGGGACATCTTTTAATACGGATAGCACACACCTCAGAGCATCGTATGTTTGCGCACGAGATATTCTTGGTATCAAGTCCATAGCAAAAGCTGTGACACCACGTGAGGCGAGTTGCTCAACCAATGGTCTATTCTGTGCCGGATAGAGGAATGAAATAATTGTGCTTCCCTGACGAAGTGCTCCGATCTCATCGATAGGACCTTCCTGTCGAGGACTGCGAACTTTCAACACGATGTTACTCTGGGACCAGATGACATCCCGGTCGACTAGCGTTGCCCCTGCTTGCTCGTATACTTGATCGTATAACTGAGCCTCCTCTCCAGCGCCGCGTTCGATCAGGACGCGCGAGAATCCTTTTTTGAGCAACAGGGCAACATTCTGCGGTGTCAAGGCAACACGACGCTCGTTTGGATAGGTCTCACGAGGTACGCCCACGGTCAAGGAGGAAAAAGGTACGACTGGAACAGGTGGCGCAGTTGCGGCAGTCGCATATTTTCTGGAGGTCTGAGACGCCTTTGAATACGACAGCTGCCCAAGGTGGTTTCGTCGGATGGCTAACAAGGGAACGCATCGTAGTTGCACCACTACAATATGAGTATGGTCAGCAACTGCAGCAGGTAACTATCAAAGTAAATCGGCAAGAACTCACAAGAGGTCTTGACCATAGCACATGAGGTCCTAGGATAGGCGCTGGGAGCTTCTCGGCATGGCCCCAAGGCCAAGCGCAGAGACAGCGGAACACTCATCTTTGGGGCTTGGATCTAGCACGCAGAGCGACTAATGGCAGGACCGGTGGCCACAGAAGGCCTCATGCCACTCACTTCCAAAGGTGCAAGGGTCGCGGAAAGGGGCGTCCAGACCACATGGGTAGTGTGAGAAAGAACAGGCCTAGAAGAGACGGCAGAACAGGAGGTTGTCAAACTCGATCTGTGAATTCAAGTGTTCAGAGGTGTCGGTGAATCTGTTAAAATCGGGCTGTAGGGTGAGCAGACGCGTCCCACTATATGGGAATGCTCCAGACATAATTTAGTCAGGGGAGGAACCGGTTATTGCGGGGAGGCCAGCATCGCGCAAGGGATGGCGGGAAAACACATGCCATTCTTCCACGAGTCTCAGCTAGACACTAGTATAAAGAGAGCACGGCTCCGGTCACCGGAATGCACCTCCATCGGATCGATCGACAAGATAGTGCCGTAGCCCCGTGGGTGACCCGGAAAGTGAGGGGAAACCGCGCGGGGAAGACCCATGAGCTGGCCATCGGCAACGCGGAGAATGAGCTGTCAGTCCCGCTTGGCATCGCGGATTTGTCGGTGCTACATAAACAACCCATGCAAACCGACGTGAAGGTCTGCCCTTATCCTTGCATGATCCAATTTTCACCCCGGCTGGATGACCCTTTGACTTCTATAATTAAGGTCAACCCGCGATCGGATGTAACACAACCCGGGTACCACATCGGAGATCACTATATGCAGCAAGAGAAGCACCTTTGCATGATCTGTACCACTATCTAAACTGCACAAGTCATCCTCCGGGGATTCTCAAGGGACACAGGGGCCACCCATGATACTGTACTCTAGATACATTGGATAGCCACCAATTTCGAGGCCCTTCCAGCTTCCTATGGCACAGGCTACATGACCATCGGACATTCGGCAAGGTCCTCGTTCACACGGATTTTGCTCGACCACGGTTTGCTTCTGGAAGAATTCACGGCTTTTGAAAGAACCCACGAAAGTCTTCTTTGTCTATGGGTGGACTGTGTCTTCCCTTTCTAGCGCTTCTTCCGCCCAAGTGCCCAGATGCTGTAATAGACCATGTCTCAGTAGAAAATTTTATTAATCAAGTTACGCAAATGCAGAAAACCATCTCTCCGCAAATCGGATGATTGACTGTCCACGTGAGATTGCGTTTCCAGCGAGCTCGGGCGGATAGGGTGCCTATGCTGTGCCGAGTAACATGCAATCCTCATGGGTTGCACAGGACGTAAAACTGCCCTGATCCTAGCTGTAGATGCGAGATAATCGAGGACTGCTGTAGTAGCTGTAGTCTGCCTGAGGCGTGAATTGGATCCGTGTGTGCCGGCCGGGCAGAATGTCTCAAAGTCAGTCCACGCCTGCGGTCCGAAGCTTCCCGCCGCAAAGAACTCGTTGGCGGGCCAGTCCGGTCCGAATGGTAGAATATACCACTCCGGTTGGCTGAATCAATCTCAAGCTGATTTATCTATATCATGATCCAAGCGCTGGTGACGGGTGGTTCCTCGCACGGCGTTCTCGCCCGCTCCACTAAGGTGGGGCCAGAGGGGAATCATAATGATGCGGTTAAATCTCCTCAACCTGTTGAACTGATCTCTTGCATTATTGCAAGCTTGTCGGCTGTCGCCCCTGATCCATCCGGCTCGATCGATTGTGCATGCATGCATCAAGCACGTTTTCCCCAACCATGCGTGAAATATCCGAATGAAATGACTCCGCTATGATGATGGCACCAGAGCTAGGTAAATCCTTGCTTGGTTAAGTGGCTCACTAGGTACACACTACACGTTCTTGACCCACGGCGGTCGCATCCTCCCATCCACATTCGCTGATTGGAATTTGCGCTCTGGCCTGGCTCGCTAGTGGAGAGCAAAGTGAGCTTCACCAATTCTTCTTTCCCTCACCGTTGGCTCTTGCGGAGCAGACATCTCCGGTCAGACCCCAGCTATCCCGCCTCTACAATTAATTAACCTCGCGGCAACTGGGCCAGTGCAAAGCATTGCTGTTTCGGGGAGGTTTGATGACATTCACATTCGTAAAACTGGGACCTCGAACTCTCAAGTTTATCCGCTTGGCTTTTTTCTTACTTTTTTTCTTAGCCTATTGCGCCTTACAGGGTGGGGTGAGCACGTTCCTGATCATCTATCATCAAATTTCAACCGCCTGGAAACTGTCATCCTCCGTTTACCCTTCTGACTTCTGTCTTATCATAATTGTCCGGTTACTAGACCACGGTCATTGAACCTCTAATAAATTGATTGGTCCTGGTTTCCAGTACGGCAGCCATGGCCCAGCAGCAGTCACAGCTTATTGTCGACCCGGACGCTCTTCCGGCTGAGGGAGAAGAAGTTAGAAGCCAGGCAGAATCTCGAGAAGATGCAAACCTCTTGGTATGTAGACACATCTCTAACTAACCGGGATCTTGTATCGGATATCGGATACACCTTAGAAGCCATCGCTAACATGCTGCCAACAGAAATCAATGGGCTATAAGCCTGTGAGTCAATCACCGCATCCATATTAGATGCAAGCCGGCTAACACATTGGTCCAGGTCCTCCATAGGACTTACACACTCCTTGAGAACTTTTCGACGACGTTCGGTAGGTGAAACAGTCAGAGCAAATCGGATCCCGTAGGCATCTCTAATCTCGCATTACCAGCTGCTCTCTACTTCGTCGGTGGCGTGCGCGTCACATATAGTACTGGTATCGCAGCAGGTGGTAACTTGGCTTATTGGTAGGTTTCGGAATCATCCATGGGGTCACCATGTCTCACTTTTACTAGGACGAGTTATCTGGTCACCTTGGTTTTTACCTACATCACCGCTGCTGTCATCGCGGAAGTATGCTCTGCCTCCCCGTCCGCGGGTTCCATCTACTTGTGGGCCGCGGAAGCTGGTGGCCCTCGTTTTGGAAGATTACTTGGTTTCGTAGTTGCTTGGTGGAGTACTACTGCCTGGACTACCTTCTGTGCTAGCAACACTCAGGCTGCTGCCAACTACATGCTAGCGGTGAGTAACATCTCATTGAAATCAGATCAGCATGGGAGTATGAATCCTGATCCACATGACAGGAATTGACGGTATTCGACTGTGATTTCCCAAAAGATACCTACAGTGTCAAGTTCCGCGCCGTTCAGTGGATCTGCACAGAGGTGCTGTTAGCATTGGCCGCACTCCTAAATTATTTGCCGCGTATGTCCTGCCTCCAAACTGATGCCTCTCCAGTCTCTATTCGACTTTGCTTATAGTCCTTCAGCTAGGTACTTCAGGTGGGTATTCTATTTTTCCTCCCTGATCGTCATGCTGGATTTCTTCCTCAATGTCATCTGGCTGCCAATTGGCGCTGCCAACACCTGGGGATTCCGTACAGCCGAAGAAGCTTTCATGTCCACCTACAATGCCACGGGTGCCCCTCCGGCGTGGAACTGGTGTCTTTCCTACCTTGCCACTGCAGGTATCTTGATCGGTTTCGATGCCTCAGGTCACGTTGCGGAAGAGACCAAAAATGCTTCCGTGACAGCAGCCCGCGGTATTTTCTGGAGTACTGTCGTTAGTGGAATCGGTGGACTGGCAACTATCATTCTGTTCCTCTTCTGTGCAGTGAGTATTTACTCCACGTAACGGCCAGCTAAACAAATACTTACATGACCAGCCCGACAACGACACCCTAATGTCATTCGGTTCTCCCCAGCCATTCGTCCCTCTTTACGCCGTCGTCCTCGGCAAGGGCGGTCATGTCTTCATGAACGTCATCTGCGTCGTTGCCTTATGGCTTGTAAGTCCACCGTCTACCCCACAACAGCCCTCAGCCCTCTCACTTCTATACTAACCTCCACAACCAACCCACAGAACACAGCAATTGCCATCGTCGCCGCCTCCCGTCTCGTCTTCGCCGTCGCTCGCGACGGAGTCCTCCCATTCTCCGGCTGGGTCTCCAAAGTCCACAACGGCCAGCCCCGCAACGCCGTCATCGTCGTCTGGGGAGTCGCCGCACTCATCAGCTGCACTCTCCTCCCCTCCGACGTAGCCTTCACCTCTCTCGTCTCCGCCGCCGGCGTTCCCAGCGCCGCCGCATACGGACTCATCTGCCTGGGCCGACTCTTCTGCACTCCAAAACGATTCCCCAAACCCCAATGGAGTCTGGGTCGCCTCAGCAAACCATTCCAATTCATCGGTGTCTTCTGGAACGCCTGGGTAGTAGCCGTGCTATTCTCCCCATACGAATTCCCCGTCACTGGCGCCAACCTAAACTGTAAGCCCATTCCCAACCCTCCTTCTTCTTCCTCACCCACACATACCCTAAACATCTCTAACCCAAAACCCAGACGCCCCAATCATCATGGCCGCCGTGACCATCTTCGCCCTAATTTCCTACTTCGTCATGCCCGAAAGCGCGTGGTTACCTATCGACCGCATCTCGCACTTCATCGATAGTAAAGGTGCAGTGAGCGAATCCGTCGAGGAAGTCGAGCCCCATCATCACCCGGAGACGTCCTCTTCGGGGAGAGAAGAAATTGAGGCCAGTGTCTCGCAGTAATATCATCGATAGCTTTATTTACTGATTGGTAATGTTGTGGTGCGTGGGTCTGCTGATCGGATGACCGATGAAGTTAAGAATATCTCCTCTTGCTTTTTTCTTTGAAAAGTTTGTTGTAGATAGATGGGAAGAACCTCTTAGAGAAGGTTATAATGGGGTGGGTATACCCTGATTTGGAATGGCATCTGCTATGTTTTTTATTTCACTTGCTTGTTTGCGTGTCTGACGGGTGGCTGGGACTCTATGTAGTAAGTAGTCTATTACTCTCGTAGATCGGTCTCGAAATGTACTCGGGGAACTTCCCACTCATAGAATTCTATTTTCGAGCAGCATACCCCGGAGGGTTCCAAGCAGAAAGTATCAACGAATTGTCTACTCCGTACCTCTATATATGGTTTTTAGTCAAGTCCGATATGTCCTTTCTGTATCTGTACATTGATGTCCCAACTCCACCATAGATATGAAAGAACCAAAATCCACCATCCTTATCAGCACACGTGTCATCGTTCGCAATATTACCTCGCATTCCAAAATCCAGAATCTAAGGGTCCAGCCCAGCCGTACGCCTTAGCTTCCCATTATAACGCCTGTATTACACCGAGACTTAAACTCCAGTTCTTCACCAATCCATATAACTTATGCCCAACATAATTCGTCGGGAAGCGTGTAACAACGGCCCGGGGTGACTTTCAAACGCCGATTGGGGTCGAAGATTGGCCATGATAAGGGTGCATTGCAGTAGCTTTCCCATACCCCATCAGGGGAGCAAAATTGAGGAACGAATATCGTCCATGGTATCAATCCAACCTTCTGGAAAAGTACGCTGTTTGAACCATGCTTGTTCCAATTCCTCGAGGGCCTTGTCAACATTCTGCATACCAGTTAGTTTTCATACATCGATATTCACCTCCGCCAATCACATACCTTAAACCCGAACCGTTGGAGATCCGTCATCGTCTGCCGCACATATTTCTGCTCGCTCTCATCTCGTGTCTCTCGGCCTGCCGTAAACAGGGGCCACAGCACCGCCAACTGACCCACGTCTTTTGCGAGCTTTCCGATCAACGCTAGGATCCGCGAAGAAAGCATATCCAACAAAACTCTTTGAGGTTGTACATCAGGACGGGCTGCCGCCCCGACGCGGTGCAGGAAGATGTTGGTCGCCTTCTCGTAAGCCTCAATACATCCAGCATACTCAAGGACATCTGGGTACGGGTACTGCCGCAAGCTCTCGTCATCCAGGCCGCCTAGTGTCTGGAGTGTCTGTGGTGCATTCAGACGCCACTGAACCAGCCGCTGCAACAGCTCATGGTAGACTAGATCTTGTTGTTCAAGCGACATCAGGCCCTCGTGTTTCGCCTTTCCGAACGCACTGATAGACGCTTGGATCTCCATCATGAAAGACCAGCATTGGCGCAATTCCACCAGAAAATGACTGTAGGCAGGTTGCTCGGTTGAGAGGCTGGGTGTACCCAGGTTGTATTCCCAGCCACCCCCGTGTGTTCTCCAGTAACTGCCTTCCACCACCGTTCCCTCGCTGGTGGCACAGGCACCCGCAACATCTAGATAGGAAAGGAGAGAGACGAGGAAGGGTCGAAGCGGGTGATTGATTTCAGCGAGGCGTTTGGCTTCTTTGGCGGGATCGCTATTAGGGGAGAATAGGATTCGGTAAATTTCGCGAGCCCCTTTAAGATGAATAGCCCAATTGTGGTGTTGAGAATCCATCATCTGTTTTATTAGCATCGTCCGTTTCTTGTGCCCGGGTGTGCAAGATACTCACCTCAAACAGAGACAGCAACAGACAGGTGGCAAAATCGGTTAACCGCACGCTCTGGTCAGGGTCTGTATACCGGGTCCTGAAAGACTTTACAACCTCGCCATAATTGCTCATAGCTTGCTGAAAATGCTTGTTTCGTTGCTGTCCTTTAGATGTGTTGGCAAGGTGTAGTGCACCCATAGCTTGCATAGCGCTAGCCATTGATGGCGATGATCGAGCAAGCTCGGGAAAGAATCTTCGGTAAGGGTTGATATTGTTCGAATTGTCATAGATGAGAAGTAAGGTGGAGACTTGGTCGACGAAATGAGTGTAATACCGGCCTTCCACGCAGTCCAGGGACGACGACAAAAACTCGGCAGGAGAAATGGGCTCCTGAAAACGGTATTTGATGGGCTTCGCGTCGGATACTGTCGTAGGAGACACAACTAGCGCTTCTATGGGCTCGTTCTCGTCCCCTAATGGCTCCTGCTTCACTTGTTTGTTGCCCTCGGTCTTGATCTTTTTCTCGCATTTCTTGGCGGTGGCGGAAGACGAATCCGCTTGTGGTGGTCCATACACCTTGAAGGTCATGCGACCCTGAGTCCCATCACATTCCAGGCCCAGCCGCGTACAGTTCTTGCATGAGGGCGAGGCTTCGTCGCAGCGAACATGGCGTCGACGACATGTCGAACAGCCTGTAAATCCTCGGTGATGCCATCGACGGACCCGCTTTCTCTTCTCAGGCGCAGCGGATGCGGAAAGCTGGGGTTGTGCGGGGGGGAGAGGTTTCCCCGGAGCGCAAACTAACGTATGAATCTCCATGAGTGGGAGATGAAGCCGAATACGAGTAGGGAGTGTGGGGTAGAGACATTAAGATGAATGAGGGGCGGAGGAGTCCGACCGGAGGTTATAGCCAGACTGTGGGACGTTGAAAGTATGGCATTAGAAAGGAGAGTGCGGTGTGGAGTGACAGGGATGAGATTTGAGATAAATCAATTGGAGGCCCGTGACAGGGGGGAGGACGAGATCTCGAGAGGATGTCAAATGGCTAGAGATCTGTAGATAGTCGTAGTAGAGGCAGTGACGGAGCAATTGTAGTAATGACTAGTAGATGATGATCGGATTATTAAGTATGGGGGGCAAATGGAGCGAGAACCGAAAGCGCAGGCGGCGAAATACTGGAGCCAGTGGGGCTCCAGACGGTCGGGCATTTGGGAATTTGGGGGAGAGGGAAAGACACTCACTCAGTCTTTCCCTCAGTCTTTCCCTCCTTCCGCCCAGCTCCCTCTCATGCTGCAGATCACCCACTACTACTACACAGTACTGTCTACATGCTCTCGGTCCAGTGTGCACCTACCTAGCCACCTACTACAACAATCCCTTTTGAGACATTCAGCATCCTTGTCAAACAAACGGTCAGTATCACGGTCAAGAATTCCCCTCATCCGTTTCATTTGCTGGCGAGCACGATCGACCCTAGTGGTGGATCATATTTCTCTCCCAAGTCTCACTGCTGCGGTGTCTGGTGATCTGACCCTTCGGTACCTAGTCTAATTGACTAACTGACCTCACGGTAGGATAACCTTTTTCTGCACCAGAAAATCCCGCATCAATGCCTGTCCAATTGAGAACAGCGACTGTATGGTACCTCACAACCTTCCGTGGAAAGCCTACCATCGACTGGCCTTCCTTCGTCTTCCAGATCCCCACTCGATCCACCCGCGATGATTGCAGAGTGGAAGAGCCACGATGCAGCGTGCGGAGGAGGGCTGCTACTGGGCGAATCCTGTAGCCAGAATTCTCCGCCTTCCCCCTGACCAGTGGAATTGGCATCTGATAATTTAGTAGCGAGGGAATCGCTAGAGTGACCAGGGCCCCGAAGGATTCGCCCAAAATCCACTAACGCCGACTATCTCGGCTGCCAAGCACTCGAATGGAACCTTCTCGCCTGCGACTTAACTAGATCCAGTTGCCCCCTCGTCCTGTCTGATTCGAGAGCATACCTACTGATGTTGCATGAGGATGACCTTCTAGGGTATTCCCTTACTATGGAGAAACCATGGCGGTCTCGAGGCGCGTCAACCTCTCTGAGAGTGACTCGGCTGCAGCCCTGTTGCGCAGACGATGTCTCAGTTTTCTCGCCCTCCAACTCTATCCTCATCCCTCACCGAACGCTCAAACTCCCGCAGGCTCCCGAGTTTACCTTCATGTAGATAGCCCCTTGAAAATCTCGTCTCCATGTGTGGGACGGGTGGTCCCGCCCCGCGTGCGCTACTGCCAGAGTCAAACGAAAACTCGAGGACAGAGATGGCCCTGCACGTCCGATCACCAGTCAGCTCATTTTACACGCAGATCATTGGTGACGTTGCTAAAGGTCTGTGTGCCGTTGGGGAACTCAAGCGATCCAAGAGAACCGGTTTGTCGGTCATGTTCCGTGGATCTGCCAGGATCGGGAGACTGGATGGGCCTTGTCCTTCCTTCCGCTGGGCCGTGATTGCTCGACGCCTGCTGGTAGTCTAGTCAACTAATCGTAGCAGGCATCCTTCCTCGCAGAAATATATTGCAATATGTCATGGTAATATGGTATGGTCCAGCTAGTTAATCCAGCGGAACAGAAGATATGTTGGATGGTTTCAGGATCCCGAGCGCAGTAAACTCAGAGCTACTGGGAGAGCTAGTCAATATAGAGGTAATTGTGAGTAGATCACTATTCGAGCCCTGGCCGTTAAGGAGCAATTACTTTTGCAAAGTCCGCAACCTTCCATGTCATGACCATGTATTTCAGCGGGAATACCATGCGCATACACCGCTATATGGATACCTACGGATCCCAGATCTACAGGCACCCGGACCACTTCTCTTGACGCATGTGAACATCGACGATCTGAGGTCACACGATCTACCTACGGCGGCGGGTGGTTGGGGGGGTGGGGGGGTAGAGTGGTTAATAGCTACGACATTCACCAGATCGTATGTAGTTAGATGGTCGGTCCGGCCGTGTTTCTTCGAATATAAAACTTGGTAGATACGCTGAAGTTATATATATCTTATACTAGCCTTCAAGGTGGTAGCGTATTCTTGTAACAGAACTTGACACGCGGTCAAGCCAGGTAATTACAGACAACTGATATAAAACCAACAGGGCGGGTTGTAAAAGAATTCCGTATTGACAATGTCCCTAGTTGAGACCTGGCAGAAGGGTTGAGATCCTTCTAGCCCATCTCATTTTCTCTGGAACTAGCTGCCAGTACTAGTCATAGCGCTGGTAAATAATATAGATAAGCTCCATATAATATATTTAATAAAAAATACTCAATTCATCCACTCCATGCAGCTCCCCTTTATGGACAAAAGCTATAATCAGATAGCTGAGCTAGACCTAGAAAATATGTCTGTTAATAATGCCTGCTAACCAAGGCATGTCTCCTCCCATCCTCCCAGGAGTAACAAACGTGGGAAACACGGCGGGGCATAATACACCCATCGGAACAATATGATTATTCCCTACAATCGCCCGTGTGGCCAATAATAGCAATTTAGCCTATCCAAGAAGATGCCCAAACTTCCTGATCCCCGTCCGGAGACTGGCAGCGGCTGGCCCGTATCGTTGATGTATGGAGGGCCGTTCATCGCCGACGCCTGTCGTTACTCCATATGTAGAATAACACCGTTATATATAAAGAAAGGCTGTCCATCCCCAGGCCCGTCCCAACCCTCGAGTGCATTGATGTATCACGACAACCAATCTATAAAAATTCCATAAAAAGCCGGCTGCGTGTAGGTCAACTCTTGATATATATATATATATATATATATATATATACACCCCAGCCACTATGATACCAATCAGAGGACAATCATGTCCCGAACTCCACATAATTGGAGCCATGTGATAATCCCCGGGTACTGCTGTAGAGATCCCCTGCTCCCTGCGCATCCCTTCCATACATTTCACCGTGGTCCCCTATTGTAACAGCCCTCTGCCGTGAAGGCGCACATGGAAAAATCTCTTGGCCTCATATCCCACATTACTCAGCCCGGCAGCAGTGAGTGGTGGGCTACTGGTCGGGCTGCGTATCAGTCAACGCCACTCGGTTAAGGCGTTGCCAGCGCCACCATGTTGGCCTCGGCCTGCAAATCCGTTTGTCCAGATCATTCATTCCATTGTTGAAGTAGTTCTTATCCTTGGAAGCTCTCAGTGGGTGTCTCAGTCAACATCCTGCTAGTAGCTTGTTTTCATTTTAGCGAGCATCACTTGAACCATCCGACGGTACACTTGTATTGGCTTCAAGACATCCAACATTCCTTCGTGCATATACGCGAAAAGAAATTCTCGCAACCTTGACTGGCTTGCAGGACGGATTACATAACAATTGCCCGGATGGTCTAGTGGTAAGTTGTTCTGCAATGCAATAATCCCGTGGTCTGCTCTAACAGTTCACATCAGGTATGATTCCTGCTTCGGGATACGAGCATGCAGGAGGCCCCGCGTTCGAATCGCGGTTCGGGCCCACTTAAATTTTTACTTATCCATGGGCTAGTAGCATTTAGTGTATGAAGCCTACTTTGCAGTGGTCTCCACAACAGTTGCCCGGATGGTCTAGTGGTGAGTTCTTCCATATAAGTATTCTTCACGTTTGCCGTTCTAACAGCGGAAATCAGGTATGATTCCTGCTTCGGGATATGAAACTGCAGGAGGTCCCGCGTTCGAATCGCGGTTCGGGCCCACCTATCTTTTTTGCATCTTATTGGCTTGATTGGATCTTTTTGCGCGATCCATTCATTATTCATGCCTTGTACAATTCTGAGTGGCGCAAGTAAAAATTTTATTTATATCTTCTATGAATACCAAGATATGTCCAGGTTTCTCATCCCCCAAAAATATCACGAGACCCAGGGTGTAATAATGCCTTTGTGCATATCGTCCTCCAGGGTCACCTCTCCCGCACTTCCGTTCGTCACTTCGTTCCCCCGGTCTTCTCACTGCTCGATCTCCTTCTACCCCCAGTCTGCGCCCCACCTCATGCATTGTGTCCCAAGCTTCTGAGCTTCTCTCCCTTTCTTGTCCTTTATATCGCTTGAGATGTGGAATAGCCAATCATCAGACTTTATACGTAACCACCTGTTATCTAATACAATTATCCGCAGGTCGCTGCGGAGTAGATGATCTTCTTGTGGAATGTTCTGTATTCCTACCTGGGTATAGATACTGCAACCATCGTACCTTCCTCAACAAGAAGCCCGGATGGTCTAGTGGTATGATTCTCGCTTTGGGAACCCAAATCTCAACTGCGAGAGGCCCCGCGTTCGAATCGCGGTTCGGGCCCTCTTCTTTTTTTTCTTCTCTTTTTGCTCCACCTTTTTAGATCCCACCGACATGCCCATATATATATACGTGGGGCTTTTCTTTACACCATATCTATCTATCTATCTACCTACAGGTTCTTGCCCGGGATTTGTGTTTTCCACCCTTGTTATATTCTCCGTAGTATCTACTAGGACTACTACTACTACTAAGTATGTACGGAGTAGTTGATCCAGCAACAGTACCGAACCTGAAGGGCACACAGTTCGAGATTCCATCTAGTGATCACTCTTGCTGTAGAGCCCCGCGGCCTCTAGTACATCCAGCCCTCCTCACCTTGGACAACACCACCCTCACCTCCATCATCCGCGTTCAAAATACTGACGTCTTCGCTTCGGCCACCCTAACGCGCCTGCTGCGGTCTAGGGTTTAGAAGCTAAAGAGATGGAAGAAACGACGAGAAACCCGTAGTACGTGATTTATTGTTAGACGGAAGAAGATGATGACAGAAGCAATGAGAACCCCGGAGAGTTGGCATTCTATAGCCGGAACATTTGATGCCTGTTTAGGTAGGCGCCTCTCGGGTGTGCCTGCTACAGCTCCCGGTCCATCTCATTAAATTAGTCTGCTTCAACCTTTCTGCCTGTAGCTCGACCACACTAACGTTTACCAGCCTCAAGATAATTACACAGATACCCCAGCGGTAAGCGTCGTTTCGTATGATTGGGCAAAAGCGTGGACTAATAATCTGCAGCTGAGCCGCTCAATCAGCGCCCTGACGGTTCCTCGGGCTGTCCATAGTGTATGAATCTCTTTGCTAGTTAATGTGATAGTAGTGTCAGAGAGGGTACTACCTTCAGCACTCTAAACTAAACTCATGAACACAGAAAACATACAGAATTTACCAATACTAGTACCTGTTTGATTCAAAAGACCCAGCCACTTTGCAGCTTGCCATGTATGTGTCTTTTAATCTTCGTTCATTGAAAGTAGCAATTCTTGGCAGCCACTCCCACCGCTCCCTTAAGTACCCATACAGCCAACGTACCTTCATCCAACACTGCCCGGATGGTCTAGTGGTATGTTCTACAGCTCATCCGAAATCTTCCCGTTCTGTTCTAACAGTTCATAATCAGGTATGATTCCTGCTTCGGGAAATGAATATGCAGGAGGTCCCGCGTTCGAATCGCGGTTCGGGCCCTATCTTTTTTTTGGTTCTTCATTTTCCTTCCGGGTCTTGCTTATATGTAGCCCATCATATCATACTACCTCTGTCTTCTGCGGGGAATGACTCGTCGGGCCCACATCACAAACAGAGGGCTGCACCTATATATTATTTTATGCAGAATATGCAGTGCAAGAACAAGCCCATTTCCATGGGGCACAGTCATTTAGCGACTCATGGGAAAAAAATAGATTATTGACGGGGGATCTCCCTGGGAAAGCAAACATCCTGCCATAAGCAGTCAATCCGAAGTTGTGATTCAGGATATGCTTGAAGTCTCATGCTCATATTCAATTTCTCGACATAGAGGGAAATCCCAAGATCGGCGGATTGATATAATATGATGCGCTTGTTGTGGACCAACTCTATCGATCCCAGGATTTCAACACAGGGTATTCTACCGAAACCTCACTTGCCAGGTACTCGATAGTCTGTGGTGGTACTCATATTGGGTACAACACAGATGATAGTCCATATAGGCCACGCCAATACAAGCCGCTCTCTTGCGGACTCTGTTGGAAATAATCTAAGAAGGGTACATTGGATAGAGATCGTTCATATCCAAAGGATGCCCACCTGTGGAATTTAGCAGTGGATCGGAGATTCTACTAACCTGTCCAAAGTTGAGTTGATCCAGGAGTACGAAGACCTATTGAAGTGTTGCTTTGTCTTCGTGGGACTGATGCGAAGGCATCTTTGTGTCGAAGAATGGCTCCAAGGCTGCCTTATTCAACTGAACCATTGCTTGGCATTTCCAAGCGTTCCTGTGACGTAGAACGTGGGGCAATTGGCAATCTAGGCCGTGGATGATTGGTATGACACCTGATGCTGTAGCGATAGAACGCTCAATCTCGTCGTATTCCGAATCAGCGATGTCAGGCTCGAGCCTTCTCTGTGTCACGTTTAACATACATAAAGCGCCGAGAGTGTGCGAGAAACATGACAAAACGCTTCAAAGATGTCAGCTCTAGATACAAAAATATGCCTGCCAATCACCTCGAAAACGAAGGCTCTAGGTCAATCTGCCTCAGAAGGGACAGGACTATAATGAAATGGTTTAGACAGGAAACAGCGTGGGTCCATGTAATAGCAACGAAAAATTTAGGGTATCTGCTGGCAAGCCGGAATCTCAAATTGGCCGCCAGAAGTAGAAAACAAGCATCAGTGATCATAAGGACCTGAGTGTCCAGAACATTTGAGAGATGGGAAACAAGCAGGAAAGAAGTCTGCTACCTTGAGTACCATGATGAAAATCATGCTCAGTCCGCAATAATTTACAAGTAACCTATAACGACGACGCTTCACCACTGATTGTGGAACTGCGGATGCAGCTGATCAATAATCAGAAGAACTTTCCTTACCTGATCATGCATCCACGGATACTGTTGGACCAGGAAGAGGAAACGTAGCCGATTCCCTAGGCTCTGGCTCCGGTGACTCCGCTCCTGCAGCCTTCCCGTTCATCCGGTCAAATTCCAATGTTTCAGCTAGCTCTGCGGCCATTGGGTCCAATTCTTCCTCTTTGAGGCCCGTGGCAAGTGCTACCAGCTTGCGATGGACATCAAATTTGGTGCTTACACCCGCATCTGCTGTTTGTTGAACAAGGTCCTTGACAGCTGCGCACCGAGCCTTTTGAGCAGAGCATAGCTGTCGGGCCATCTGGTATGTTTGAATCAGTCTATCCTGATCAGAAACGGATGAAGTTGCGCCGTCTTTGTCCGGCAGTGGTGTTGATGCGAGCCTCTCTTTCAGTCGGGCCTGTTGGATCTGCTCCAGGAGCGATTCATAGCGGCTTCTCAGCTGATCGTATCGATCAAGTTGTGTATTGATTGATTCTTCCTCTGCTTCTTTCGCCACAAACACGGCTGCCTGTTTCTGAATCTTTTGCCGATCAGATTCCAATTGCGCGTAAAATGCCTCCGGATTCGTTACGTCATCTGAACCAAGCTGGTTTGCTTTGGAGCCACCGTAACTTACGGCAAGCTTCTTGTTCGCCTCGGCCATGATAGAACCTATCTTAGATAGTAGTGTCGTGGTAGCAGGAGATGATTCTTGTGGAAGGGTGGTTGGTTGATGATCAGATGTGACAGGCGCTATGACTTCGCCATCCATTTGATCGTTACCCATCGTGATGGATGAAGGGGGAAGAGGGACGTCGCGCTCATGAGGTGCTGCCCGTCGGGCGATGCCTGCAGCTGTTTCACCTTTTTTATTCAATAGGTCGCCAGAGCGCGGGCATCGAGCAAGTAGTAGGTCAACTAAACGAAATGCACCATTCCGAGCGGCAACCAAAGCAGCAGTATCACCGTTCGAATCCTGGCAGGACAGCAACATATCAACCTCCTCAACCGAAAAGGTAACGCGTAACTTTTCTAGCAATACTTCACAATAATATCGCGAGCTTTTCCATTTCCCCTTGCTCCGAGTGGTTTCCGCTATGTGGTGAAATATAGTAGCGCCAAACCAGTCTCTGAATGAGACTGTGTCCAGTAGCAACTCTAGTAGTGGCGGAAATGTCTTCTTTTCGTAGTTATTTGTGAACAGCACAGCTCGCACGAGTGGCGTTTCTTCATGGATCGACAGTGCCTTGATATCAGCCCCTCTCCGCAGCAAGTCTCTCACAATCTCCAAGTCACCCATCGCGCATGCCCAATGAAGAGCAGTATTGCCCGAGTCGTCAATGGGACGATCGACTTGGAAGTTGGCGGGTGGTTGCGGGGAGGAACACGCGTGGCTTCCGGAGCATCCCCTACCGTCATGAAATAATCCAAAAGTTGATCACCATAAAGTATGTGTTCCTGTTCAGTAATCGACATCGCTGGAGCCTCATTAATCCCACGCTTGCGCTTCCGGGAGTAGGTTCCGTTTTGTGACATTGCCATCATCTCCTCGTCCGCAATCATGGAAGACGACTCGAGAGTCGCCTGTTCGATCGATTCATCCTCATCAAATCCATGACTCATTTCGTAATGCTCGTAGGTATAGGTGGGTGGCGCCATACTTCGTTGGGCTTTGACGGCATTCGCAGCCTCTTCATTTGCGGCCCTCTTACTTGCTGCATTCTTTTGGGCTCTTGGTTTTGACGCTGCGGTGGTATGTTTTGGGGCCGGTGGTGGGCTACGATCTCCAGCCACGTAGTCGAAGATCGGCCTTAGCTTGTCAATGATGTTGTTGCGTTCGGCGAGCATACGACCCTCGGGAAGCGGTATCCATGTTCCTATACATAGTTGCAGCGTGTCAACCCCGTGCAAGGATTTGACAAGAAGATAGTCTTACCTTGGTATTTGCCATAGCCACCTTGTACCTTCTCATGAACCCCTTTCTGCACCTCGCGCTCCAGAATGCGAGTTCTCGCAGGTTTGTCAAAGCCGGCTACTTTCAGAATATGTGTGGCATTTATCCAGTCATCGGAGCGTCTTCGCATAACACTGTCACCGTCAAGCTTGAACTCGTAAACCGGGACCTGGTAACCAGTGTTAGAATGCTGTCATCACCATCGCATGAAGATGTTGGGCAAACAGGCGACAACGAGGTTCCTGCCGTGACGGACGGGGCACAGAAAAGTTGCACTTACACTGCTATAAGTAGCAGAGTAGACCTTTGAAAAATCCACAGTCGCCATAATGAGCCTCTTCCGCAAGGCGGCCTGATCCAGCGGGTTCCCGTACAGCAATAGGATGTTGCGGTGTGGTCGCGGCTTCGGAAAAGAACTCGAATCCGGGTTTAACAGTTTCGAGGCATTAGTTTTATGAGCGATATTTTGACTCGGCTCATTCCATGAACACGAATTAAAAGCAAGCTGGGTCGGTGATAGCCCAGCAACAACTACCTCATAACGCGACGGATTGCAGGGCTGGCAAGACGCGCTCGGGTAGTCGAACCGCGTAAAGTGGAATTGAATGCGCTAGTCCCTTTACGGAACAACACACACGTGATATATATCACATGACTTATCGTCCGGAAGGAACGACGACTGCGGATAGCTGCAAACCTCGCTGCCCAGTCGCCTATCCTCGGAACAACCGCCAATTGCATTATCCCCTCGTGCCAAGATGACTGTCGCCGAGTCCGTGAAGAGTGCCGTTGGGCTTGCGGATAGCACCGGTACGTAATTGCTGCCATTGGCATCCGATAAGAACCGCAGCAATGACACGACTGTTGGCATTGAATGATTGAAGGCTAACTTTTGTATATAGCTGCTTCCCGCCAGGAAATGTCGGATGCCCGCCTTCCCCTTCAGTACCGCGACTCATGCGCACACCTTTTGATCCCATTGAACCGTTGCCGACAGCAAGAGTACTACCTTCCCTGGAAGTGCGAGGTAAGTCTCACACCCGGATCGCTTACTGGGTACCTCGTTGGTTTCACACTATTTATAACTAATACCATTTTATTTTCTACCCCATAGGACGAGAGACATAGCTACGAGAAGTGCCAGTACGAGGAGTTCAAGAAGCGCGTTGCTAAGATGGAAGAGCTCCGTGCTGCGAAGGGTGGTGCCCGGAGCAACTAATACCACACATATCGGCGCGGCATTCGAGACGGGCAAAGTAGCGGGTTATGTACATAGATATTCTGAGATTGTTTGTCCATGCACCGACATTGGCGTTGGGATTCATTCGCGATTAAGCTTGCCGACACCACACCGGTGACAACCGGAACATCAACCGGCCAACCAACGGCTTCAACTGTATCTGGTGATCGCCTACCTGATTTCCTCGCGCTTTTTATGACGAGGTCAGAGTATCAGAATCGTCAAAATACCTGGCCCTGGATAAGACACCCAACTCCGTCCAGGAGGGAATTCGGCCCCGCCAACTCCACCATTGCGACAGAATTAGAGTGGCAGACCCTCGTGCAAAACTCCGAACAATTGATTTCGGCCCTTTCCCCCCTGTATAATAGGAACCGCACCCCATAAAATGCTCATAGGCCATATCAGCTATATCGTTACTCGTTAGGGGCAATGACTGGACGCAAGCACGACTACTAGCATAGTCCTAACTAGAGATAGTGTTCTCTCAGTCTGCGCATTCAGTTCCGGATTGTCGAGAGAATGCCATCAACTGTCCGTCCTCCATCCATATGGCCGGCGTCGGAGCAACTGATAGCGAAAATCACATGATCCCGTAATCCCCTCCACGCTGCTTAGAAATCGGCGGCGTTGACAATCACCGACACTGCTTCCCCTGCCCCGCTCGCCTACCAGAAATGGAGGGACAAGTTTCCCGGTCACCAATAGGCGCTTGAGCCTGGGACCCCCCAAGGTTCGACAGAATTTCAGCATAAAGTCGACAAGAGGAGCATCTGACTCGTCTTCCTCTTATTGAGTGCCTGCTTGTCTGTCTGACATTGCTGTTTCGTCGGCTGTACCCTGACCTTGCGACATTGCGTGCCACTGACGTTGATTGTTCTGCCGTGGTTCGGAGGTCATTATCGGGAAGTTTCCCCTCATCTCCGCGGGGTTTTTGAATGGCCTGATCTCCGAATTCTCGCCTCACCCGGAGACTGCTGGAACATTGAAACCTAAGACAAGAATTTACCTTTTGGAATTTTATTGTCCTGCACTGGCAAGATGGGTTTGCTGTAGGTGGAGTGTGCTGGGTCAAAGCCGGGTTCCATTAATGCGCAAAGACTAACATTGGCCGTTCCTTCAGAGCGCTTGGGACGGCCCTGGACTGGCCAGAGGCCAAAAAGAGGGCAGATCAGGTTCGCAAATGGGGGATTGAGGTAAGGCCTCCAGTCTTGTCTCCGTGTCTTCCGCGTTATTTACTCTACTTCTGGTCTTTTGCTGATCGAGATAGCAATTGCTCGCCAATTGGCATAGGGCCAAAGGCAAGGAGCGGAACGCCCTTCTTTGGGGCGATGAGGTAAGTCCGCAAGGCCTCATTTTGAGCGTGTTTCCGATGTATACTAATGCATTGTCCTTCATTAGGTCGAGTACCTCGTCGTAGCCGTCGATGATGAGACGAAAAAGGCCCGCCTGTCTCTCGCACAGGCTGAAATTCTCAAATCGCTTGCCAAGGATGAGGCATTATGGAAGGAAGGAAATTCTTCGAAGTCTCAGAACCAGGGACAGTGAGTTTTGGCTTGTGGTTCCAGGAAATAGAAGGGCGCATCCTGACAAACTCTAGTGAGGGCGAGGAACCACCTCATTTTCACCCTGAGTTCGGACGATTTATGTTGGAAGCCACACCGGGGAAACCTTGGGGCATTGACTTCAAGGATCTACTTAAAGTAGAGTCGAATATGAAGTGGCGGTAAGTGTCACAGTCTCAGGGCAAATCGGGATATCTCTAATGATCGCATACCAGACGTGAGGTTGCAAAGGCGCACATGGCACCGAATGAAAGCCCTATAACTCTTACAACCTTCCCTCGCCTGGGGACGAAGGATGATTATATTCAGCCCTATTATCCCCCCTCGGGTCCTGCGCTTCGATCGCAGTTCGTTCCTGACGAAATCGCCAACCCTCATATTAGGTTTCCAACATTGGCGGCCAATATAAGATCAAGGAGGGGCCGGAAAATTGAGCTGAACGTTCCCATATACAAGGATACGAACACACCTGAACCGTTCAAGGATCCGACTGTGGACTATGATCTCCACAATTGGCCTGAGGATGATGATGTCAGAAATGGCGCAGCCAAGGATGGCCATGTTTACATGGATGCTATGGCGTTCGGTATGGGCAGCTGCTGTCTTCAGATAACCTTCCAAGCGAAGAACATGACAGAAGGAAGAAAGCTGTACGATCAACTGAGCCCGCTAGGACCAATTCTTCTGGCCCTGACAGCCGCTACCCCCATCTATAAGGGATTCCTTGTGGACACGGATGTCCGTTGGAATCAAATTAGCGGGGCCGTTGATGACCGAACGCGGGAAGAACTTGGTGAACTCGTAAGATCCTCTTCTCTTTCCTTCTGCTGTTAACATCTCTTGTGGACTATGTTAACATGGCACAGCCCCTGAAAAACGATAGATGGAGGATACCAAAATCTAGATACGCTTCCAACTCGACCTATATCTCCCAAGATCCCAGGCTGAGGAAAGAATATTTGGACCCTGACCTCATCGTTGATGAAGACATCAAAAAGCGCTTGATCGATGATGGTATGGATGATCTTCTAGCGACACATTTCGCACACCTGTTCATCCGTGATCCGTTGGTTATATTTTCGGAAGATCTCGAGGAGCTAGACTTGAACAAAGCAGACCATTTTGAGAACCTACAGTCAACCAATTGGCAGCACATGCGCTTCAAGCCCCCACCGCCTGACAAGGATGACATCGGCTGGCGAGTTGAATTCCGATCCATGGAGATTCAGATGACAGATTTCGAGAACGCTGCGTTTAGTATTTTCATCGTGCTCGTGACTCGCGCAATTCTGAGTTTCGATCTCAACTTCTACATCCCAATCCAGCGTACGACAGAAAACATGGAGACGGCGCATGCACGCGACGCAGTCCTGGAACAAAAGTTCTATTTCCGCAAAGACCCTTTTGCTCGTCGCAGGCAGAACCAGCAATCACCAAATGGTAGCAATGTCTCATCTAACTCATCATCTGCTCAGAACACACCACCCCCATCGCCACCGCTAAACCCGGTGGAGTCCGAATACGATCTCATGACTATTTCTGATATCATCAACGGCTCCGCTGATGGGACTTTCCCTGGATTGATTCCGCTCGTTGAATCTTACTTGAATAGTGTGAATGTGGACGTTGAGACACGCTGTTCTCTAGCCAGCTATCTTGACTTAATACGCAAACGTGCTAACGGTACACTTTGGACTGGAGCCAAATGGATTCGTGAGTTTGTTGCGTCGCATCCTGGGTATAAGCACGACAGCACTGTTTCAGAGGAAATCTGCTACGACTTGGTGAAGGCTGTGGATGAGATGACTGTAAAGGAAGGCAAACACGGCACCATCGGGTGGGAACTCCTCCGGGGCAAGAAGAACTAGACGATTTGTGGAAATTTGCTGCATATAGATGTAGATAGTTTGCATTTCATATACTTTACAGCTTGCTGGTACAGATAAATGCGACACTTCCTTTGTTGGGCCAAGTGAATTATTATTTCAGCTCTCCAGTGCTCTTAATTACCAACGCCCATAACTTCTAAATTGTAGCTGACATGCTATACCGGTTGACTGCCATGCTATTCATTAAGCAGAGAATACTCATTCAACTTTTGTTCACTGTAATTCAGGCACATACAACCACTCAAAGCGCGCTTATGAGATCTTCATCCCCTCCTGCGGGCACTCTTCGCTCCTAAACACTATGGCAACAACAGCTTTTCTTCCTCTGTTGGCTGACGACATGAATCAGCCAGCCCGGTTACTTTCCACACACCATCGAGTTTATGGAGAATGAAAAGCTCAACCCCCACATGATGCACAATCCCATTGACTTTGGCCCGAAAGGGTGCCCATACCGCAGCCAGGTTCCCTGGCGAATATACCTTCACTTCTGGATCCCAAATCCGTTCGTCGATTTCGTCTTGAATCCTCGTTACTTGTTCCACGAAAGCCCCAATGGTACAAAAGCGAGGAAGGGTTGGTGATGGCGGCCAAACTGACATGCCTCCTGCCCGAACGCAATACTTTTCAAATTCGCCGGGACTTTTGGCCCTCAGTGCCTCCAGAAACCCTTGAATAACAGCCATTATGGAGTCGACTTCGTCGGGCAGTGGAGGCAAACCTGCCAGTGCAATTGTTTGACTTGGTATGATCCAGTGCATCTCTGATATCTTCGGACCGGGATTGTGATGATATGTTGTGGTAGGTGTGAGCTCTGCTTCAATCGGTACGACGACTAGAATCTGATCATATGATGCCTGTCACCAGCTGCACACCAGGAAGTGGAATGGATTCTGAATTCGGAGTATGTTTCCTACTCTCGCCCCAGGATACTGACAGTATATGCAGTCCCTGGTTCGGCAAGTGTGTAGACTGAGAGTCATCGAATAACTTATACCTTCTGGGTTTTCGGTGGATAGCAGCCAGCGACAATGGCCCATCGAAGAAATCACTGCATCATATCAAGCCACAGCCACGGCAGACCTCGGATGGAACGGATCTGCAGTGGCTATACTTTGATATAAAAGCAACAAGCCAAGCCAAGCCAACGTGTTACCGTTACAATGCCAACGATGGGTTTGTTCCACGGCGATACCTCTTGCTCCCGGTGGTGTGTGCAGAGACCATATGAAGCTTTGCGATCATCTGAAACTTTTGTCCAACGCACTATAGGACGGGAAGTCAATGATGCAGCGTATCCTTTTGCTGTCTGACCACCTTTCCAGGAGTCTTCACACCAAGGGCGCTGAATCCGTCCCAAAAGAATAGATCCCATGAACGTTTGAATCAGCTCAACGCATCTGCTGGTCAGACAAGGCTCGATAACCCCTCACAGCCCTCTTGATATGATAATTCGTGCGACTCTGGCCTTGGAAAAGGGCTTCTGGGCTGGGCTTCTTCTGTCCCTGTGCAACATGGGGTCCTGGTCCCGGATAAGTTGATTTTTGCGATCAAAGCATACAGGTTTAGGCTGATTACGGAGCAGGCCTGTGTCAGTGAACATGGAGTATTCGTCATCAGCTGGTGAGAAACCAGGAGGTTTTTGCCTAATGAGGGCCGGTCAAGAACTCCGGGAGATGTCAGGAGCACCGTGGACGGCTGTCCAAGCCTAGGCGTGCATTGTGCATCTGCAGGTGTCTGGTCTGGCGGTCAGGCAGTCCACACATGCCTCTTTCCTTCCTCGTGTGTCTCATTCACCACTTCCACCTCACTCAATATGTTTCTATATCTCGCTACCACTGGCCCTTGGGCCTGTTTTGCTTTGTCTACTTGTCAGGGCTTCATCCATTTTCTTCTGGTATGCTGACTTGACTTATACCATTCGCCACTCGTCAGCAGCAGAGATATATTTGGCGCCGGTATGATAGTCGTTCATATTGCGGCAAGCTCGCGGGAAACCACGCTATCCAGCCGTCGCGTGAAACTGCCTTCCCGGAAGACCCCATTCAACTTGCCCTCCGGCAAATCGGTTCGGCACTTTCAGACGCTTGGGATGCCATCATTGCCATCATTGCCATGAGGTCATTGGGCCCGTTGCGTCCTATGACCAAATGGCTCCGCAATTCGGCCGACAATCCTACCTGGAGTGGGAATTTCCACACATGGCGGTCGAGCCTTCAATGCTTTCCCCGCATTCCTCAACCCCATGGTTTCCGGGATAAATCAATCTCACTGATGAGTCTAATGCAAGATACTGTGGTTCGAATTCTCCGGGGTGCATTCATCCCTGCTTCCCCACAATTTGGACCCCTTTTCCATATAATGGCCACCCATCAAGCCTTCAATCGCTGCCTGAGCGAGTACCGATAGCAAGCCTCTTGTCCTTCCACGATGCTCAAAACCGCTGCCGGTCTTCTTGCTTTACTTGCCGTAGGGAAAGCGGCGCCAACCGGCGCGGCCAGTCCCACGGCCAATGTTCGCAACGGCACATATGTCGGAGTGCGGAATACGCATTACCAGCAAGATTTCTTCTTGGGTATGCCGTATGCCCAGCAGCCTGTTGGTGACTTGCGGTTCACGGTGCCTCAGCCTCTGAATGAAAGCTGGAGCGGACAGCACGACGCAAAAGAATATTCTCATATCTGTGTGGGATACGGTGTACGTGCGCGAGACTCTCTTGCGAGCCTGGTTCTTGGAAACAATCTAATAGCAGAGCATGTTAGACCGATTCAATTTGGTACCCGCAGTCCGAAGCGTGCCTCACCTTGAACGTCATTCGTGACTCTTCGGTAAACGACAGCTCGAAGCTTCCTGTAGGCGTCTGGATCCATGGCGGTGGCTTCTACGAGGGATCCAGCGCTGACCAGCGCTACAACATGTCTGCTATCGTCTCCAACTCCTATAAGATTGGTACGTCTTCCGACACAGGTGGAAGAATTGTCTAATTTGTGACTCGCACTGCAGGAAAGCCATTCATCGCCGTTAGCCTCAATTATCGCCTTTCAGCCTGGGGCTTCTTGAGCTCCAGCCAGGTCTCGGGTACTGGCAACACAAACCTAGGCATCAGGGACCAAAGACTTGCGCTCCAATGGGTCAAGGAGAACATCGAGGCATTTGGAGGCGACCCAGAAAAGATGACTATCTGGGGCGAGTCTGCTGGGGGAATGTCGGTTGGCTACCATCTCGCAGCATACGGCGGTAGGGACGACGGACTCTTCCGCGGAGCAATCATGGAATCAGGAGGTACGATGACAGCAAGTCCAGCCAACTATACTGGATACCAGCCACTTTATGACGATCTCGCGGCCAAAGTCAATTGCTCCGACGTAGTGGATTCGCTGCAGTGCCTGCGCGAAGTCCCCTTCGAGCAATTGAACGCCGTTCTCAACGGCACTGATGGCTCATCAGAGTACAACTTCGGGCCTGTCATCGATGGCGATCTCATCAGGGATTGGGGGAGTCTCCAGCTTGACAAGCATGAATTTGTCAAGGTCCCGATCATTTCAGGAACCAATACCGACGAAGGGACCGCGTTCGGGCCCACTGGGATCAATACAACAGAGCAGTTCTATGCATATCTTACAGGTATGCACGATGACCAGTTAACTTGACAGAATCCCAGGACAGCAATTGGGCTAACCACGCGCAGATGGCTCATCTGGATTCAAACTACCCCCGACCATCGCCCAGCAGATCCTGCAGCTCTACCCCGATGACCCAGCACTGGGCATCCCCGAGTTTCTCGGGTCCAGCCGAGTCCCGTCTAAAGGCTACGAATGGCGGCGCACCTGCGCATACGCAGGGGACTATGTAATGCATGCTAACCGACGGCGACAATGCGAGGCGTGGGCGGAGACTTCGACGACGGCCTACTGCTATCGCTTCAACATGCGAGCGGCCGACGTTCCGATCTTGTCTGGCGCCACCCATTTCGAAGAAGTTTCGTTTGTGTTCAACAACATTGCAGGCCTTGGGTACCATTACGGGAAGCCGTTCGCAGGGATGCCCGAGTCCTACATCCAGCTAAGCGACTTGATGACCAGCATGTGGGCCTCGTTCATCCACGACTTGGACCCCAACTCGGGCATCAAGGACTCGGATGTACGGTGGCAGGCGTACGGGAAGGATCAGCCGGTTGATCTGGTGTTTGATGCGAATGTCACGAGCTACATGGAGCCAGACACGTGGCGGAAGGAGGGGATCGATTATATCAATTCCGTGGCGAGCGCGTACTGGCGATAAGCTCCTGCTGTCGATGCACATGTGAGCCTGTTCTGTGAGTTTAGCTTTTCGTTCGATGCAGCCTACGATAGATGGTCAAGCAAACAGGGAAGGGTCAAGCGCATCTGGTCCCGTCTCTCGTTAGAAGCCAAACACCGATGCAGTGCTTCATGCATCAACCCGGACTCTGTATGTAATCTAGTTTCCATCTGGATGGTAGATCCGTCCCCGATTTGCAAAAAAGCGAGATGCTAGCGTTACGAGCAACAGGAAAACCTACGCATCATGCATTACAAATCAAGAAATACCGGTTTTGTATCACGAACCCAGCGAGACAGCCTATACATGATTGGTGGCAGTGACGGTCTATGTACCTCGGAGGCACACGCTCGTCCATCAATTGTCTCCAGCCAAGCCAAGCTAACAGCCAAGAAGAGAGACATCACAGAAGACAAAAGGCAAACCTCCCCGACCCAGTGCCAGGGGAAGCCAGTCTCAGGGGGTGTGGTCTGGCAAGCGAGAAGTGTTGTTCCTCACGGTGTCTATCCGGCACCACCACCCTCGGGGACAGACAGACAGATCGACTATCATACGATCCATACCAAGTCCCCGACTGTACTACTACCGATGAAGAAGAGGGAAGGAACGGGAAATAGAATTTCCCCTGGTCTTGATCCCTCAGCTACCTGCCAGAATGGGGTACCCAATGGCAGCGGGATCCACGATTTGACAGTGGATGGGACGTTCCCCTCCCCCCGTGGCTGTCATGGCTGGAGGGGGACCTGTCATATCCTTTCCCTTTCCGGATAGCCCAGCCAGGGGTCCTTCGGGCTCGATTCTCCTTCCTTCTCCAACTCCCGTCATCCTCAACCAGGAAAAATTCCTTCAGCAAGCTGACTGGACCCAGCCTAGAACTAAGAGATTAGAGAGAAAAAAAATCTATCGAAACACTCATCCAGAAAACAACCACCACCGGTACTATCCCATCTAAACGAGATGGAGTTCCAAAGTACAGAGAGTGAAAAATCACTCGGTAAAAATTACCTGATTGCAGAACGGTAACCATGGAACGAGGCATGAACCCAAGGGCCCGCGGGGGGGGGACCTTTTGAACATTCCAGAACATCTTAGCTGGGTCCCTGCCAAAACCAACCCGAGTACTAACCAACCATCTATCTACGTACTAATCTAGATAGGATAGGTAGTCAGAAGTGGGAACAAACAAAAAATGAAATGGATACTTACTAGAAAATACTAGACGGCAAAAAAACTAATCTATCGAGTTATCGCGGGTTCGGTTCCTTTGATTAAAAGGTCGCGCTGCCGATCGCGATCGCGTGTAATCAAATCAACCAGGTTGTCATTGACCACAAGTCCTCCACAACAGCTTACCCATTCCATTCCGGTGGCGTAGGCCCCCCCCATTCATTCCCTTCCTTTCCCGTTTCCCTACTATTCTTTTCTTCTTACTATTATCTAATACTCTGTAATCTCTAGACAGTTAATTAATTAATTAATTAAAATGTTCGTTCGCCCTCTATCTACCTTTTTCTTGAACTACTATTATTTCTTCCCGACGGCCCCATCCCATCTCGGGCACCTCGTTTGCGGGATCTTGCTTATTTCCCAGGCACACCTCCCCTCTCTCTCCCTGCTTTTAGTAAAGTGGCATTTTGGCGCCCCTCTTCGCCCCCCCCCCCCCCCTCATCCCCTCCCGGTGCCACGCAGATTCGATTCGATCGTTTGCTTCTTCTTCTTCTTCTTCTTCTTCTTCTTATTCTTTCCGAGTCAGGTAGGTAGGTAGATAATTTCCATTGACGTTTCTAAATATAATCCATTCCATCTCTCTTCATTATTTCCTTCCCGCTCGAGTGGGAATCTTCAGAGTTACAACTTACGTATACCCTCATCTCATCACCACCAGTCCATCAAAATATAAAAAGGAAATTAAACCAAGACAATATACTAAATAGGATAATAGATATAGGAGAAACATAAGTACCTAATCTCATTAACTGCCAGATACCAATAAGTTTCCAAGATCTATACTACCTACCTACCTACCTACCTACCTTCCTACCTAGATAAGTAACTATATGTTGTTCTGTCAGCTGTCATCGTCTTCGTGTCGAGTACCCATTTAGTTAGTTATTACGGAGTAGTAGGTTGGTTACTAAATTAATTAGGTAGTTATTCTAGCGAGGTGAGTAGATAGTTCGATCCTTTCCCTGGGCCGGGTGTATCCGTGGTTTGATTGATTGATTGATTCCTTTTTCGTTATCCACGTGTTTGGGAGGGGGAGGGGGGTTTGGATCTGGGCCGCGCTGTTGGGTGAGATGGAAACTAGCAGATGGATCTGGGTATTTGGTTGTATTGCAAATTTTGAGATGTATGTTGTGTATTTTGGATGATGGGGGGTTATTATTCTGTAGTGTAGTGTAGTTCGAGTTGGAGTTGTGGTGATGATGTATATTTGTCTGCGTGATGGACTATGGACATTTTGTTGTAGGGAGAGGTTTGGAAAGGTTGAAAGGCTATTCGCTAAGGGATGATATCTGGGAGCATGCAGAACACTGGAGTCTACCTGGATAATCATAATCATAGACATATGTAGCTTTCATATCCAAATAATGCCTGGTCAACTGTAGATAACTACAACGCCCCAGAAGGGGAGGATGGTAACGGCCGAAACCATGTACAGTACTTCTGGAACATACATACAGTCATACAGTCACCATACAGAAGCCACCCTCTGAATCATCAGGCGGATGCACTGATCCTCATGCATCGACTACTGTGCTTCACGCCTTAACGCTATGTATAGTAGGTACCAGTACCTTGGTTGGTGGCAAGCATTGTCACTGGAGCAGATCAGTGCGCACGCTAATCTGTATTTCAGTACAGAGAGGGACATTGTTACAAGACGCGACCATAAAATACCATACGGGGTAAGGCGCCTATCTGACAAGTGACAGCCGATGATAGCCATCAGGCAAGTCGCTATAAGGCTATAAGGAAGCTACTATAATCTGACGCGATCGGAAGTCATATCTAACAGCCATATGGCTGCTGGCATGATCGATCGGGATCAGGTTACATCGCGTCGTTAGTGTTTATTATTGGGTTAGCATCGGAGTTCCATCAGAAGTAGGCAGGTAGTACTAATTAATTTATGCTTACTTGTTCACATGATGGACCGATCGATACTCCGTAGGTAATAACAGATTGTAGTAGCCTATACTCGCATTGGCCGGGTCCGATATTGCTGCTGTGGCGCAGTGGTGTACGTTGGTATGACTCAATATATTTTTTTGGTGAGCTTCGAATAGCTCATACTGCCGGGCAGCTCGATCCCTGCTCCAGAAAACATCCACCTGCTCATAATGCAATCTTCATGGTCATGATGATTTTCTTCGTTTGTCTTGGCCCGAGGTTACTGAATAGTGAAGACACCCCCTTTTGCGGGTTGATTTGTAAGCCTAATGACTCGCAATTAATATATGGCGTGGTAAATATAGCTGCCTTCAAGTAGTGGGTATCCGGGCCTTCAGCAAGCTCATCACCACGCTGCCAGGACCAAGGATGATAATATCATAATGACATCCATTATAGGGTCCGGAGGGTCGAAAGTAGGGCATCGGGATGACTTCGGTGTGGGAGTGCCCAAGGCTCAACGGACTGACTCTTCAGAGCCAAGTAATGACGCTGACCTACTATAAAATGGAGACGGACAGCCAACGGCGATTCATTTACCAGTCAGGTGCTAATACCCTTCCGGCTGTCATCTCCGTGGGCTGCTCGTTAGCACCATTGATAGACTCCGGAGCTCATATATCTTAGCCCCAACCACCCAAGATCCGCGCAGATTAACCCGCCGATGGCGATGGTCGATAGACGACGCTAAACCCAAGACTGCCCGGAGCTGGTTCTGGCAGAGTCGGCATGGTAGCCACGGCGGGCCGATCAACGACCGTTATGAAGTCAAGAGCCACCCAACTCCATCTTCTTGATTTTTGAAGGGGAGGATTATCGGGATTCCCCCTTTTTCTTTCGTCCTGTCTACTAGATAGTAGATACGCCTCTCTTCTGGAAAAGTGACAGAGATGCTTGGGCCCAGTCCACTCACGGTCCCCACCATCTACCATTGTTTGCCGGGTAATTCGACGGGGCCCAGAGATGAGGTTACTGCAGCTTTCACCTGGACGGGACGGAGGTTTTGGTGCGGAGAATTTAGAGGAACTTAAGACTAGTAAGTAGTAGGTAGCTCAACAAGTCAAGTCATGAACTCGAACCCGTCAATCAGATCCGTTCTACCGGGAACGGCGCTACTGAGCCTGGATGAGGATTCCTGATTTTTTTTTTTTTTTTTTCTTTTTCGATTTGATTTTCGTCTCGGATAGGAAATTTGTCGAGGTAACTGCTGGCCTTGGGAGATCCACGCCTTCTCCCCTTCCTCACGCAGAACCCAATAATATCGACCTGCCATCGAGATAGACATGTTTCCCTCACTAGGATCGCGTACTTTTGCAACCATGCAGACTTAACCTTCCGGATTGACGCTGATGCGTACCCCAATGATCCATCAGTCCTGACCACCAGAGGGGTGGATCACACCACAGCCGGGTCCGTAGATACGGTGGGGAAAGCCAACGTTCAACGGCCTGGAAAAGGCAGTATCTGCGTGCCGCGACCTCCGAACCCGCACCTTTTCACTGGAGATGCCAGAAGAGGATGACAGCGATCTTGCAAGTTGCAACAATAGCATCCGGCATGGTCTATCGTAGTCTGCTGAGCAGGGCCACTACATGATTCATGAGATGGCCATTTCTGCCCCTTTTCGGGAACCGCGCCTGGTGGATCGCTCGACCGCCTCGTTGATGACAATCCTCAAAAGCAGATGCTCCGGCTCAACAGGAATTAGCTATAGATCTGTCAATCGATTTTCGGGATTTGATTACGACTCAATTCGGGGAATGCATGGGAGCCGAAGTAGATCCGTCTCGCGGCCGGGGCAAGATGAGGCGACAAGGGCGAAAAAAATAGTGAAAAAAATTTAGAGAGGGCGGGAAGTGCTCTCCGAGACCATTAGATCATGACACATATTATTATCATTTTTATTGTGGTCTTGCCTTTTTTTTTGGACTCCAAGGTGACAGACAATATTAAGGTCTTCTATAATAATGATGATGATGATGATGATGAGTATTTCCTTACCTCACTGGGCCCTGTACGCACAGCCCGAAGCGGTGGTGATCCCCAGTGGCTGTCCTCCACTCTTTTTTCTTGCTTGTACTCCTCCTGTCAACCATGCATACAGCCACAGACGGGTGGGACATACCTTAGCTGTAAGAATGAGGATGATTGACAGGGCATCGGTCGAATTCGTCATCTCGGACAGGGTTTCTCCAGTCGAATCTTGGTACGCCAAAGACGGGAGAATGAATGGAGCCGATAAAGAATGGTCCACTTCACGTGTCCTCCAGGGGGATGCTGAAGGAATGAAGAACGAGGAATGAACGCCGAGTGGGCCGGCCGATTCCTTTGCCTCCTTACTTGGAAGGAGGCGACCGAGCTACTATCCTCGGCAACGGTACCTGAATTACCGTAGGCAATACCTATCTAGTACCTACCTATATCGAAGTCCACAGTGGAAGTGGGAGGTGTGAAGAAGGAAAGTGAACGAGAAAACTCTGATGGCTGGCAAGAAACTTCTTCGGTGTTTCACCATGGGTCAATGCGCTCACAGTATGTTGGTATTTGTCCCATACGCAGAGGGAGTAGTACAAGGTACGCCTTGAATCCACACAACCGGAGCAGTAAGTACTCCGTATGTCAAGGGGAGATCTGATTCTTGCTCGAGACGGGGGATGGGATCTAGGTACTAGTGAACTTGGCCCGTTGGGTACTGTACAAATTTGATACGGGACAACTTTGAACAATGATGAATGAGGGGTGGGGGCCGTTAGCGGCACCAAACACGCTCCCAAGTCCCAATCGGTCGGCGTGCAGGAAACCCAAGTCTTGGTAGCCCAAGGACGGAGCTGGCCAGAGACGAGCCATCGGGTTTAACCGTTTTGGACGAAACCCCAGCTGTCAACTTTCTGGTTTGGGATAAGTCGTCGGAGAGTTTACCGGGACGGATCCACTGCCGCTGGTCCTGGAGCTTTTCCTGCCCTCCCTTTTGCTTCTCTTTGCCCGGTGCCAGTCTCTTGGGCTCATGGTCAAATCGGCCCATCCCATGCAAAACAACAAAGGCCGTGTCAATCAAAGAGCGGTGCAGGAGTAGCCCGCTGCTAGCAGATCGGGGGCCATAACTAGGGCGTCTTAGTAATCTTAACCTTCCCAAAAAGAAAAAAAAAGTGCCAATTACGCCGGCCAATATATCTGGCTCTAGATGGGCATCCTTCCGATACAGACTTGTTCACTGGGTACCAGCGAAGATGAGCCAAGTTGAAAAAAAAGGGCAAGAGAAGCCCTTTGCACAGATGCAGATGGATTTGGAGCCGGATTTACGGCTGCAACGTCAACGTCCAGCCTCAAATGGCCAAATGGGTGGCAGGCAATAGTGGGTGTATCACAATCAGACTGGCCTCAAACCCCAACATTAGAACCAATAAGCAGACAGCTGTTGAAGAGGATCCGATCGCTCTCATTTTAGGCTCTTTCCACAATGGTCGAAGCGTTGTCGCTCCCTTCCTCTCTAGTTGGGATGATGATTTGATCATCATTGACCGATCATAGGACCCGGTCCCACCATATCCCCAATGCCGGTATCCATTATCTGTACTTATCCTGATTTTGATAGAGGGCAGTTGGCGAAGACGTTAGCGAGGCGCGACTGCCAGCCAACGGTCGCAACGGTCCTTAAACCATCCCTTTTGGCGCTGTCGATCCTATTATCCGCTTTCTGGCCCACCATTTCCCAACTCCATCATGTTGCTAACTTGCTGTTCCTAGATTCCGAGTCCTACTGCCTTATATGTCCTTGGTGAGACTCCTAATGCGGAAGGTGTGCTGTGACAATACCCCTAAAACGACAACGCTGAGATGTCTGTTCGTTGGTTGGTTGTATATATGACTCCACATTGCCCAGCTGGCTCCATAGCTGTGGTAGCCCGAACCCCCTTTTGCGTAGTAAACTCCTATGAGGCATACTTGGTTGCACACCTTGGTTCTAGAATAGCGACCACGGAGAAGGTGGGCGTAAAAGAAGAAGGGGGTACCTCGTAGAGTATTATCAACCACGGCCCTTGCGTACGATGAACCCCCCTCCCCCTGCGGTGTTGCTGTCTTGCTTGGAAAAGCCACGACAGGGTGGCAAAGGAGAACTCACCACAAAGTCCGTGGGAGTATCTGTACTCGCATGCTTCAGTTGGCTCATCCAGCATTTGGACCCTCCTCCCGCTTTCCTGCCTAGATGCGGTAACACAAACGGGTTTTCACATGACAATGGCATTACAATGATTAGAAAGGCACGAGGCCATGCCATCAAAAGCAAGATTGAATGCAATCTCGTCTCTCTGTCTATTTGGAGAACACAATGCCCATTGCAAACGTATTATTGGTGAACTGTGGGTATCTAGACATGTCCCCACTGATCAAAGCACTGGATGCGGGTGCCGAATGGATAGTTGTCGAAATAGCGGTCACTATGACTGGGAGCTTTTTCTGAGGCTCTCATGTGTGACGGGGGGAATTCAGATGCTAAACCGCTGGATGACATATTGTTCAGATGTTCAGGGCTCTGAAGATATATTGGCCCACTGTTGCTTCCAAGAACACTGGTGTCGGCTGGTATCCGAAAGACACTTATTTTGACGTATGCTAATAGCAGTCACCCGTAGATCACTGGATCCTGCTGGTATGTAGCCTGGCTCTCATATTATTAGGTCCCACACATCCTAGACTTGTTAAGTGTCAAAGTAAGAGATTCCCTCGAGGCCATCAGCAACTCGGGTCTCCGTCTATTGCCAATGATCAGGTGCTTCATTGCCGCCGAGCTTTCACCCTTGTCAGTGATGTAGCCACCTTGTCTCCGGATTTTAAACCATTACTTGCATCCCTCTGATGGATGGGGGCTCCTCACCCAGAGCGAACGCCATCTCTGGAGACGGTGTGGTACGGCCACCCGGGTTAGCGTAGAGGGGCTGGAGATGATGTTTCCTTGCCGGTAGATAGTCGGTAGGCAAGTTTTTACTATCCTCGAAACCGCTTAAGGGTATGGACTATTGTACTGCCAATATAAGCTTGTTGGCCAATGCATCTGTCCTATCCAATCAATGTCGGCTGAACGACTTTACATGGCGAGCGCAAAGATTTCCCGACCAAGCTAGTCCTTATTAGGTATCTAGCCAGAGCCCCAGGCCACAGCATTCCTCACACTCAGTGTTCTAGAGCGGAGTCCGCTGGACTCGCAGGCGAATAACGTCCCACGACATCGAGCCTAAACGTAGGTGAAATTTGAAAACGGAGGTCCTCTCCCTTGGGGTGTAGACGTAGGTATATATTAGTCACACTAAGAGATGTTCGAATATAATCATGGCTCACCCAAAATACGTGAGCTAAACACACATAAAAGAAGATATATGGGATTAATTGAAGCAAGGTGCAGTGGAGGTAGATTATCTGTAAGTACTACTAAGTGATCCGTAGGTAAGATGGGAAACGTACCTAGAAGTGGCTATAAGGGTGCCTGATTGGATGATCGCGTTCTGGGCGACCGTTAGATCCATGATCCATTTTTTCACTGTTGCCGCCTTGTCTGTGCACCGGTAACAGTAGGACAAAAAAGTACCGAGTCAAATGAAGCCTGGCGTCATAGCTTTGGATTCCTTGATCTGCTGAACCTGGACGAAATTACCTCAGGAAAAATTATTCCGGAAGAGAAGCCTCCATAAGGATTGACACGGAGGATAAGTGTACCTGTGGAATGAGGTCATGACTTTCGCCCAACATCACATGTCAGCAATTGATGGAGCAGGTTAATAATCAGACAAGTTCCAATCCTTTCCCTCCAGGGATCTCCGACGCCATGCGCTTCACCTGGCGGAAGTAGTTACCGTAGCCTTGCCAATTCTGGTAAAGATCGGAGGCTTCCAGTTGATCCCTCAAGGAATATTTTTAGCGCCATCTGCTGGAAGTCAGTTCGACTTCCCCTAGCCTGACAGTAGATAATAGATAGGTACAATTCGCAGCAAAAAATCCACTTTCTGGGCTCTAGAGCGCTGAAGCCAAGTTCTATGACACCGAACTTATATAGATTGTGTACTTCAGTGCTCCTAAAATTCTGTAGCTCTACGGGGAATGCAATGGACCGGCAATATTCTCAGAGGCATGCTGGATTTTAAGAGTGCGTGTCAAAGCGACGTGGTTCATAGCTGGACGAGAAAGCCCCCAAAGCCCATTGTGTCGGTACAAAGCACCGTCCACTTTAGAATGAGGGGGGGGGGAGGATGGGGCAAAGCCTGCAGAGTAAAAGTCTCCATGGAGCGCCGGTGGATGAGCGTGGCTGCTTCCTTACAGGGGCCGAGGGCTTCCGGATACACTTCGGTCTGCAGTGCCATGGAATGATGGGATCATGGGAGACATTGAGAGTCAGGGAGTTTTCCACAATTTATATTAATGTTTCAACCGTTGTCTGACTCGCAGCTGCATATAAGTCGCCGTTTTTCTCATTCAATCGTTCATAATACGTATTCGATATGCATTACTAGGTAAATACGCGAGTACGACCCAAACTCCGTAACGATCGAAACATACACAATATATGTATAAACTTGAGGGGCAGGGGTTTGGTTCAAGGGTGCTAAGTAAGAGCAGCACCAGCATACCTACTATATCGAGCCCATTGAGCAACGGATCGCATAAGTTGTGTCCAGGCTACTTAACGGCTCGGCCAGAGACAATGCTAAGTTGTAACGATCACAGTCTCGTCAGATGTATGGGCGACCACATCTATTTGACGGGGAGAGAATGTACAATGGATTTGATCTGCCAGACCGGTGTCAACACGCCTCTCAAAGTAGTATACGAACTGAAGAGGTAATCACCATGTTCAATACCTTTCTAAGTAGACACTAAAGTATGCGCATACTACTTACGTATCGGGCGGAAAGCATCCCACTACTCATCTACTAATAGTAGCTCGGACTCCCTACCATAATCATTCACGATGCTAAAAATTGCGCATGCAGCCAAATTAAAAAAGGTTAGAGCGCAAAGCTTGCCCTCTGCTGCAAGCTCCTGTGTGCATACAAGATGTGATGCTTGCGAGTGGGCAAGTAATACTTGGTAGATATCCTTCCTTAGTAAAAGTCTTATTGGCACTGTGGTCCCTGTGGGCAACGTAGGAAAGGGCATACTAGTAGTTATATATTACATTTAGACATGAATCCATAGAGTTAGAGGAAAATTGCTACCCTGATGAAAACTGACAGCATAGGGGCAATGGAGTGGTGAGTAGATAGACATGCATATGATTGAGTTGGTACCACACTAGAATCGTTGGTTACGTCAATATATTGACTAGTAGGCCCATATTCGATATTCAATGATGATGATGGCGATTGGCGTCGATCTGAAGCCTGTATGATAAATAATGCGCCCGTTCGTTGGTCATCTCCAATCATGTGGCCTAGATCTCGGTTCGGAGATGGATCGTCCTCCAAAGGCCCGCAACGTGCATGCCACTGTTGTGTTAACAGGTAATAATGGAATTAATGGAAATGGCTGCCCTTTCAAGCCCTGTGGCTGGCAAACAATGAAACCACTTATTCCAGTAAATTTTTATTGTTCGGTTTAAATGTAAGTGAGCTAGGTCTATGGATTATGGGAATTTGTTGACCATCATTTGCTTGGGTGTCCGGCGTCGAGGAACGTGTCCTAAATTAGTGGTGGGGGGGTTCAATGAGACGGCCGGGAATACGACACGATATCTTTTCGGGGAAATCGTCCGATCCAAGGAAGGCTATTGATAACAGCGCATGCACTCCGTACAGTGTATGTGGTCAATTTACTGTTAGTGCCCCCCCTCCCTTCCCTACTAGGACCACTTGTTGCAACTACGTATCTGGGTAAGCGATCGATCGATCGGAATGTGTGTGCGACTGTGCATCCGTCCTCTATGGAGTAAGTAACTTCGAAGGCCAAGTGTCCACTAGACTTTTCCAAGGTCCAACGCACCGTTATACGGGTTTACCCCAACCCTTGACGCCCTAAAGGATGTTCTCCGGTTCCACCATATTCAATAGTCCACTGCTATTACCAACATACTCACGCTAGTTTGACTTTAGACCCATCATTGATTAAAAAGGAACCACAAGAGACGAATGGGTGGTAATCCAATCACCATCAAATTGGTGGTTATGGCGAGAATTATATCTGTAAGATTTAGGCGTGTGATTGTGCACATTTACTTATTTTGACAGTAATTTAGAAGAAAGGGAAGAAGGGTGAATCAAAAAAGATGAAGGGGAGATTATTTAAGAAAGCTAGAGAGAATGATGACGATGGTGCCACCCACGAACGGCTATGCCCGAGATCTCGAGCAAGGGAAAGCGGGGAGCGTTGTACTGTACCATGGAACAAACCACGCAGGCACGGGTAAAATACGGAGCAGTATACCTGCTTACCCAGCCTCTTCCCTTTTTATCCTCTCACTCTTTTTGCTTCATGCTTTTCTTTGCTTCACTTTATCGAAGTTCCTATTGTTTCATTCTCCGTCTCTGCCTGAATTATATTTTTGGATGTCATTTTACTCGTCTACTGTATATACTATATGTTACGCAGGGAAGAATATCTCAGATCACAAGCTTTGAAGAGGGAGGGTCAGGGGTAGTAAAGATTCATTCCTTGCGGGAGGAATCTGGCCATGGCTGCAGCTAGGTTTTGGGTGGTTGTACTACCCTGCATTCTGACTGGTTGGATCTCCGTCAGTTGCGATCCAACGGCGCATTTTTTTTGGGGCTAGTTGAAGCCGGTTATGGGCATACATATGTGTCAGCGTGTGTGTGTGTTTGATGTTTATGCGTCTTGCGGAAATGCGACTCAGTTTCTCGACTAGGAACTGTTCCCAGATCTCACCTTGGAGGGTAACATCCATGTAAGATGATAGGTCCTTCCAACCTATATAGACATACCTACCTAGATTATCTCAGCTATGTCTTTACCTTTCCCAGGTATTCAATAGTAGTAAGTAGTTCTGCTCTAACTATTCAGCCCATGAAGAAAAGAAAGAACGAAACGGTAAGCCCATTAATCCAATGCTGTAGATATGTGCCTTTCTTTGAGCATTACCAGGATCTCCAGTGGTTCATCATTTGTTGGACAACAAGAAACTGGTCACTCTCACCTCACTCTTATAAATTGGGATCTTATTAGATCTTATCAATAACCATAAACTTGAGTCACTGCTAACGTGGGCGCCTTACTTGGCGGTCCGCCATGGATCGCAAATTTGGGGAGATTGAAAAAAGAAAAGAGTTGGAAGGAAACAAGCTCTCCTACAACTGCAAGTGGAGTACATAGGTGCCTTTAACTACCTTTGAGCCCGACCATCCGGACCGCATCCAGTTTCCTACCAGCTTCTCCATTTCATGTCATTTAAACCACCCATTTGTGTAGTGATACACCGTTACTTCCCTAGATGTAGGAAATTTGAAAAAGCAACGATCCCAAAACTAATCTGCGAATCGCATTGGGAGCAAATCAATAAACAAAGTATCGAGTGACAACGACTAGCCATCTATAAAAAAGGACAAGCGCCAATGTGCGAATACACAATGAATGACGTCTCCATTGTCAAGGCCCTGGCAATTGATCTGAGATTTTGTTCACTCCAACCTAAGATATTGTTCAAGAGGCATGCGCCATCAGGGGTGGTATCGGAGGAATTCTGAATCAGTACTCAAGCAACGCTCTAATAGAGTTTATTTGCCAGCCGATTATTATCAGATTTATATTATTCTCTCCAAAGTACCAACTGATTCATGGAGTGAGGACTCCAGTCTAGTGTATCTGCCGTTAGTTGGTAGGTCAAGGTGGATTGTTATGGCTGTTAACTTCCCCATCCTCTCTATTAGGTAGTTTATTTTCTTTTGCAATCTCGATCTTCTTCTTCCATCCCCTTCCAAATAATAATTTGAGTCCGCTGACCGTTCCCCTAATTCGAATAGCGTGCGATCTATGGATCTCGATGATACTTACTAATATCCTATTGAATCGACGGCCATTTCCCGCGATATTAATAATTGTTCCTCTGATCTTCTCCGCGAAAGGTTAACTCACCCCTCTTCCCCTGCTCGACTCCGAACCCCATATATGTTCCATACCAGCCTTGCTCTGATGATTTATTTTCTCGTCATTTCCTTGTGCCGTAATTCGACTTCGGGCAGTTTTCTCAGGCTAGTGCTCTTGGATCGAACTGGAAACGCTGGTCAGCGACCGTTGGAAGGGCTGCAATCCATGTTGCATGATAATTTATCTTCACGACAGCCAAGGTCTGTTCAGACCCAGCAAGATAGAAATAGCAAGGGAGAATACCTCCCCTGTATATTATTGATGAGAGAATGTGGGATGGGGGAGCAGCGGCTTCTGTGCAGGAAAACAGATTGAAATACGTATCGTGTACATATTTTCGTAAAACATGTAATTGTATGTACAAAGTAAGGAAAAGTGGGAACTTGTATTGGGGAGGGGAGGGTATGTAATTCACTTTGGTTTATTTTCTTAGCTCTTATTTTATTTTTCACTTTTTTCTCCCTCAGCAAAAAGGAAAAAAAAAAAGAAAAAGAAGAAATTCTCGGGGCCAGGGACACACCCCCCTGGTAAGGCTCCATCGCTCCCCACCCAGATATCCGCACATCGCCAATATGATCCCAACCCACTCCACACTTCGTCGAAGATCCGCAGTTCGCAGCCGTAAAGCTTCTGTAATTCGCCGTAACTTTAAAGTGGTCACGACCGTCGGTATGATTCGACGATCTCATAGTCCGTTCTGGCTCCTCCGCCTGCCTGTCTCTAATTTTCCAGGTCTGAGCTCATGTGTCCTGGGCCGACGTAGTTTTAGTAGCTCCTGTTTGGATCCTCCCATATCTCGTGTGTGTGCGGGCCTGGGTGTTGACTTAGTGGGCTAAGTATAATTATAATTGTCTTTATATTTGTACGCATTATAACTATTATAATCTTCTGCGGGTGCTGCTCCTTCTCCATTGTTGTTTCTCCTCTTATGGTCCTCCTACCTACCCTGCTGGCGCAACCAACTACTTACCCACTCCTCCTACTAAGGTATTTACTCGCCTTTTCCTGCATCCTGTCCCCTCTAAATTCTTGCATTCCAATCAAGAGGAAGAAGTCAGATTCTCCTTTCCTCTGCCCGAGACATCCTCGATCCCACTGCCTTTTCCTTTTCCCTTTTTATCCTATTTTATTTTACTTTACTTTATTTTCCTTTTTTTATTTTCCCTTTTTTTTTGAACCCGCGTCTCTTCCCCCTCCCCTTGACATTTTACTTCCATCTCCAACTTCCTTTTCCCTTCTAACATCTTGGAAGAGATCGCGTTCCTTCATATTCTGCCCATAAAATCATCTATTCCTACAACGCATACACGCTTGGCGACTGCTTTCTTTACTTTACTTTACCCCCCTCTCTTTCTACTTTGATCCCCTCACTTTGCCGACTTCAATTTCGCGTCCATTACGTTGGTCTTCATTGAGTTCGTTGAAGGGAAAAAAGGATCTGAAGAGAGACGGAAAGGAAGCGAAGAGGACCAACCAACATCTCCCTTCCCACGCGACGCATTCATCTTTCACTATCACTTGCATTCACTGCGCCTCCGCCGCTCCCGCGAACTCAAACATTGTCAAATCTATCTTTGAGGGAATTCGGCACAAATTTCTGACTGCTACTCCAGCTACTTTGACTCCCTGTGCAAGGTTTGACCTGAGGCAGATGGTTATTCAGAGTGCTAGAGGGATCGTTCCGATTTGACCTGTTCGCTTGCGCGCTGCGGGTGCGTGCCGTACTCTTGAGTCGCCCTCTACAAGAGCAGCCTCCCCAACAATTGCGAGCATTCGAACCGCGATCGCATCGACTTCGGACTTCCTGACCTTATAACGCCACAAATACGTCCGGAGCACTTTCCGAATATTGTTTTGTCCGCGAGTCGCCGCTCTCCGCCGCTTATTGTTTTCTTGGCCGATCCAGCCGAATCTCTCGTTCGCATCTCGCCCGATATCATCGTTTCCTACCCCCACAACCGCCACCACCCCAGACAATCTTGGGTGACGAAAGAAGTGGCACGGATTTTCCTTCGGGTTTCCCTATTCACTGGGAGGTTCTATAAAATCGGGTAGTTTGGCGAAAAGAAAGTGGGCAAACACTAGGAGTGGAAACGCGTGTCGGTACTCTGCACCCGATAAGGCTGTCCTCGTCTTCGAGTGTCGCTGTACTTCGCCGCCTTCACCGTGAACGCCCGATCGACTTGCTACCACACTGCGATCTCGCATTCCATCGAGGTAGTACGGACGGTCCCAGTTTATCAGTTGGGCGGTAGCGATTGGCATTGCATCAGATTGAAAGTAGTTTCCTAATAACTTTCTGAAATAAAACGCTGGCGTGATGGGGTCGTTAGAGGCTGAGCACAGACACAGGTATGTCTTCTATCCTGCGTGGCTTGTCGCAAAAAGGCCATGCAATGGCCAATCGACAGCGAACGTGCTAATCGCTCTTTTTTCCGGCTTAGGGAACATCTACCGGCACTCGGATTCCTTGGGAAAGACGGGCCTGGATACGCTCCCAAGCACCCTGTTATTGCAACAGCACCTACATCCTCCCCGACACCACTTTTGAGCCCAACAACCATGTATCCAGGCCAACCTTTATCGCTTTCCTACTCAGCATCGACAGGCGCGGTTCCTTTGCAGGCTGGATATATTTCGCCCCCGGATTCGCGACGCGCGCTTGAGGAGGAGAAGGAGAAACAGCAGCCACAGCCTCAGAGGCAATCCCTTCCGTCAATTCATGAGGCTCTAGGAAACGACAACCATTTACCATATCCTGCACCCACCCCAGCCCCTCCACAACAAGCTCATCACGTACCTCCCCATTCCCTACCTTCTAACATTGTCGGGCGGCCAGGAACGGAGGGGCCTCCGGGCCCTCCGAATCCTTTCTCGAATGGGGTTTCGACTGGTTCCTTCATGCGCGAGTCTGCTTTTTCGCATCAGCCTCAACTGCAAGCAGAAGCCTCACGGTCAAGCTTGGCATCGATTAACACCCAAGACTCGAGAAATGCGTCCTTACAATCTCTCAGTTCAGGGAAGTCGCCCACCCAGAGTGCAAAGACTGGCATTACTTCGATTTCCGGCTCCCAGCTTGGTTCCGGCTACGAGTACAGCGCGCCTCCCTCCGCTGGTAGTGTAGCCTCGCCCAATGGTTATGGCGCGTTTTCGCAACCATTTACATTCCAGTCACAGCCCCCCCAAAGTGCGCCCGCATATCCCCCTGCTTCTTACGATTCTCGACCTTATATGGGGGCATCATGGAAGCCCACTGTCCCAGAAACTGCACGCATGGACGAAGTGAAAGGAAGTTTTGCAACCCGGCCTACTATTACGGGACAACCCCAGAGCGATTCTGTCAAACGCCACCTGGATATTTTTGATGTGGAGACACCTTTAAACGAGGTACGTGTGTTTTCCTTTCATTGAGGGTCCAAGTGGATCACCATTGATATTTCCATTGGTACTCTGTTATGCGCTCTCCAATCGCTAACTATATTAGATTGCCGAAATAAGCTCGAGAACCATGGAATTTGCAAGGCGTTATACGGCAAAGGCGCACCAAACCCAGCGTTCTGGCCCTGTGTTTGGTTCTCTGCCTTCGTTACATGAAGTTGATGAGATGATCAAAATGCAGCATCATCATCAGGAAGCTTTGATGCGTATACGAACAGCTGTCCTAAACCAGGAGCATGCCATGGCAGAGCAGATGGCACAAAGAAAAGCCTACAAGGCCGGTGGGGCACATGACGATGTACATATGGCAATGTACCAGGAGGATTACAAGGGCAGTGGCGGGTTTGCCGGCGCAGATTCGAAAAAGCGACGAGGGGTATGTTTGCCATGGATATTGTTTCTTCCATCCGATTCCCTCCCTTTATTATTTACCCCTCGCCCCCGACCTTTCCACAAGTAACCCACATCTATTTTGCCATCGCTAACAGCGGCATTTTTACAGAAAGCTGCCCCTCCCGGTCGTTGCCACAGTTGCAACCGAGCCGAAACACCGGAATGGCGCCGTGGGCCCGATGGTGCCCGGACTCTATGCAATGCTTGTGGTTTACACTATGCGAAATTAACGCGAAAAATGGGAGCGAACAAGGCATCCTCTTTGGGTTCAAACTTAAAACCCAAGACTGCTCTTGACTCCGCATCACCGAATAGCCATTAATATGTTAGTCTGCTCATTTATGTGGCGTTGGAAACGACCTGGGATTAGAAGTGTCAGGCGTTATGAGTCCTGTTTCCACTTTTGATCATTACCTTATGTTGGTTTCGTTTTGGTCTTCATTTGATCTGTTTCAGGGTCAAGGTATTCCTTTCGGATGGTTGGATGATCACGAAAAGCTCCGACTTCATTTTGGTCTGGTCCTATTGGTCCCTGGGATTATTTTCTAATACCCCTTGCACGTTGTGGTAAAAGGCATCCGGATAGACTTTTGCTGATTCCCTTTTTCTTTTCTTTTTTTATCTTCCTTTTTCCCACTCCCATTCCTCTTTTGCTTTTGCCTCTCATCATATCTTGGTGGCTTTAATCTGTACTTCGATTGCCATCGTCGTGCAACTGGCATGTATGCACTTGACTTTGTTCAGTTCTTTTACGCACCCCATATCTTTGGTGTTATTGTGCCTGCTTTTTCTTTTCTTTTCTTTTCTTTTTATTTTGCTCTGGCTTACAATTATACCCCCCGTTTCCTACCAGTGTCCTACTGTTTGTCTGGGAATTGTGATCACCTCCAGATGTGCCTATATGATGTTCATGCACTCATGTCTGTCGTTGAGAATTGAAGAGAGTCTCCTTCCTCCATGTGATGACTACATGTAAACATAGTTTTTTTTCCCATGGCCTCTTTAACATTTCCACAGTCACAATGACAGAATTCTTAAGTTGTCCATTCAAACCACGCGCGCATGTATTCTCGTCCAAATCAAAAGGGATGTCTTTCGGCGTATCCCGCCGGTGCCCAAACAAGCCAGGCATAAGGTTATCAAGCCGGTGTCGGAGGCGTGTGTTTAAACATATCGGGAGTTCCGGGTCTCCATGGTCCAGCCAGGGCGGTAAACTTTCCCATGGATCCTTAGCCTGGACTATTGAGGCGCAAGCGATGGGGGAGGCAATAGCGCCCGATCACATTGGATTCCTACGCCGCGGGTTCTAGAAACCTGTGCTTTTTTTTTGGCCACCGCTGCCGATGCTGTCGTGGCAACTGTTGGGGTTAGGTGCTAGGCAAGATAAACTCCGGAAATCCTTCTTTCGCGTTCTGGTAGCGTCATTAAGGTGCTGATCAAGGGCATTCTATAGTTTGTCAACAGACATGATCTCGGCGACTATGGCGGTCCTGCATTGGTCATGTCCGTGACGCCTATGCCTATTATGTTATTAGGAAACCGCTACAATCCCTCAGATGCGGCCAGTATGTCATCCATCGCATACAGCACGCAGCTGGGACTCGATCCAGAGTGAGAACCACTGGGTCAGTCCGATGGGGTTGAACCTCGGTCCTGTACTCCGTACTCCGTAGTGGAAACCGACTATGTACCGAATCCGGCTTAAACATTGCTTAGATAATTTTGTCGGAGCCGCCCGACATGCAGCCAATAAGCAGTAGCATCCATGGATGACCGAGCCTTAGTCCAATATACTAGAATCGACCAGAACCGCCGCGGAGACGCTCGAGTTTGCATCATGTTAGTTTAGTACCTTGCTGCATGCGCGGGGCTGATGTATGAAGTCAATACTATGACCTGGAAGCATGCGAGATAAACCTCAACTTACTTTGTTTGTCTAGGTACTTAGGAACCTAGCGCGAATCGCCTGGCAATATCTAGGTATCTATCTATCTACGGAGTACTCCGCATCTATTAGAGTCACACGAAATGACGGATGAATATCTGTAAGATCATGTGGTATTTGCACTACCTCGAACTATCGAACTGGAACCGATCGGATCTCATGGCGAGTTGCATCTCATCTCATCTTGCAGGGGTTCTTGAAAGCCAAACCCATTGCTCCCGCCACTAGTAGAAATTTCCATCGGCATTCCATCGGATGCTTCCATGCCTCGGGATGATGCATGACTTGGGGTAGATATGGAGTACATGCTGAGGATTATAGTTCATGGGGTAAGATGTATCACTACCACGGTATGGAGTGAGATCTTATCCTCTTAAGCCCTCACCGCCGATTCATCCCTGTCACATAGACTGACCGCTTTCGACGCCTTGAAGCTCGGTGTATTTGTGTAACAATCGCCGTGGGCGGGCTCCGAAAAGACTCTTCCAGTTTCATCGGTTTTAGAGATTGTCTCATGTGTTCGCAAACTCTAACACAAAATACAGCCATATCATTGATAGGCTAGACCAGATAGCATTCAATAGTCCATAAATAGAAGAGTTCACGATACTAGTAGTAGGCATTGATCTGGAGGTCTGGAACACCACCATTACTCTCTGCTTAGTTACACCATAGTGCTTGAGGAGCTGCACCTGCAGGTCGTATCCTTCTGTTCACTGTTTGTCAATTTTGGTTCCTAAGAGGTATCTAGCCAAATGCTACTTCCGTACTCCGTACTGCACACACTTCTCCGTTGGTACTATTGATGTCCCCACATTAACTGTGGTAAATTAATAAAACCATACGATATACTCCGTAGGTAGGTAGGTAAAACTCCTCCGAAGGTTGATTTGGAATTAATCAATATGCCGTGTGTCCCCACGTCCAAAGCCTCCTTCCTATTGGCTGGGTCTCGATCACGATCATGCCACCACATCTACTTAGCATCAAAATCTCAGATTAGGTGGCTCAGCCTCCATACCGTTTAAATTTAATATATTTTCTCGGCCGGCGGCGGCGCCCGATACAGTAAGCCCAATCGATTGCCACCACCACAAACAGAACCCTGTGTCACCCGCGGGATCTCGGGCACCATTTCCACTGCATCTGTGCTCCGAGACCCGACCGATCGCATGAATCGGGGTTACGTCATGGGAGAGGGGGTTCGGTGGCTATTCAATATATTTTAATTTGAATTGAGCCAGAATGTTCTTGATTTGACTAACACTAGCGGACACAATAATACCTGATGCTCATTTGCATTCCCTTATCATGGACTTCCGCAACTTCCGTGGAGGATCATGCATGACGCCCTTAATTTGCGTACCGTATAGGCGTGTGTCCACACATGATTTCGAGACGAATACGGACTATACACCTCCAACATACTAACTCAGCTGAGTATCCCCTCGTAAGTCCCATACTTGGGTTTGAGTAACATGTCTTACCATAGACCCACTCTATCCAGTCTGTCGGTACTCCTGATCATGAGACTTGAAGGCATCGACTTACCGCCAGATGCAATCCGTTTGCGGACTCTATAACTCATGGTTTGACACAACGCAGTTGCCGTGGTGGCCTTGGGGATTGCCTTACGCGAAAAATAGCTAGATACGGATCTGAAATATGATTGTCTGATGAAGTTGCACAAAGTGCTGCCTTTCTATACTCAGGAAGGAAAGTCGGCTCTTTCCCATTATGGCACAGGTTGTATAATGTGTTCGTGGCAGCCGGGAGTTATTATCCTCTCCAACTTTCGCCAAGTCGCTGGTTACAGGTATAAAAGAAGCCCGATGGGTCTTCTAAGTGCAGATCTAAGGGCCTTTTCCATGCAATCCACTCTGCTTTTGAGTTAGTACCTTGGTATGCCCCAGAGCTGACACAGCTTGCTGCACAATCCTCGGCAGCATCGGTATTTTTACGTGTCCGGATGATACCGAACCAGATCTTCAAGCGGGCCAAGATTGTCATCCTACAGAATACAACGTCATTCTTCGCTTCTATTGATCGGCGATAAGAGCCGATACTTGGGTGAGTCGGGTCTTGCTTCTTATAGAGTCCGTACTATTTCACGGCATCCCATGTATGGAGTACTATCGATCTCGGGGATTGAACAGCAAGACTGTAGCCATATCTAGTATTGATTGTCATTGAAGTCCTATTTTTGATCAGAATCGGTCAGGAGCACACACGATGATTTTGGCTGCTCGAACCCTGAACCATGGTTGCTCGGCAAGCTTTAGTCAGAATATCTCATCTACGATCGGAACACGGCCATGGGTGGATCGATGGCTTGGGCATCGGGATCTGATCTGTGACAGGCTCAACGCTATGAAACGCATGTAAAATCCGTAGGCATTGTATGGTTCTATCTGGAGCAACAATCTTGGGTCGGCATCTTCTCGATTTCACTCTTACTCCATATGGTCTCAGATACCCACAGATTCATATAAACATACTATGCTACTTCTGTTCGCTATGTGGACCTGTCTTTTGCTAGTCGCGTGGTCTGGGTCTTCGACTACGTGATGCTGCGTATCGAGTACGCTGCCAGCGGTCTACCTTGAACCATACGCCGTATGCAATACCTGCGTAGATACGTACTTGCATACATACATACATACATACATACGTACATACATACTGAATCCTCCGTCTCCATCCATCGTATTATATACGCCAGCCTTGTCTGATAGGACCAGATAATCCGTATGCTGTGGAACATGGCGCTGCATATATACTATGTAGGAACATCCCTACCAAGCATGTATAGGAAGTATTCCCTACAGGCATTGGTCGTTTTATCTTCGGACATACATCAGAAGGAGTGATATGCCCGTTACACAGCAGCAATAGTCAAATATGACATACGGGCTCCATCTGCATGGTAATCGGTGTAGTATTGCAAACCGATTTGTCTCAACCCTATGCATGAAACTCTTAAGTTGAATTTGATATATCCAAAACAGGGCAAGAAAAATCAAGTATATATACATTCCTTTTCCGTCCATGTATGCATGCATACGTTGCATAAGTACACTCGCTATGCATCAGGGTAACCGACCCTGTGTCAGATAAATCGTGTATATCGTATGTACGAAAAAAGCATGTATCAAAAAATAAAGTACCCTGTACGGAGTGAGTACCATACTATACACGATATGCTCATTACATACTAGAGCTGTATCTGCAGGTCTACATACGTGTAGTTCTTACGCCTCGTGTCAAATCGAAGCGGCGTTGGAATGCGATTGGGCAGGATGGGGTTTAAGTTTAAGGTATCTAGTGGCTTTTTGGTGCGATTGCTGAGCCCAAGATGGGACGGTCCTCGCTAATCGGGCCCCAGCCTAGGTACCAAGTTATCCTATCATCGTCCATGGATGTCGGTCCGATGGCCATACTAAATCTCACTTAACCCCTGGAATGGAAAAGTGCCAACTCAGAGCCGCCCACACCCACCCCCCCTGAGACCAACGAGTCGTGACTCGAGAACACGAGGGGAGGAGCCAAAAAAAACTACGCAGACCGGGAGGGGGGAGCCGGAATGCACGGCTGCCTAAATCAAGTTGCTAGGATGCCTTAGGAAAAGCCGCCTGCAAGTATGCACGTAAGTGTGCAGACTGGGTGGATGGATTTTCCCCAATCTCAGAATTTGAAATTTTTACATGTCTTACTTCTCACCTCTTACTGCTAACCCCCCTCCGAATGAATGGATGGTCGTATGGATGGATCCTATAGAGGATAGTAGTATAGTAGTATGGGACGGGATGCTGCTGCTGCTGCTGCTGCTCTTCCTACCAAACTGCGAAAGGATCCCCGAGACGGTGAACTATCTGTGGCATTATTACTAAGATCCGTCCCATCTCTTTCCCCATCCATCCATATCCCAACCATCTAGGCTTTTCTGTTCCCCATCTTCGATTCGGGTAGCGCCGCGATCTATCGGTCAGCTTTATGGAGCTCATTCCCAATCAGGGCTAGAATAAGCGATCCCACGGGATGGGAGTGGACAGCAGTCAGCAACTCATCTTGGGTTCCCGACTAGAGTGCGATGGTGCCTCGATGGAAGACATTAGATCTCAACCAAGTGGGTTCTCTGCACCGAGCCCCACCGCGGATGACCCCGCTGACTGGATGGAAAGAAGAACCGTGATCGAAGCACCGCCGCACCGGCCATCTTAAAATTTAGTTGGGGTTGGAGCATGCCGATGAATTCGCAAGCCTAGAAGGAATATGGAAGGAGGGGGTGAAGAGAAAAAGGATAGGAGATTTTTCTTTTCTTTTTTTTTGTTTTGTTTTCCCACTCCCATCTCAACACTGTTTGTTTGCCTCCTGGATTGAAAATTCTTCGAACAAAGGAATTTGGAATTGGCTTCGATCTCACACGGTATGTTGTGCGACGGTGTACAAGAGCGATGAACCAACCTATGACCCACCCTGGATCGTCGGGGGAACTGGTTAGGGAAAGTTTTGAGATCGCTGATCGAGATCGGGTACGATTTCTGCTCGGCAGAAGGGGCGGGGGGTTAGCTACCGCAGTGAAGAATCAAGAAACAATGCAGCTGACCTTCCCGTGGGTGACGAAAAACCGGTTTTTACCTGCCCCTGCCCTATCTATCGCTCCTTACTTACTTTTTATATTCTATTTTTATTTCCGTTGCTTTTCTGGGAATTTTCTGAAAAGGGGTAGATACTCTGAGCTCTCAAAGAAACTTTCGCAGGAATTTCCATGTGGTAGGATTCTTGTACCAAACCTAAGCAACAATCAAACTGAACCTGGTACCTGGTGTACCATCCAAGGACCCTGATTGATTAGTAAAAATAATGTGACAGGTTGCTATCGCATCTTCGATCAGCCTCAACTAATTTTGACATCCATTTTCCCCATCTGCAAGGGAATAAGCAATGACAGCTGTCATGGACCAATACTTGTCATCGCCCCAGCGTGCGTGTCCATGATTTCTTTTTTCCCTTGGGGAATCTAGAAGGCAACTAACGGGGGAAGGCAACTACATTACTCCGCACAGGGGTGCCTCGAACTATCTACTAGCCTAGTCCCGCTTATCAGACGGAGTCCGGACTAGATAGATACCTACCTACTTGACGCACCTACAAGAGCAGCATGTCCCGCACAAACAAGGCTAATGCATCTCGACACCGACAGTATACAGTGGAGTAGGTAGGACATCGAGCTTGCCATCCGATCTGCTCCATACAATACGATATCCTCATCAGGGAACGCCCTGCAATGATATGCATGGAATGCAGTGACAGGGGTACGGAAACGAGGCGCTGGGATGATCGGGTGGCTATGTAGATAGCTGCATCCTATACCTACTCACCTAACATACCTACATGAGCTTGATAGCTTAAGACGAGACTTTGGTGCACTAGTCAACCAGCCGATCGTTGTCTTCGATCAGAAACCAATGGACACTGTCGCGTGCACCAAGTCGGCGCCCTTGCATTAGCTCGCCCTGTCCATGGCTGGCCCAATCACAGTTTGCGATTGTAAGATGTGGCTTACTTTATCTGGGATTTATTGCCCATATTGCATACATACTGTGTGCACTGTATGCTCTACCAGTCATATCTAATTAGACAGGTAACATATTGGGGTAAGAGGCTTGAGTGGGTGCAGGGGCTCGGGCCAAGTCATGTCATAGCATCGTTCTAGATCGGGTAGTAAGCTAGATCGGTTGACATCATGACAGCCCAGATCATGACAATACACATTGTTATCTATCATTTTGACAGGTTGACGTTGTTGTCATTGTGCTCGGTGTGGAGTAAGACACGGTGCCCTTCTCACATCTGACCATACATCCTGGATATTCTGTGTAGCACAGGTGACTCCTTGCTGATTCTTATGGGCAATTATTGGGCTTGGTTGTAGATATCCTTATTCTGAGGTAAAGGTGCCGTTTATATAAAATACAGCATCACTATCATATGATTGTTGAGTTAGGGACGCGATATGCATGTTCTCATCTGATGCGATAGCTTCCATGTCACATTTGGTGTACATCTGGTGTACATCTGGTGCGACACGAAGACGTCGGGTCGAAGTACGTAGCAGGAAAAATTGATAGGTGATTCCCTCAACTACCAGTGCTAAAAGCCAATTTGCCTAGCAGTCTAGGTAGTTGCTATATGTCACCAATGGTGAATCGAAATCTTATTTCTTTGTGATTGAAGTGATACGAGGTAAGTTCCGTTGATAGCCTAGTGTTTGTCAAGGTTTCTGCGGGTGGTTTATATGTGATATAAAGGGACCTAAAGAGTTAAAATCCGATAGAATAAGTAAACAACTATGGAAGAGGATGAAGCCCTTTTATAGAGGTCTAGGCACGTTTTAGATTACCATTCGGCGTGGGATGCCTCCATGTCAAAGGCAGGATTCGCGGGATCCTGAGGCAATTCCCGCCAGGCACCGGAAAACCTCCACAGAACCTGGCTTCCTTTCATGACACTCGGTCAGAGCTCTGTTGACAAGCTCCGGGGCCCGAGAGAGAGTCATAGAGTGCCATCATTATATAGTTGTAGACTTCTCCACCAACAACCCCATATATGGGCAGGTGTTGGTCACATGCCGAGATTCCCGCTTCCTCCGATAAGATAAAGAGAATCGCACATCACGTGCAGGATAGCTCCCCTCCTTCTCTGACCAACATAGCAACACGAGCCTCAATCTGTCATCATCGGCGTCATTTTCTTCATTACATCCCTGCTTTGTGCTGTACTTAAGACATCTAGGGGTTGAAGCTCGTTATATGGTGACAGACCCTGCGTCAAGCTAGATCGCATACTGTGACTAGTATTCGGCTTGTCGTTGGCAGCTCTGCATCGTCTGCTTGAATCACCCATATTGTTCGATCAATCAGTCCAATCCGTCCCCTTACGAAGAATGGCCCCCCGCCTAGTACCCATCACAGAGATCCCGACCGTCTCCCTTCTATACAAAGTGAAACGGCTGATCCCGGTCGCATCACCTCGCACGCAGCCATCGAAGGTCTTCAATGACACGGTCTCGCTGATCCGCAGCGACATCACAAAGCTCCAAGACGTCGACTGCATCGTCAATGCAGCCAACGAGTCTCTTCTTGGAGGTGGTGGCGTAGACGGTGCCATTCACCGTGCAGCTGGTCCCGAGCTGCTGGAGGAATGCGAGACCCTCGATGGCTGTGGCGTTGGCGATGCCAAGATAACCTCTGCGTACGATCTTCCGTGCAAGAAAATCATCCACGCCGTTGGTCCCATATATGGTCTCGAACTGCGAGAAGGCAGGGAGCGCCCGGAGTCGTTATTGCGCAGCTGCTACCGACGCAGTCTGGAGCTGGCCGTGGAGAACAACATGAGAAGCATTGCTTTTTCGGCAATCAGCACAGGCGTGTATGGATATCCAAGTGCGGCTGCCGCTCGGACTGCCCTGGATGAGACCCGGAAGTTCATGGAGCAGCCAAGCAACATCGGGAAACTCGAGCGCATCATTTTCTGCAACTTTGAGCGCAAGGACGAGGTGGCCTATAGGAAGCTTATTCCGTGAGTGATGCCCGAACTATGACCTATTGGCAATCTTAGCTGACTGACTGTTTAGTTTGTTCTTCCCACCCGAAGATCAGAGTGTCCATAGCGCCAGCAGCGACTCCGAATCTCAACCAGAATCTGACGGTGAGTCTTCGAATTCGGCAGAGATGCTCGCAGCAAAGCTTCCTGACCCGCCAACCGTGGACCCTGCCTTGGACGGAGAACCGGAGACTAAGAAGCAGAAGGTTAATGACCATACCGACCAGAGCAGTAAAAGCTACTTCGAAGATTTCTCTATCAAATCCGATGATGACTGGGAGGAGGTTGACAAATCGGAGGACGGCCGCACCGAGAAGCTTGATGATGAGCCGGTTCAAGTCGATAGTCCCCCCTCGGAGAACGACGTACAGAGCGTTCAGTCGAGTGGGATCATAGAGATGGACGGTTCGCATATGTCGGAAAGCCTTCTAGCCAAGGATTGGTAGTCGCTTCGCTCCAGGCAACAATGAGGCAGTCATGCATTGAACGATGGACGTTTACTTTTAGGCTTGGCGTTGGATGGGGTTGTTTAATGGATGGCGTTTATGGTCATGCAAAGCAGGATTCCGAGACGCCATTGTTATAGATGGCATTTTCTTTACGGCCTTATGTTAATCGATCAGAAGTACCTATCTCAACTCTAGGTGATGCTTTTCCAATGGTGTCATATTCTCAGTTTACCTAAACCAGTAATCGTGCAAACTATGCAAACAAGCTCATGATATCGGGATAGCAATTTGATAACCACAACCACTCCGTCCGATGCGACACAACTCAATCTAGCAATTGATACCCACCAACCTTCAAACCCACATCACCTCTTGATCTACCCAATCTACCAGACATAAACTCTGCATCTCAAACCTCCACTCCCCAACCAACCCCGCTCACCCTCATCAACCAACCACCCGCCCACCTCCGTCCGACCTCCACCAAAACCACCGCACCGCAAACCACTAACCACCATTATCAACCCCAATTCCAACCCTCCAAACCCAACAATGCCACCACCCAACCCTCCTCCTCCCTCCCAACCCCCCAAATTCCGCGTCTTGCCCCCGACCTCGCCAAATCCCGCCGCAACGCCCCCCACGAACCAACCCAACCTCAACCCCTCGCCTGCAACCGCAATCACAACCACAACCGACACCACGCCCCTCCTTCTTCGCCCACCTCCGCAACAGCTATGCCTCTCTTCCGCGTCCTTACCGCCGCACCTTCCGCTTCATGGGCACGCTTCTCCCGCTTCTCCCGATCGGGCTTTTCTTCTCCGAACATGTCCTCCAGGTGATGTGGGTGCGCGGACCGAGTATGACCCCGTACCTGAATGAGGATTACGATCAGATGCAGACGAAGAGTGATGTCGTGTTGGTGAATATGTGGGGTGGGGGTGGATTGTGGCCGTGGGAGAGGAAGAGGAGGTTGGAGAGGGGGATGGTGGTTACGTTTCGGTTCGTTTTTGACCCTACTCCCAATTGCTGGTTTTTGGGAGGATTCCGGGGATTGCTTTGGGGATGTTGGCTAATGACTTTTGGTGGTGGTGGTGTTGTAGGTCGCCTGCTAATCCACGACACATGGCTATTAAACGCATTATCGGGCTGCCCGGGGATCAAATCACCACGAGAGAACCGTGTATGAAGGAGACGCAGATCGTGCCGTATAATCATGTTTGGTTGGAGGGGGATGCGAAGGATCCGAAGAAGACGTTGGATAGTAATTCTTATGGGCCGGTGAGTATCAGTTTGATTACGGGGAGGGTTATGGCTGTGTTGCATCCGCAGTGGAGGTGGTTGGATTGGTCGGGTTGGGAGAATGGGGTGGTTGAGGGGGATGTGGAGCGGAAGTTTGGAGAGGAGTATAGACAGGAGGTGCGGGATCGGGTGTTGAAGGAGGCTGTGAAGTTGGAGAGGCCGTTCTTGGAGTGAGTGGAGGGCGTTGGTGGATATGTTATGTATTATGTATTATTATTATGCGCTGTATATAGACGATACTTTGCCTTGTGTGTTATTAGATAGAAGCACCGTGGAGCGGTAGATCTGCCTGCAGAAATTATGACACTCGATGTGCCTTGTGCCCTGTTACGCTAAGTGATTATTCGCACATCCTCCGGTTGGTCCTCCTGTAACCGGTTGATCTCAGATGCTATACTCAATACCCACCGGTCCTTCTCTACCCGACTGCGGGCTTTGAACACAATGGTTCGCCCGTGGACTCCAAGCGTAGACACTTGCTTTAGTCTTTGCTTCGTCTGTCCCTTCAACCCATGCTCTCGTGCGCGGAATAGGTTCTTCTTCAGAGGCTGCCATATCACGAATGTGATTGCCGTGTCCTCATCACTGCTTGTGTAGACGTCCGATGAGAGATACACCCGAGGCAAGGAATGGTGGCCTGGATGGTTGCTGTCGAATGTTTGGTTCGCGTACAGTAGGTCGGAGTCTGTCAACAGACCGGAGTAGATATAACAGTCGTTGAGGTCGATGGAGGTCTCTAAGCTCTGGTGTATATGTGGAACTTCGACACCGTTGCGCTTTCTCAGTGAACTCCGGAAAACCAGCAACTTCCCAGCCGTTAGGACAACGTGACTTTTCTTGAAGGTTGAATGGCGACGAGGCTTCCGATATAGCTGTCCAGATATCTGTGTTTGGTGTCAATATCTACAGTCATACTTTTAGAAGACGTTGCATACCTTGATTGTCCGGCAGCCTGACAGTAAGCATATGTTGTGCAGTAACGGCGATGCTTCCGCCTTCTTGACCTCCCATTTTTTAGCAAACTGTCCCATGATGGATTCCAGTTCTTCATCGATCCCCAAGAGCTCCAAGTTCCGCTGTCGGAGAACCTTAATCTCGGCAGCATCGGTTGCGATCCTATTTTTCCAGTACTTAACTAGAGCCTCCAGTCGCTTCATCCATTCGGTCTTGGTCGTTTCATTGTAAGCCTGGAAGCGGACGACGAGCTTGTTTTCCAACACCATTTCAAAGGTTTTGTCGTCATTAAATTGCCGCGTTGCACCGTCATCCCGGTGCGTATCTCTTGCTTCGGGATGGAATTCTACATCTGGCCCTGCCTCGATATTCGGATCGGCGGGACAGCTGTCACGCCGCACATGCCGTACTTCCTGCACTTTACTGAGATCGATAAATCCATCGGCATGCTCAAGATTGTGAATGTCTCTCTGCCGCTGAACGTAGGCCTCCTCGTCATGTTTCCTGATGTGTTCTTTGTTGCCACTCGACAGCCAAGAAATGCCCCCTTCCTGGAGTGGATATGGGTCAACTTCGTAAGATAGAGGCGACGCGTCTAGAATTTGCTGCGTTGAAGGCATATCAGACCCATTGCGGCACAGTCTTGGAGGCGCTGGGGGCAGTGACTTGGCCGGTCTGCAGAAAAATAGGTAGTGATCCTGAGTGAAAAAATATAGGCGCTTGAAGAACATCTTGTTCATCCGCTGATGCACACCCCGTTGAGATGTAAGACGGACCAAGAAGCCTTCCACGGGCTGTGGCTCGTCTGCTTTCTCGCCATCATGCTTTGTGTATGTTTTATAATGTTGCCTTGGTCGCAATTCCAGCTCATGAGTAGTGTGCATAGCAAGAGAGCCGTACATTTTCTCCTCATTGTCGCCAAGGATCCATTCCAGTCGATCGTACCGTTTCCAGGCAAGGCCCATGATCTCGGTCTTGGACCACCTTTGCAGCACCTCAGCCCACTCCGCACGGTTTTCCAGCATTTTCAAACATCCACGTATGATAGCCGTGGCCGCTGATTCCTCCTGTGCTATAGTCCCACTGAGTATACCGGTATTTCTTTTCTGAAGGACGGCTTCCAACTGATCAAATGGATTATTAAACACAAGGGAGACGCCCAAGTCGGGAACATGGATAGGGAGCGAAGATGGCCGGCGTTTTCCCATAATCTGACTTAGGAATGTAAACCATTCAACGGCGTGTGCGGAAGATCGCGGCCGAATTATGTAGATCTTAGTCCCATGCTTACAGGGACCCCAAAGAACAATTGCTTTATCCAGATGCGAGTAGAGGTTGACCTTCATTTTCTTTCGGCCCAAGGGCACCTCATAGTATGGAGCAACCCGCGTACCTACCTTCTGCACCTCGGGTATAACACGGGTCTTGTACATTTGGAGTGAGAATGGTGCATCTTCGTCGGAGGCCAAACGGCACGCCACCAGGTACTCTCGCCAGTGATCCACGACCCTAGTTTCCATCTTATAACTGTCATTCTCCGAATAATCATCTGGAAGCTTTTCCTGCACTGTCTCTTCGATTCGAACAAGCATCTTTTCGGCCTTGATAACCTCCCCTTCTTTCATCTTCCGTCGGTGCGGCAGATTTCGCGATAGTTTAGCCTGGGTCCTGGATATTCGAGCTAGCACTCTTTGCTGTTTATCCAGTAAATTGTCGTCTAGATTGTGCTTGGCAGCTTTCCTCGAGAAAGGATTTAATGGGTCTATTCTGGCTCGTTGCCCATTTCGGAGGGGTTCCTCTTCGGCTGTCTCGACCTGAGGTTCTTGTTGTTCAAGGTTCATAGACGATGTAGTAGGGACCCTTCCTTTTCCTTTGGATCTCGAGTCTGGCCTTAGTAACGCGGTTGTAGATCCATAATCACTAGCAGGTGCCATGGGACTTGACTGACTGGCTCCATTTTGGCTTGGGGTACTTAGCGTCTGCTTGCTTGATCCTTGCCCATGCTGCTCCGGGCTCACCGTACTAGGCCTTAAGGAAACCCTGTCCGCGTCACCGGGGCCTTGCTCCCTGGCTGTATAGTATGCAGAACTCCCATCCCGTCTCCCCATCGATGAATGCCAATCGTGTTCATTGTCCCCTGAATTCGACATGGCAGTATCTGACGCAGTTGTAGTAATGCGAGAAATATCATGATCTTCAGCGAGAGTATAAGGTACAGTGCGGAGACTGGTCTTTGGGTGTTCTTCTTGGTCACTAATCTCATCCTCTTGTTCCCTTTCTGTCCCTTCATCCTCTGTGGTATCTGTCAAGGCGGCTGGTGATTGTTCTGGCGTCGAATCATCCTGGTCGGTGTCGGAGACCTCTGAATAATGCGCCACGATTGGATCCGCGGAAAAGGTGACAGTTTTGGAGGAATATTTGCCGAATTTTATCCGTGTTCTCCACCATGACTTGCGGTGATTTTGCAACCAGCCTTGGGGAATTGGACCGATAAAGAATCTCCGACTGGTCATATGCATATGATGAGGAGAAGCATGATGCTTCCAGGGTTAGTGCAATGCAAGATGGCCATTGATATAGAGCACATACCAGTTTCTCAGCGGTATGTGAGTCCGTATCTAAGCCATGATGCTGCTGGGGTTGAAACGCGACGTGTGGATCAGTCGCCATGTCGTCGTTGACATGCTGATCTGGGGATGGATGAGTAGTCATGGCATTTCTTGTAGCGCTCCAGGAGGATAAACAAAGTAATTATGAAGGCCGTATAGACCAAGAGAAACAAAGCAGGCCAAAGAACGCTGATCTGACAATGGCAGGATTTACCAGGAACCCAATCATGGTGCGTGCCAACAATTGGGCATGCTGTTTCCTGCAGTCGACACTGCAACTGGAAACGATGACGTCGCCATTTACCCCGTGACCGTGGAGGGCGAGTTTGCAGTGTTTGTGCTATATCTTACCTAATTGAAACTCGATCAGGGGTAACGGACCCGCTCATTGGTCTCACCGCTTGCGTGTCCCGCTTCCGGCGGTGTGTCAGAGAGTGTGACAGCCCGGCCGTCGTTGTTGATAAACTGCCGCCTTCCCCTCCACGTTGCCTCTTCTTTCCCCTGGACCCCTGATTGTATTTCACTCGCTTGCATCCCCTTCACATATCTTTCTTCTACCTTGATAGACTCTTTTCCGCCACTAAAACACAATGGCTACCTGGTTTGACCAACAGAAGAAGTCCTTCGCGGACGTTCCCATCGATGCTTCCAACGGCATCTCCACCACCGAGTTCCTCGAAGCCGCCGAGTCCCTTACCACCTTGTTCGGTATGCCATTGGCGGATTATTGATCCCAAAGATACAGTGCTGATGCTCTTCTCCAGACGTTCTTGGTTCTAAGGCTTTCACTCCCGTGAAGAATGATTTGACCAACAACATCAAGGTTCGGACATCGTACCCCGCAGTTTGACAGTAATGGAAACTTATCCCATCGCAGAAAGTCAGGGAGAGGCAGCTGGCTGCCCCTGCCGAGTCCGAGACTCTCCAGGCTCTTGTTGTGAATGAGCTGAAGACCAAGAAGCACAATGCCTCCGAGGGACTGCTCTGGCTTGTGAGGTATGTCTTTTCCCCAAATAGACCCGGCTGTCTCTGTGGTACATCCGTTAGTTAAGTTACACATGCTGATACATGAGTTCTATAGAGGTCTTGATTTCACCGCCCAGGCCCTCCGTCACAACCTTAACAACGGCAGCTCTGAGCTCTCCGACTCCTTCCGTGAAGCCTACGGCAACACCCTCAAGCCTCACCACTCCTTTGTGATCAAGCCCATCTTCTCTGCCGCCATGTCGGCCACCCCCTACCGCAAGGACTTCTACGTCAAGCTTGGTGAAGACCAGGGTAAGGTCAATGAGTCCTTGGACCGTGAAGTGGACGCTCTCGAGAAGAGAGTCGCTATCCTGAAGGAGTTCCAGGCCACCAAGGAGGCGAAGTGGTAGATATTGGGACATATATTTTCGATGTGAGGAATATCTGGCATATTACTGAGCGCAGTTTTAAAGATGTATATACTTCTAAGAGTCTGAGACTACATGCATGATAACTAGATGTTTGAATTGCACAGCACTGGTTGTTAAGGCCACGTCGTTCTATTCTCTGTTTGACTATGGATCAGACTTCTGTCTGCCCTGGCATTCCTGGATACGCCGTAGCTACATAGATTCGTAGTCATGCTCTTATAGGAACCTAAATATGAAACAAGTGGTGTCCGTCGCACCTGCCGATTTCCGCCTGCACTCGACCTATCCATCCCCTAGGTATCTACTACTTTGGCTCCGGCATCACTGTGGGTCCATTCCACTTCTTGTGCCCCCGAACGAACCAGTCAATCACTGCGAATAACAGAGCAATGCCAAACACCGGAGCACCATAGTTCATGCTGCTCGCCGTGACGGGTTGGGTTTCAGGCCAAGGAAGGAAGATGGTAATGTAAGTGCCGTACAGGACGGCAAAAACATTGATCGGAATACCAAATCTCCCCAAGGTAAATGGACCCCAATTAATATCACCCGGAGCGTGAATGCGCTTGATTAGCATGAAGAGAACAGGGACTAGGTAGGAGATGTAAAGGGCGAGGGTGTCCAGAGACAAGACGGCATTAAAAGCAGCTGAAGAGCCAATGTTGATCAATGCAATTAGGATCGTGATTGTCGTGACTAGGAAAAGGGATCGGAGAGGAATCTTATACCGGGGTGAGACATATGCGAAAAACGATGAGAATGGGAAACCTTCATCTCGCGCAAATGCCCATGTGAGCCGGCTAACGGATGCCAGGACATTGAAGGACGAATAGCAGCCTGAAAGAAGAATTGGCAGCATCATTGCACTGGCTGCCGCTTTTGACCCGGTCTGAGCATAAAATATCTCAATAATGGGGTATCCGGTCGCCGAGTTCAGTGCTTTCTGAAAATCTCCCATGGTATATAGCAAAGCAATGGCAAAGCCAAATGCAAGGATGGCATTCAATACCAGACCCCAAACCATCGCCCGGGGAACAGCTCTAGGCGCGTCATTGACTTCCTCTGACATGTGGATAACACCGTCAAAGCCTATTTGAAGGGTCAAACCGAGATTTAGCTGGTAGTTTGTAGGCTACATGAAAGGGCATCGGAGACTTACTGCTCAGAGCGAAGGCTGCTGTTAGCAAGCCAATGGAATATATAACCCCACTGTTGTGCCATCCACTCTGGTCAGTGACAAATTCGGTCCATACAAATTCATTTGTATGGCGTTGCCCTAGCACAATCATGACAACCATGATTGCCGGGTAGGATAGAATATGAATGACACCTGACAGTACTTCGACAGGTGCGAGAAGACGGCGGGCAAAGATGTTGACCAACAGGGGAAGAGCTAAGACTGCAAAAACGAGAAGAGTCCCATGCCAGCCTTGTGGGACGTAGGAGGGATAGTTCTGCACAAGGAGTCCCTGAATCTCAGTCCCAACCAAGTATGGCCCGACGGCGACATTTGCCCACCATGCTATGACCTATTATGAAGGTACACTTTGGTCAGAGAATGAACGCTTCCAGTGCTTTATCAGCCTATCAGCAGCTTACCGTGATCCAGCCTGTTAGGGAAAGACACCAATCAGCCCCAAAGTGAAGATCTTAGCGGGACTCGGGAGCAAATCACCTTGGATAAAACTCAGAAATCGAGGAGCAAAAGGTGCCAGCTCATATGTCCAGTGGTACTGAGCACCAGCTACGGGATTACTGGGCGCAGGGGTTAGAAAGACACATCCAAACACATAAGGGCTCTTAATATGGGGTCGACTCATACATTGAGGCCATCTCTGCCATGGATAGAGTTAAACTCAGAGAGCCAGTAAAGGATAGTATCATGCCGTATATAATTGCGACTGGACCACCGTTCAACAATCCTGCATATAGACTGGAGCCCAGGGATTCCCAGGACGCCTGCAGGGTTGCAGCGAATGCTAGCATAGGCAGAAAGCCTAAATATCGCTGGATGATATTAGCAAATATTGATAGTTTTCTAATTACTAATTATTCAAGAGATCCATGCGCACCTCGAGACGTGGTTTTCCTCGATACTGATGGGAAGATGGGATTGGAGGATCTTCTATGCTCATAGCACGAGGACCTTTGTTAGGACCAGCCATCTCGACTTGATGATAGGGAGTAATGAACAATGAAGCACGCAGTCTCCCAGGAATCAGAGGTCGAAATCAGCGCATGAGGTAATGAGATGCAAAGAAAACAGGGAGAAGCAAACCAAGTGGGATTGCATTGCATTTAGGACAAAGCAACTATGAGAGAACGGGATGAAACCGAACGTCGGAATATTGATTAAAACGGGCCCACGGGCCCAGCCGACCTACAGGAGATAACCGCCGCCCCGACCTAGTACGGGGCTTGTAATCGAACTAAGCAGGGAATGCTTCCTCCAGCCTTGCTTCTAGATAGTACTTTTTACTGGCACTAATCGTGTAATTCCACTTCTTTGGCCACCGACCGGAGTCCGAACCTGAGACGCATGAGACGGAACGCTCCAGACCAAATTTCACATAATGAACCTTGTCTGTTAAACTCACTAGAGACTACTCCGTAATATACTTAGATCGTCTAGGATGGAAGTAGCCTGTGAGATTCTACATCACGGAGTAGGGTCAAGGAAAATTCCTACCCCCATGAAAGAAGGAAGTAACCCCTGTCAATCTCAACGTGCAATTCATATGGGGCTTATATATAGGTATATGGCACAAGTCCCTACTCGTCTTTTTTTCTACTTCTGACTTCCTGCCTCTTATGATCATCATGTCATCATCGTCGTCTGAGCTTCTACCACCCTTGGAAACGATAACACCCGATAACAGAGGCCCCGCGCTCACAATTGTGGCCTTCATCTTTCTATTTGTAACTCTAATAGTTGTTGTTGTTAAATATGGATCCACATTGTACTCAAAGACAGTATCTTTCAGCACAGATGTGCCTCTTTGGATTGCTCTGGTAACAAGCCTGCCTGTTCTGTCCCTCTAAGAGCATTATTGATGCCAATCGGCTGGCAGGTTATTGCTTTCATCCAAAGCCTTCTTACTCAATTTGCGGTTGACAATGGCCTTGGAAGACACGCCCATTCACTTTCCGCCGATGAATTTTCTAAGTATAACAAGGTCAGCCGCTTCTCTCCCAAAATATGGTATACCGTAAAGCTTACTGGGCTGTCGTGATCGCTTAGTTCACTTATGCCGCCCAACTACTCGTGATTCTGGTCCTGTCACACTCGAAAGTGTCAACATGTCGATTGATTTACAGAATCACACCGGGTCAGCATATCAGACAAGCCAGTATGATTGTCGTGATAATTGTCGGATTATGGACCGTCTTTGCACTTTTCGCCACAGCCCTTCAGTGTCGACCACCATGGGAGTATCTGCCTAGTCAATGTGCCGCAGAGGTGAGATATGAGGATCTAATACAATAAACAATCTTGCCTAATAACTAGCAGGGAGCTGTTGCATATCCGATCATAGTTATCAACATCTTTACAAATCTGGCATTGGTGTTTATTCCGTTGATCATGCTTTGGAATGTGCAAATGGCATTCCAAAAGCGTCTCCAAATCATCGCTTCGTTCTGCGTACGGCTTGTGTAAGAGGCCTTGATAAAAGATACAACTTAACCACATGCTGACGCCCCTGGAGTGTGGCGGCAGTCAGTATCATCGAACTAGTATACCTGCCGACATACTTGCACTCAATCGATCCAACATGTAAGCACCCGAAATTAACGGAAATGGCAGCTAGGAATTCTGACAGTTTTCTCGCAGGGACTATCGTGAATGTAGATATCTGCAATGAGTGAGTTTTACTGTTGGGTGTGACAATTCCTTGGCAGCTGATTGCTCCTCTTTGCAGGCTCACAATGTATCTCAGCATCATTGCGGCCTGCATGCCGTCCATCTATCGCATCCTCAGCAGTCTAAAATCCGGTTTAAACGACATTCATATGCCTGATATCGAGCTCAGCACTATCCACGGAGCTACAGGTTCAAAAGCTAAGTCCCGGGACCAGGCTGGGTCCAGCTCCCGCGCGAGAAGGCATTCAACTATGTTCCCGGGCTTCCGAGCCACTGATCTTTTCTCCAGGGATGATAATATGACGCAAAATGGGCTGTATACGATGCAAACTAATGGGTTTCGCAGGGATAGGGATGGTGCAGAAAGCACAGAAAGCACCCAGTGGCTGACAGAAGAAAATCAGCCACCGATCAGCGGAGTCAGGAAGACGGTGGAAGTATGTGTAGAAGTCCACGATAATCACTCATGAACTTTTCGCACGGTCGTGGGGTGTGTATAACCCATAAGGAAGAAACAAAAATGGCAACATACAGCAGTAAGTAATCAGTAGGCGCCAAGCTAATGCCTTGATACGGATTCAATGCAGGCGCGCACTTCGCAGGGATACCTACCTTTTTGACCTCCTTTTTGACAAGAGGATTCAATTTCTAAGTAAATCAGTGAGAACAATGAATTGTCTGATTTTGGTGGCTCATTGGCGTGGACTCCAAGCTCAAGCGTCCACAGAGTGTCCGACGGTCTGAGACTAGCGAGGATCCCTTGCTTAGCTTCTACATAGCCTGTGTAGTGGTAAGATTCTTATCTCCACTTTCCCCTCCGGGTCGTGCTGAAGCTGTTCGAAACCGACAAAAAAGCACGAGCCACCGAGATGAGCATCAGCATGAGCATGAGCTTAAAGAGAAGGAGCAGTATATTAATCACAGTATAGCCTGCAAACTAGTATGGATTCCTTTCTTGCACTGCGCGTGTTGGAATTAGTAAGAAATTTCAGTTTTATGTCAATCCCCTACCTGATTACTAGTCTGCGAACCGTCATCTTTTAGATCATTCACTAGTGGCAGAAACCTTGACCCTTCCGTGAGCGATTTATAACCCATCCAAATGCCCAATTTACTGTGTTGCTTACAGGGGAAGATGGTCTAGCGAGGCATAACACTCCGTCCCCTACCTAGTCTGACTTATGACGGCCGAGTCTATTAGAACATCCTTTGTTATAAAGGGCAGCTATTAGTTGCGGTCATAAACAACACCTTATCATTTTCTTTGACGTAATGTATCTTGTACGTAAGGTAAGGCTGATTAAGATACACTAGGCAGCATGTGCGGGGTGTGCGAGCCACCCTGACCCCCTTCACACCTGAGGGAATGCCATATTGCCGAAATATACTAGATCAGGCAAACCTTGAACCCAATGTCCACTCCTGTTATTTCCCGGTGTCTTGGGTTATAGCACACTAAGTCTGGTGCTCGAAGGATTTGAGTCCACGCATTGTCCAAATCAGTATACATCCGCATGCTTTGGGGGATGGGGACGTTGTGCCTCAAATGGAAATTGCCATAATAATAGTGGGCTCTATAGTCTCTTCGCTAATGTAACATTAATTAATGCTTCTCTTTCACCTCTCCCGCGGCCCAACTTCTATCTATACCTTATGGAGGCCGCTACAGGCGCACCAGCCAGGCTAACCACACGCCGGCGTCTGCTAAGCACATACCTTTTTGACTCTCAACCTACCACTTTAAGAAGCTTTCAGGCAGAGTACCATACCCCGTATATCTTTAAGCTTTTATTTAGACTCTGGATTGAATATAGAAAGACTTTATATCAGGCCTTATCTCCTAACATAAAGACTCACGTAGAGACTCACATAATGTCAAAAACTTATTCAAGGCCTTATCCAGAATTTTACATAGATATCTAATGACTACTAAAGTCCTACGCAAGTCTCTATATTACTCTCCATACGAGGCCCTATATAAGACCCTACTTACTTAGCAGCTGAAGGTGTAGTGTACAACCTCAAATATTAATATAATAAAGACAGTAAGCTTTTACTTGTTCTAAAACAGAGCTATTTTTGAAGTGGTAGGCAGTGAGTCAAAAAGGTGTGCTTAGCAGATGCCGGCATGTAGTTAGCCTGGCCGGTGTGCCTGTAGCGCCTCGCTACCTTATCATCACGCCTTCGCTACTTGCTTCTGACCAGCAGTTAATCGGCTCTGTAACGGCCAAATCTACTCCATAGCAGATTGTTCATCATTTTGAGGATTCCCCAACGAGAACTTCCCGTCTCTTCTAAATCATCCTAAGCAGTTAAAGATGCAGAATTCAGATGGACCCCGATATCAACATAACCGGCGAGTATCTTTAGTTTCTGCTACGAGAGTATTTAAGAATGCCACAGAACACACTAACAGCTTCTCGAACAGGATTCGCAAGCACATCCTCATGGCTTGACACTACAGTCAGGGATCTATACTTGCCTGCAGATAGGTGCATAATCGACAACCACAAATGTTTACGGACGCGATCGTTAGCTGCCAAATATGTAGCATGCAATAGACGTCTAAAGCCAGATCAACTTGATGTGTCTTTTTATACTGTCAGGTGTCGCGTTCTTACCAGTACGCCAAAACGATATACCGCTGGCCATCTGGAGAACAGACGGAACGAAGACTGTATCCCAACATCAGATAAAGTGGATAGGTGTAATAGACTTCTACTTGCTCTCGCGGTAGTATGCTTGTGGATATACATAAATAAAGTAGAACCACATGACCTCATTATATTTGATTCTGAAAAGATCAACTTAAGGTCAATTATAAATATCTAGATTGTCATCATAAGCATGCTCCCATCTTAGCTCCTATTGCTTTCAAGATGAGATGCGTGGATATCGAAGATGGGCCACTTGTTCTAGTATGCCGTAGGAATTAGGCGGGTTGTCTTATCGAGCATGGTGACCAAAAATGGATGAATATCTCACTATTACCATCAGCCACCCCTGTTGGCATACAAGGACTAATGTTCCATCGCTCGAGTGAATCTCTTTGGGGAAGTGGCATGGTCGCTGATATGCCAGTTTCATGTGATTCTCAGTAATCCACATCACCTTTCAGATTGTTGGTAATGAATATAAGATCCGCAATTAATACGTGTTAATGGTAAAAGCCTATAAGATTTTATCTCAGGTGCTATATCGAATGTCACCCTATGACCTTACTTGAACAGAAACTAAGCATATGCATGTCCATATTATAGAAGCGTTCAGGGAATTTCCTCGGGACGTGGGCACAATCTATTTAGCTTACTGGATTCCATACCGCATCTCCGGTGGTCAAGTTCATAGCCAATGGGAAGCACTCCACTATAGATCTTAAAAATAGAAGAAGACTCCAAGGCCATCTCTGACAGACGACAGTTAACGGGATAGTGTGGGAGACCCCGCAGTAAAGGAAGATGAAACAACAATGGGAACAGCCAGTGTTTCAGGCACAGAATAACTACTGTGCGGTTATCTGCGATGCCAATCGCTGCTACTCGGTGAGTCGGAGTTGCACTACGGAGTAGTACTCTGTGTAGGTCGATTTTGGTCTGCCACCAAGGCCCGATGTGTGGAAAATGGCGATCCAAAGATCTCTCGGCAGAGAAATATTCAGCTAGGTTCATCTATAGACGCGGCAGAATCTCGATGTCTGTATGGATTCTTTTGACGACAAGGTTCATTATAAATAGATATGGAAGGTTGAGAATAATTTTGATCGACGGGTATCATTGGTTTTGCATGTCAGCCCAATTCAATCATCGGTTAGACCTGGGGTTTTTGCTGTCACGGCCCACGGAATTCCTGAACCATGGACGGATGGGCCGGGATCCTCTAATATTAATGGAGCACTAATCAAGTATCGGGCTTCCGAGCTATGATGACAGCGGAGACTGAGAAAGGAATGACCGCCGACCCCCAAAGGGATCTACGCGCCGCATTTCCAAAATAGTGTGCGTGGTACTCCGTACTAAATACTACTAACAGGGGCTGTTTCCAGGCTGGTCAAGCCGTCAAGAGGAGTCCACCAGTTCGGTTGGTCAGACCGACGGTTGGAAAAATCACTAACGATAGCCATAACGGGGACTTCAGCTGGGTTTGGCATGCTAGTTCATTTCTCAAGCCTTAGGATGACTGTAGTTTTCAGTCCTGAACACTAGCGCGGATTCCTGAGCTCTTGGACGGACTCTAAGCGAGATGACAAGTGACATTAAGATCTGGCCGGCAGGTGTATTCCCCATCAATCTGTCAAACTCACAAGATGACTGCTTATGACACATGGGCAGGGAGCTATCTGTCAGGGTGTATACAAGTGTCTATAGCTTTATGTTTGTAGGTAATAGATGTGTGGCAGGCTGGCAGCTTCACAATCCCTTTATAATAGCGGTTTTATAACTGGATCGGCAAATTTGATTAGGTACCTGTGTCGACCCTCGGATGTGGAGCCCTACTTAGCTGCCGAACGATGGAACGACTCAACGAGGGCAAAGGAGCGGATCTCGGCACGCACGGGTCCTCCCACGATACTTCGTCCCTCCGTGCCGTGTCCGGCGGGAAGTATCCATTCACCATTGTCTACTCATACCTATTGTCTGTAGGTCTGTTTGAATAAATGACACTACATCTCATATGAGATTCAGGGTATCAAAACAATGTATGAGGTGTGAAGTATCTGCATATAACTTGTCGTGACTGCTGTCATCACCGGCAAAAAGAACGGATACCCACTGCATAAGTCCCACGACTTCTTTTCCCCTACCTAGGCTAGACCTTCTGAAAGAATAGGACAAATCTAGAAGCTCTAAAACTCTGCTTGAACGCCTCCCATGTCCTGTCCCGGGTCGCAACCTAGCTGACGGCGCTGATCGACATGACAACGAGAAGCCTGCTAATTATTACTTCACATGAATATGGGACCAAGGTGGCCCAGTTGTCCTGGATCGTGTTTTCAGAGAGATTTGCGAGTCAATCACGATTTTTATCTCATTCAGTAAGAGTGGATTGGGTGATATCATGGGCCGTACGTTGTAATCGAGGGTATCTTTCACGTCTGGACCACTTTGGTAGGATGGATTAGCTCAGTAGCTGGTTTTAGATGTGATCAACGTCCGATTCGCCTGCTATGGAAAATAGTCTAGAGTATTGGTAGGGAGAGCAGCCAATCCCTGGAGAATTTAGACCATGGATGCGTGGCAGGACAGTCCGTTCAAGCGGCAGACTTCCTAGTCTAGCTTTTCTGCAATGGTCGGGATCTTCAACTTTCCCCAAGTCTTCGGGAAGCTCTCAATCAATGCGGCATCATCACAAGGAGGGGATGTAAGATCTTTGCCAATGGCCGCTGGTCTCAGTTCTGTGCTGCTGTTTCCTAAGTTTCTATCTTCTAAGTCCCTGTCACATGGTCGGCTTATTAGTGGTGCCTCATAAGGCCCAAGCCCCTGGGGTACCTAGGCGATGCTGCGGCAGTGTGGACCCCGAATCCTGCCTCGGTCACACGCCGTCCAGCTGTTATCCGCACAGTGCACACGGCATGGAGTCAGCCATTCCTCTTCCCTGCCATGGTTTCATTTCGCCATCCACGCAGCAAGTGTCTGTGACCGGATACCCACCCGAGAACCTAGGCATCCACTCCGTGCTTGTGTTCTCCGCTATGCCCCAAGTACATTTGCCGTTGCTGGTAAGAGTAGACTAAACCGTTGCCTCAGATTTGCCTGGGATCGATCTAAGGGATCATGGTTCTACATCTATCTATAGGACCGGACATTAAGGGTTCCATATGGTGACATCGAGATAAGCCGCAGAAGATACATGGTGAGAGCGAGAGCCAGACGATCAGCCTTATTCAACCTCCAACACATGCCACTATAGACCTCGCTACCAGATCCCGGGCGACTATTTACCCGATAGTAGCCGATATTCCTCCCTACCCCCTCCTGGCTCTTACAGGATAATCAAGGTTAAATGACCAAGAATGAGGATTCATGAATTACGCTGGTCCTTGAACGGTTGAAGCGCTCTTATACAGGGCAGATCAGTACTCTCACATGGCAGCATTGAGACCTGGATCCCGGCTCCATCGGCATTTCAGTTCCCCATTAGCTCTTTCGCCACTGGGTATCTAGTACAAAGTAGTAGACTCTCCAAGAATCTTATGCGTGGCCCAGACTCTTAGCGTCGAACCTTTTTCCCCTTCTACCCCTAGGACGGTTTCCATCTGGGTTATATATCCAGTCCATTGGCAGCTACCCCAGCCTGTACTTCACGTTCTTCCTCCCACACTCGAGGAGACAATGTCACCCGACTACAGACTGCGACATTTGTTGATTCACATGCGCCCCAGTGTGCCCCGCCATGATTGAATTCAAGGGCCGGAGCGAGTCAATATTTGTCGTAACTGTGGTTTTCTTGGTGATTTCGTTCATATCTGTGTGTCTACGATGTTTTGTCCGCCTGAGACTTGTGCGGGCATTTGGGTGGGATGATGCACTGATGGTTTTCGCCATGGTATACACTATCAACTCACCTTTAGAAAACTTGCTGACGTGAGCCTTTCCCACGCCTCTAGGCCCTCGAAATCTTGTTCGCATTGTGTGGAATTACCGGCTCGTTGTATGGCATGGGTCAGAAACTGGAGCAGCTGGGCTCAGGCCACCTTGAAACTGCTATGTTTGTATGTACAATAGGTGCCGAGTCAAATTATCATTGCTTACGCCCAAAAGTGGTGGTGGCTAGGTCAAACAAGTTACGTCGTGACTGTTGTTGTCGCAAAGATTTCCATCGCTTTGGCCCTCCTCCGGCTCACTGTCTCAAAAATACATACGATCCTTCTATGGTCTGTGGTCGGTGTATCGATCGTTGTGGGCTTAGTATTTTGGTTTATGTTGACCTTCGAATGCAAACCGGTGTCGCACTTCTGGCAACGCGAGTCGCCTGGATCCTGCATGTCCACCGATTATCTTCTCGATATCGCCTACGTGTATAGTGTCACTGCCATGCTCTGCGATCTTATATTGGGGCTGCTACCCATTTTTCTGGTGTGGAAGTTGCAGATGAGCCGGCAAACAAAGGCAGCATTGGCGGGTATCTTGAGCTTAGGTTGCGTGTAAGATGAATTGGACAGGGTCACCCATACCTGCTTGCTAACAGTCGCACTAGAGCCAGCGCAGGTGTTATCGTTCGTATCCCTTTCCTTCCAACTTATAAAGATCCGGAATTTCTCTGTAGGTTCCTATGATCCGATCCATCTGAGTGATAGGACGTGTATCACTAATGGCAACAAAGACGCAACGACTCAAATATCCATATGGTCCAATGTGGAAGCAGGCCTCGGGATCACGGCAGGCTGCCTCGTCACTCTTCGTCCTCTCTTCCGTTGGTTGGGCGGAACTAGCTACGTCACCACACACAGCAAGAGAACAGCCGGAAGCATGCCACTCTCTAGCATTAACGGCCCTGGTAAACACTCACGAAGCGAGCATACGGCGAATTCGACCAAGTTCTGGCGTCCGGACCTGGATCCAGAAGACTCTAGGGGTGTAATCACAACAGTGCAAACAGCCCAAGGAAGTCGAAACAGCAGCCAGGAAGACCTTAATCCGAAGCCAAGCGCATGGAATGGGGTTAATGTACATAAGTCCTTTGTTGTCACGTCAGATGAAGTATAGAAGTTGATCTTCTGTACTATTCATCCATTCATGATATGAAATGTAATTATAACATACCTTTGTTGGATCAGCCTTTATCATTCCAGTGTATGTTCACACCATCAGACAGCTAATCAGTATCTGATAATATGCAAGTCTGTTCATACCTGACGGAAAGAATGAAGGTGACCAATCTACCTAGTCTTTAGACGCACACAACTCTGCTCTACAGCACTCATCTCTCCACTAAGTATTCATGGGATTGCTATATATAATATTACTATCCAAAGTGACTCTATTTATGCTCTTATCTCACATTTTAGTTGATCAATGAACCAAGCATCATCCAGAAGTTTTCTCGCTGACGCTCTAGAGTATGATTCAAAACGCAGCAATCTTCCAATCACTTCTTTGGGGGCCAGGCTCTATAACATTCTCGTCACTCCGTTTAATACACCCAATCTCTAATTTGCCGATCAGGTTCACAAATCCACTGCCATCTATACTGACCATGAGGTATGTTGAGAACTAATTTGTGAGTTTGAAGATCTGTATAAGGTGAGTGGTGCAGCTAATTGTTCACCGCATCCGCATCACCTAGATACCTCCATGTCCATTTTGCGGCTGGTGTAACGTCTCAGTTTCATGAAGAGCTTGTTTCGCGCTGGACTTGGTAAAAACCCCAGAGAGCCTCCCATTGAAAAGCGTATATGATAATTGAGACACTCGGTCCTAGGATCTCTGAGACAAGACAATGATAAACTCCATGCGGTCCTTCCAATTCGAAGTCATCAAACAAGCGAATGACATGCTCGGGGCTAGGCTGGATGAACGCCACTTCGTTCATGCTTGGATTTCATTGCTTCATGCGTCTTTTTGTCTCTCCTAAACGCAGACTTTGATAGCAACATCGGCTTCACTTCTTGGGATGGTTAGTATTTTTTGACTACAGTGTGATAAAAGCGACGTTTTTATACGACTTTTGATCTCTCTACAGCCCACACTGTTGAGTAGCTTTCCCAACCTAGTTTATGCAACATCTTAGAATCCACGTTTTTTAAACGGTCCCCTAAGTTGGTAGGGTTCTAGCCACCATTTTGATAGCGATACAGGGGTCTCCCGTCAACTGAAGACGTGTATCTCAATGGGCTCGTCTGGAATGTGGGCATATTAAAAGTCGGATTGTGTGCGGTGAGCAACCATGGGAAGACTATTTGGGGGACAGCATGTCTGAAAACCATCCAGGGAGCGCTCTTAAGACATGAGGCATCATTATCAGCTCGATTCCATCTATTTGGGCTGGTCGGGCTCGTGTCAATGTATCTATTTTCAGGTTTGGAGCATTTCTAGTGAATCCAGCTAACTGGTGCTTACAGGACTGTCCAACGACCATCAAGTCTTCCAGATTTCTATATCCCTCAGTTTCATCTAAGGGCCAGACAGCTCGTGGTAAGTCAAGATGATGCTTATAACTCAGTATTCCGGCCGGTGATTCGCTATCTAAGCCTAATGTCCGAGGCAGAAGCTTCGGTGACTTTCTATGTAGCATCTTGGTACCATTTCTCTCTCTGAACAAGGGTAACGACAATAAATGAAGAGGCTCAATTTCGCAGGCGGAGTTTTATGTCAAACTCTCATCTTTTGTAAGGTAATATTATCTGGGGTTATTATTATAATTGCTATCTCGATCAAATGCTTATCAGGACCAGCACGGTCGGGAAAATCCAAGCTCCGTCCTGGCAGGTGGCGGCGGCCAATCGTGAGCAACGGACCTTCGTACCTTCAATCCCCGGCGGCGAATCCCAAAATTACACTGTCGAGGTGGCTTCTTCACATTTTCCTCTTCGACCTGCCCTTCGGAAATCGACTGGTGGCTTCAAGGTTCTGGGCCCTCCATTTCCTATGGTTTACTGAAGCTCTCTTGGTCTCTCAAGTTCGCGTCGTTTGACCCGCGTCGTGGTCATTCGAGTCTCACAATGTAAGTGTGGCACTTCCGTTGCATCGCGTGCAGTGATCGCCCACTAACTTGATGATGCGCAGGGTAGGACTCGTTGATGATCCCCAGATTAAATATTCCTCGCTTCATAACCCTCTTCCCACCCAATTACACACCTATGTGTGGCCGTTCCTAATCATCTGGCCGGCCTTTTTGGCCTTTTATCTCTCCCCTGAACGCTATGATACGTATATTCAAGGCCAGGAATGGACATTTGTGTGGGTTGGCTCGATTATCACGGTTCAGTCGCTTTTGTGGTTGATGACGAATTGGAACATCAATATCCAGACCTTGTTTACTACCACTAAGGCTAGATCTATTGATTCCGCTCGGCTTATCAAGGTGATACCCGCGGCGAACGCTGGTTCGGCTGAAGTCTGCCCTTTGGTCCTTGATACAAGAGGAGGGAAGAAGACGCTTTCATTCCTATTCCAGAAACGCCGCTTCCTTTACTACCCCGAACGTCGATGCTTCGCTCCCCTGTCTTACGTCCTCGATGCCGATCCCAAGCCTGCACTCAAGACCTTCCAGAAAAGCCAGGGCTTGGTGTCCAAAGAAGAAGTCGACCGCATTCGGCTCTACTATGGTGACAACACGTTCGATATCCCGGTTCCGGGATTTGTGGAACTATGGAAGGAGCATGCGGTTGCACCTTTCTTCGTTTTCCAAATCTTCTGTGTGGGACTGTGGATGCTGGACGAATACTGGTACTATTCTCTGTTCACCCTCTTCATGCTTGTCATGTTTGAGAGCACAGTGGTGTGGCAACGTCAGCGGACACTCAATGAATTCCGGGGAATGAATATCAAACCGTACGAAGTATGGGTCTTCCGCGAGAAGCAATGGCAGAAAACCACTAGCGACAAGCTCTTGCCAGGTGACCTAATGTCCGTTAACCGAACCAAGGAAGACGGTGGCGTGGCATGTGATATACTTTTGATCGAAGGCAGCGCGATTGTTAACGAGGCTATGCTCTCCGGAGAGAGCACCCCACTCTTGAAGGAGTCGGTTCAACTCAGACCAGGGGATGACTTGATTGAGCCAGACGGACTGGACAAGAATGCGTTTGTACACGGAGGAACCAAGGTTCTACAGATCACCCATGCAAACACTACACCAGACGATGTTGCCAGCTCTAAAGATGGTTCTGGTATTCTGCCCACTCCAGATGCTGGCGCACTTGGTGTTGTTGTGAAGACCGGGTTCGAGACAAGCCAAGGTAGTCTCGTGCGTACTATGATCTACTCCACTGAGCGGGTGTCCGCCAACAATGTGGAAGCCTTGCTTTTCATTCTGTTCCTGCTCATGTTTGCCATTGCTGCCGCATGGTATGTTTGGCAGGAGGGTGTGATAAGGGATCGCAAGAGGTCGAAATTGCTCTTGGACTGCGTTCTCATCATCACTAGTGTTGTTCCTCCTGAACTTCCCATGGAGCTCAGTCTTGCTGTCAACACGAGTCTGGCCGCCTTGAGCAAGTTCGCTATCTTTTGTACCGAGCCTTTCCGGATTCCTTTCGCCGGCCGTGTGGATGTTGCCTGCTTCGATAAAACCGGCACTTTAACCGGTGAGGACCTTGTTGTTGACGGTGTTGCCGGTCTCACTCTGGGCCAAACAGGCGCAAAGGTTGAAAAGGATGGGGCGCACAGTGAGCTCGCCAAGGGTGGCAATATCGGAATTGATACGACGCTTGTCCTTGCAAGCGCTCACGCCCTAGTGAAGCTGGACGAGGGCGAGGTCGTTGGCGATCCTATGGAAAAGGCTACGCTGAAGTGGCTTGGCTGGACCCTGGGTAAGAATGATACTTTAACAGGCAAGACCTCGCCTTCCACGGGATCTTCTCAGGCTCCCGAGTCCGTCCATGTCATGAGACGGTTCCAGTTTTCATCCGCGCTGAAGCGTCAGAGCACCATCGCCACGGTTGTCTTTGATGATCGCAACACACACAAGAAAGTTAAGTCAACTTTCGTTGGTGTCAAGGGTGCTCCAGAAACCATCAGAACCATGTTGGTTGATACCCCGCCACACTACGAGGAGACTTTCAAGTACTTCACTCGTAACGGTGCCCGTGTTCTTGCTCTCGCTTACAAGTATCTGTCCCATGAGGCCGAATTCTCTCGCGCTCGTATCAACAACTATACCCGAGAGGAGGTGGAGTGTGACTTGGTTTTCGCTGGTTTCCTCGTCTTGCAATGCCCGCTGAAGGAAGACGCTATCAAAGCTGTGCGTATGCTTAACGAGAGCAGCCATCGTGTTGTAATGATTACTGGTGACAATCCTTTGACTGCCGTGCATGTTGCTCGCCAAGTTGAAATCGTGGATCGCGACGTATTGATTCTTGACGCACCCGAGAACGACACGTCAGGAACCAAAATTGTTTGGCGTACCATTGACGATAAGCTCAACATCGATGTTGATCCCACCCAGGATCTCGATCGCCGCATCTTGGAAACCAACGATATCTGTGTCACTGGCTACGCTTTGGCTAAATTCAAGGGCCAGAAGGCCTTGCCTGATCTACTTCGCCACACCTGGGTTTACGCTCGTGTCTCTCCTAAGCAGAAAGAGGATATCCTTCTTGGCCTCAAGGATGCTGGTTACACGACTTTGATGTGCGGTGACGGAACCAACGATGTCGGTGCCTTGAAGCAAGCCCATGTTGGTGTTGCACTTTTGAATGGTTCTCCGGAGGATCTCACCAGGATTGCTGAGCACTATCGGACGACAAAGATGAAGGAAATCTACGAGAAGCAGGTTTCTATGATGCAACGTTTTAACCAGCCGTCCCCGCCCGTGCCTGTGCAAATTGCACACTTGTATCCTCCAGGTCCTAGCAACCCGCACTACCAAAAGGCTATGGAGCGCGAAGCGCAGCGTAAGGGTACTCCCATCCAGTCCGCTCCGGCCCCAACAGAGGCGATCCCAACCATCACATCTCCTGGTGCACAGGCTCTACAGCAATCCAATTCCAACTTGACCGCTGATCAGCAGCGACGGCAACAAGCCTCGGTGGCGGCTGCTGGATTTGCTGATAAGCTTACCACATCCATGATGGAACAAGAGCTGGACGAGAACGAACCTCCCACTCTCAAGCTCGGAGATGCCTCTGTTGCCGCCCCATTTACCAGCAAGTTGGCGAATGTTATCGCCATACCAAACATCCTCCGTCAGGGACGCTGCACACTGGTTGCAACCATTCAGATGTACAAAATTCTCGCTCTGAACTGTTTGATCAGTGCCTACAGCTTGAGTGTCATCTACTTAGACGGTATTAAGTTTGGTGACGGCCAGGTGACCATCAGCGGTATGCTGATGAGTGTTTGCTTCCTCTCCATCTCTCGCGCGAAGGTAGGCGTTCAACATCTAACGTAAAAATTATTGATTCTGACATTACATTCCAGTCTGTCGAAGGCCTATCAAAGGAACGCCCGCAGCCAAACATCTTCAATGTGTATATCATTGGCTCCGTGCTTGGCCAGTTTGCCATTCACATTGTCACTTTGATTTACCTGTCGAACTATGTATACAGCATTGAACCGTAAGTTGGCCAATCTTCATCATAGTGTATGTTACTGACTTGCTTGCAGGAGGCAATCAGATATTGACTTGGAGGGAGAATTTGAACCTTCGCTTCTCAACAGCGCCATCTACCTTCTGCAACTCATCCAGCAAATCTCGACATTCTCGATCAACTATCAAGGTCGCCCCTTCAGAGAGTCCATTCGTGAGAACAAGGCCATGTACTGGGGTCTGGTTGCGGCATCGGGTGTAGCCTTTTCTTGTGCAACCGAGTTTGTTCCTGAACTGAACGAGAAGCTGCGCCTTGTGCCTTTCAGCACCGAGTTCAAGATGACGCTGACCGTCCTAATGATCTTCGATTATGCGGGATGCTGGCTCATCGAGAATGTGCTCAAGAGGCTGTTCAGCGATTTCCGGCCGAAGGATATCGCCGTGCGCCGGCCCGATCAACTCCGGCGGGAGGAGGAACGTAAGCAGAAGGAGGCTATGGAGCAGCAGGCTAATTAGGGGGCGAGGAGGGCTTAGATTTTGTCTCAAAGTTCTATAGCCGGTTAGAGTAGTTGTATTTCTTGTCTAGATATATAGGTGCTGTTGGTAGAGAGCAAGGCTTGGTTGCCTTGCTAATGTTGATGGGTGTTCATAGAGCAATTGTAAGTTTAGATCATCTCTTTCAAAATATAGTGGGTTGATTATAAAAGTTGGCCTGTGTATGGGATGGGATGACTCTAGCCACGCAAATACAAAGGGGCTGTCATCCTCGATGTTTCTGCCTCAGGTGTCATCCAGGCCGAGCGATAAGCCGCGGAACTCCTGACGCTGGCTTGGTGTTTGGCTCTCTCGGCTCCCTTCCTTTCTTGTCGTCCCCCCTCTTGAGCTCCACCTCCAGGCAAGGCTGGACAGTCACAGGCTCCCCTTTATCCGCCAGCTCCCTTTTCATCCAGTCCGTGACCCTTCGTGGGTTTATGTTTCTCATGTTCTCCTAAATCCCAGTCATCATGCCCCGGAGGACGCTGGGTGGAGGTCGTGTTCTTGGCCCCGCGAACGCTCGTTCTCCATCGGCTTTAACCCCATCTCCGCAGCCCAGTAACCCAAGACTCCTCACCTTATCGCCTTCCGCCAGCAGTGTTTCTCTTAACTCACAAGCCTCAGCATCTCAAATCTCAACCGAAGCTCAGGACCTTACATCGCGCGTTTCCCTTGAAAATGGTTCCGCCTCTATACCTGCCGCTCCGGCAGCTGCCGGAGCTCAGTTGGCCTGTCCGATCTGCAGTGAGGAGATGGTATGACCTGTCCTACACGAACCTCTTACCTAGGATCATTGTGGTCATCGAAGATATACTAACCAAAGCAACAGGTGACACTGTTACAGTTAAATAGGTACCTCGCTTGACGTTCGCAGTATCTCCTACTATTTGTCCATGCGATTGACCCGAACTTCAGACACCTCGATGACGTTCACCAGAACCTGGAAGATGATCGGCAGGATGAAGTAAAAGACTGGTTCAAGACTCAGATGGATAAGGCCAAGCGCTTTCAGCCGCTTGCTGTTCTAAACCAGAAGCTCAAGGGCTTGGACGTGTTCGAATCGAACGAAAATCTTCAGCCTTTTGCTGGCCCAAGCCGGCCATCCGGACCGGCTTCGACACATCCTTTTGAACCTCCCAGAGGACCCGACCCTGATGACGTTATAACGAGGGATCACTGGCAAGCTCGCACTCTATATGATGTATGCCTGGAACCTTCGTGCGGCAAGCGACTTAATGCCACCAACGGCTGTGTCAATTGTCGCAAATGCGGGAAGCTATTCTGTGAAGACCATACCATGTATCAGATGAAGCTATCCAGATCAGCCCAACATGAGCCAGTCAGGGGGTTATGGTGCAGGGTCTGTGAAACTTGCTACAAGTCGAGGGATGGGTATAATGATCACAATGGTAACCCGGAGTTCCTTTTCTTTACTTGCAATTTAGGAATGGGCACGGAACTAACTATATCATAGGTCTGATAAGAGACCGCATGGATGAGTTTAAGGCAATGAGAAAGCAGACAGTTGATAAGGCCCTGTTGGAAGTGTCACGTTTGGAGAAACGCCTGACACGGTTGACGCAGTTGCTTGCAGATTTGCCTATGGAACAGATTCAATCAAGCGCAAATAAATTATGGACAATCTCATGGCAGGGCGATCAACGCAAAGCCCTTGAGCAAACCATAGTCAGTTGGCAGGATGATGCTAGTGTTACCCGATGCCCCTTTTGCCAGCAAGATTTTACCAGTTACTCCTTCCGAAGGCACCATTGCAGGACTTGCGGGCGAGTCGTATGTGGTGACCCAGCAACTGGATGCTCCACGGAAGTTCCGTTGAGCATTTCACCCCGTATGCCAATTAACCCTATTCCACCTCACTCATATGGAAACTGACATGGCATAGTAGCAAAGACATCAGCAGAGAAATCTGTTCACGCAGGCATTATCAATGTCGATATCAGGCTCTGTAAGGAGTGCCGGTCGACCTTGTTTGACCGACGAGACTTTCAAGCCGATATTATGGGGAGGCCGCCAGCTGTGCGGGCGTATGATAATCTTACCCAATTCGAGAGGGGCATTCGGCTCCTACTCCCTAAATTCCAGAAGATACTGGGAGCTTTGCAGTATGTACACCCCACGGCTTGTCCATTCACAATAGCAATGCACCCACTAACTGCACTATCATTGTTACAGAGATCCCAGGCGGCCACCATCGTCTGCGCAGATTTCAGAGGCCTCCAAAGTTCGCAAGCGATTAACGGACTCATTTGCCCAATATGATGTTGCTGCTAGGCGAATTCGTGATATGCAAACAGATTCCCTCACTCAACAGCGGCTCCAGAAGGCGATCTACCAACAAGCCAGCAATTTTCTCCATCTTCACATGCTTCCTCTGAAGTCTCTGCCCAAGGTGCTCAAGCACGCATCTTCCAACGGACGGCCACCTAGCTCCACGAGCTCCCCCGCCAGCCCTAGCCCTAGCAACGGCTCACCGGGTGGCCATCGACGGCAAGGGCCAGCCCTTGCGTCGATCAAATATGGCAGTATTGCAGCTAGTGGCAGCAACAGCAGTCTAGCAAGCGATGCCAGCAGCGCTATATCCGCACTAGAAGCTGAAGAAAAGTCGCTTCGGGAGCGACTGATTGTGCTGGAGGAGCAGAAGTTCTTCGTGTCGGAGATGATCGCGGATGCGAACAGGCGTCGCAAATTCGATGAAGTTAGCAGTCTCGCGATAAACATTGAGGATCTCACACGGGAAATTGACCGGGTCAATGGAATGCTGGATGGCTTGGACTTTGAGGGCGTCTACACCGGTGCTCATCAGCAGACCTGATGGCTTCTAATAATACCAACTCTTTCTCTTGGTTCTCCGTTGCTCACTTCCATCATTTTTGCTACAACCGCAATTTATGGTGGCTTTGAGTGCATCGTTACTCTCTGTACATGATCTTGGCCACGGCGCGGGCGCAGGCGCGGCGTTTGCGGCTGGGTTCAATGAACTTGCATAGCATGGGCGTTGCGTTGTATGCATATGGTCGTATATAATTATGATCTCTTCATTCCCCTTTCTAGTCCAATTCTCTTCGCTGCCTCAAGCCTGTACTGTCGAACCAATGCTTGATACCATGAATAACAGCAGGCTTAAATTCGTTTGAATCTCATCCATTCACACGTCCTTAATTGAGAAGCCACGGGCAATTTCGGCCTATCATCCATGCATACCCTGATAGCGGAAGTACCAGGTGCATAAGCCCGTCCTGCAGGAAGCAGCTATCACGCACGCCGTTCTCCGTCCGTACCAAGCCAGAAGAAATGTGGCTTCCGGGAATTCGGCCTTACCACGCAAAATCGAGACCAGCGCACGGAGCACACTTACTACAACATTCCCTTCCCATGACGACTGAATCTCCTCAAAGAAAAACAACATAATAATAACAGATCATATAACGAACCAGTTCACCATGCATCGTAACTACGCCCGAGTTACAGTAGGTAGCACAAAGCACCGAAAGTCCCACCAGTGAAACTAGTTCTATGCACGCCACGCGGAGTAACCGGCACCCAACTCAACCCAACCCAACCGCATCCCGGTTCAGTCCAATCCAGGCTTACCCAGCAAGCGAAACCGAGATCCCCCTTCTTCCCCCCAGCCAGCCATATTATGAGCGTTCCACAAACCAATTGTGCGGAAAGCAGGGAGTCCGCTGCTCGGTGGCCAATTCAAGGACCATTCAATCGTATACACGTGGCAGTGGTTGCAGGTTGCCTTTACGGAAGGTTGAAAGACGTCTGGAAACCCCAATTTATTATTATAATTGTCGGATGTGCCCACCGATTATCTCTTTTGCCCCGTTTTTATCGTGGTCTTGCGCACTTAGTCGTTACCTGAGTGGGTATCAAGGTGGGTGAGTGAGTGGGTTTTGCTTTTACCCCTCGATACTACCAAATCGGCGGTAAGGCGATTGTCCTGCCTGATTGTTCTCTTTTCACATATCCGATTTTCTTCTCCTTTGATGAGTGCAGTGTGCGGGTAGAAGGATTTGGGGCCTGTAAATGAACGATTATTGAGGCTATGAGCATGCGAAATTGTGCATCTTTGGGGTAATTGCTTTTGTTTTCTCTCCCTCTACACTCGACGCTGGGATTGTGTGCTATCATGGCTGAGACCGACACCTCATCAGGCCCCAAAGACAAACTAGAGGTGGCCTTGTTCCTAGCCGCTAGCAAAGGGTATGATACCATTGTGACGCTTCTCCTAGGCACCCCTGGTGTGACTCTAGACTGCAAGGATGAGCTGGGCCGGACGCCATTCTTCTGGGCCGCGGCTGAGGGCCACGATAAGGTCCTCCAGTTGCTACTTGGAACCGGTGCAGTGGACCCGAACGTTAGAGAATCGAAACGAGGGCAGACGGCAATATGTGCTGCCGTGGAAGGCGGCCATGAGAGCGTCGTGATTCGACTGCTAAGTGTGGGGGCGGATTGCCATACTCCGGACCTGCAGGGGAAGACACCATTAGCATACGCGGTCGAGAAGGAGAGCACATCTATTCTGGATGCACTCCTAAAGGCCGGTGCAGATTCTAATGTGAAGGATGAGAGCGGCATGGCCCCGTTGTCGACTGCCGTAGTGAAAGGAAATCCGGACATCGCTGCGTTGCTATTGGACTCCGGGGCAGACCCCAATGCGGCTGATCCGAATGGACAGGTACCATTATCATCGGCTGTGCAGGATGATAATGAGAACCTTGTACAGTTGCTGCTGAAGGCAAAAGCGGAACCTAACGTGAAAGATCCTGAAGGGAGAGCGCCACTGTCATGTGCAGTGGAAGCTGGAAACGAAACTATTACACAGTTGCTGCTAAAAGCAGAAGCTGACCCGAACGTGAAAGATCCAAAAGGAAAAGCGCCGCTGTCCTGCGCGGTGGAAGGTGGAAACGAAGCCATTGCGCTGCTGTTACTGAGAGCAAAAGCGAATCCCGATGTGAAAGATGCAGATGAGAGAGCGCCCCTTTCATGTGCGGTAGAAGGGGGGAACGAAACTATCGTACAACTGCTGCTGAGAGCAAAGGCAAACCCGGACGTCAAAAGCGCAGAAGGGCGAGCGCCGCTTTCCTACGCCGTGGAAGCGGGAAACGAGACCATTGTACAGTTGCTGCTCAGATCTAATGCTGACCCTGATGTGAAGGATGGGGATGGGAGGCCTCCATTGCTGTGGGCGGTTGACAAAGAGTCCGAGGAGGTGGTGCGCTTGCTGATCGCGTCCCGAAGGGTGAACATCAATGCCGTGGATGATGGCGGTCGTTCCGCGCTGTGGTGGGCTGCGCGGTCTGGATATTTGAACATCGTGCGGCTACTGGTTCGATATGGGGGGGACATGGAGATTCAGCCATCCTCAGAAGGAGGATATGAGCAGTGTGGCACACCCTTGTACCAGGCTGGTCGGCGGGGCCACTTCGACGTGGTCAAGTACCTGCTAAAGAAGGGGGCCGACATCAACGCGCCGGCCGGGGAGCCTGGTCTGTCGCTACTAATATCGCTGGTGCTGTTTGACCGGAGCAAAAGGGGCAGACGAATGCTTGAGCTGCTGCTTGACAGGGGAGCCGATGTCAACTCGCAGGATGGCTCGGGACAAACAATATTGGACATCGCAGCAACAAACGGCGACATTGAGCTGGCCGGGCTAGCACTGGAACACGGGGTGGTGCTAGAAGCCACGGCGGAGGATGGCATGACGGCGTTGCATCGCGCAGTGCTGCATCGGCACGACCAAATCATGGACATGCTGCTCGAGGCAGGTGCAGACCCTGAGGCACAGGATGGTAACGGGGACACCCCACTGCATTTTGCCGCGGCCAGTGGCCGCAGAAACCTCTTTGAGCTATTCTTAGAGGACTCTGATATCAACGTGACTAACTTCTCGGGGGAGAGTCCACTACACAAGGCAGCACAATACGGTCGTCGAAAGATGGTCGAGTATATGATTCAGAATGGAGCCGATGTCAAGTTGTGCGACGACTATCAACGGACACCGTTACATAAGGCAGTAGGATCTGAGAACCACGTTATGAGGCTGTTGGCCAACCGGGGTGCCGATGTCTTCGCGGCAGACATGTTCGGACAGACTGCTCTTCATATGGCAGCAGAGGCCGGACTAGCGGAGGATGTCTACTTCCTGCTTGGTCGGGGTGTAGCTGGAGATCTTCCCGATGGTCGTGGACGAACGGCGCGGGACTTGGCCGCTAAAGGGGGAAAGAAAGATGTCATGAGGGTGTTCAAACGGATGGAACTGGTGGTTGCAGAGCATGATGATGACGAATCTTCTTTTGATGACGAATGATATAGATGACTGCCAACCTCAAATTGGACCTGGTTGCGGATTTCACCAGTTGCATCGCATGGCGTCTTTTGTGTTTACTACTAATACCCTTGCTGCTCGATGGACCTGGATGAACTACTACTACTTATCACAAAGCCTTGCCCTTATTGATTCATCGTCGAATGGTCATCTGTTTGAGGTAGCTCCTTCCTAATCGAGGAGCGGCGGCGAGTATAAACCAACCCCCCCCCCCCCCCCCCCCTCTTTTACCTCCAGTCTCGGATCTTCCTGTCGACTTTCTTTCCTTCTTCCTGTAGCTCCGGTGATTTCCATCCCATCAAGTGTCTGTCTGGTGTTCCGTTTTGCGTTTCTAGTCTCAGCAATCATTGTACTTCTCTCTTCCCTTTCGTTGTCTCACTATTTGATAGCTAGTATTTCTAGTATTGGCTTGTCCGGCTCATATTTGTGAGGGTGGCCGGGGCCGTGGCTGAGCTGTAATGCGATGGCTCGGGTCCTACTCCTTTTGATCTGATCAGGCATGCGGCTACCTACATATACGGGACTCTGTTGGATATAGCCTACGATTTTGAGATACAAACAAGCCTATTGTCATGAGCTTCTTGAGAGCGTTCACTCGCCAATGGGGGGCTTTTGCATGGGTCTCGACTCGAGGTTCTGCCATTACTGGGGTATTCCTTTACGTGGGCGAACAATGTGAGCATCTATCCTATCTATAGGAGATTCTCGGGTGATGTATGATAGAAGCTGTTCGCAGTTGCTACGAATGGCTCACAGTCAATGTTGTGTTGTAACCAATGGCCATATTCACGCAAATGGACTCCGGCTATGGCAGATTAATTGATACCGGCGACGCTGAGTGTTGGTAGTAAACATCAAAGAAGATGTAGGTAAAAAGCAAAAAAGAAAGCCCAACGCGGGGCTCGAACCCGCAGCCTTGAGATTAAGAGTCTCACGCTCTACCGATTGAGCTAGCCGGGCTGCTCGTTGAAAAACACTGTTTTCTTTTGTATTATACACCAAACTTAGTTGAAGTCATTTATCATCTTAATGAGTGCCGCTTCACTTGCACCTATGTACCTACCTACCCACACTATATTGGTTTCTAGTAGTATTTCCCTGCAAAACCTTTGTACAATAAATAATGAGTTATACTTGCAAATGGGTTCGTACAAAGCTGCCGTGGGGCCGCCGATTTCATTTCAGGGGTATGGACCATGTTCTATCTGTTGTATATATTTCCTGTTGATCCGCCGAAATATCTCCAGGTGCACGGAGGCCGACTAGGCCACGGCTCAGATAACGATATCTGTCGACGTACAAGGACCGATGAGCACCTATCTATGGGCTTTAGTCGCCCGATAAGTCGTGAGATGCTTAGAATATCGATGGAACGAATGACACACATAACCGCATGTCTATAACTTGACTACCCCAATTAGATGAAGGGACGAAGCCATGAGATTCACAGTTATAGAGAATGGGAAGCCCGAGACTTTAATAGTCCAGCTAACATAAAATACTGCAAGATATGCGTACAAAGGAGGACAGAAGCAAGATATACAATACTCATCGAAGATACCAAGTAGCCGAAATAGCAAGTATAGTATACCGGTAGACACCCAAGAAGACGGCAGGACGAAAGAAGCCGATCAACGGTCCAATGGGCCACAGATAAAATCCGTAGACAATCAAGTCACGCATCCACCCTCCCCTAAAAATTCCACGTCTAACCCTCTATTATTCTATGTGACCTAGCTAACAAAACCCCAAAGGTTTCAGTCAGCCATGTCTAAAAAGAAATCACTGTGAGTTAGATAAAGCATAGAATACTGCTACTCACTATTGGGCACCAGATCACAATGCCCAAATACACGCACACTAGGAACCGAAAGAGTACTCAGAAGTAGCCCGGAATACTGCCAGCTTCAAAAGGGCAGCTGCCACCGTACCTAATTGACTCATACTTTCGTCACCTTGAGGAATAATCCTGATCAATGATAGATGTGGGAAGCATTCACACCCGGTGAGATCGCAATATAGAGAAAACAAGCATTGAGATGGTTAGCTGCATAATAGTAAGACTAACTAGCATTTGGTTTATATTACCAAATACGCCAGCGTTCTTCAACGAGCAGCCCGGCTAGCTCAATCGGTAGAGCGTGAGACTCTTAATCTCAAGGCTGCGGGTTCGAGCCCCGCGTTGGGCTTTCTTTTTTTGCCGTTATATCTTTTATTCAAGTCAAGCTAGATGGATGACAAACACTAGGTAACCCCATTCATCCCTCTCTACCCCTTCCTTAATTAACCATAATCAACCCCAAAGTTCATTCATTCACTTTTTTTCTTTGATTCTTCCCCCCCTCCATCCACCTGTAAATACACTGCATAGAACAGATGCTCATAGACAAACAAACAGGATAGACACCGCCCCCAGAAGCAAAGTAACAAACCTACAACATAGGAAGAAGCACATGCACAAAGACACAGGTCATGGACAAAGAATCACCCCAAATGACATTCATTCCTGGTCTGCTATGGTTGAGCTCGATTCCCCCATCATCAAGCTCCTCCCAGCCTTTTCCTTGGCCAACACCCTGACAGTCTCAGTGAGTGACATTATTTGTTGTTGCAACCGCATGATCTCCAAAGTGGTGCTGTCAATGTGCACATTTGGGGTAGTCTCCTGCACAGTCTGTCTCCAGCCGTCATCAACGTCAAAGTCAACTTCCTCAGCCGCGTGTTCCCATTCCTGCACATTATCATCATCCTCCTCGCCGCGACGACGATTCCACTTAATTCGCCTAGCGTCTCGGACCTCGAAGAATGCTGTGATAACAAGAATAGGTGAATAGATGATTCCCATGATGACATCATTAAGCTTAGCATAATACTGCCGTGGTAGCCACCACTCGAACGGGAGCACCAAGAAGACAATCTCCAGCAGATTGAATGCTAAATAAATTGTTAGCTATCGCTAAACATAGCTAGTTGATCAGACATACGAGGTATAAAGACATTCTCGTCCGGGGCGCGCACAAATTGCATCGTCTTCTGCGCGAAGATGGCCAGGTACTCGTCAATAGCATTTCCCGAGATATCCTCATAGGCACTATTGTACAATGCAATAAGGATGTTCAACAGGACTAGAGTAAAGCCAGTTAGCCATACGAGCAAGTACCAAGAACGGGAAGGGGTATTCACTGGTCATGACAACAAAGTTGAACACGTAGTAGAGGATAATCCCAAATGGAAAAGCAAAGTCCTCAAAGGTGCCGAATTCTGGGCTCTGCATGACACTGTTCGCCATGCCCTGGACGATACCCCTTACTATGGGGGTATCGTCATCCACTTGAGCCATGCCGATGAACGCCTGGAAAAAGCCCGCAAGAACGACAAAGAGCAGAGCGAAGAATATTAGACTCTCCTTCATCATGACCCTTAACACCACAAACATGGCACCGAAAAAGCGGAAAGAGTCGAGATAAAGCATCATGCGCATCCAGAACATTGGTCCCGCAAAGGCTAGGAAGTTGTAACTCAATTCGTTAAGACTTTGTCTTTGCGCATCGTGGACAGACGAAGAGTGCGCCAGGGCAGCGATGCGCAGGAAGAAAGACACGGCAAGAATCGCGTAGAGTGTAGAGTTGAAGGCATTCCAGAAGTCTAAGTAGTGCCACCCAACCTTCCAGAGCTTGGATACCTCATCGCAGATGAATGCAAGTGTCATAACATAGAGGATTCCCTCGACAACATCTATGTCACCCGTGGGATTAACCGTGTTAATGACTTGAGTGTAGAGACCGAGATATATGAGGGAAAAGAATATCTGGCAGATGTTCTGATAAAGAGGTGCTCTCATCCGATCTGGATGGAAGTGAACAGCGAAGCTGGTGTTGTCCCTTTCCAGGTACGGAACAAAGTTCGTTGGGTTACCCTCTTGCTGACAGAACCATCCATTCCAGAGGTATCTGATACACCTTTGATAGCCCGAGGAGCCAATGACCCTCAAAGCATGGAGATCAACAGCACGCTCGATGACATTGGCTGGCATCGTTTCCTCGCCGTCAATGAAAATCGAGTACCGCTTCAGAAGAACATTGATGAGTAGCGTATCCTGATCTTCCTCGGCTTCGATTCTGCACCGGTAATCAGCAGAGGCTTGAACCATGCTAGGAAAAGGTGTATTACATTCGCTTCGCTATGACCTCACAAGCGATGGCTCGGCGTTCATGCAAATCAGAGTCCCAGAGTTCTTCTTGTGCCTGTATTTTGAACCATCGTAGACAGACGAGCAAGCAGAATGGGACGCAAGCCTGCAGGTCATCACCCCCTGCTAGCCGGGCTGTCTGAATCACATCCTTTGTGATGATTCGACTATTGGGATTAATAATGTCACTCTCGCCGAGCTCACAAGGAACAACCTGTTCGACTTGGTACTTCAGACGCAGAGCGACTTTTGTAACCTCCTTGGAAGGAAGAGTGGGAGGTGCTTGATCATCTGTAAAGGCAGGAAGCACTATGAACCCTGTTAGCCGACCGTATGTTGTAGAGCGGCTCCGCATTTAAATGACGTACACCGGTGTTGCTCCATATGCAGGCGGTGTCGGGCCCGCCCTCGATCGGTATTGAAAATATCTCTCCAGTGGCCCATCTTAAGATGCCCAGTTGAGTAGCCTGATAAACGGAATGATGGCAAAGAATAAAGTCGACAGGTGCTGAGGGACGAGCGGTTTTCAGAGTTACGCACCAGCTCGACTCTCTTTGGGACTAAGTCGGCCAGGCCGCGCGCCCCACCGCGAGCCAATCAACCCAAGCCACCAATGAAGGGTCCATCTCCCGAGGAGCAAATAGTACAAGAAGTCAGGAAGCGATTGTAGTACTGAGCACCGGGGAGATATATATAGCCGAGCTGCTTCCCAACGAAATTCAGGAAGGGCCTTATACGTCAATGTCTAAAACGACCACTTGGGTTGAATCGTTGATCAAAGAAGCTTATGTACATCAGAACATGGGAGAGCTCCTGTCGGCCGGAGCCCAGTCATCAACAGAGGTTCGGGAAACATCCACTGATCAACAATACATAAGGACAATGTGTATGGCACCATCGCCTCATGAGAAGAGAGGCCCCTCGATGGGATAGGGCCTACCCCACCGTCTTCCTACCTTGTTGATGATCTCGATTTCGTCCGTCGCACATTAAACCGTACTTCCGTCTCATAAATCGTGTCATGTCCAGAAACTCTATTGAACTTTTCCGCTCCCTACCCGACACACGTATACGCCTTCAATCTTCACTCTGCGATACCGCCTAATTCCAATTCGTGAAACGTTCTGTTTATTTTCCATGCCCCCGTCGAAGCGAGCCCTAAGTTTCAGACCCTGCCGTGAAGTTTGCCGCGGGCAGCTTACTCAGGAACGCCCTCATCGCTCTCGGACATGCTCTCATCACCGCTGACCTCCATGTTCTCACGTTCACGCTTCTCCATGAGTTCCTGAAGGGCGGCATCGTCGTGCTCGGTAACAGCCTTGGGCGCCATCTTGACGATGCAGCCACCACCAGCCTCCTTGATCTTGGCCTCGATCCTTTGGATGGCCTCCTCGAGCATCTGGATACCAATAGCTTTATCCAAGCACTGGCTGGTCAAGACGTAAAGTGGCGGGGCAACCAGCTTAACCTTGATCTGGGTCTCATCGGTGTTGTTGGCCTCGGCGGTGCGCAGGGCATCCTTGACCGCGTCGATACCGTCGTAACCGAAGCAAGTAACCTCAATATCGGCGCGAACCTTGGTGGGGTGAGGAGTAAGTCTCTTGCTGATGTAGTGCGTCAACTCCTTCTTCACGGACTCGCTGGGGAATTCAACTTCGTTCCACACGTCGGGGTTCCTAGGTTGGCATGAGCAAATTGGCCCGTAATATCCTCGTGTTCGCTAGGGCCTTACGTGATGGAGATCTTGAACGCATCGTGGCAATGCCCGTATTTCCGGTTCAGAGGCCATCCGATCTGCTGGTATAGGGTCTCGAGAGGGGTCTGAGTAGCCTCGGCAACATGGCGCATGATAGAGTGCACCGCCTTGCTCTTGTTGTATCTTTCCTCGCACTTGACCACATCTTCGGGGGAAACTCGTCGCTTGGAAAGATCGATATAACCTAGATACACAGAAGAAAATGTATCAGTAATTTGTGATAGTCACCGGGAGGACTCATACTTGCCCTTCTCCTTGTCGACACGGAGCACGATGACAACCTCGTTGCGACCGATACGGATGAGCTTCTGGATACTACGAATACGTCTGCGCGACAATTCGGAGAGCAAGATCATGCCGTCGATGTTGTCATACTCGAGGAGCTTAACGTATGCGCCCATTTCGGCGATCTGTATGGTTTAAGAAGCAACGGTCAGGGGACCTCCTCGACTCTGACAAGGAAATATAACCTGTAGTAATGCATACCTGCTTCACGTTGACCATGACATAGCTGTCGACCTCCGGATACTTCTCCTCGTAGAAACGGCAATTTGTCAACGACATTTTCGGCGGGGTTGCGCCTTCTGCTAGGCAAGCTTCTGAACGGTCCAAGCGCTGGAATAAGGCTGAAAAGCGATAGGGTATCCGAGACTAGGTGGCCTCGAGATAATGCCTCTGTAAAAATGCTCAAAAGGAGGTGAGGGAGTTGTGAGCCTGGATTGAGGACTGTCACTTATGGGGATCACAAAGCACAATTCGAAAAACCCACTTTCGGCCTCGCGGTTGAGTCATCACGTGCAGGGCTTGATAATTCACCGCCCGGCAAAACCCGATAATGCATTGATAGGCATCGGCATTCATGCTTCAGACTCACAGTAAGGAAATATTTTGACTTGACTGACCTATGTATGTCCTTTCTAAAAGACAACAGAAAATACAATTTTTTTTTCATCCTATAACAGCTTTTGAAGTCTCAGTAGGCTTTGGAACTTGCAGTGGCTGCCTAGAAGCTCTAGCCCATATCATCATTCTCAAGCAATACTTGTGTCGATTGGGACTTTCACTCCGTGTAATTCCACAGTACTATCGCTAATGGCGTGCTGGAGATATGACAAGCCATGACGTGTCGTAGGGTCTGAAAGACTGGGCTTATCATGCCATATATAAAAGTCTACCATGGTTAGAAGGATAGGCACACCGTGTATTTACAAGGTTATGCCTAACAGATGTATAGGTTGATGGAAGGACGTACATCAAATACATTGACTTTGAATATCAACGATTGTTATCACGGCACTTCAATTAAGATCTTCGGTGGCCACTAAGATGTTATCTTGGCTACCGCTATCTTTCACCGAAACCAGGCATGCATCCACCCTAAACCATCAAATCATACATTTGACAAACCTTTGCTGCACTTGCATATATATGCTGCTCCTAGCACAAACAAATACTGCCGGGATAATTTTCAAGCCAATCAAACAGTGAAAGAAGCTCTAGGAACTAGCAGCTGGGTTTGCGAACTACGAGCTCTGTTACTGTCTAGTACCTTCCACCGCTCATTGTTTCCACTACAAACTTTTGGAAGCCAAGCCTTTGACTAGTTTATGTGTTTCTGAAGTAATCTAGACCCCCTTGCCTAAAAACTTGCCCGATAAAGTCTTTCTAGACCAATGATATATCGACTTTTCATGCCGTCAGCCCCATGTTAATGGAGGGATCAAGCGCATAGTGCCAAATGATGATTGAATAGCTTATAATACTTAAGTTTGTTCAATCAACCTCCTAATCAATGACAGAGTAGAACGTATTCTTTCAAAAAACTCATATTGTACGAGAGGTGTATGACCGTACCCGAAGACTGACCAGGAACTCCTCTTCTATAGCTGGCCCAAGCTGTTATATGTTATTCTAGTGCTACAGAGACGTAGGAAAGATAGCAGAATTTACTGATCAAGCGCCTCCACTTGGAACTTTAGTGAAGCATTTCCCATATTCGTGCCACTGCTATTCTGAAGCTATAGAAGGGGGCGCCGGTCACCTCCAAGGGGGTACTCTTTCAGAACTATGGGTAACACTGCCATAACTACTCATCTTCAAATGTTGGTCTTCCGCTTAGTAACTCTAGTGGGCCTGTAGCACGGAGCCATGATGCGTTTAGCCTGACGATCGTGGCGATTGAACCAATCAAAACGATGGAAAATATACTTAGATCTGAGCAGCCCCGCATGGACGAGAGCATGTAGATACGGAACACATCGTGGATCAATATAATATCTACGACGGCTAGTCGGAGGCACAGTTGAAAGGGTACAAGGAGAAGTTTCTCAAGCTCCCAAGCATGGCATATAGCCTGGAGAACTGCACTCGATAGTTCGGGTGATGAGTGAATGTATCTTGCCTCCAGGTCGACCCATGTCCTAACGCTGGACAGAAAGAGGGACATGATCTTGTAGGGCAGCTTTTCATATTTCTAGCCATATCTCAATGATACCTCCGAATCTATCACACCGATTGTTAGTCAATAGATCGATGTCACATTTCTATACGACGAACCGGCGAAACTGACATAGAGATATATTATACATGCTTATTGGAAAGGCTCTAGAAGAACAGGAACACCTCGATATTCTTAAAAGTATAATGATTCTCTAGGAACTAACCACTTATCAAGAATAAACATACGGCAGTAGTGTATAGTGAATGAACTCTATGTTCCCTATTTGCTGTTTCGATATATATCAGTCGTCTATATTGGATATAAAATTCTGATGACATTCGATCTATTACCAACGCTGTATATGATTCGAAGTGATATGCAAAAACATTTGGTTAGGCAGTCTGTTCACCCATCGGCTTTCAACTTCAATTTGCGGCAAGCCACTGATCCTCGTCGTTCGCTGGATGGGGAGCAAAGAAATGATTAAGTATTAAGATATTGCCTATAGCTGCATGCTAAGCGACTGTATATGTGGGATCCGCTCGGTGTAGGTGTCTACACTAGAGAAGCCATTAGGGTAGAGCGGCTGATTCAACAGTGTAGGACAACAGCCTTTTGATGAAACAATGGGTCACGTCCACCATCATGACCTATCGTGTAAGTATTGCATGCAAAACACCTAACTTTTGTGGTGGTTACTGTGTGTAACAGACAGGGCTAGGTGCCTAATGTTGGGCAACATTGTATGAGCCGAATTGTCCCAATAATTGGATGCCAAACAAAGAAGCTTATGTAAGCAATCGGTTGTTCTTAGGTTTGAACGTCATCAATCTGCAGGCTTGTCGCATTGCAGATTGGGGAAGGAGGAGCACGCAGGCAAACTTTGACTGTGGTGCAGTTTCGCACACAAAGAATTTGGTATCCTGTTCTTTTGGTTGCCAACCACGGCCTGCCTGCCTTATCCGAAAACTTACGATTCCGCTAACGACGTACTTATCTTAGCCAGCTACGCCAGCAGCCACCGCTCCCTGCGCTAGTAATGCACGCCTCTTAACACGCTCAACGCTGTTGTGATTCCTTTTCTCCCCTCCTTCTCTCGCCGTCGACGTAGCGATCGCATATGGCGTATCTTGCATCGCTCCAGACTGCATTGACTGCTTGAGTCCGATCTCGTCGTTCCTCCGGGTTTCTCCGAATAAACATGTCGGATCCCGATTCGCAGGGCGGACACGCTGAGCACCGCTCTTTGCGGGACTGGGTTGTCGACTTCTTCTGGGGACCCCTGTCGAGCATTTCCGCAAATCCCCAGACAGAACAACTTCCTGAAACCCTAGAACCGAGCGATAGAACCCGCTTGTTGAAATTGGATAATGATGGAGGTCCCGCATATGGTACAAGAGACGGTACAGCGCCACCGGAGCAGGAACGCCGATGGGGTATATACTCGATGTCCCCGATCGATGGAGGGTCTGGTTATCCAGGAGAACATAACCAGCATGGCACTGGAGATCCAAACTTCGTCCAGGGCCCAGAGAACATCCCTAGAACTGGGTCAGAAATGGCGTGGCCTGTGAAGAACCATAAGACCATGTAGGTTTGAGCGTCTGATGAGTCCGATTGCGACAGAATGACTAACCAAAAATCCAGGTATATATCATACTACATTCCCTTTTTCAACTGGATCACCCAATATCGTTGGTCTTACTTCCGGGGAGACTTGATTGCAGCCATGACAATTGCATCTATCTACATTCCCATGGCGCTATCCTTGGCTTCGAATCTCGCTCATGCCCCAGCAATCAACGGCCTATATTCATTCGTATTCCATCCATTGATCTATGCAATTCTGGGAAGCAGTCCTTTACTGGTTGTTGGCCCAGAAGCAGCTGGGTCTTTGTTGACTGGAACGATCGTCAAGACTAGTGTTAGTCAAGGACACTCGCAAGAGGACGATGAAGCTGCTAGTGCTATGGTTGTGGGCGTAGCCACTGCCATGGCAGGGGCCATGATACTGGTCGCCGGCTTGACTCGATTGGGTTTCCTGGATAATGTGCTGAGTCGGCCCTTTTTGAGAGGCTTCATTACCGCCATTGGCTTCGTGATCTTCGTTGACCAGCTCATTCCCGAGGTTGGATTGGCGGACTTGGCTAAGGATGCCGGTGTCAGCCACGGAAGTACAGTGCAAAAGCTGGTCTTTCTCGCTGAAAATGTCAAAAGCTGTCACGGGCTTACAGCTGCAGTTTCCTTCGGTAGCTTCGCCATCATAATGCTCTTCCGGTAGGTATTACACCTCCAATAATACGAAGATCAATGCTAACTATGCGCCTACCTTAGAACGATTAAAAAAGCACTGGAACCACGATACCCCCAAGTCGTGTACTTTCCCGACCGCATCATTGTTGTCATTCTATCCGCCATCTTGACATGGCGCCTTGGTTGGTACGAGAAGGGGCTTGAAGTCCTCGGGGCAACTCAAAACACTGCTACTGGGCTTTTCGCATTCAGGTGGCCCTTCCAACTCAAACACTTAAACCATGTGCGCACTGCAATGAGTACCTCCTTCATGATTGCCATTCTTGGCTTCTTTGAGTCCTCTGTTGCTGCCAAGGGACTCGGAAAGAGCCGAGATGGGGTCCAGGGCATGTCTGTCAGTGCGAATAGAGAGATGGTGGCGCTGGGCGTTGCTAATGTGGTCGGGGGCTGTTTCATGGCTCTTCCTGCATTTGGCGGGTATGGCAGGAGCAAAGTCAACGCGTCCACTGGCGCCCGTTCTCCTATGAGCAGTATCTTCCTTAGTATCATCACCTTTGTTTGCATTATGGTGCTTCTGCCATACTTGTACTATCTTCCGGTAAGTTTTGTTCTCCCAGCCCCTGTCAGATTCTGAAAAGGCACATGCTGACCTCAACCCCAGAAAGCCGTACTTAGCTCTACGATATCAGTCGTCGCATACAGCCTTATAGAGGAATGTCCCCATGACGTTGCATTCTTTATCCGGTTGCGTGGTTGGACAGAACTTGCTTTGATGCTTCTCATCTTCGTCTCCACAATATTCTATTCACTGGAGTTGGGTATCGCTCTTGGAATTGGTCTCTCTATCCTGATTCTTATCCGCCACTGCACCCAGCCTCGCATACAGATTCTGGGGAAAGTAGCTGGTACATCTAACCAGTACGACAATGCCGAATTGCACGCAGAAAATGTGGAGCTCATTGAGGGCGCCCTTGTTGTTAAGATTCCAGAGCCACTCACATTCGCGAATACTGGTGATCTCAAGAATCGCTTGCGCCGGCTAGAGTTTTACGGCTCCAATCGCACACATCCTTCCCTTCCACGGTTGCGACCCCCCGAGCATAATAAGAACGTCATTTTCGACGTCCACGGTGTCACGAGCATCGATGGCTCCGGCACACAGGTCCTCTCCGAGATTGTGAATGAATACATCGATCTCGGAGTAAGCGTTTTCTTCTGCCGTCTCCCGAATCGCAACGTGTTTCGCATGTTTGAAAGAAGTGGCATAGTAGATCGGTGCGGAGGCATGTCACATTTTGTCACTGGTGTCGATGAAGCACTTCGGATCGCCGAATCTGAGGCCCGGACATCGGAGCCTTGAAGAAGTTTCTCCCGAAAGAAACCGGGATCTCCGGTCGCACAGCTGGGCTACTCGTCACGACCAGGCCTTGTAAATGATTCACGACATTGCACGATATAAGACAGACGTATAAAATGTATAGTCCCAGCATCTGTTAGATATGTTGTTGATAGCAGTCAAGATTAGAATCGTCAGCGGGGTTTTTTTTTCTCCTGGAAAATCTGCGTAAAAGTGTTTGTAGTCCGTGATTCTAATTTATCACGTTTCCTGGTCATCATTCTCACTCACCACAGCCCTGCGCACAACATCCGAGAGCAACACTTCGCAAGCCCGCAATGTGAGATGATTCTTCCGACCAGCAGCACCATCCGACTCGCCATTCTCACTAGCCGATGGCGCAGCAACCAATTTCAACCTGCCCTCACCACCAAGTAGAAAGCCCCCGCAGGCGATTTTCGCCAAACGCACATGCTCCTGTCCTTTTACAAAGGGACCGGCACCAGCACCAGCACCGCTCAAGTCAAACTTCATCGCCAAATGCTCCTCTAAGTATGCACTAAGAATGGACAGAACATCTGACTCACTTCCCGCACCATTGCCTTCAGCACGAAGAAACCCACTCAGTGACTCCCGCGGTATAGTGATGTTCAGAGAACGCAGATCCGGTGCAACGGAGGCTGGAAATGATAGCGTAAGATGGAGCTCTTTGAGGATGTCAACGGGATTTAAGGTCCCAGGCTCTCCTTCGGATGTGAGGGTGTTTATATATGTGGTCAACGCTGTGCCTATGAAGTGCGAAGGAAGGCGAAATGGAGAACAGTAAGTATCAAAGGTCGCAGAGAGAAAAGAGATGAACGTTTGTCGGAGAGGGGCGGGAAAGCGAGTTAGGAGGAGCGGAAGGCGCGTAGCGTGTGTTTGGGTTTGAGATCGAGTTCGGGCCCGGGGCTTTGCGGTGGGTTCCAGTTGGGATGTCAAGGAAGACAACGTGAGAAGAGCTGCTTTATAGGTTGTGTTTTCGTACTCGAGTGTCACGAGGATTCCGCCTCCTTGATGAGAGGGCGAAAGTGACGGTGGTAAGCGTTGGGTCCGGACTCGAGGTCGAGGTGGGCTTGACGGTTGTGATCCGTTCCCCGGGTTGTTTTCATCTTCAATTTCAGAGAGAGAGAGATTTAGAATGGGCTCCCAGGTACAGGATTGCAGCGCGCCTGTTCTGGAGAGCGCATCGTCCTCTGTCGCAGGGCCGCTGGATTGGACGGCACTAAGAAAAGAGGCCCCGGTTAATTGGTCGCGTAGTCGAGTCGCATAGGTTCTAAGAGCCACTGGGTTGTCGAGAAGAGTGTCGAACTCTTTTCCATGGTGGAGGGGTGAGAGACGGTGAAGTGCCCATGTGGTATTTAGTAGGCTTGTTTGTGCCATTGTGGTGTACTTGGGACGCGACGAGAGATCACATATCGTGATATTACAGCTCTGTCGGAAAGGGGACACCCTTTGAGCTTCCAGCCAGGGCAATAACGTGGATAGCTGATTACTTAGTTAGGAGCGCGACGATCTCCATGAACGCACCCTATTATGCAAACATGCCAAACATGCCAAACATGCCTCCAGATTTGGAAATTAGGGCATAGGGTTCATTCAGTCCGTAATGGCCCGAGAAGCCGTCCTATTACAGTGTGGAAAACACCTGAGCAAGACTAAGTTTCTATCATTTGTAGAAGCGACTGCTCGAATTAATATGCCAAAAGAGTAAGACCAAGACGCGCAAGTAGCTCGTGCATCAACATGGATATATTCTCCGCCCTGGAGTACACCAAAACACCAATGAAACGCCTCGCCTTGAGAATGCAAATAATGCAATGCTTGCTAAACCGACCGAATGCTTTATGCGCGCCATCCATCTGAAATGCGACAGTCTTGGCAGCAGAACAGTACAGGCAACCCAGTCCAGACCATGACTCGCTCTGCAGGATGCGGCGCTGCCTTTCTTGAGGCTAATTCCTCTTTCACAACATCAAACCAGACATCCTCCACAGAACCATGAAGGTGCACATTCGGTGCATTCTGGAAAACCAACGCGTTGATGTCGTCCTTTTCATGTAGTGTGATGTCGTTATGGAAGTTGTGCATGAAATCCTTCCGCTGCATCCGCTGATTGCCCCCGTCCCCAATCTCAGCGGAGAAGTACTCCACTATTCGAAGGAATGGTGACACTGTAAGCAGAGAACCAATCCAGCTGTCATCCGACACCGTAGGCTCATCTGGTGGTACAGTGTACCGCAGGTATGAGACTAGAAGCTGCATGCAGTGGTGTGTGGCAATAAGGGTAGGGGTATCAGTAAAAGGAGGTGATCTGATTATCTTTACTTGCAATTCCCGGTACATAGTTTTACGGATGTGGGGTGGTACAGGAACTGGCAAGCGTCCGGCTTCCCAGTCACGCAGAAGGATATTAGTCTGCTCTCGCCTGGCAAGAGCGTATGACTCGAGGAAGTATAAAGAATAATACCTGCACGCGAAAGGGTATGTCAGAAAGAGATATAAGGGGACGGTTGGGGAACTAACACATACATCAGTGGAGTGAGATGAAACCATAAGCGCGCGGTTGTTCGCTGGACAAACACATAGCGCTCAGCCTTGGCGGAGAACATCGATTTCATGAATGCTGTCTCATTGCGCACAAACCGATCCATGACACGGTCTGCGATGTAGCAGCAGAGCCTTGAACAAAGTGTCTGCCGGCGACGCAGGCCAGATATGTATTTGAAAGTGTATATGTGGCCACCCTTGGCACTCTTTGCCGGTGGGAACAGATCCGACAGCAGCACTGCATCATCCTCTGGGTTTCGAGTATAAGTCCTCTCGCTATCTATTGGGGATGGAAGCGTTCCATGGCGGCGCTGACGAAGGTATTGCCGGGTAATCCACTGTTCCTGCGAGTTAAGCAGCTGATGGAATGACTTGCAGACGAGCCTTAGCGGTAGGAAATCTGTGACACCGCAGTGGGCGAATATCTTGATTTGGATCTCAACCGGGAGAAGATCCCAGGGGGACGACGTTGGAACTAGGTTCACTCTGTCAACATCCGACGAGCATACGTTAGCGACGATCACGCCACAAGTTATAACTGCAAACTACCAACGTTGAATAGAGGGCAGTCAACTTACACTGACGACGATACCGATGATGGACCTGCAGCGTGCTTGGACGGATTATTCTTCTTGGCATCTGATTTCTTTCCTCTGTAATTGATGACAGCGCGCGCCTTCTTTGCTTGTAGCACCAAGTTATGGAACGAACTCATCGTCAAGCTCCAAAAGGCATGGGGAGACCAGCTCCAGCTTCAGGAACAGGATGGAAGAGCTTGTCACCATGCAAATCCCCTAGTCAGTCTTCTCGTCGATCGATTTTAAGGGATTCTCCGCTTGCGCCTTTTTGGGTCGAGAATAGATGACTAAGCAGGGCTGAGCAGCTGTTGCTATTTTAGAAACAGTCCACGCATGGAGGAGTCATATGCGGGGTTCCTGAATGCCCAGGAGATGGATTATTGGCGATGAATGGTGAGAAGAACAAGAGGGTGACATTATTTGAAGATGGAACAATGGTGGGAGAAGGGAGAAGCGCTCCCATCTGAAACTGGATTGGGGGTGTCAGTCTGCTAATTTGCGGCTGGCTTTTCTCTCGTTACTACTTTCTTTGACCCTGAACTTCCCAATCACCTTGGCTACAGTTTTGCCTGATACAATACTGCTTAAGCGATGCGATGGCTTGGTGTGAGCCAAATAGAAATTCCAAAGCAAGTCTTGTCGGTTGTCAGACCGTTGTTGCTACATTGATACGTTCATTTCAATGCGGACTGCAGAACCCGGCCTTACGTCATCTTGCAACAGGGGTACTCCATCCTGTGCCTGATTTGGTTGAACCGTTGAAGGACTGAGTACTATGGGGCCCAGGCCATGGCCTTGGGCCTGGCATCGCAAGTCGCAACATTATGCACAAGACATCATACAAAGCACAACAAAGCGCCGTCAACAGTCTTAATATTGAGCTGAAAGGCCAACTTCATCATAGACTTCAAGACTGTTAAAAGCCAGCAGTTTTTGAAGGTACTTCCCCCGATCATAGTGGCGGGTTATGCCTATTGCTTCAAGGTAAAGATGCCCAAGATACCTAGCTGGAATTGTGGCAGCATCACGATTTATGTTTAAGAAAAGGTACCAAGCAGAAAAAGAGCGAACAGATGCCTAAAAAAATCACAGTGTCTACAAAAATAATGCATCATCCGTGAATCGAACACGGGCCTCATCGATGGCAACGATGAATTCTACCACTAGACCAATGATGCCACTTTCTGGATAAGCAGACCTTCAAAGTATATAAGATAAAAGCTAAACTGCAGCTTGTGAGCCGGTCTGACATACCACCCTTACAAGCCAACTTTCTATTCAATATGTGACAAACGCCGTTGGCAGAATATGATGTTTTGGGAGTAAACTGATGCTAGAATGTAAATCAACTACGATGTATGATCTTAAACTTACAAGAAGTGCACGCATTCAAAGTCTACACGCCCCCACTCACAGCTGTTAGTGTAAGAGCGGGTTGAGCCGAATTTTGTCGGTTAAAGCATAGATATTTGTAGCAATTTCCTTTCGTGGTAATTGATGTCAAGCTTGGAAGTATGCACGAACGATCCACTACCTAACTTGAAAGTTCCTGGCGGAATTGCCTGATTCATTGATCCCTTTCCGCTTTCCCATTCCTGTCTCCACTCAGTTTTGGCCTCAGTCTTCACATCTTAAAATGACAATGAAGTTATTTTTTTATTTTTCTGCCCGATGCTTTTGAATGAACCGCTGTACCCAGCTTGACATGCCCTAAATCAGAGGGAGGGGTCGAATATTGAAAGCATTGCGATTGCACTTCTTTTTGCCCAGTGCGGGACTAGTATGGCCCGACGACTCGCGAAGGAAGCACTGCCTCATTACGCCCGATCACTTGGCAAGCAAAAACATGATGGGACTTGATCCCATGCTTCCTATAAAGAGCTTTGCTGTAGCGGCATATCCGACCAAGCGCAATGTGGCTCTGATCTCCTAATATTATATACTATCAAATAGGATGCCAAAGACATCTTGAACAATGGTGTACCTTGTTTCCCGAATCGATATACTCCGTGCCCTGTTTAATAATGACAATTATGGTATTTATGTAGGGTAATCATTGCACAGCATAACCCTAATCCTTCGACTGGTGATCCTTATACGGGATCACCAATTAATGTCTCAAAAAGGGCTGTGAGCTCAATAGCCATGGGTCAGCCTTACTTGGCGAGAGATTGGTCGGCCACTAGAAAACTTATAGAAGACACAAAGAGCTCACGTGGGTATTGACAGGACACCTGCATACGCCTAGTACCGGGGCAACAGCCGGACTGCCGGAGGTATGCAAGCCAGGTGATCAAAGAACTTAGCATGATGTAATTTGCGTGACCGGTCAGTATACGGAGTAGCGTCGGCGAGGCCATAGGCAATATCCGAGTCTTGAGCCTTGGAGGATTTAGTACTCTCACGCGCCTTGCGACCTTATGGGCGCAAGTAAGACATTGGGGCAGATTTGTCCGTCTATGACGATAAGTGCGGCAGAGCCTCGAGAAGTTCGGACCCGTCTCGGAAGCTAGAAGTCTATAAACCCCTAAGAGGTGGGTTTCGGGCCTTTTGAGTTGCTCAGCCTTGGGAGGCGGAGTAATAACTCCAAAACTCCAACCCACAGTCCAACTACGCACTGGTACGTAGCCAACCCGCTGGGCGCCGAGCCTCAGGAATCAAGGGTTCAAGGCGCCCAGGGAAGGAATGAACTAGCTCCTGCAGTGTAGACTGGTAGAACCGTAGGAGATCAACTTGCAACCTTAGGGGCCAGGAGACCCCAAGAGGCCCCATCGGACCAAAACTAATGACCCACAGCCACCGATGCGGAGAACATCAGAGTTTACATGGATGACGGCGCAGGTGGTAGCACACAGTTGATAGTACTAGCTTAGGGAAAACTCCTATCGAGTGGCTTGACTTAACCCGTGAGCTGTTCAACGGTACTAGGTATTTAGTTCCCCCTCACCCCCTCTTCCATGGTCATGATTCTTAATCCCTCTTCATCAGTCATTTATTCCGACCCCTGCTTCGTGCCCGTCTCTAACGTTGCAGCTACAAATCCAACCCGACAGCCTTTTATCGCTCTCTCAACATTCGCACACTCATCTGATTCTCAAGCATCTGCAATTTCGAATCACGCTTCTACTTCCACCTCACGCCTGCAACTTGATTCTAGTCCAATATCAACCACATACCTCCCCGACGACCTACAACTGACCCCACCTGAAACAAGATGTCAGCCGAAAGAAGTGCAGATATCAACGGCAAGGCACCAGTCCACCACCAGCCTACAGAATCTGCCCGCGAAGCAGGTTTGGTCAATGTGCAACCAGCGCGCCCGGGAGATCTGCAACCCAAGTATGCGCAGCAAATTCAGCACGGCGATGACAACCCCGATGCGCATGGGTGGTACGCATCATTCAGTAAGCCTCGCCCTTGTTTCATAGTCGTGGTTTCCGCTATCACTGTTGGTCTAACAAGCTTGTTTCACGATTAGTTCACGGACTTGGAGAATGCGTCGGATGTTTGGGTGCCATTCCATGCTGCTTCTGCTGTCCCAACCCATTCAAACCAGTTGCGCAAGGTGAAGTTGGCTTGATCACAAGATTCGGACGGTTCGTAAGCCCTTTTACGGCAACACTTAGGATATATCTTCTGATATTTCGATTTTGTTTCCAGATTTGAACGCTCTGTTGACCCCGGCCTGGTCAAAGTGAACCCGCTGAGTGAGCACCTTACAGCGGTGGATGTCAAGATTCAAATCGTCGAAGTACCTCGCCAGAGCTGCATGACCAAAGACAATGTCAATTTGAACCTGAGTTCTGTGATATACTACCAGATCATTTCTCCCCACAAGGCCGCATTCGGAATCTCAAATGTACGACAGGCGCTTGTGGAGCGCACTCAAACTACACTGCGTCATGTCATTGGAGCGAGAGTTTTGCAAGACGTGATTGAACGCCGTGAAGAGATTGCTCAGTCAACATCGGAAATCATTGAGGACGTTGCTGCTGGATGGGGTGTCCAGGTTGAATCCATGCTCATCAAGGACATTATTTTCAGCAGTGACCTGCAGGACTCCCTTTCTATGGCGGCGCAATCCAAGCGTATTGGTGAAAGCAAGGTCATTGCTGCTCGTGCTGAAGTCGAATCAGCCAAATTGATGCGTCAGGTACAAACTAGTTCTGGTCAGGCTTCTCAACTTATGCTAATGTCTTGATTTAGGCCGCTGATATTCTATCCTCCGCACCTGCGATGCAAATTCGTTACCTCGAGGCAATGCAGTCTATGGCTAAGACAGCCAACAGCAAAGTCATCTTCTTGCCGGCAATGAATCAGACTGTGCAGCAACAGCTGGCTACAGCTGAAAGTGCTGGCGAAGGACCTAGCCGGTACGGACAAGCCGATGATGGATTCCAACGTGCAATGAACGCGCGTGTGGTCGAAGATATCTAAGCGGGATATACCGCGATGACGAAATTGTGCAGGGCGTGACGATTATTTCATTCCTGATGAGTATATGGTAATGATTCGTGGGCGCTGTCTATATTTCGGGGATTTCACATCGCCTTATAGCCTTGTGCCTTTCCTCTCGTTTACTTGGCTTTGACGATACCCACCTTCTTTTGTTCCATGCTTGTGATACATTAGTAATGCGTCCATGTCTACTTTAGTAATTTAATCATTATTCTGCTCTTCAGTCTCTGCCTGTATATCAGGCGTTCAAACAAAAATATTGATCACACCGTAGACATATAGTTATTACTGCACTTTTCTGGGTCACAGATTCTCATCTGCCTGGTGGTAGATAAGCATCAAATACTGCCGAGGGCGGTGTAAAGTCAGGACGTCAGCAGCAGTGGCTGAAAGCGAATTCGTAGACAAGCATACCTTCTGACGACTTGTTGTATTATCCCCTGACCCTTATCGATGAAAATCCAATTTGTGCAATAGGGCTATTTGACAGGGCGTACCTGCCCCTCAATGCTCCATAACACGAACACTTTATCGACTCGATGGTTCCTTCACAGACCCCCAGTCCAGCTCCCACAGCTGCCAGAATACCAAGCTCACGCCCATCGTTTGAGATGACACCAGACTTCACTGATCAGTCATTTGACCCCGCTGATTACCTTAACAATGCTCTTCCCCCGCTGACGCTGGCGTCGACGCAAGCGAACCTCTCGCGAGGACCCGCGGGGGCTATCCCCTTGTCCGAGCTGTCCAGCCAGGTCCAGTCCGTCCTCTCACAGATCAACGCGCAAAATGCCCGACATTCTACAACATTAACACAACTTACCGACGAGATTCTACGAAGTGGGGGGCGATTAGCCTACGAAGTCGAAGTGCTGCGTGGAGAGACGATTGGACTCTCGGATACCTTAACTGAGGCGCTACAGGGCGAAATTGCGAAATTTGTTCCGGACAATGTGGACCATGACAAAGATGCTGGCATCGAGGAGTCGGAACATAGCGAGGAGCAAATAGAGCGAGAGGAGGAGATCCCCGTGCAGGACCCGGAATATATCACAAAACTACGAACGTTGAATCAAGTCCGTGCCCGGTTGGAAGAAGTGGTGCAGACATTTGGAGATGCCATGGAATGGCCACTCCCACCATCGGAAACGTCAATAGCGTCGTCCTTCATTTCAGTGTCAGCCCCGGATCCTGGACCTGAAAGCCACAGCCGTGAGGAGAAGGGCCAGGAGGTTGCCAAGAAGTTGCGGATGGAGGTAACAGAGCTTCTGGATATGAACGGTGGCGGACAGGCAGGAGTCGAAGCTGCGGCGCGTCGTGTTGAGTCGCTACGTACCCTGTCGTCAACTTGGAAGGGGACTGCCGAGGAGAAAGCCCGCAATAGGTTTGTAGACAGCCTGGCCAAGATTGTGGATGACCGTCGCAAAGCCCTGGACAACCAGAATCGCACGGATCAATCCCAACAGCCATCTGGGTCGTCTACTAAGGGATCATCGGCTAGTCATCGGCGCCAGGAAAGCGAAGGACCCGGGGGTGGAATCTTCCGCAATCTGCAGCGGTTACGAGAAGAAATATACTTGGAATGAGCCGGGCAGATTTTAGAGGGGTATGCTGTACATTATGGTTGCTTCAAGGCTATTGCATTTTTGTGGCGTTGATAGTGTACATAAGGATTGCAAGTGATAGTACTGTGTGTCTGCATGGTGTGCCTTTCCCCGGGTTCTCGGAAAATTATATGATAGGCGGTCTTTTCAGAGATCGGTAGCTAGTATCCGGGTTACCCATCTAGAGGTTATCGCTTCTCATGCGTTTTCCGGGCTTCCAGCTGCGTGCTTCGTAAATCGCCTGTCTTATTTCAACCACTCCTAAGCCCTAAAGGACCACGGTTTGAGACGGCGAGTCCGGGCTACATAGGGTATGGCCGGAGGATCTAGTTCCAAAGTAGATTGAGAAAGGTGGAGTCATGCACAGGGAGACGTCAGGTATCGACGTAGGCCGAAGATAGGGTAAGCATTGGACTAATGAGCAAGCAATCTGAAACCACCATGCGACTGATGCCAAGATGTGGAGGGCACGGGCAGTATGGATGTGCAGGCTCGATGACGCGGCAGATTCGAGGATGGCGTTTCCCGCCGGAATCGCTTAGTGGGATGAGTAAAGCCGCCCAGGGACGACCCTTCAGCAACGAGAGGTATGCGGATGATGCGATCTGTGTTAGCACCTGACCCGGTCATCGAATCCAAGGAAGTTGCACAGTGCTCTGTCGGGACGTTAAAAAGAATAGCCCGGTGGGACGAATGGATGCGGCGAGGGATATCGCAAGTCGCAAGTCGCAACCCCGACGGAGACCAAGGCCGGGAACCAAAGAGGAAAAGCGAGGAGCCATCGATTGAAACGCGCAGGAGGAGAGGAGGGCAGGCCAATGGCCGGGCCACATCTTTCCCCAGTCCCTGACCGGCCCCACTGGCGACGTAAATCCTGGCCCAAACTGGTCGCTTTCTGCTGAAGTGGTCTTCCGCCCGGCGTCGTCCTTGACCACTTCCGCCGTCTTCTTTGCGTTCTGTGTCCGCGTGGCATGGATCTCCTTCCCGACACTGCAATATTTGTCTTCACCTCATTGCTGTCGTGACCATCGACTGGTATTCTCTCCGCTTCAGCATGGCATCTTGTGTCTCCATTGAATCATCTTAACCCTGCCTCTTCCCGTCCGCTTCGCCGCTCCTCCTGATCGCATGTCCCACTTGCAGGAATGCTTATCGTTGGGAAGACCCTCTTTCACATTGGCTGAACTCGTGGAATCTTGTCTGGTCAGCACGATCTGACATCAAGTCGGATCATCCGTCGCCCCTGTCGTGCGGTGGTATCTCAATTAGAGTCAAGGTTTCCACATCCCGTGCTTTCGGGATGTCAATCCAAGGCATCCTAGACGGCCCATGGGCCGATCAATATCACTCCGTGCAGTCGTCTATGACGAAGCTATGGCAGCAACAGTTTCACCCTCGTCGTCTAAGGGCTCGTCCCATCAGAACTTTGATGCTCCTAGTCGCTACATGCTTCTTTGCCCTCATGTTGCTGTCGCACTCTAGCGAAGTATGCCAATCTGAAATCTGCAAGTTGTTAACGAAACTGACATAACACCTCTTTCCTAGCCATCTGTTAGCTACTGGCTGAAATTTCCATCGTATCCCCCCTCTCGTGAGCGCCCTGAAGACACGCGGATGCTCTTTCCGGGAGGACATACGCTGAACCGAAATGATTCACTTCCACATAACTTACAAAAGTCGAACCCGTCCTTCCACCTCCTCATACCCGCATCGCACAAGTCCTCCTCGCTCTGTCGCACCTTAACGTCGTCTATGATACTGAACTATCCGCCGCCTACATTGATTAGCTATGGCAAGGCGGTTCCGGAGGGGTACACAGAATATGCTGCTATGGTGGACCGGATAGCTGGCATATATAATTATCTTGCATATAGCTCGCAGATGAAGGATAACGACCTCGTTCTTATTGTTGACTCGCAAGATTCTGTCTTCCAACTGCCACCTGAGGTGCTGATCCAAAGGTTTCAAAATCTTCTCAGGGAGAATAACGCGAAATTGCTCCAAAAGTATGGCACTGTGACGGTAGACAGGCCCTACCGTACAGGGTCACAGGAAACAGTACAGAAGTACTCTCAAAGAATCATGTTTGCAGCAAGCAAGGAGTGTTTCCCCGGGCTTAACTTAGACGCAGGGTGTGTTACTGTCCCGCAATCGAGCCTACCGCCAGACGCTTATGGGTGGAAAACGGATATTCACCCGCAGGGACATCTGAATAGGCCGCGCTGGCTTAAGCCTGGCGCAGTCATCGGTCAGGCGGCTGATCTTAAAATGTTATACGCCGAGGTCCTGCGGTTTGTGCATCAACATCGCAATGCGCGGGGTGACTATCTAGCAATGACGCAGATGTTTGGTCGGCAGGAATATGTGCGGGAGCTGGAGAGGCAAAGCACTGCGAATGGATTCAAGGAATGGCTGTACACGCTGATCGGCATTTCCGATGCGTCAAATATAACAGGAGCCACTCAACCGCATCTTGAACTTGGCACTCGATACGAATATGGAATTGGAGTCGACTATGAGTCTCGCCTGTTCTTCAACATGCGTAATGCTAAGATGGATGTCGAATGGCTCCACTACAACAATGTCAGCAAGACTTCGGCAGTGCAGATGCAGCATGGAGTCCCTAGAGAGAAACGCCTTTTGATTCCTTCCGATATTACACCCGAGAGCATTGGCAATCCGTTCATTCAGCCCAAGTTTGGCAAGGATGACTGGCCGAACCCGCCGCTCAATGATACTCTTGATAAGCTTCCGAACCCACGCAATCATACCTGGCACAACCTTCCATTACTGACGAACATTCACTCAGCATCTGTTCCGGCTCTGTTACATTTAGACGGGGATCACACAGTCCTAGATAAATGGTGGTCAGAGATGTGGTATCAACCATGGGCCCGTGCCCTTCTCCGCAAGTATATGCGCACCCCGAATGGGTTTGACGCCGCTCAATCATCCCTACTAGGAGGACAAGAATGGTGGGATATGCGTGGCGGTAAGGGGGGTCTCTGGACCGATAAGGGCGAATGGCTGGCCTATACGGAGGTATGTGGAAGCTACGACAAAGAGCTATTCAACGACGAACTCGGACCATTTGGTAAGGAAAATGGCGAAGATGCGGACGAGCCGGTTTACAACCGATTCGGAAATGTCATCAAGGGCAAAGAAAAAGCTGAGGTGTGGTGATTGTTCTCTGGGACTGGTTCTTCAGAGACAACTTATTGTCAGCCGAGATTGTCTTCGGAGATACGGCTCTCATGGGAATGCTTTCTACCCAGATACGCATTCCTATTATTCCCTTTGCATATATTGTCCGTTTGACACTGCGAAATGCAGTGACAGTTTGCCATTAGCTATGGCAGTGCATATTTACATGGTGTTTGGGGTTATTCTCATCGATTTGAGCGAAGTGGTATGGTGAAATGCCTTTGAATGTGTGTTTTTTCCTTATTGCCTTGCCCTTTCTGCCTTGCCGGTTTCATTGCAGTCGGGCATAGAGGCCGTTTCCCTTGTATGATATTGATATTCCTTCTCACCTGGGATGAAGGAGTGTCTGCCCGATACCCCAACATATACCAGATTCGTTGTATAGATAGATATAAAGTTAAAAATGGCTATGGCACGCAGTATGAAAGAAGCTTGGTATATTTATAACCTGAGAATTCTATCCCTCCTCATCCATGCCCTCTCCTTCCGGTTGCCTCTTCGAGCCGAGCGTCTCCCGAATGATGGCCAAGACATTCGCGACGTCCTCATTGCTCAATCGCTCCTCTCGCTCCTCAATGACGGTGTCCAACAGCGCAAGCGCACCGTAATCCTCCTCTGCCATCTCCCCCTCCCCCTGTTCTTCACTTGCTTCCGCCCCGTCCACATCCATCCCATTCGTCTCCTCCACATTCTCCTGTTCCATATTCTCATCCTCCTCTCCCTCGCCTGCTTCGTTGTCACCCTCCGTCGCGGGTGTGATTAGTCCCACACCCAGGTTGACAATCATCAACACTTCACCCTTCGTTAGCCCATACGGCTGTAATCTGGTGACAAGCGCACGAAGAGCATGGTCTAGCGGCGTGGGGGTATTGAGCTGGGAAGGAGATATGGATGACTGTTGGGTCTGTGACTGAGCTTGTATTTGCGACGGGGATTGGTGTGTGTATTGAGGATAGTTGAGAACGTGAGGGGAGAGACGGGTGACGTAGTTATGAATCTGTTGATCTGTCAGTCTCATGTACTATCCATACCAACAGATATGTTCAATGTGTTGTGTGGCCCAGAGCTAGATCGTCTACGTATCTACGCAGTCGATGACCTGCCAGCTAGCTGGTACCCAGGGGGTTATATCCGGTTGATAAATGCCCGGAGAGATACGATATCAATACACACCTCCTTAACGACAGTATTGTGATCCCGCAAATCCGGGCTCGGAACCCAGTGTCTTGAGTTCGGCGGCGGGTTCGGTGGTCGCCGTGGTGGATTGGCCGTTACATAGGCTAGGACCTCGATATTGGTGAGGACGGCGGATTGGGGATCGACGATCTATTCGCGGGCTTAGTAAATATTACAGGAAGGGTAATTGGGCTGACATACCCTCATTATGGCGGTTTGAATGTATAGATCGATGGATATAAGCCGATCGTGGGGTGGATAATGCGACGCGGAAAAAAAGCGATGGAATGCGGGGCGGAGAAAGAAGTGGTCTGATTATGCCGGCTATATACAGAGGAGCGGTGAAGCCATGCAATCAAGCGGGCGGAGGGCTTATCCCCTCCCCTCCTCGGATCCGGCTAGTCTCGCGCCAGGTACACACTCTCGCCCACAGGTCTGGGCTGCACATTCCGACTTGCCTCGAATCTGTACTGGTTCCCCCATTCCATTGCTTCTTTCTCTAACAATCCCAATTCGATTCCATTTAGTACTCCTAATTTTTCTTGTAAATCTCTCAACACGCGAAGTACCCAAGTCCGACAAGTAAACACCCCATCGCCGTTCAGCTTTTCATCGTGGCTTCGGAACACGCGGTCTAAGGTCTCCTGTGCTGACATAGTGGAGGATATTTTGGCGATTTGAAACAGCCCAACGAGGCAGAAGGATTTGAGGATGCCGATGCCCGATTCAGGGCCGTGGGCGGCCATCCAGCCGTTGCCTTCATTGCGGATGTGGTATTTGGTGCCGCTGTCGGAGCGATGATGGTAGAGGGCCCAGTGGTAGTCGTTAGGCTTCGGTGGATCATCGCGAATGAAGAGAGCGATGTAGAGCGCGCTAGAGTCCATTATTAAGATCTATGTGGTTGAGTAGGTACAATATAGTAGACGATGTTTGACAGGAGAATCAGGAGAGAAGGTGGAGTACATCGTGCTGCTACGTACTTACAGGAAGGGTCACCTGCCACAGGCACGTACAGTGACTGCCTGCAGCGAGAAGTGCATGCAACTCAATACCACTCTTGTTGTTGGAAAATAGATGTTTTTTTGTTGATCGTAACTGTGTTGATTGATTTTAGTTTTATAGACTTGCAGTCCTGATTTCTATCTGAGTATTCCAATAAAAGAATGGGGGATCTCTATAGTACGTTAGGTGCCTTCCTATTGATATAAGAACCTACATCGCCAGATAGATGGCACCATGTATCTTCCTTGCGTTGAGGCTTCAATTCTGCAGCACTTTCACTATTTATCGCTCATATAGATACTCCGTACGGAGTATTTATCTGAGTCCACTATAACAGACAAGCTATCGAGCTAAGCCGAAGTGAGACTAGGAGGGGATAGAAAAGATAGCGGACAAACGCTTAGCCATATTATTTCCAGACCATAATCTGCAGGATTCATCTCATCTGCCTCTGTCTATCTAGTATGTTTTAGAGACGACGACACTTATGCTTCGGACTAGTTATCTGCTCTTGTCTTGCTAAATAAGGGGTGTGGTAGGCAATAATGAAACGACTCGACTCGACTTGTAAGTCGCGTGCCTGTGGACCCTTCAACAACTCTGGAAGCCCATGGAATGGAAATTGTTCTGAACCTGACCTTCCCGCCGAGTCTGGTGGTGGGACGACGAAACTCTACCTAACCTGGATTACCTGAATGTTGAATCATCATTTGTCAAGTCTTCCTCATCCGTTGTTCTCCTACGGAGAAATGATATCCACCTGGGACATTGAAAGGCCCTTCTCGATATCCACAATGCCTTCAAATCCGAATTTGTCAAGTCTTTGCAATCCATTTCCGCTTCTGAGGGGCCCACCGAGCCCAAACTTTGATCGCCTATGATAAGGCGACGACTCAGTTGATTCCCTGCCTATATCCACCTCACCGGTCCCTCTGGTCAATGATGGCATCTACAACGATCAGATAATTGCGCATGAGGAAACGATCGGCGAAAAGGCACTCTCCTGAAACGAAAATATTTCCTACCTATGGGATCCATATTCCGACTCGGTATACGAACTAGGTACGAAGGACTTGCGATTGTGGGACTCCGAGCCGTTTCCTGTAAAGAATTTGCTCATATCGGAGGGATTTGGCACGGAGCTAACAGGCGAAAAAAAGACCTAGGCCTTCCTTTGACACAACCGGCTTCATTTCCCTCATGGACTAACAATCCATTAACTAAGAGGAAAGGGGGGTGGCATAGTGATGCACAAAAGCGTTTATCCGGAACTCTTGCCTTCCGTATGATGATGATACATAAGATACCTGTCTGCTCACCAGGGGTCAAGTATCTGCCATCGCCAAAGACACATCATCATGAGATCTTTCCTGCTCGCAGGCCTTGTTGCCACCAGCTCCGCTATCGGGGCTGCAGCCTCTAGACATGCTCACGCTTCCGCACAGAGCGACGCCTACGACTACATTGTCGTAGGTGGAGGACCGTCTGGTATCATCACCGCCGAAAGGTTGGTGGAGGCCAACAAGAAGGTTCTGTTGTTGGAGCGAGGCTATGGTCCTACTGTGGCTACCGGGGCCAACGACACCCTCAGCTGGAACAGCACCTTGACCCCAATTGACCTGCCCGGGCTGTCTGCCGATATTGGTGCTCTCCCTCAGTGGGAAGAATACATCTGCACCGACACGGCTGGATATGCAGCTTGTGTGCTGGGTGGTGGTGTGACTGTCAACTACATGGTCTTTGTTCACCCCCCGGATCACGATTTCGATGATAAGTGGCCCACAGGATGGAAATGGGACGACGTCAAGTCTGCTGCAGACAGGCTGTATGAGCGTAACCCCGGAACCATCCTGCCCTCCGCTGATGGCAAGCGTTACGATCAAGGTCTCTACACCGTGCTCTCCAACTTCTTCAACAAGCTTGGGTGGAAGTCCGTCGATATGATCACCCAGCCCAACGAGAAATACGAAGTCTACAGCTACCCTGCCTGGAACATCAAGGACCAGGTCCGTGCTGGACCCGTTCGCACATACCTGCCCTTGGCCGAGAAGAGCAACAACTTCGATCTCCGCCTTGGCACCAAGGTGCTTCGCCTGCTGCGGTCCGGTAGCCAAGTGACCGGCGTGGAGGTGGAGAACTCATCCGGCTCTCGTGAGAACATCACCATTGCCGACGACGGAAGAGTCGTCCTCTCTGCAGGTGCTCTCTCCACTCCCCGTATCCTCTTCAACTCCGGCATCGGACCCAGCTCTCAGATTGAGATCGCCGAGGAGAGCGGCGTCACGGTGCCCCCCAAGAAGGATTGGATCAACCTCCCCGTCGGTATTGGCGCCAAAGACCACCCTATCTTCTCCATCATCGTGAAGACCAACGGTACCTATGGCCTGCCCGATTACGACGCCATCGTGAACGGCTCCGACACCACCGACATCAGCCTCTACGGCAAGGGCAGCGGTCTCCTCACGGAAGGAAAGCACCGCATGATCTTCTTCACCTCGAACGACATTGACGACCAGACGCGCTACTACCAAGGCTCCTGTGCACCCACCGGCACCGATTTGGTCACCATCACCGCTTACATGACCCACGGTCTCACCTCTTCCGGTGTTCTGGGACTGTCCTCGGACGGCTCCACCGTCTGGGACAAGGAGCCCTACCTTACCACTGCCGGTGATGTCGCCGCCGCCACTGCTTTCATCGAGCAGATGGTCGGCGACCTGACCGACTCTACCGGTTTCACCCTGGAGACTTACACCAACGTTACCCAGATCCTCGGAAGCGTTAGCCCCGGTATGCACTACACTACCACGGCTAAGATGGGCACCGACGATGGCCGTTACGGAAACGGTACCTCGGTCGTCGACACCAACACCAAGGTCTACGGAACGGACAACCTGGTACGTATACCCCCAACCCCACTCAATACTTTCCTAGAAGATCATGTACTAATAAGTTATCTCGTATAGTTCATCGTCGATGGCAGTATCCACCCTGACCTCCCCACCGGTAACATCCAGGCCACCATCATGGTTGTTGCCGAGGCTGCTGTTGCTAGAATCCTTGCCCTGTAATGATCTCCATTAGCAGGTTCATAGCTCAAACTACCTTGGGCATGATAGCTTCATTTAGTAGGCGGAGGTCGCAGGGGAGGGTGCCGTCTGACGTTCTTACCATAAGACGCTGTATTATTATTATAATGTGTTAAGTTCATACCAGTAGGCCAAAACGGAAATCCGCTGGCCATCTGGAGAACAGACGGAACGAAGACTCTGTGTCCCAACATAATGTTTTCAAATAGAATAGCGGAATAGACATTGATGATCCAATGAATCAAGCATTAACACTCTTGAAGGTTATTGTGTGTAGGATCGACAAGGGTTGTAGTAGTCCCCGAAGCCATTCATGCATGCAGCCTCAGACACTAGCGCATGGGGCTATGCCGAGCGGGAGTGTACGTACACTATGTACAAGCCCAGTTGCGAGATAACTATCTAGGAAGGACTGACTGCTACAGCAACACCACACCACCTGAACAACTACATGGAAGAACCCAACTCAGAAAGAACATTATTTCTGGAACTGAACTGCCTTAGACCAACAAGCACCTCTGCGCCAGGATAGTGAATTCCATCCGTCAAATGCCACCCAAACATAATATCTTCAAGCAAATAGCAAAGAGAAAGAAAATTCAGCCCACATGGTGTGATATCATACAGAAATTGAAGCATTCCATCAGGTAACTTTTGACTTCCTTTACTCCTCACCCTTCTTCTTCTTCTTCTTTTTCTTCTCGGCGTTGTCGACCTCCTCACCGTCGTCTGAGCGCTTGCGCTTCTTCTCCTCGCCCTTGGCCGACTTCTTGGACTCCTTCTTAGCCTTCTTGATGTCCTTCTTGCTGACAGAGGTGGGGTTGCCCTCGGCATCGAACTGGATCTCGCCACGCTCGAGCTTGCGCTGGTACCGCTTGACGCTCAGACCGGCCTTCTCGGCCATCTTCTCAAGATCGGAATCCTTGCTCTTCTTGGACTTGTGCTTCTTATCGGTTTCCTCATCGGAGTCGGAGTCGTCCTCGGCGTCAGAGTCGGCATCAGCCATCTCCTCATCCTGAACCTCCTCCACGAGCTTCTTGCTCTTGCTCTTCTTAGCGGAAACGGGCTCGTCACCAGTAACGGCATCGGCATCGGCGTTGTAATTGCGGGCCTCGTTGAGCTCGAACTTCGAGGGCTGAGCAGCACCACCGGGGCCAATGGCAACACCGCGGGGCTTGAGAGGCTTACCCTCCATGGCAGCCAGCTTTCTCTCAAGGTTGTAGCGGGCTTCGGTACCCAGAGCAGCCTTGTCCTCCTCAGTAGCATCGTCATCCCACTCAGCAAGAGCATCCACACGCAGACCAAGGGAAGCCTTGGCGGCCAAAACTCTGGCCATCTTACCCTTGTTCTTGCCGGTGGCCTGACCGATGAGGGAAGCGTGGTAGATCAGACCATACTTAGGAGTGTCGTGCTTGGTCTTGAGGGCACGGAACAGGGCCTTCTCGGCACCCAAGATCTGGATGGTACTGGCAGGGCTCTTGGACAGGTTGGTCAAGCTACCAGCGTGGGCAATAAGACGGGCACCGACCAGATCACCGACAAGGGCAGTCAGGTTGGGGGCAATGGCGTTCATACGGGCTGTGAGGTAGCCGGCCAGTTGTTGACGGTATTCAGCGAAGCCAACGACCTGCTCGGCCAAGGCTTGAATGTGTTCCAGATCCTCCTGGCTGATCTCGGTACCCATGGAGCGGTCCGCAGCGGCCTTGACAGAGCCCTCAATCTCCTCGGGAAGAATCTCGGCAAGATCGGCCGTCTCCCAGTTGGTACGCATACCCATCTTAAGGACGAGTCTGGCATAGGCGATGTTGTCGTTCAAGATCTTCGCCAGTTCGGG